CACCTAATCCTTGCAACACAGTTAAGCACTATGTACACACAAAAGAAGGCATTAAGGTGTTTTCAACTCGCACAAGATCTTGACAAATATTCTCGTTAATAACTGAGGCCGGGCGGATATCAGGAGTAGAAGAAAATTACTTATTGAATGCACTGAGTGATACATTAGGCTGAGAAATACATAGAAACTACCAACCTAAAAAAAAATGTATTTCAATTCTCGGCCGCGATTAATTAGGAGTAATTTACACATTTTTCAATCTCTTTCTTGCAATGATTTTAATTTTGCCGATTTCAAAGCAGATGCTGTGGTTATTTCGATAACAAATAACAATAATAATAAAAAAGGAGGTTTGATACCTTTCAGTTGACTGTAATCCAAAACTTTCAACAAAGTGAATCCATTCAAAAGCGAAAACTATTTAAGTAAGCTGAGGCTTCGGCGAGAGTTTTTCCTTTTCGCGTTTCAATACCCTTTGATTTTCTGTCATAAGTTAAACAAGCAACGATACCCCAGGCTTTTTACAAACTAATGTTGTTTAGTTTCCGTCTTCCTAATTAAGTAATACCTCTTCGTAGGTCGTCATTTCTTTTAACAGATGCAGACGGTGAGTGAACAATAACTTTAAAGATTGAAAAGCTATTCAGCGAAATATATGCAGTTGCTAAAAGTGCCGGAAAATTAGATCCTAGAAAGAAAAACCCTTTATACACTTGTTAATCGCACTCTCTGCGATCATAAAACAGCGCTCGTCAGTGTGTATTTTTCAAAGTACTCGTCTTGCAGCTGCCAGAGCTGAGCACAAATCTGATCTCCGGGTCATCTCTGATTTGGCACCCAAAGTTTCGACTGTGAAAATAATTCATTAACGCGGAAATCAAATCAGTCGATGAAGGCGCGAGGTTCTATTTTCGTTTTTGGTTTTGAGTAATACTGAGTTAGTACATTGACACTCTAAGTTATCGAATTTGTATACATCTGAATTTTTCCCGCTTTCAGATTTTCAGCACACTTCGAAATTACAATAGTAAAAATATTACAAAAGATAAAAATGACAGAAACTTCATGTGCCCTCGAGATAAATCCCTGAGATTTTGTTTCTATGATGAACAGTTGCGCAAATTTTAATTCTCATCTCAGCGGGAACCTTTAAACAATTTTAGAGAATTGATTCGGGAGGGGAAATGAAAAATTGCTCGGTTACATTCTTTGAATCAGCGGAACTGCAAGTTTCAAACTCTTTGTTCATGGTAAGAGAGAAATCTGAATTCTACCATTTCGTTTGTGTCTCAAAAAATCAGCTTGAATTATTGTCTCGACCGATTACAGTACATGCAGGAAACCAGATTTCCTAAATATTGTTTGTTTGAAATACTTAAGTTTAGTTACAATTACAGTTTTTGAATGAAAGAATGAAACAGAATTCAAATCACATCTACAAATGTAATTCAAAGCGGAGTATCGAAAATTAAACAAAAAATCACAAGTACAATTCATATCAGAGAAACGCTTTAAAAGGTATAGCGCAAGCATATCGCACAGTGTATTATGCTCTGTAATTTATTTTTCTTTGTTTACCCCTACCGTTAGACAATTTGACTCCGTTGTAAATAATTGAACCGAGATTTTTTTATCATTTTAATTAAACTAATTTCAGCCCGCTATACAACAACAAATGCCTTTAACAACCCAAAAATTGAATTGCACTGATCAGTTTCTCTTAAAATTAGTGATTTAAAAATTTTGAAGTAACACCCGACAAAAAAAAAAAACAGGGCACAGAAAGTAAGTTCACTCGGGTGAGATTGAAGCAAAATAGATACGTAGTGGATGCCTTGGAGCAATAACTCGCTACACTCAACATCGAAGCTCTGGGAGAGTAAGACATTATGATAAAATTTTCAAAATTTCGGGCAATGTGAGGTTCTTTTTACAGATTTGCAATAAAGAAATAGAGAACACAGTCAACTTGTTTATGCCCTAATAGCGAAATGGTGCAAGTCGCGTCTTTAGCAGGTCGTAACTCTCGCACGCCGCAGCTTATTTTGATCATATAAGTGGCTCTAATGGTGGCTTGTTAACAGCTGTAATATCTTAAAGACATTCGAATTATGAATAAGCAAAAAGCGTAGGTACATTCAACCATTACACGAGATAACATCGCAAAAGGAAAGGTAGTGGTTATTCATGGCGGTGAAAACATTTCAAATAAGCACCTTCGTTTGTCTCACGATGTGATTGTTTCCGTATTTGATCGCGACGTTTCGACAACTTAGTTTGAGTTTTTTGGAAAGGTATAGGGTACGCATCACCTTTTGAACCATTATATTTAGCTGTGATTGGTTTGTATAAACCTCTATGATTGGCGCATTTCGAGGAAGCGTTCCCTAGATAGTACGCTCCCGCATGGCTCTCCAGTTGTTGTGTTCCTTCAATGTAGCATTCATGCATCTGAGATTTCAACTTGACCGTCCCTGATGATGTTACTGAGGTGATTTCATGTGTGGATCGCGCTACATGAGTTGTTGTTTCCGGTTATAAGGAAAACATTTATAAAGGATCCACGAGTTTTAGCGAAGACTCATCCTTGAGTAAGTTCTACTAGTAAATTAGGGCATCTTGCCTGCCGGTAACGCTCGTGAGAATCAGATGTTTTCGCAATCAAAAATTCTGCTTAGCTTAGACAACTGTTGTCCGCTTATTCCGTCATATCCAAATGATTCTTTGCTCTACAACTGGCCACTACCGCTTTTGAGTAATTTCACACTACTGGTTGATCGAATTCTTTAGTTTCTTGATTTCACCGAGTTTTGAAATGACTACGTTAAACTTTTTAACATTCCCACCAAGTTATCTGAAATTATTCTGCCATGAACTACATAGAATGTGATTTGTTTAGTTACAAGGACATGGTAACCTAGGAGAAATATCATTGGAGCAGCGTGAAGTAATGAACGACAGCACACTGTTTCATATTTTATCGCCGTTTATATCTTTTTTGTACATTATAATTTAGCACATATTTGCTTATAGTATAGCATATTATCGTATGGAAGGATTTACACTGAAAGCCGAAAGATAACACCTATTTATGTAGTTATGAATTTTACCCTTGGTTGATCTCCTATTTTCAATCGTGTATGCCAAAACCTTGGGCTAAGAGCCCGTTAATTTGCGAGGAATCTGGACAACAGACGTATGATCTGGCAGAGAGCCGCCATCACATCCGTTTCACGTTCATTGAACGACAACTGATCCAAAATCCTCCAGATTTGTTTGTCCTAGGAGCCATTCTGACTTCAAACGTACCATAACCGAGCAAGCGAACAACATATGAGAGAAAGGGCCTCAATTCACCATAAGCAAATCAGAGCATCCATTTAAGGAACCAATAAAAGCCAAAGACAATTATCAAGTTTATCTTTATTCTGTTGAGTTTCATACATCAAAAATCTCATTCTGTTGATGATAACCTTATTAATTCTAGACATACAAAGTGGATAAAATTTGAGTGACAAAACAAAAACAACGTCGATCTCCTCAATCAACAAAGTCCAGCAAAGCGCTACCTCACTCAGAACGTTCTCCTCTCTGGAAAGGAAGACATTATTCCCCAAACATAGCACAGATCCGTACCATAGAAATCGTCTGTGAAATCAAAGCGGTAATAAGGAGCTATTATGCCAGGAGTCACTTAACATTCTATACAACCAACTTCAGCTTCTAGTCTTGATCCTCTGCGGACTTCACACTGCGAGCTTCACCTCCGAACCTACGATAGAAAGCAATTAACACTATAAATGAAGTCCAACCCTCATCACAATCAAAGCCAATAAAGAAATTTGTTTTCTTGTTATAGATAAAACTAAGACCGAAAGAAGGAACCCTCACCAAGCGACCAATCCACCTACCTAGTAAAGCTCTGATTCCGCGGATGAGCTGCAATTACAGAAAATCCAGGCTCCGACGGGATTTGAACCCGAGCCCTTCAGATAACAGAAAGTTTGGTTTTATCAATTGAAATGATAATGCAAATTGGCCAACGTAGAATTTCCGAAGCTGACGTTTCAACCCTTAGCCTTTTGTCAGAGCGAATAGTTGTTGAACGCTCTAACCACTTGTTGAAAGTGAGCCAATTCAGTCCAATTTCCAATTTCTGAGATACGTAACTCAATAAACACAACTGTATATACCCCTGAGAACCTAGTTTTACGCGCAATCCGAGGAGACCAACGAGCAACACTCAAACAACGACAAACCCCAGACGACGGCCGCATTTGAAGGAGTTTTTTTTTTATCTTTTATCAGGTTACAGTCTCTTTCTATAATTACACAAATACGATGTCCTTTTTATCTTCTATTAATACCCTCATCCTAAAAAAAATGTACCCATAGAGTCCCCTAAAACACAAAAAGAAAACGGCGAATTGACCAACCATAGTAAGCATGATTCCTTCTTTCTCAAATACAAAGAAAATCAGTGTAAATGAACAAAAATCATTAAAATGTGCATGTATCTATAATAAATAGACAAAATACGTAACTTTCCAGTTGTATCAAGCAATGCACACATCTCATTAGACGTTTTGATTTGTAGTATCGTTGCGTATTTTTTTCCGAGATGTGCCGTATTTTGATGAGCCCGCAGGGTGAGTCAAAGCACAAACGAGTAAAAAAAAACCCTCAGCGATACCACACACCAAAACGTGTAATAGCCTATCTATCATCCAACTGCTATATTTTAGATGCATTTCTAAGAAGGCGGGAAAAGCGAAGTAAACAGAGAAACGGCTTGTAACAGGTCTCGCATAACGCTTGCGTTGGATTACAGTACAAAATAACCAACTTTCTAAATTAACCGTACAATACCGGGGGATATTTGTACTCGATTTGCGCGTTATTTGTTTTCTACGTTGTGCAGTGGATAATAGAGCTTGTTAAAGACAGTGAACGTTTTTATCAATAGCCAACGTTTGTAACTATCAGAGATCTATCGATGTTTAAGCACGAACACGATCAGCTCCAAATACCCAGTGGGCTTGGTATCGAAATGATCCTTTAACATCATCACTTTCGCTGTCAGAGTCATTGTCAGGGGTATAAGAAATTCTTGCCCGCCTAAAACGGGCTTTGCCGTGGACAAATTTCGGCTTCTCATCCATTGTTACTTGCCTGTCAAAAGAAAACAGCTTCTGCGGAGCGTTCACAGCGGTATCTACAAGTTGTCTCATCTGAGAAAGAGCAAAGTAGATTGCGCAGACAAAAGCAGATACTCCGCCTGCGATGCAAGCTGGAATGATTAGACAGGCCAATAACACTACTGTTGCCACGATAATGATCCCCCCTTCGATAACAACCAATAGGAAAACGCCCAAGGAAACGGACACAATCGTGAACCCCACATAGATCATCATTGGCAAAAATCCAATGACAAGAAATGCCGCCAGGAACAGCGTCATGAAAGGTCTGTCTGCGCCAAGTTGATTGAGCCCCAGCCAGTTAATAACCCATTGGAGAACGTCATTCGTTCTGTGCTTAATGCAACGAAGAATCTTTCCCATTGTACTGACTTGTGGATTTCTATAAAAGAAAATTAAGTAAACGCTAAGTGACTGGAATGTTCTTTTGGGAGAAACACCCCCTTTCCCTCACTGGTAGAGGTATCACTGACACAATCAGAATAAACAGGAAAGACAAAGCGTACATATTTAAAAATAAATGCCGTTTTCGCGTCCTTCTGGCAAACTACTCAGAAAAGAACAAAAAATAAACGAGAAGTTGAATTGCTACCTTGTCCGAACGTTATCTCTCGACAATGTCAATGAAATAAATGTTGAAGTGCACTAGCCGGCACGCACTGCAATGACACGCGACCCGCGACGTCTAAAAGCTCTGAGATTTTTCTGCAACACTGAAGAATGTTTCGGTCGAAATAGGAAGTTTCTTTTTGAACTTCATATGTCAATGAAAAATGAACACATCGTTATTGAAAGACAAACAGAGTAGCAAACTTTAAACTTAAATAAAACCTGAAACACGCACTCAGTTGGAGCCATCGTCAAAGACATTATGTAATATAGAAAAACATATGAAATACCGGCACTTTCGTCAAGGGCTCGTAAAGAAATATGCACATACATCGTACCTTTTCATGCTTTGAGCGTTGGTATAACGTATTCACTTTACCTGATATTAATACTTTTCAATGTTTTTGAGGTCTGTTAACCGTGAGTGAACAAAACTTAACGTGATAAGCAACCTAAGGGCATGCGCAGAGTACGCAATTGCCTGGTCTCCTAGGGCCCAAGACTAGTTTCAACTCTTCCTCAAACAATTCCTTACCGATTGTTTTTGGCACTGCACAAAATCAGATCAACAGATAGACAATAGGTCTTGAATGGAATTTAATTCGGTCAAAGTCGAACAGACATGGGAAAAAATGAAAAGGGATGCGCCTACATGACGAAATTAAGGAGCTGTGCAAAGACAGCACGCTTTTCGCAAGGCTTATTTTTATGCAAACTCCATCCTTTCTCTTACTGAAAAAACTGAAAGGCGTGGAAATTGCTCAGATAACTAGAACGTTGCTCTTCTCCTTTTAATTCCCAAAATTTGTGCTTTTGCTAATTTACATTCCAATCAGTTTTCATAGTGAGCTTGCCTACTGTTGACGTACTTAAATTGCTTTTTTCTCTAGTTTTCTTTCTCTTTTTTTTTTTAAAACTTATCACTTGAAGCTGGTTCTTTTACTATAGAAAAGGAATCAAAGCACAATATTATAAGAAAGCAAGAGTCAAAAAGTGGAACAAAATTAATGAAAGCATTGCGTCGCCAAGAGAAAGACAGAGACCAGAAAACACGCCTCTTGCTGAATTTAAAGTTCTTTGTATATTAGTAAGCTAGAGGTTGTCATTTACTTAGATAATTAGAATTTTTCGCAATATATACGTTAGCTTTACAGTAGCAAAATGGAACAAAACACAGTGAAGAGATCTCGCCTGTTTAACAAAATTAAAAGAAGACTCTAAAAGTAATGTCCACATCGATCGTACGAAACGTTTTGTCAACTGGCACAAGTCAACCAGTTTTAAATCATATTTGTGCTGCTCCTCGTTTGTACAGATAATTGAACGTGATCGATCTGAATAAAAATAACGTCAAAGAAAAGCCACACGCTTCCGCAAAACCCACAAAAATTTCCGGCCACGTGGCGCTTAAGACAAGTTTAAACCGCAATTTTTATCAAGTATTTTGGCATCACACCAAATCAAACAAACAGATAGACAATGGGTCAAGCACACAGTTACAGTTGGTTTCGAACAGTTGAGGAAAGATACGGGAAAAATGGTTGACGGATACGCCTCCAAAATTATACCAAAGAGCTGTGTAAGGAAAATTAGTCTTAGCTTACGAGAAGGCAATTAAGCGAGCAATTCACAGTTACCACTGCATCCAGTACCTCGCACTGAATTGTAATATAATTATCAGTGACGAATTTCGAATAAACTTCCGCCTGCTGTTCTTTTAAGTTAGTGGTCTTCTCCTGTTCAAGTCACTTTGCCTCAACATATGATTGCCCATTGTTACAGTTTTGGTTGGTATATATAAATATATGTATATACTTATCTTTGAAGAAAGGTTTCAATTGACGCCAGTTCGTTTATGGAGAAATGAAAACAAAGCACCACACCATGAGATAGAAAGTGTCAAAAGATGGAACAAAGAAATCAATTGATCAAAGACACGCCTCGAGCAAAGTCCATAATTCAACATTCAACTTCTTAAACTAGAAAGTATAGTTAGATAAGAGGGGCGTGCTTCGCTCGCTATAAATTTTCCTTTCAGAGTCTGCTGGTATTCATTCCACTTTGGATCCACTTTCTCTTTTTCTTTTCTTTTTTTTTTACTCAATATTCAATGTACCAATGTTTTTCACAATAGCAAAAAGTAACGAAGCACAATGAAGACTTTTCGATAGTAAAAAAAAAAAATTAATAAATATTCTCATCGCAGGCTTTTTATTTACGATTCAAAATATAAATTTGTTTCACATAGACATCGTAGCAAATGGAAGAGATCTCAACTGTTTAAAAATGATAATAAACAAATAAATATTCTTACCATGGGCTTTAAAAAATACACTCATATATCATACCTTCTCGTGTTTTTATGCGATGGCATAACCTGAGAACGTATTCACCTTTAACTGATGTCAATGCTGTTAAGTGTTTTCAAGGTGAGTAGGATTTGAACTGAAGAGAAATAAGGCCACAAACAGACTTAGCCCTCACGCGTCAGAAGAGGCTACCTCATTCGTACCTTATTCAAGTCTTGCCAATTGCTTTTTGGCACCGCACCAAAACAGACTAATCGACAGACAATAGGTTTTGAGAAAAAAGATCAAATTAGAGTCGATAAATGACGAACAAACACGAGACAACGAAAAGTGCAAGGTACGTCTCTGCTATCAAATGAAAAACTGTGTAAATGACCTTTGGTCCTAGCTCACAGGCCTATTGTCTCGCACGCAGTTTTCATGCAAACGCCGACCCAACTATCAGTGATGAAGTTCGAATAATACTAAATGTTGCCTTTTCCTTTGTTTCTTAAAGTTTGTGATCTTCAATGTTCACACCACTTTGTATCAATTCATGCTTGCCTAGTGATGACGTTGTTGATGTTTTCTTTCTTCGTAGAACAAATATTAAATTGAGGTTACTTTTACAATAGATACAAAGAAACTAAGCACAGCATTACGAGATAGTCAGTGTCAAAAGGTGGAGCGAACTGCATGAACGCATTGATTTTCTTAAAAACAAAAACAGCGATAAAAACACTCCTCCTGCATGAAATTAAAGAGCTAAGTTAAGTGAGTAAGTTAGCAAGCTACTATCATTTGACCAATAAAACTAGAGAGTATTGCAAAATAAGACAAACTACTATTTCGCATTACTGTTGCCCAAGGTTCTATATAATCTCAATTATTCGATATAAACATTAGTTCCTCATACAAGGTGCGATCTTTGCTAAATTTTCGATTGTTGGCACCCAGCCTTCCCGTCGTGCGCTAAGACTGATCTTATTTCCGCAAATTAAATGAGCGGCTTCATCTATTTCCAGGTTCTTTCACGTGTTTGACTTAAATAATTATATTTGCATGTAATCTTTGTATTCTATCATACCTCATAATTCATAAACATTTCAAAAGAGTTTTTAAAATGTTCTTAAGATTATAGACGATAGGAAGGGTTCAAAGGTGTTCAAATGAAGTCTGGAGTATCCCACTTATCACTTGTATATTCTTACTATAAGCTCACGAAATGAGGTTCGAGTACAAAATCTTTAGTACATGTCACTCGTAAAATAATCCATAGCATTGCTCTCGGAAGCGTTGCATAACTAATGGTATTTCTGAATGGGCGTTTCCTCTTCATGTCCGCTCTTCAGAGCGAAAAAAAAAACGAGTCTTATTTCTCGTCTTAAAGTTATGCAACATTCTCACAAAACTTCAAGGATTTAACCGAAATCTCGATACTTTTTAGGCAGTTCGTGGGCCAGCTTTCGATGCAGTTCCCGGCCATGCCACACAGTGTAAATACTTATAATCCACTTAAATTGTTGTGCAAAAGGGCCGTGAAAACTTAATTCTAAAAGCAAGACAGAGCGTGGTCCACATAACAATTACTGAAAATTTGAAGTTAATTCGTGTTATCTTAGAAAGGAAGGACTGAAATTGTTCATATGACTCATAGACTTTTGAATAAATCTCTATCTATTTTGCGTCTTGAAAACATTATCCTATTCCCTTCCTGTAAAATTTTCTCTGTATAGCTCAGCGTGTGATGGAGGTGGTCATTTCCGCTCATTCGAGAAGAATCTATCAAACCATGGTTATCTGGCACGATCAAAAAAGAAACCTGGCTGCAGACAATGGCCATACGGATATCATGGCCTACTTTTGCCTAACTGAAAATCGTCTAAAATTTCCTTTAAAAAAATGTGACTCTGAAGGTTCACAACGGTGGATGAGACCTTTTCGCAACTAAAACTTTCGTAGAGACATTCAGTGTTCTTAATTTGTAACTTAAAACAAAATCTTGCCGACCTGATTTTAACTAATACTAACAGTACTGGCTCACAACTTATCTAAACTAACCGCCGACACAGTTTCATTAATAATTACAGTTTCGTTACGCGATATCGCCGGTAGATCTGTCAATTCATATACTGTATCCAATATGCTAATGAATAACACTAAGAATTGGAGAAAAATCTTATAGAAAAAGAGCTATTATTCTTGCACTGAACGGTGAAGTTACAGCAGGTCGGTTACGCAGATTAACTACATTAAGTACAATTTAGCAATTCACTTTAAAATCTTCTTCCGGCACTAATGCAAAAAATTAAACTTTGATTCCGACTGGATTTTGCAAAATACGAGAAAGACTTACTTACCAGCGGAAGAAATAAACCCGGATTGGTGACAAGTGACTCCTTGTAGATCCTTTGAAGTAAGAAGAAGTAACTTGTTTGGAGTCTGGAGTACTGTAATATACCAAGCCAAGTGACAGTTAATGAAAGTACCCAGATGAAGAAAAACACTTTTGATTCGCTTTTCGCAATCTGAACAATGACCTTGAATAGCCTCCTGGTGTCATTTGAAACTGATGCCGGCAAAGGATTTTTTAAAAATAGTACAAGTTGTACGTATTTCTTCTACTACCTGAAACGAACTTCGACCATTGCACTGGCACGTGCCCCTGCACGAGTCACATCCTTTAAAACGATCTTTCTGACAAACTAGGCTATAACAGTTGTGGATCCTGCGGTGACAAACCATTTATTGACAGGTTGACCAGGGTTCTGAGTGAAACCTCACAGTCCATGTAACGCTATGATAACGTGCAGCGTCTTTCTTGTGAGCATTGCACGGAACCTTCAAATTTTCCCAATTCGTCGAACTTAACATTACAATGCCACTTAGTTGTTATTCCTATAAATTTCTAAGGTGATCTATATTAGTTTAAGGTAAGCTCGAAATACCCAGATTTGCCACACACCAGACAAGTCTCGGTTAGATGCCATTGCCACTTTCACTTGAATTACATCACTACTATTATCATCTCTCTTTTCTAAACTAATAACGTACAAAACAGCCGTAATCATGGCAAATAAGTCACGGACTTTTGCCAATTGACGTTCAGAAATCCTTTCGTGTCGGAATTCATAAGATGTATCATTTTGATCTGTTGGCTAAAAGCCCAGGCAGGCGCTGGTACTGATCAAAGTTTGTGGTTTAGCCATTCCAAATGGCAACCCCGCCCTCTTAATCCTTCCCAAATATGTTTTCTTGGTGCACGGAAATTAGAACCGTCAGTAATGGTGGACCATTATGATATGAAAGTCGTGTTGCCACCATTCGACCAATGAATGCAATTGGCAAGCGACCAGTACTTGATCATGGAAACCGAATATCATTTTCCGAATGGGACAGATCGTTGCCATCTTGGTCCACAGTCTAGAGAAAAAAAATTATGGCGCGAAACGAAAGAGAAAAAAAAGACATGTAAAATGTGCACAGCTGACACAAATCACATCCAAGAGCTTCGCTGACAACAAGCACAAGGTTGTTTTCTCAGTCCCTTCATGTACTAGTGAGCTCTCTTGATTATTCTTTTACTTGTAAGTTCATCTCATACAAGTGTGTTCTGTCCAGCTCTAGAGGGTTCCATGGAGTACTCCTTCATTTTAACCTCTCAAAAATTCAGCCGGAAACGGTTGACAATATAATACGATTTTCGAAGATTCCATTCACGGGAAGTTTCAATTTGTGTAACTGGAATATTTGAAGTCATAAAACGGTCATAAATCGTCTTTACTTTCCCCATTTCTTCCTTACCCAAGAATTATTCCCCCATGCTTTGGCGACTCTTGTCTGTTGAAACCGAGACTAACTTAAGTGTTTTCTGAAAGCTCCGCTGGATCCACCGGCCTTTGATTTGAGAGGTTTCAGTGCATTTAGAAACAAAAATAAGCGTTCCACTTGAAAGTAAGAAGTATGGCTGTTGCACCGAACCATTGTTATCGGTAAAATGCTGGTTACAATAATTACGAGAAGCTCTCTTTTGTCCAAAATACTTTCTACCAGCGCAACACCAACAACAGGTAAGGCAAAATCATTTTTTAATTGCACGTTCTCGTATCTAGTTCTCGTATTGAAAACTTTTTGGAAGAAATGCCGGAATAAAGATAGCACAGAATAAGAGAGACAAATGATCAGCTTCCCGGAAAATCAAAATACAACCACAGAGTTAACTCTTCATAAAAATGCTGCAACAAAAATTCTCAGATGTCAACATCTTTATGAGATAAAGATCTTTAGAGTGAACCTTGTACTTTGGACTCCGAGAAACAACAAATGCAATGCTTGTGATCTGCTTGTGATCCTTATATTGAAACCAGGCAAGAAAAGACCAAACAACATAAACTGCTAACTTCACCAGTAGGACTATCAGGGGAACAGGCTATAGCATTGGCAAAGAATTCAAGACCAGTCTCGTTCAACTGACGAAAGCAGCGGCTGAACGCTCACTGTTGTTCTGAGGAGTTGTTCTGTTGCATAACCAAGGTTTCACTGACAAACCAAACGCCGCACTGAGGTCTCACAAACTTCAACCAGTTAAACAATAGGTGCGTAGGGAAAGACGATAAAATGGTCGTCTCTCTGATGTCTCTAGCTTTCCTTCTTTCGTCTTTCTTCAAAATACTCCATGACGAACTTTAGTTAAATCGTCGGCTGGAAATATCAACGTTGACTAAGCAAGAGTTGTGCACATCGCGCCTTCAGGTGAGAATTAAGTAAGAGGTTCCTAAACAGTAAAGGATAGCACAAGATGATTTGCCTTCTACTATCGTATACTAAGTGCACAGAATCACTAACCCAGGAAATGCGCTTCGCGTAAACATTTGAGCTAGAAAATAAGCTGTCTGTGTGATAGAGTAGAGCAGAGAACTGTCTTGGTGGTCTCTTAGTTCATTCCTTCCCATAGTGTTTTCATTTGTTGTGGAACTAAGCACAAAACAGCTTGAACTCATAGATTGTGTCCTTCTCCTTACTCCAAACGACGCAAATTGATTTAACTTTTTATCGTCAGTGAATTTACTTACGAGAAGGCTCTCTGAATGGCGCTACGGCACAAGCGGATTGTCGGCTAGCATCCGTGGCCCGTGCTGTATTGCTTATCAGAGCCAATCAGATTTCAAGGCTTGTTTAAGTAACCAATCAAGTTGCAAGAAAATGAAAGACAAAGAAGCCATCGCGTGGCAAAAAAACTTCCTATTTCTCTTTCCGGTTCCACCTTTTTCACAAATCGGCTCAGTAATAGATCTATGAAATATTCGCACTAACTAAAATCCTGTGTTTAGGTGATTGTATTTTGCGATTCAAAAGTGGATATAATGAAGTGGTAATTGAACTGAGTTGAGTGTCATTTTGGTTTGAAATCATTCCTAAAGATTTCATTTGGGACTATTTCGATTTCGAAATCGAGCGTATGATTTCAGACCCAATAACATACTTGGAAAAATTTCACTATTTTCATTGGCCGAGAAAACGTCCATTAATCCCAAACAGCACAGAAAGTTGAAATTGGGTGCAAAAAGTTGAAATTGAGGGCAAAAGAGTTCAAACTGAGGGATTACAAATTGAAAATGAATACAGAGGCTTGAAATTAACTTGGTTGAAAGGAGAGTCGCGAAGGCACAACTAAAATAGCTGAAAGGTCAGGGTCAAGAGAAAGTTGGACGGTTAATTCAGAGTTTTCAGGGAGATCGCCTAGAAAAAAACAGGCAACAAAGCAAAAACAACTGGCGAAAAGTCTGGAAGTCTTGAGCTTCCAATTAAAGCTGTACCGTTAGTACACTTGAACTTCCCGTAAGAGACCACCCTAAATGTCAGGGTGGTCAGACCACAGGGAGTCTATATTCTATGGGGTAATTTGCATATGGTGATCTGACCCTCTCGTCTGCGCTTATTGAAACCTACAGGATTATAGTAATGAGTTTAAGCGGCTTACAAGGGAAAAAATTCTAAAATCTATGGTGATTGTTTTGTATCTCGGGAGAAACATCCCGTAGCTCCAATTTTACGACATATGTTGAAACAATTTTCAGTTTCCTCTAGTGAGAGATAAAGCCGATTGTCTATCAAGTGGTCGCCTACGGGAGGTTAAAAGACAATTAAAAATTGCAAGCGCCTCTTATGAGAGGCGGCCACTTTTACGAGAGGTTCCACTTACAGTGATTTGACTCGGAAACTTTTTGTATCTTGGAAAAGAAGTCGCTAACGAGAGGTGGTCGCAAAGGAAGGTTCGGCTATTGAAGAGTATGAACCGGAAGCCCTGAAAAAATTCTCGAGGAGATTCACGCAACAGTTTGCAAGAAAGAAGGGGAGGATCACAAGACTGTTTGCATTAGTGCAATTTTTCCCTTTAAACCAATACCTCACAGAGAAAGAGTAAAAATGTTCGATTACTCACAAGTCGAAGAAATTTTTTGACGGAAAAAGCCTAACTTCTCCGCCGACAAGGCAAAGACAAGCGGCCGAATCAGTGAGCTATGACACGAGATAAACACGACTAACTAAAAGGAAAAAACAGTCAAATTTTTGCATGTATATCAACAAGAAATCTCGTTTAGTGCATTTTTCCATGGTATAATGATAATACTAACCGATAATAGTAATAGGAAAACTATTCTTATGATAAAAACAGAGGTGGTAGAAATAGTAGCTGGCGTAAACGTTGCAAAGATAAGTCTCGGCTTTTTCTCAATAACGAGCTAACGCTCGAAACGTCAGCTTTTTTACTCTTTACGGTGGCTAATTTACGTTTTCAACCCAGTTGTTAACACTAAATTACCTGCTTTTTCTTTTGTCCTACGATTACAAAGTCCAGTCCAAGTTTCGTAATAGGAAACGAAAGCGAGGCCCGTTGTCAAGGGTCTCGCCGAACGACAATATGGAGTCTAAATGGTACACAGAGTTGTAAACTAAACTTGAATAGTTGGTGCTATGGATCTTATAGATTTAATTGGAGACTCCAGAACAGACAGCCTGCCAGCTGGATTCTTACGCTCAATTAAAATAAAGTACAAACAAGAATCGTCGCGAGTGTTCCCGCCAGGAACTCCGTATCATTCTACGGACCTCACTGATAAAACTCCTCATCTGAAGCATGGAAGTCAAAGAAGTGGCTCAGCAGCAAGTAATACTTCTGCACCGGTAGGTTGTTAAATCGCTCGTAACTTAATTTTCGTGCAAGAAAATATGGGTGCGTGATCTGCTTTTAGCCCCACGCCGCACAATATTCTTGTATTCGGCGAAAACGTAGCTCATCTTCATTTGTTTACAGTAGAAATTCACGGGTCACTACGTTGAGGTCAACTAAGAAAGGAGTCAAATTACGAGTGCTTTAAGGTCTCTCAGTTTTTGCTTTCGGTTTCTCTTTTCATTCATTCTAAATTAACAGCTACATGCTCAAGATCTGTGTGCTACATTTTCGTGTGACTCTATGAAATCATCTTACTCATTAAAATTGTATGATATTTCACAATGTTGCTAATCTTATGATACGTAGTTGTTTCACGACTCTGGGTAATTTACCAAAAAATGAAAACTCTTGATTTCAGTCTTTTTAGAAGAATTGGATATAAAAAAATTTCTGCGAAATGTGCTGGAAAAAATTTCCCTATCCTTGATGATCTTAATTTATTAAGATGGTATTATTGGGTGAATTCGCTATGAATAATTAATAGGTTTATTCTGGTACGAAATCCACTGTAGGAGAGGCTTTTTAGTAAAAGATAAGTACAACACCTCTTTAGCTCTCTGGCAGCTAGCAAGGCCAATATGTTTCATTTTAACAGGCAGAGACTGCAATTGCAGGTCTGGATTGGTTTGTGCACAGCCACTCCTCCTCTTTCCCGAAATTTAAAATAAGTCAGTGGAGTCATTATCACTGCAGCAGGAAAAGATAACACGTTGTAGGGCACTGAGCATCTGCCTGCTCATGATCACAAAACAGTTATGGAAACACCAAACACTATTAGGATTATGTAGCTAGTTAACTGGTCAAAGGATATTTTAGTAAATTTGATTAGGTGGATGCAGATGACTTGGTATACAATTAGCTTCCTCGCATTCTAAAAGGTTCCACTATCTCCACATGTAATCACCCCATATAACAATTACTTTTTTAGAGTTTTATGGCATGGCGTGTGCCATCACGACTGATTCAACAGCGTAAACTCGAGCTGCCCCCTCCATCAGCAGGTAAGATCATGTTGAAGTTGAAAAACTTTGTCACATGGACAGATTTTCTATCTTTGTTTTTTTTGGAGGGGGTGGAGAGTGTTTGGGCATGATTTTTTTGCATTTAGATGTTCTTCTGAGAAATGATACTTATGGCTGAGAAAGTAAATTTTTACGTGACAAATGAGCATGAGGTCAGTTTTTCTTTTAGATGCTTCATGTTTATTATTATTATATGGCATGATAGTCTCAAAGTAAATCTGAGCATTCTGATTGTTTCTCACTTGGTGCGTATTTTGCCATGTGGACCATTTCCACAGAAATGTTCATGAGATGTGGATTTTTGGTCTCAAAAGCCAACAAATTCAAAATAAACAAGTTTTGTGTGAAAAACAAGAGCCTTATAATAAGCTGCTTGATACTAACCTCACTTGATAAAGCTGTTCTGGGAAATATTGTCCCTTGGTCTAAATTATCCAAAAATATGGATTTTGAAAATTATCTTTTTTTGAATTATTTTTTTAAAAAAAGGTGGATTTGATGGGCAGAGACAGAAGTTAGGGTCCCGAATGTCTGTACTAAGTGAACAGTCCCATGGCAGTAAACAACTTCAACCACTCTCCAGAGGAAAGGCTGATTGTAAGTACAACTTAAAAGTACTGTTAACCCTTGACACCTTGACATTATTATGTATATTCTCCATACAGTTCCCAATACATTTCCTAAGGTGCTGACAAGGAGAATTTGTTCACCAATCAAAAGCTTCTTTAGTTGCTAGTCATGACGTTCATGTGTGATTAAGGGGGCTCTATAGGGTTTTTGGCCACACAAGATCTGGGTGCATACATAGCATGAGCTTTAAAAAGTGTCAACATGCAAAACAAACAAGTTGGATCAGTACAATCACAAGATTGTTATCTGAAAAGGCATGTTAAAAACAGTTTAACACAATACAGTTTTTATGTGATGGAATATAGGGTTTCCAGCAACCACACCCATAATATTCTTAGGCCTTCTACACCTGAAAAAAGGTCAGCCAAAAGGTAAACACTGTGGGAAAGATTGCCAAAAGGCAACAGATTCAAAATTCTATGCATGCTTAGATACTGATCTTGGAGAAGTTCTATTCCATTACATAATGCTTTGGGACAAAGAAAAAGGGAACTTTCCAGTAAGATTTATCACATCTCCTTCTGTGGAATTTCCTAAGCTGGACCATTAAACATATTTGTGCCCTTCCTAGTGCCTACTGAAAAAAGTCATAAGACCAAATTTGAGATGGAGGAAGAAAACACAAAACTGCAAATAGCAAAGAAACTGCATTTGTAACCCCTATTTTTTGGGCTTTTAAATTATTAGCAGGACAATTTTCACAAATTGTAAAAATTTTGAGAGATTTCACCAAAACAAATTTAAGAAAATCAAAGGCAAAGACAAATTATTGCTGGTGAGGGCCTTCCTTTGTGGAGCCTTAGCCTAATAATGAAAAAAATTTTGATAATTTTTACTACAGCAAAGGTAGTCCAAACCTTGGTCATTGCCTTTTGATGGCTTTTAGTGACCTTGAAAAGCGAAATCACAAAATTTTTTTAGAAAAACATTACACTAGGGTGCACACCAACATTGAGCAAAAACCCTTTGAAGCCTCCTTAACAGGTGATATTGTGAGGAGAAATTAGATGCTGGTCACTCTAAGGGTTAAATAACTAGAATTTAAAAACCTATAGGAAACAGCAGGATGTGAGTGTAATTTGACTACATTTTACAACTCTTGAAGTGACCAAAAATCACAAAAAGTACAAAGCAATTCTTGAATTTCTTTGGTTAACAATCTTCTTAAAAAATCACTGTGCAATGCTTCCTTGAATTTTCTTTGGGGCACTTTACTTGAAACACTTTTCAGAAGTCTTGAAAGTTTTTCTTTTGCTGATCTTTTTATATATTAACAGTGTTGACAAATGAACAAAGCTTTATGTCTATTTTATACAAATGTAGAACTTTCACGTTAAATAATGTGCTTTATCTTTAAAAACATAAATTGGAGAATTCAATTGTATAGCAATATCCTATTAATGCAATTTTAATTGGACATGTATAATAGAGATAGAAATATAAACAAAATAGTGTTGCCATGGGAAGACAAGCTATTTCCAATTTTTTTTTATGCAATACATAGTGCCAAGGCTGCAGTCTGAAGCTAACTGCTTGAGAAGAAGTCCCTTGCAAAGGCAACTCACACCAGCAGCTCCTGTAAGTGGCACTCAGTAATTTGTCGCCAAAAAGCTGTAGATAACTATTGTCAAACCTGGTAGCCAGGGGAACTATGAAGCCTATAACTATTGATAGTTGTCAAGAGAAATAGAGTAGTGTGGTGGTTACCTTACTGCACTAATAATTATGATCATAGGAGTGGGTTTGAGCTCTGGTGGGGTCATAGTGTTGTGAAATTTGACAAGACACTTTCCTCGCAGTCCAGGTACATAAAAGGAATTTACACTCTTAACCTTTGAAATGTTTACTAAACCTGAAATAGTGCAGAGGAAGGGATGATAGTGAAGGGAAGGGGAGGGGAGGGGAGGGTGCCTGTGGTGGGCAAGAAAACCATTCAAGAGGGGCAGAGACTCAACACAAATGTATGTACTTAAGAAATTATTGATAATTGGCAACTTTGCTCTGAGACTAAGATCTTACTAATATAAGAACTCTGCAGGGATAAAAGCAAATGAATAAAGGGGTAAGTTTTTAAAGAAACTGTGGTGCTGCATCAGTGGGAGAGTATAACAGGGTAATTTAGTATTATTAACTGAGATGATAATGTAAATTGACCATCATAAAGGGTTTCAAAGGAGGCAAATTTATGTTATCAACCCATTTGTTAATACTAAATTAACCTATTAGGGATTAAAGCACCCAACTTGTAAATGATATGCAGTGGGCAAATACATTGTAACTGTAATTTAAACAATACCAGATACTTGCCTCTAAACAGATGTTACATGTATGTGGCATGTAAATTTCAACTTTAAGGTTACTCTAGTTGGTTTGGTTAACTTGGAATTTTAAGAGTTACATGTAGCTCCTATTTGTGAAATCACTTTTGGAACTTTTATTTATAAGTCAGCAAATATCAGTAAAAGCAACAGGTATCTATGAAAAACAATATCTCTTTTCACCCAAGCTCAACTACAACTCTGTAGTAATCTCTTTGAGCAGATTTCAGTCAACATTTCTTTCTTATTCAATACAGACTTCACTGCCAGCAATGGGAAAATCTTCTCAAGAGCTTGTGAGCCAAGGTACATATATATCGTAGGCAGTTCTGTGCTAAGTTTTTTATCAAGTACACTTTTTCAGTTTCCACAACTTGTAATGTGATGTGTATCTATTATTATGTTAAATTGGTTACACATTTTTCCAGACAAGAATCTTCCACAAGAACTGGAAAAGGCAAAGAACATGGCCATTGAAAAGGTAAAGTAGAGCCTTGGTCAATTTGGTAAAAATTTGCCCACAGTTTAGAGAATGATATGACTACACTGCTGGCCATCCAAAGGGTGACAAGCAATACTCTTAGTTTATTACAGAGTGAAGAGTGAAACAAACCATGTTTCATTTTTTCAGCCAATCTCATGTTTTAAAACAAATATCAACTGAAGACATATTGTGAAGGAACATAAACATTGTGCAGATGCAGTTTTATTATATTTCTTGTGCATTAGCTTAATTATTTGTATATTGCTGATGTTTCCTGGCTCCTTATTTTACTTTTTTTTATGTTTTTAACCATATTGCTTTCTTTGCAGTCAATCAAGAAGACAATTCATCCCCAGTCACTGGAGGCAGTGGATAAATGGTTGAAAACAGCCACTGACAAAGGTTTATTTGAATGAGAAAATTCATGCAATTACTTTATAAAGATAATCTTAGACAAATTAAAAACTGAGGCATAGCACGCTTTGTATTTTTCACCGCCTTGAAAAATCTCAGAATTTTTTATACGTCTTTTTCTGTTGTGACTTTAATTGCAGATACTCTTTGCAGATAAACTCATCACTTTTCATCTCAACCATTGTGGTCAATATATGATTTACATGTATTGTGAGATACATTTTAATTCATACTTTTCCTTAGTGTTTCACTAAGGCTTTATCACATTTTGTTTTGACCTTAGTGCAAACAAGAGAACACTTTGTGCCAAAAAAATTAGTGCATAATGTCTCAGTCAACAGTTTGTTTCTCATAAACCAGCTTCTGCACCAAACAATCTGCAGAGCATGAAAATATGAACTTTAGTGCAGATAGATTGAGTGGGTTTTTTATTTGATTGACAGAACGTGAACTGGCCTTGAAATTCTTCAGTACTTTGTCTGGAGTTAAGGCAGACAAGATGGACTCACTGGGCCTTAAAATAAATCATGACCACACAGAGGGCAACTATGATGGAGGAAGAATCGAGGAAGCTCTTGAAGCACTGGCTAGGTAAGGCTGCATGCAAATAAATTTTAAACAGACCTTTATGTACAGTATTTTAAAAACTAACTTCACTGTTTGCTCTGTAACTATCAGGATATATAGTCAATTAATAATCCTAACTACAAATTACCTATACAATTTAGAGATTCACTGCCACCTTACTGTTGTTTCATAGAGAAGGCACCATTGCATCTCGTGGTAAGCTGCTATACAATCCAAAGCGAGCTCCAGACATTACCAAACAGTCATATTACCAGAAAGCTCGGCAGCGGCTACCAGGTCATGTTAGGCAGCAGTTTCAGACATGGCATCATCTTCCTGTTTACAAAGTACCAAGTGATGCTGCCATAAACAAAAGTTCCATGTTCACACAGCCACACAGGGCCTATGGACGGCATTTTACCATCCATCCAGAGTGGGGACTGCACAAACCTATTGTGTTGTAAAAAAAAAAATACTTCCAGATTAGGGTAAACACTGAATTACTTTGCTTTGCAATGCCATTCAAACTATCAAGTTTAGGTTTACCTTTTAAGATTTTTTTTTTTTTGAGCCATAAGATTATCAATCATTTTGCAGACCTCCTTGGAAACATGTAAAATGTTTCAGTAGGTTTAGAAGGTTATGGTCTGACTATAGATTGGAGGGATTAAATCCTTGTTTTGTTATTAAGCTCTCAGATTTCTGGTGTGGTAATAATTGGCAGCAGCATGAAAAGAAAATGACCTTCAGATTTGGGTTTTGTTATTGAAATGCACAGTAAAAACAGCTGAAAGATTTTCATTTGGAAAACAAAATTAATACACAAAGTTAGTTTGTAATTAACTTTCCATCTCTATTAGGTGTGTGACCACTTGTTGTGTGAGCATGATAGTGCAAATGGGTGTTGGTTGGTTAATAGAACTAACTGTACGTTCAATTTTATTCTTCATTATGAATAGGCCTAATATCTATTCTCTTTGAAAGAAATGAAAAGCAAATTCAAATGGCAACCTTTTTTAAACAAATTTAATGATGGATCCAGGCTTTCTAATCATATTTGAATAACTATGTGGAAGTTGTGTGTCATGTGTTATCTGTTTGCCTTTTATTGGAAAGTTAAGGACCCAAACAGGTTGTCTCTCCTGCCTGAAAAAGCTGTGTATCCTTGGTCCATTAAAACACTTATCTGGCAAATCATGACAAAGAACACTGCAACAGAGTGGGAGGGGAGCAATTAGTGTTATAGATGTAAATTGTAAAAGAGGTAGCATGAGACAAATAGAGAGGCTGTAAACATTGTGTATATTAAGTTGTTGTGATGTGGTTAAGCCACCTGATTTTCAACTAGTCATCAGTGTCCAGTCCAAATTCCTGATACTTAGCTCTTGTTGTTGTCCCATCTATTTCAGCTGTGAATAAATGAGAACAAAAAAAACCACTAGTAATGACCTCTTCAATGTCTATATGGTTATCTGAATGGGTCGAACATGTAACTGTTAGCATCAGGAAGCACAAATTAAGAAAAAAGTTTTAGTTTTCTTAACTTAAAGAGAGAACTTTGCAAACTTGATATTACTTACTCCATCAAACAATTTGTAACTGAGGAGTAGTGCTAATTAAAGCACTTGAGCACGTGTGCTCATCATCCAGTATGTGAAGAAATTCAGATTAATTCTTTATACCTAATTTTCCAAGGAGAAGTTGCCCCACATCTTTAATTTCATTGTACTCATGAAGCATCTGTATGTGCTGCTGAAGCTCTTCTTCACTGTACCTGATATGACGTGAATAAGTAGTTTCAATAGGCAATCACTTTAAGAAAGGGTTCAGATTTACCCTTTGCACCCTAACATCAGTATGCATATTCTCCATGGATAGTATTCTCCATACATCTCTTAGAGTGCCAATAAGGAGAATCTTTTTTTTTTTTAACAATTAAGAGCTTCTTAAGTTGTAATCATTCCCTTAATTGTTACAACTTTAATGTTTGATTCAGGGGTGATACTGTTGGGAAATATTAGATATTTATTGCTCTTCAGGGTTTATGTGTGTTAATGACAAAACTTCATGCATGGTGCTAAAGCAGTTTTCACACAGACAAAACAGATTGAGTATGTTGATTTTCATTTTGCATAATAAAGTAAAATTTGATTTATGCACAACTCAAGAAGAATTGATGGTGAGTCTTGCATTTGAAGGTACTTTACACACTACAATCATTGTTCTTTCATCCTACCCACAAACTCAGGTACACTTACTCTTCACTGAGGTCTTTGATCTCTTTGTCCAGAATCTCTAACTTGGCTTTTAAAGTTTCAATCTCTTTAACCAAAGATGCTTTATCTTCAAGAGATGTAGTTTGCCGTCTCATTTGAAGCTGAAAGATCAATTTTAGATAAACATTTTAGCTATATATGGTACTAGGTCCTCGGTGTTATTGAGTTTGTGCAACTCTCATTGATCATCACTTTTGCCCCATGTATTTTACTCCTTAAATAAATTTAAAAGTACATGTAAGGTACATCTTTTTTATATGAATGTCTAATTTTGAGGCTGAGGCTAAACATTCTTTTTTTTCTTGCGCTTGGAGCATAAAAATGTTCTTCACGTGTTCTCAAAGTTGTAAGGTATAGTATTTCAAAAAATCAATTCAGATGTGTCCAGACTAAGTTCAGCTACATACTGACTTGTACTTCAGTGTATTATGCAATATGAAAACCACATTGTAAATGTTAAAAGAGGCCCCTAAGTTTGTGAGTTAATTGTTCTGTTAGAAAAAAGTGTTACATTTTTTTTATCTTATCTAAACTTCTCACAAAAAAATAGCAAAATAAAGACATTCTTCACTGACTCTCAGCCTGGTTATATTCTAAGTATGTTATTCAATTTAGGTTACTCTCAGCCAGAACTTTCTAATCAAAAAGGTTCTCACCAAAAAAAAAGTAAAAAAAATTTAATTCTCCACACAATTCGATACATTTCTTTATTAAATGTCACAGTAACCTGGGCATTAAGGTATGGTGTGTACAGTAAGGAGTTGTTCATGTTGATTTAATCATAAGTGGTAACAAAAGCATCCTAGCTACTTACAGGTGACTTGAATGGTTGCCTTAACTTAGAGCTGCTTCTGCAAATAGACAGAGGAGTCTGAACTGTTAACATTGCATAATTATTATATTACCCTCACAGTAAGCAAACAATGAAATCAAGCCAAAAGACTCCACACAATCTTACGGAACATAGCCTTTCCTAGTGTCTAGTAGTTATTAAGTCTCTCATTTCGTACCGCTGTGGACAATGATTGGAGAGAAAACAACTTGTCCGAAAACGGATCAGGAATATCTGTTCAGTACTACTTTCACCCAGTTTCAGGCTTGCCTTTCATGAATATCATCAATCTATGGAAATAATCGTATGGTTCACCTAAAGGGTTGTTTCCTGAATGCTCCTGGAGTTGTGTTCGTCAGCTGCGTTGGAGTACTAGCGATATTTCTTGTTTTGAAATTACACTCTCCATCACCGTCTACAGTATTCAGAGAGTAAATTTGGGTCTCTACTTCTGGGTTACGGTGACCATATCTACAAGGAAACGCATCAAAACAAAATGAATCTTTTTTCGCAGCGAGATTTACGACATGATCGATGCAACAGCTGTTCGGTAGCCGCACACGGCTACTAGCGAGCCTTAGAAAAATTAGCCACAAGCAGATGATCAGAGCTTACATATTTTGTCGGCCTTCCAAACATCGTATTACTTCCTCGGGTTCTTGAGATGACAGTGAAGACAATTCAGTTACTTCTGCGGGAGTAAGCGATCCTTTTCTCGCTTTCAAAGTGTTTAAATCACAATCTTCTGAATTTTCCTTTACCGCGCTCGCCGCCATTTTGTAAATACCGCGGATGAAATGTACCTTTTGATTGGTTGAAGAATTTCTGAGACAGCGATTTAAACTGGTTAGCAGATACTCTTCATCGGATCAAGCGCTGTATTTTGTATGTTGTCTTGACAACGATGCAAAGGAGGTGAAGTTGTTGCTGAAAAACAGACCAATAGTACTTTTAGTACATTTACCTTTTCAAACAGGTTTATATCGGATTTCGGCTTATTAAAGAGGGGAAAATATGTCTGAGGGAGCGATCACTACTACAGAAGAGATTGAAGAGCTTAAAAAGAAGCTTGCTCTCCTTGGTAAGACTTGATTGATAAGAATTTCATTAGTGTATAAGCTGCACAAATGTCAACGTTTTCTTGAACTGGCTTACTGAACACTACAATTTAAGCACTTTTCCACCAGTGATTTCAAGTTAATCGAATGCTTCTCTCTTGGTTTCTTACCGTTACTTTTCATCGTCCAGAGAGCGACAGTTTGTTTTACTCCAGCTCAATGTCGTTCATGTTTACATTTTTGTGCAGACGGAGACAGGAAAGCTTACTACGAAAGTTCTCAATGGACTATGAAGAAGAACAAAGATACAATCAGCAAATTAAGGGAGAAAAATAAACGTTTGCGATTCGAACTGGCAAAGAAGAAAGCGGTATGGGGTTTTGAAATCGTAAATTAGCTCATAATAATTCACAAACTTAAATTTATAGTTTTCCGTAAAGCAAATAGCCTCTGATAGCCATGTAGCCATTTCAGAGCAAATTGTATATGCTCATGAATGAAATATTCTGTTGTTATTTTTTTCCATTGCATTGATAGTGGTTGAATTTTGGAAGTCTTCTGAGAGAAATGCATCAGAGACTTTTCTTGTTTGACATATAGACATAATCACCATATTAATCTCATTGGCTGCCTTTTTCCTATTTGACCAATCTATGTCGAGTACCAATTTAAGGGGGTAAGTTTCTAAAGAAACTGTGGTGCTGCGTTGGTGGGAGAGTATTACAAGGTAATTCGGTATTATCAACTGAATTGATAACATTAATTGGCCTGACTGTTAAGAGTTTCAAAGCTTACGTTTTGAGCCTCAGCCCTTTGTCAGAGCGAATTCAAATGTCAGAACAACGGGCTAATCTCATTGGCTGCCTTTTTCCTATTTGACCAATTTATGGTGAGTTCTGATTAAAGGGGGTAAGTTTTTAAAGAAACTGTGGTGCCGCATCGGTGGGAGAGTATAACAGGTAATTTGGTATTATTAACTGAGTTGATAACATTAATTGGCCTGACTGTTAAGAGTTTCAAAGCTTACGTTTTGAGCGTCAGCCCTTTGTCAAAGCAAATTCAAATGTCAGAACAAAGGGCTTATCTCATTGGCTGCCTTTTTCCTATTTGATCCATTTATGGTGAGTTCTGATTAAAGGGGGTAAGTTTCTAAAGAAACTGTGGTGCCGCATTGGTGGGAGAGTATAACAAGGTAATTTGGTATTATCAACTGAGTTGATAACATTAATTGGCCTGACTGTTAAGAGTTTCAAAGCTGACGTTTTGAGCATCAGCCCTTTGTCAATTGGAAGTGAATTGAAGCGTCGGAACGAACTGGGCTTAGGCTCAAAATGTCTGCTTTTGAACTCTTGAAAGTGGTCAATCTATGTTATCAATTCAGTTGATAATACCAAATTACTGTTTTGAGTACTGATTTTACAAAAGAGAATATCATGTAGTTCATATTATGTATTTCATACCATGATGTGTGGGCTAGGAAGTTGATAATAAAAGGATTCCAGATCTTACTGAGAATTTTCCATCTGTCAAGCTGTGGTTTTGTTAATCTGCATACACTTTTCAGACATAAAAGAATCCCTAACACTATTACAACACAATTGATTTTTCTTTGTCTTTCATACTCTTAGCAGCTTAAAAGTAAGTTTCTGGGAGTACACAATTCGATTCAATTTAATTTTATTTAAACTCACATGAATACAGCATATTAGAAAAGGTTATAATTATTACAGTAGTCTTACAAACATCAATATAAAAAATACAGAACAATGAGAAAATGAAAAAAGAAACCAAAATAATTTACAATTCGCTGTTACTAAGCATATCTTAGAAATAAAGAAGGACAGGAAGAAAGGAATATTTAAATGCTATGTTAATTGTGTGGAATTTGGGACACCCAAATAGCCAGTTCTAAGAACTAATCCGGAGGGTGTCCCATAGTAAATAATTCAAACAAAAGGAATACTGTGTTAATAGCAGTTTAAATAAAAAGTATCACTTTTCATACTAACTACTAAGAATTTAATTATATTTACACAAACTATTTAAGAATAGATAACATTATTATAACCATTAATCATATAATTCTTTTCATAGAATTCAGTAGTCATAGAGTTCTCTATATTTTGACGAAATCTAAAAAAGGGAGTGATTTGTTTAACATTAATTGGTAATGAAGTCCAGAATGAATTCCAGAGTGTGGTACCTGTGTAACAAAGAGAACAAATACCATATTGAGTTGTTTGAACTGGATTTACAAACAGATTCTCATTCAGTGATTCACGTGTATAAGGTGAATGAACAGAAGATATTCAGTGGCTTAAAGTAATCAGTAAAACAAGTAGGAGGCACAAACATGAGTATTGTTGTTGGCATTCAAAGAATTGGTTTTTTTTTCCTCAGGGAGATGAGCAAGTGATTGATGATGCTTTCAGAGAAAAAGACCCTCAAAGACACTGTGCTATGAGAGGCATGTCAGGGAAGGTAAAGAACACAGCACCTAGAAATATTATTGACTAGACAATCTTATAATGATTCAATGAATCCTGATAGCTGGTATGGTTATTTACATATTTCTTGTAGGCTGCCATTACTAAACTTGACCAACAAGTGTGTGAGGCAGAGAAGAAACTGAATGCTTGTAAACATCAGAGAAATACTCGTGAGAAGAAACTGGCAGCCTTAGAAACTGAATATAATCAGCTGGTTAAAGATGCTGAAGAGGTGTCTAGTACAGATGCAGGAGAATCAGCTGAGGCACAGGTATGGATGTTTACAATCTGGTGACATACTTGTACTTTTACTGGTTGTTGCTTTTTAACCCTTTAACTCCCAGAAGTGATTAACATAAAACTTCTCCCTACAATATCCATACATTATTTAGCAAACAGGTGATGAGAATATTCAAACTTATCAGGTAGAAGCTGTTATCTTGATCTAGTACCAAGTTCTCATAACTAATTTACAAGGAAATGTGTAGCTGCTAGAGGGGAGAATTAACAATCAGATCTTGGGAGTTAAAGGGTTAAATTAATATTGGACTTTGCAAAATGACAACAAGTACAACACGATCAAACATGGCATTTCTGGTTTTCTTCAGAACACAGTTATTTAGATCTATTCAGTTGTTGGATTGGCATCTGGATTAAATTTTATTTATTGCAAAAACAAAGAATCCACTCCAGTTTTTACAGTAATAACCACACAAAAAATTGACATGCACCACATCATCATTCTCAGCGCCCCCTAGTTAGAACTGTTTTGATCATAATGGCAAATAGAAAAAACTTTTGAGGCCCTTATCATGATACTCTTTATAAGGTCACTATTGTTAAATGGTGGTATGATTGTAATATTCCTTTGATGGTCTTGTACAAGGGTCTCATCAGGAATCCTGAAAACTAAAACAAATTGCTTCAATCTTAAAAAAAATAAATTATCTAGTAATTAATAAATCATAATGAACAAGTGTCTGGCCATTGTTGAGTTTCCTGCAACTAGTTCAATCTGGGAACCATAAGATCTGAAATAATACAGACTTGTGGTCAGAGAGAGGGTACAAAAAATCTGAAATTCCATTCCAGTAACCCATTAATTCTATAATTTTTCTTGAAACTGACTGCTGAAAGATAGTTTTTTTTTTCCTTCTCACTTCATCTCAGAAACTGCGGAGTTTGGAGAATGGTCTTGACAAAATGATTTTGAAAGTCAATGAAGCAAAAAAAATTAAGACTATCTACGAGGGTTTACTGGAACAACTGAAGGAAGAGCGACGCACTTGGCCTAATCAACTGAATAATCATGAGAAAGCCATTTGTGCTCAGAGAGAGGAACTTGAAGAGCTGAATGCTATGAATCATGATGCCCAGATTGCTCGTGAGGCTGCAAAGGCAGAACTCACAAAATTAGAGCAGTCAGTGTTTGAGAGGAAAAAGGAGCGAGAGAAGGAACTGGCTCAGTACAAGAAACAAGCAGAAGAGAAGAAAGATCATGCTGAAAAAGTTGAGAAAAGGGTAAGGCATGATGATTGTTCTTACAAGGTTGTGGGAGCAAACCTTGGCAGCACAGAGCTTTATAGAAATTTTTTTCCAATGAAGTTATGTATGGTTTTGGCCTCAACTATGATTTAACAAGCTACACTGTAAGCAGAGTATGAGAGATTACAGTTACTGATCAAGACAAATAATGCACTGAAGATTCTCTCAATTTGATTTCAATATTATGGATACTAATTGCAACAAAAGTCTGGTTTCATACTGGACCCTGAGACTCTAGAATAACAAATTAAACTGTACACACACAAATTCAAGTGAATGTTATGTAAGTGATTAAATCAGATAGAGTATAATTAATTTTTTTTTAATTTCAATATTCCTTTTTTTTGCAAGAACAGTACATTTTGCACAGTTCTGTAAGTATGGATGAATACCTCTGATGTGTGCAATGTTAACTATATTATCTAATTATTCAACAGCTACAGAGAAGTTCTCTCCAGCAAGAGGATCTTACTGGTATGTCACTCCATTTAATTTAAGCAAAGAACATTTAATGCTCAGTTTTCTTACAGTAAATGGTGTATTGGCTCAGAGAGGGGTTTAAAGGATTAACATCCAGTTCATCTATCAGATTCCTTAATTCATATTTAGCCAGCTGTAAGGAACTTGTAACAAGAATCCATTTTACAGTTTTGTGGTTACACATAGTTCCCAGTTTTTTTACAGAACTAAGTGAAGTTCAATGTGACAACAAGGTTCTTACCATAACAAGCACAACTGAGCACACATCTGTAAGTCAGACTTGTGCCTACAGTCACAGGTCACAATTCTAACCTTTTCCAAGACAAATACAGAAGAGAAAATCAGAATACATTGTTTTGTAACGCCACAAGGATGTAAGGATCTATAGTTAAATGAAACATAATTGTATATCTTTTTGTATTCTGCTTATAACAGAACAAAAAGCAGTCCTATCTGGGGAAGAACAAGAACGCAAGATTACAACTTATGAGGAGGCCATGAACAAGATCAAGGACACAACAGGGGTGTCTGACATCAAGGAGGTGGTGCAGCGTTTCTTATCTCAAGGTGACACTCAAAAGCATTTGGAGACACTGAAGTTGAACAATGAAAAAATGCTTGTCAGACTTAAGGAGGAAAAGGTACCACAGACTCAGTTTATTGATTGATTATCAATTTGTGATAGATACACAGACTGACCTAGTTCAGCCTTTTTTAAATGGGGCCCTACATGAACAATGACAAGGCCACACCACAACGCTGGGAGCTTCATACCTGACTTTTTGCAAGAAGAGTATAGTAAATGGGTTTAAACGTCTCCTGCTAACTAGTATAGAGAAGTTGCAGAAGGGGTGACGGGGCTTAGAAACAGTTAATTATCCTTAACTAAGAACATTTTCTAGCCATTTGTGAAGGTCATGGTAAAAGCAGCACTTTCTACAAAATTATTTAAGAACTTGAGTGTATGGCCAGTCTTGAGCTTGAATCAATGACCTCTTGCTGACTTGCATGGTAATGTGGCACTCTACAGCTACCTGAGCTAACCAAGGCTACAGTGTAATGTGGATTGCTTTGGTTTTGCTTTACTTTGGGTTTTGATCACTCTGGAAAACTTTATGTGTATCTCCATCTTTATACTAAAATACTAAAAGGGGCAGCTATAACTTACATGGAAAATTAATCAAATCCTTAACTACAAATGTAATTTGGAACTAATGGCAAATTATGCTGCTTTATGAAGGAGAAACTAAGAATGGAGTATGAAGAGATGAAATACTCTGGAGAAGCTAAGTTGTCAAGGTAAGATACAGTCAGCCAGTATGAAGGATGGATCTATATCATTATCACTAACACCAAACCCTCCCCCCACATCTATGATATTCCCTCTTCTATCCTGTCTTCTATCTCTTGTAAGCTATTTTATTGAGTCAGGGAGGAGGGGTCAAAAGTGCATGGAATGAAAGTTTTTCAATACTTTATAGTTACTTAAAAGTACAGTAATAAAACTTTGAGAGTCAAGATTGCACATTAGCGATTGGTTAGTGTGTGCATTCCATGCCTTTTGACCATTGACCCCAACCCTGTAACTCTCAGTACCTGATTTGTAATTCTCCCCTCTGGCTGTTGCACATTTCCTTGTAAAATTAGTTGCGAGAGTTTGGTGTTAGATCAAGGCAACAAATTCTACTTTATAAGTTTGAATATTCTCATTACCCGTTTGCTGGATAATGTATGGATATTTTAGGGAGAAATTACATTTAATCACTTCTAAAGGAGCCAAGGATTGGCTTACGAGGTTAATTTCAAAGCTATTGTAATCAGCAGCAGAAATATACATGTATGTTGTTTGCCGTTAAGAACTATGGTGGATACTTGGCAGGTGATAAAAATCGTTTTTTTGTTTTTGTTTTTTTCACAGTGGACAGAGAATGCTGGAGGAATTTCAGCAACGTCTCGCTGATGAGGAGAAACGGTGAGAAAAAACTCCCTTTTACTCTTGTTATTGTTTATTTAATCAAACGTACTTCGATATGTACGCTTGAAATATGATAGATGTACAGGCGTGTTTATTTTGTGGTTTGTTTCACTTAATCAGCTGCTCCGATGCAAAAGACCGTCAAGAAAGAGCCAATAAGACTCTTGTCAATGTTAAAGCTGGAATTGAACATCTGGCTGATAAGCTGCAACACTTGAAAGCAGTAGGTATAAGCTGTAAGCAAGTAAGCTCCTAGAAAAGTAGATGTCGTCATTTAAATCGTCTGCGTAAACTTTATGTACGTTTTCAGGGGGTACAGAATGGTTAGTATTTAAAACTTGATATATTATTGTTGTAAAGCCTCAGTGGGAAGTTTTCAGCGCTCAGTTTTAATCTCCCGCGCTTTCGCTTGTCGTTCGTTCTACAATATCCCGTACTTGCCCCATGTTTGCATTCTGCCCGTCTGTCCACCTCCCCCTTCAGAAGCCTTCCGTGTCTTTTACAATTACCAGCAGTGAGCTATACATTGTAACTCTTTTTAAAATTTTCTCCCCCTATCCTTCCCAGTTACTTTTTTTTTTTTACTCAATTTGCAGTGGGTCCATAGTTTTCCAACTTGAATTGTTCCTTACACTTCACCCTCCAAAATCTCCCGCGCCTTTGTGATGTTGTTTTTTGTTTCTGCGTGTTCTCCACATGCCATGTTCGTTAGTGATCACGTGCTCTCTCGCCACTGTTAGCTGTGACGTGTCATTGCTTTCCCGCCCGTTTCGCCCATTGGGTAGGTTTTGGTACCCTTTTTTGAGTCTGTCACGTTGTACCGTGCTTGCAGTGTAAGCGAGAAAAAAGATTCAATGAGTTAAAGTTGCTGAAAATAAAATCTTGTGCAGTAGCCAGTGTAACAGTATTATAATCACATTTCTTACTTTTCTCGCCGCAAATCCGGAACCTCGTGTAAGTTGCTCTCGCTAGTGTAGCTTATCTGAGGTAGTAATTCAACTTTTTAACCACATCCTATTGTCACTTTAGCCTAAGGGCCACGTACCGCAGGCTCAGTTGTCCCCAACCTCTGACGAGTATATCTTAGACTTACTCGGCACGTGTGAACAGAAGCTACTCAAACTGACCGACGACTTAGGTGGAAAAGATATCAGCGATGTCATGAAAGAAATGGAGGATGCTGAGGTAAATTTAGATTTCTTTTGACGCACACATATTCTTTTGGAAACCATAATTACTATGACTCTGGAATAGCAGAAATATTTTCTTTTCATTTTAAAACTTGCGTGAACAAAAAGTTAGTTTTGAGATTATTTCCATCTTCGGCCTCGCCTTTTCCCTCTGTTAAATTCAGTTCATAAAGGAGATATTAAGACACCAAGAAAAACAGAGCTAACTGCGTTTTTTTTTTTTTTTTGTTCTTGTAGTTCCGCGCGACAATGGAGAACAAGTTACCACAGTATAATACCCGAGTCAAGCTACCCACCACGTCCGATCGAATGGCTGTGTATGACGGTAAGTTGATAATCATGAAAGAGGCCAACAAAAGGTTGGTGTGTGTCATAACGGTTAACCTTAAACACCCTAGCATCAGTTTGCAAATTCTCCATACTGTTCTCTATACATTTCCTGTGGTACTGAGTAGGAGAATTTTTTGAAAATCAAGAAATGTTTGAGAGGGTGGTCATTTCCTGCATAATAACCTTAATGTTTGATTCTTTAGTTAAAATGTATAGAGAAGTTAAATGGTAGTCACTCATGGTAGTCACTCATAGGGATTAAAGAGTTAAACCTAATTGATCCACTTTTGCCTTTTCTATCTGTGTTCATATCCTCCATTCTTTTTCCCTCTTGGTTTATAATCATCTCTTTGGTGTCTCTCTCTGTTACGAAACTAAATATTTTGTAATCATTTACAATCCGTGTCAGTCCTCTCCATTCTAAGCCATCCGTGTTCCTTTTTGGTCTAAGTTTATTACTTCTCTTTTTGTGTTTCTCTATGTTTTCAAACTAATCTGTTTTAGTCATGTACAATCCGTGTTAATCATGGTCTTTTCTGTTGACACTTGTTCTTCGTGGTTTCATTCCTGCCTCGACGTTGTTTATCTACGTCAGCAAATATTTTTGCAAGTCTGATTTTCATTTAAATGCATTTCTCGACGAGGCAGAAAATCCCTTGAAACACTGAGTTCGAATTGACTCTGTGTTTCTGGGAAAGTGTTTCTTTTAACTTTATCGAAGTATCAAATATTGTGTGGTAAGGCGACAGAGAATGAGTTTGGTATCTGAAGTAGAGGCTTTTCTCAAAATTATTTTAAGAATCATTGCCGCATGATTCTGTTTTCTCAGGAATGACAAGTTCGTTTGAAAGTGATGGTCTAGGTTTTGTCCAAACCGTATTTTGTATTAAAATTTTGTATACATGTATATATAATTTTAGATGACGAGGACAGCGGTGAAGATGAAGATGTTCTCTCTAGAAACGCAATCAAACGCTACTCACAGCAGCTCGTGGATTCAAAGACGAAGAAGCATAAACCACGCAATAGAAAGAGGAAAACTAAACAATGAAACTTTGGAGAAAATCTAAAGATTTGTAATCATGTATCGGACTTTCGAAAAGTTTAGCACCGTTTTGATTACGTATACTTTGATCCTGTATTATATCAGCAATAAAGTAAAGTTAGAGTTGAATTTGGCAATTCTATTTAATTGGAAGGTCGTGTGACCTTATTTGCTTTTATTTTTTTTATGTTATTTTAAATATATATGCCGGTATCTTTCGAGGATGTTGAGGTGTGACTCCCTCGATTAAGTGGCTTGACAGAGCCTTCTTTCTTGCGAGAAATACTCGTTCATGTGGCGAAAGAAAAAGACGACTTAGCGCCTCCTTCCTCAAGCAGTCAGATGCAAAAATAAAACCAATCAAGACTTAATCGCGGACGCGTTCCCGAGGCTTCAAGAAGTTTAGTTGTCATAATTATAAGGTGTCATTGGCTCCCGATTTTACGATCGATTAGCTATCTCAGTTGTCCATTTTGGATGTGGTACAGCACATCCTTCTTGCGTACAATTCAAGTGTTCCAAGATAGCTTACATTCAATTATCCACGGCTGGGTTTCGCTTGAAAGGTGAATCGCTGTCAACTTGTGAATAAGAGTGACAAAAGTAGATTCTAAACATTGGTGTAAGCCAAAATAGGCCAAATTCCAGAGCAGAATACAAAATGAATACCCGGAAGGATTAATTTCGCGCTTTCTTCCAAATGCAAATATGTAGAACCTTACCCTGAGAACAAGACCCCGCTTCCCGAAACGAAAACAATTGATATTTTTAAAACATAGATACCAGCAATGTAGGAGAAATAGGAAAAAAAAACTTACTGGGTCGCATCCTAGCGGTTCATCACGATTCTTTCGTTACGAAAGAGCCACGTGTCTGAACTTGAGAAATCTAGGGCATCTATAAATCCGGTTATTAATCATAGCCCCTTGAGTAAATCCTCTAGCGGAAGTCAGCCAGGAAATTGCTAAATTGATGGAAACACCATCAAAGGACCCGACCATTTATGCTCAGGATTACGGTTTCCGATCCCCGGAAATGCTGCTAGTATCGTGTTATTCCGCGAAATGCTTATATAAACTCGGGTTGCCCTGCTTTATATTTCTTTTCCCCCATTTTTGTTTCACGCCAAGGTTAAACCTTCAAAAGATGTAAGCTTCTATACAGCCTTCCGAACAACCAAGTGGCAGCTAGCTATCGAGGCAAACGATGTTCCTTATTCTGCGTCATTTACTGTATATTGGGATATATTTTCCCCTTGAACTATATTTTTCCCTTTTCATTGAACTTTATTGAGATTTTCTGACCGAGATGTAATTAAGAAGTGAAATTTTCAGGCCTTTATTTATAAAGTTCACAGATTTTGTTTGTCTTGTGTCAACAATAATTAACCACGAACACATGGTGTGGTTTGCACGTGACTAGACTGGCGGACTAAAGTATTTTTCCAACTGAAATTTTATACTATCATGTCTTGCACAACATGATGGCTAAATAATTGATAAAATATGATTGTTTGCTTTGTAAAAATTTGGAGGCCTCCGAGGCAGGACATCGGGTCCTTTGAAGATTGGCGAAAATTTGGCGATCCGCAAAAATTTGGCGAGTTTTTTCAAATTGGGGGTCGCACTTGTATTAAGCTTCTTGTTGACAGATTTTTTACGTAAACAAACAAACAAAAAAACTCAAGTGCGATCTGGGTCAATAATGTGGTTATTTCGAGACTTCATGATTTTCTTGTCAGCTTTGAAGTGTTTAGCTCTTAAAGTTCAAAGTGCTTCAGTATTTCTTCTATGACCTCTAATATCGAGTCGTGCGAGATTTAGCTCTCCCTAAAAGTTTCTGCAGGTTTTTTAGTCTCATCGTCAAAGTTTCTTATAAACTGCAGATCCGAAGTAAACAGGCATAGGAATGGAAGCTGATCCGGGGTTACAAAATAATGTCCTTTTTTGGTTTTCCTGTCCGCCTACACAGTTTTATTGAACAGTTTGCTATTGGCTTAGAGCTACTGTTCTTTATCTCTCAGCAAGTCCTTTTCTGTACTTTGCAGGATGTTTAGGGATGGTTCTCCTTCCTAGAAAGCCAGAACATGTCAATAATTAAGGTATTTTGGGGTCCATTCGTTAGTTTTATATCAGTACTGCGTCTCACGATCGTTGGCAGAATAGCTTATATTGAGCTAAAACAGCACTAACAGTGGCATATGGAGTAACATATGGGAAAAAACAAAAGGATAAAGCCTTCTAGCACAGTTCAGACGCTCGGCGCCTCTGCATGTCGCGTGGTTTCTTCAGCTTTTCGTTTTGCGTTCCATTATGTTTGATGAAACACGGTGTGAAATGATGACCGAACTTCTTAAGTTGAAAAACTTTTATTCTTCGTAGACAAGCTTCAGGTGGACGTGTTTAACGGAACAATATTGTTTTTGTCACTAGTAAGCATCCTAGCTACTTCAAAGCCGATTTCATTTCGGCAATCCATGTAAGTTAAGAAGTTCAGGTATTGTCAAGCAGGAATCATTGATTTTTACTACTCTTAATCTAGTTTGCCAGGCATATTATTACGTGTCACTTAACTGTGACGATTTTTAAATGATAGCACTATGAATAAGTTTTACCACAAAATTTTTTATGTGTGTGGAATTCGAACAGTTCCAAAATACTTAACTAAGCACCTCAAAGGAAACTAAAATGCGATTGAGGTTAACTCCGTTTATGACAAATTTCCTCGCAGACGGAGCAAATTTCCCCTGTTTCTGTGTGGGTCTTTTCCTATGATATCGAAACAGTTCGTCTTCTTTCCAAGCGGTATATTAGAAATAGCGGATGTGAGCGAGTACGTTCATGAGTTTGTGAACAACTTTTTGAGGACTGTGCATAATGGTGTTCAGTCAGAACGACTGAGTTAGCCGAGCTTAGGTCTTCACCTCTATCTGAAGGCTGGAGTCAGAAACTGGTTTAAAACTCTAGAAAATTCGTTTGGTATGAAATTTCATGCGGGGACTGATAAGCGTTTTTTTCACTTTATGTCTGGCTCCAACAAATGAGATTAGTCAGATTAGCACTTAGCCCACTAACCTGTGGCTGACTATTTATACACAGTTAATACTTAGTTCGTTCGAATTAAGCTCAATTAAATCTGGTAGGAAAAGATTAAATACACCCTTGTACTCATCGTTTGAAGTTTTCAGCCTGAAATCCGTGATACAGAAACTTGATACACGAGAAAAAGCGGATAACTTCATTTGCTAAATTAACAAAGTGTGCTCAGTCACTGCACAAAAGATCCACCCAAATTTTGTGCTAAGTAGGAATAAGCATAACTTAATCAGGTGTTTTAGTAAAACTGTGACATATTAAAAAAAAGAAATTGGCCCTGTAGGTAAAACAGCATGATATTACGCCGACAAATCAGACTTCACGCTCTTAATCGGATGAGAAGTGAACGAGCTGATGAGAACTTCATCGCCAAAACCTTACGGATGTTGATATAAGCGCGTAGTGTAGGCCCAAATTTTGAAATGATAGATGTATCAGTATCATAGAGGCGTTTTCGTTTTTTTATTGTTGCAACAGAAAAGACCCCACGTATTAACAGGAGTGTAAATTTTTTCGTTTATAGCCTCTGCCTCATTTTAACCACTAAAAAACAGGCATCTGTGAACAAGATAGTGAGCAGAAGTTTCATCTGAACCCTGAGAGCACCGTGGCTTACATCAAAACAGTGGAGTGATAAAACGTTTTGAACCGCTGATGGATATGCCTTCAGAGAAGCTAATCTAAGTGAGTTTCATTAATAGTGGTTCAAAACACTCTTCTCGGGAATGTCCTCTTTAAGGTATATTAGTGGTCAGAATAGTTGCGACAGCATTAACAAAGTTTGGGAAAAAACAGAAATATTTTAGGCCCCACAGTTTAGTTCAGTTTCTTACTGTTTGTGTTTAAGCTGGCGTTCGCGTTCAAACTGAAATTTTCATATTTTTTTTTCATTCAATACCCCGTGCTGTCTTGTGCTGTCTTGTACAGCTAGAACGATGCAGCAAAACGAACGCATTATTTAATTCAGTAATTCAGCATACACAGAGACTATTTTAACATGTTCTAGCGTCTGAATATTGTCGAAACATTAGTAAATGTGAATTTGCACGGAAACGAACTTGATTTTGTGTCAAAATCTGCCGGCTTTAAGGCACCAATTGGTAACGCGGAAAGACGAAAAAAACAATGATCCTGAAATCTTAATTGTAAGATAACAAAGAAGGTGACATTCTAAGGTACACTAACACTTCAATGCCATAATAACAAGATGGAGAAAGGGCTAGAATGTACGACATCACTACAATCATCTTCGCGGCTAAGGGCAAAGGGGCCGATTTCGTTGTTGTGGTTTCTCTAACCAAGCATTAGAGGTTAATAGTTCTTGAAGATGACAGGACAGATAAACTCTTTACCTTGAACTAAACAACATAGCATCATAACAATGATAACAATTTACTTTGTCGAACGAACGCCGAACTCAACATTTAGTATCTTTCTGGATCAATGTATCGAAATGTACCAACAAGATGCTTTCCACATAATTGATCGAAACATTGTATAGAGCACACTTGTCACATATGGACTTAGTGTAGTGTATAACCTAGATATGGAGAACTGTGCAAGGAGAGGACGTCGTTAAAAATGAGGTATATATATAGTCGTCAACATGAATACCAGTTTTTTGCTTGAAAGTCCTTAGAAGATCCTAACGCTGAACTGAAATGGCCACATATGGTCATCCCATTAGTCAACAAATATATCACGTTTTTAAAGGAAGTGACTGATAAACATGGACTTTGTTTCCTCTGTATTGGGACTAGACAATTGTTTTTTTTAAGGAATTTATTCGCGCAGTCACAGCCATACGGTTCATGTAACGTTTTATCCATGTAATTTTTCTCAAATTAAATTGTCTCGGGATCCTACGCCGGCGACAAATCGGTTCAAAATCACTGTTCTCTCACGTTGAGAATTTCGTTAGAAATACCTGTCTCCCAGGAGCTTTGTTCCTTCTATTTGGCACCTGAATGAAGCCCAGCAGCAAAAAGCAAAAAGTGACCTAATAAATCAAAAAGCAATTCAGAATTCTTGGAATTTAGCGTGAGTAGTTGCGAAATTCGATAAACGTGTAGTTACCCGTTCGTTTGACTTTGAAGCCAATTTCTATTCAGTTTAGAGGCCAGGTGAACAACTTAGGAGAGTGAAAGACACTTCAATAGTTTTAGAGGTTATCAATCAAACTACAAGGGTGAGGAACAGACCTTCATTGGCACCTTTCGTTAGAAGTGCTACTATTATCAACCAGTAAATTTCCTTCTTTACCGTGATAGCAGGAAATCAGGGTACTTAGAAATCGTATCAATAAAAGGTTTATCTCTCTATCACAACGTTATTGTAAAATCCAAAATAGCTCTAACACCGCAACCGAAGATATATTTTTTGTGTGATAGGTGTGGTGTCTACTCTCTAGACAAATGTAACAACATTTTAAAGATATTAGGGTTGAGGCAGATTTTCCGCTTGAATTTAAAATATGGAATTCGCTGAATGTGTTTTTACTCTCTGTCCTTCCATCAGGTATGGAGGACTGTGCTGTTTTTATTTGTCTTTCGTTTTTCAACACATTTGATCGAAAGAAAAGGATGCTTAAGTTGAAAAGGCAACAACAAGGATTTGTGTTCTCAAACTTTATTCAGTTCATACATAATGTAGGCATAATCGGTATAATAAGATCATGCTAAACCAGCAGGATGTTAGATTATTCTCAGCAATACACCGGTTTATTTTAATCCGGAGACGATGACAGTTTTAAAGTAAGGTAACTGATAAAAAATGTATTTCTTCAAATAATAATTGTAAGAAGATTAAAATAAGAACGCAAAGGTGCATTCGGTCTTATCCTAGAAATAATTGAATTAGAACTAGAGTACTAATGTGTACCCTCTCTGCGCTCACGATGGTTTATTTTTAAACCGTTGTCTGGGTTTCCAATATTTATTCTACAATAATTGTAAGAAGATTAAGGAAAGAATACCAAGGTATACTCTGTCTTAGACGGCGTATATTTAACCCGAAGTCAGGGTAACATAAAATCTAATTCAATCTACAACTTATTATAATTAAAAGATTATAACAAGAGTACAAAAAGTACTCTCTGTCCCTGGACGGTTTATTTTTAAACCCAAGTCAGGATAAAATAAAATCTAATTCTACAAACTATGATAAGTAGATTAAAACGAGAATATTAAATTAAAGAATGCTTCCGTCTCGCAACGGTTTACGTATTACTGCGAAGATTGCTTTCATGTTCGGTTTATATATAGTTGACGGAGTCAGTTTGTAAATAAGTGTAACATTAATTTCTTGAGGGAAAAGAATTTTCGCATCCAGACAATACAAATCAGTTGTTAACGCTTAACGCTTTTTCTGATAAATAAAAATGATCCAAACATTGTTTGGAAAAGTAGAAATCTGCAATTAACTGGTAGATGTTACCAGAATGTTAGGAATTCATTCATTGTACTGCTGGAATTGTCATCATGTTTAACTAAATTGCTCGCAACTTCTGGAAAAAAGTATGATGTAATTCCAAATAACAAGAATGATAAGTGTTAGAAAATGAGAGCTGTTTTAGTGTCTGGCATTTTTGGTCGGAGATTTGAAACCCCAAAAGAATCGTTTGAAAGGAAAAATGAACTCACCCAAGTTGAGGGCATTTACCGAAAAATAACCACAAACAAAGGAACACGCGAGATCGAGACTCCGTCATGACAGACTCCTCCCTGCATATACAAAACAAACAAACAAATATCAAAATAAATAGAAATCTATGCCAAGTTTCGAAATGCTTAATTTGCAATTATTGCGAGGAAAAGTTCGTTAAAGGATAATCTTATTGCACATAGCACGCAAATCCAATTGGTCTAGAGAAACGCAAGTCGTTTTAGAACTGACAAATTTTGCCGCAAGCGGCATGGCTTTTAATTTGCAAACAATCTTGAAATACTTTGCGTTGGATTCATACAGAAGGAGTAATGCTTTTGAGGAGCTGACGTGATTGAGTCTTAACAATGCATGATTTCGCCTGTTTTTTCACACATGAAGGATTAGTGTCAGACTGTCTCCCAACAAAACAAAAACAAGACTCGAAATGCTCATTTTTCGAAATTTTAACGTAGGAAAAAAATTCCAAAAATCATTGGACTTTGTTATGATCACTGAACTAGTTGACTATCATCAATTCTTTTTTATTGTTACAATGACTATTTGCTCTGGCTTACCTTTATATAATCTTCAAGCCTTAATTGCAATTGCAGTTTAATTTGGGTTAATGAGATCCTGATTAATTTTTTTTTTCTATCGATTAGTGTTGATTATAAAAATGGTTATTGAAAGAGAGTTTCAAGTATTGTTGCAACCATTGGAACTTTGTTTTCTACTCAGTCTAGACAAACTAGTAGATCATATCTAAATAAACACGGACTGAGTAGTTCTGGTCACTTCAGGAATAAATGGAGAATTGAAAGGTGCAGTGAAGATTTACATTACTCGAGCAACTCGTCTAGGAGACCCGAAGACATTTGGATAAACAGCCTTAAATCGCTTGCTCCGGAAAGCGAACAGAAATGGATTTAAGGCCGAGTTCAGATAACCAATCATTACAAGAACAATCCTGGCTTCACTCGGGATTGCTGCTGCGCATGACTCGCACAAAACAGCCACAATGCTGACAGATGAGTAGGGAACCCAGCAAAGGAAGATAGCGCACACAAACATTGTGGTCGTCTTAAAGGCTCGGACGTTTCTAAAAAAAATTTTCCGTTCTCCTTCAGAAGGCTCGTTGTCGTTGTTCTCAGCGCGTTGACTTGTGTTGAAATTCTTCAGCTGCCTACACACCAGGCGGTAAATCTTGAGGTGAATGCCACAAGCGATTGTCAGCGGTAGAATAAAATTCACGGTAGAACTGAGGGCAGTATACACCGGCGGGAAAGGAAACCAGCACACATTGAATATAACGAACTTCCGTTCTGTTCGCCAGCCCATGATAGGGAGTAAGGCAAACAGGATGCTGTAAAGCCAGATCATCAGACTAATAACGATGGCTCTCTTATGAGTCATGAACCCTAAGCGACGATAACGATTGAGAGGATCGCTGAGGCTTTTGTAGCGATCCAAACTCACGGCCAAGAGAGTCAAAATCGAGGTCGGAACGGTAATGAGGTAGACCGTGATCCAGGCCCTGCATATCGCCTCTCCATGGTTCCAAACCCATCCCAGAAAAAGCCCCTCTATGTCAAATGGCATTGCCAGGGTCGCTGTGAGAAGGTCCGATGACGCCAAGGAGAAAATGAAGACATTTGTGGGCATTTTGCGCAGGTTTTTGTTGATAAGTATACCCGAACAAACCATGATGTTGCCAATGACAGCTACAGCCACGATTAAGATATGACACGTCGCCACTGGATACACGAAGCTGGAAGGCAAGGGAATAGGCGATTCTGTGACGCCTTGGTCTTGCTCTGCAGTGTTGTTCATGTTAACCGCTTCTTCAAGGAAGTTTCTGTAACGATTGAAAAAATCTTTCAGTCAGCAGGTTATCACCTTCTCAAAAAACACTCCTTCGCTCTGTGTTCAGTCATATAATATAACTGCATTGCACCCGAAAAGAAAATCGAAGTATGACTTACCAAGAGTAATCTACCGGTCAGAGGAATTGCATGCAAAGCTCGACAATGTCGGCAATCTGAGATTTAATGCTTGCGTATTTGAACAAACAATGATTTTTATACCCCTAGTTCGGCCCCTGGGAATGCGACCTCACTAAGCCTATTATGGTAAAGTTAGGTCACGCATCTTGTACATTACAAACGACCCATTCACAATGGTCAACGCTGAGGTTATAACCTGTTTGGTTGGTCTGGCGTATAATATATTTTTTTCGGGAAGTCTGTTGTTTTTTTAGACGAACTAAATTGTGAAGCTCCCATGGAGAGCAAAATCAGGTGGCCTCCAAATAACCCTGCATGCGCCAATCGAGGTTTTCTTTACCAATTCGCTTTTTCCTTTTCAAGGTTTTAAGCTCGTGGGTAATATTGAGCCAACGAGGCCATTAAAGTTATACGTTACAGCTGTTGTTTACGATTAGACTGGAATTCTGGATGGTACTATGATATACATTTCCGGTGAGTGATTTCAATAAAAATTTTATTCAAATTGGCCAGTTAGCGTTTCGACCGTCTTTGACTTGACCACGGGCTGATTTTAAGCATAATACCTGCTATGATACCTGAAAATTCATTCAAATTCATACTATTAGAAATAAACCGCGTGTATCTGCTTACAAACTCACCTGCTTTCTAAACTCGCACTAAGCCGGCCGGGTTTTTTCGCATGCGCGTAATAAAACTGCACGAATGTAATAAGCACAAGGTACGCTTGAAAAAGTAAGGAAAAGGTATTGCAAAACTATGAAATTTAAGTTGAATTAACGCTAATAATGCATAAAATATTCAGTCACAGTAATTTAACTCCCAGGTCACGAAAATCCATTCAAACTGAAATTAACCTCTCAAGTGTTAAATTGCACATTAGAAATGTCGGAGAAATCTGTTTTTAAAGAATCTTCCCTTTTCCTGGTGACAACTAAGTCCTCAATTACTTTTGTGAAAGCTTAATGCACCAAATTGCTACTTTAGGTGTCGACTGCTCTCTGTATTTTGATCATGACTAGATAACACGCTCAAATGAATGCACTCTTCTAAAGAAAAAAAAATTGGGCGCTTATTCAGCATGCCGCGACTTCAGGACTTAGAACCGTCTGGTGGGTGCATGACAGCTGTCGTCATAAAATCCTTCACGAATGCAATGATAGTGTTATCCAGGCTACCTCCTCTGTGATGCTATAATTAATTTAGTTCAATGCGGGAGGAAGGATCTAGATATTTTAACCCTTTTGTTTACACTTGCCTTCAGTTGAAAACCAGCGAATGACCTCAGATGTGGTTGCGAAAGCGTCAAAAAGCCTGAATCGGATATGGTGCTCAGGACACGAAAGTTAAAACTCTATCGATTTATCAGTCTTAATATAGCTTATGAGAAAGTTGACAGCAGGGAATTTAAACCTGTTGAAAGTGAAACTATGCAAATTATGGCCAGGTCACTGGAAACAGAATCTTCTACAAATACGTTTTTTATCTCTCTCTCAGACGGTCTAAAGATCACCTTTTTAACACAAACATAGAGAAATACTATTTGATTTAATGATAAGTAAGTTTTAAGGTCAATGCTCCCTTCTTTAAGCGGGGAAATTAGACGAATCTTCTTAATTAATACTCTGCAGACGTAAAGTTAAGACATAAGTTGTGTCTATAGTCCTAGATAGCAAATGCATCGTCTATTAAAGCTTGACAGATTTATTTGCGCAACTTTCCGAAGCATTCCGATCGTGTTGAACCAAATAGCGAATAGAAACTTCTGGTTAATATTAGATGGAAAACACACAAAAATAGTATTGTGTGAGAGCAGGGAACTTCTTATATATAACAACAGCATCTTTACAATCAACCTTGATATTTGCGGGCATTTATGACCGCCCATATCCACCGACTTTGCCGCAAATTAACGAATTAAAGGAAGCCCAAAGAAAATCAATATTTCTGGGTTAAAATCTTGATTCTTCCGTTTTTTAAAAGAGTTTCATGGAAATATTTCCATGTGAAGCTTTAAATGGCAAAACAAAAAAAAAAATGCGTACAGCAAAACGACAAGCAATTTCAATAAGGACATTATACGGTTAAAAACCTAACTTTGACTTCCCATATCTTCTAGAAATGAAACAAACCTGTAAATTCAGCGGACACCAGCAGAACGAACTTAGGCAGACGCTTAACAGAACACCAATGAAACACAAGACCCTGTTGGACATTTCCGGATGATTCTTAGATTGCAGGGAAACTCTGCTTCTTAAGTTGTATGAACTAGCCAGATCGATGCAAATGGTTCGATAACTTATGTACGATACTTTAAATGAAAGACCACAAAACACCAATTTCCACCATACCTTATGATGCGCTAAAAAAATAGCATGCCCATACAAAAAACACCTCCAAGCTATTGATTCGATAAGGTTCGTAGTTCGTGGTTAAACTGACTGCGCGAGACCGAGAAACGTTAACTTCCTCGACATTACGTTGTCTATTTTTAAAATACCTGTCTAAAGCGGATGGTAACGAGCTCCCTGAGGGCGTTCATTCGGCACTATCTTCACTGTGTTTGGACATTTTGCTCTCCATTTTAGTCATTTCGTTTGATCGATGTGTTTTCCACTTAGGCTCTTGACCGCTCTTAATGCAAATATGGTAAAAAATGTGGTTAAAAAAAAAAAAAAACTACTGTAGGCCCAGAAAAACAACTTTAAAACAGAAGACTCGAAATCTTTAGGCTCGGTCCAGGCTTATGATTTTGGGACATAAAAGTTGTTGATACGATCGTGCAGGTTTGAGGTAGTACTCAGAGGTTAACTTTTCTCAGTGTCTAGAGTCTGTGAAAGGTACTTACAATCGCTTTATTTGATTCCTCAGAATTGCTAGACCTAAACTCAATAAAGACAAAAGAAAGGCACTTATATGGAGACAGTAATACGGTGACAACAGAAGCACCGTATCGCTGATATCATGATTATCAATGCTGTTTGATGGACTGTTCTGATAGGTTGAGTATACAGGGAGAGTTTTTGACCTGCGTTGTTCTGTTCGTTAAATTGAAATGAGTTGAAAATAAACACAATGATAAAAATGAAGTCCTTAAAACTAGGCAAAGTAGTAATTTGAAACAGTGGTGATCTAACAAAAATACCACTAGTAGTTTTCTGCAAGGGTCTTTTCTTTCACGACAACACCGCAACTAAATTTAGCTCGTTCAAATGGTGGCATGTTGGGAGTCTTTCCAACAATGATATTATCTCCTCAGGCCAGCTTAGACAAGCGGGAAACGAAAGCAAAGAGAAAAGTCATATCTATCACGCGCTCCTAACCTCGCGCAGGTTTCGTGTTTTGCGCGTGCCTCGCGTCTGTCGTAGCTCGCTAGGAAACGTGTGTTCTGCGAACTGCGAAATTGATTTGGACTTTGAACGTTTTCACCTCCATTTCCCACATTACAAAAGAGAAAAATTAAACGATTATTTACATCCCCTTATTCACGTTGCATTTCTTTAAGACCTGCTCAACGCGTTTGTAAAAGTGTTCGTTTCACCTTGCATCGTAGGTTTCAAAAACTCAAACAACGCACAACACGAGATTTGAGACCTCCGCAATGCCACATGAGCGGAATTTTACTAATCAAAATACCGCAAGACTTAAGTTAAACCCAATGTCCGCTTTGATCTGGCAATTTACCAACCTGTTTTCAACAAATACTTTAGCATGTGAATCATAAAAGCTTTAAAATTGTAGACTACGAAGGTACAAAGTTTTAACTAGAGTATAAAGCCCTTTTTCGAAGTCTCAAGAACTGCTGAGGTCAAATCACTAAGATCCTTACCGGTTGGATTTGACGGTGAAAAAAAAACGTAATTAAGGTCGCCTCGCCTCCGATTAACATCTCCAAGTGATCCTAACACTCAAGCTCTCTTGGAAAAATTCAGAACATTTTGATTGTTGGTCCCGGTTAGCCTTTGACACGCAATTAACCTTAAGAATGAACAATGAAGGTAGAAAGCAGAACGTTGATCTAAGCAAAGGCAAAGTATTTATAAACCGTGTCACACTTGTTCTACCAAACCTAAGGCGCGAGGACTTAGTTAAGTGGTCTCGGGTAGCTGAGACAACCCTTCCCCCCATCTAGCCATCGAGACAATTTTACAGAGCGCTCCCAAGAAGTTGTTAGTTTTAACAGCTGCTCTCAGCACCCATCAGCATTTCCCACAACAGCCTGACAGCCTTCACATCTATCATAGTGGTGAACGACGACAATAATTAAAAACAACTGGGGGCTTGTATAGCGCAAATAAACACATGAATAGGATCGAACGCTCAATATAAACCGATGGAAACGATAAGAGATTTTATTCCGGCTTGCTTAGCGAGCTGAAGTGTTGATATGAGGAAAAGTTTTCCCGTCTGACAAGCTTATCTTGTCGAGGCCAGATAACTCGCCCACCCGAGTTGTCTCGGGCTAGATCCGACACGATCCCGGCATTCTCATGTAAACAGTGGCTTAAATATTTCAAAGAATTAAGTGAAAAGTTAGCTGATGCAGGATCGCTCGGGGGTAAGGATATTTCATGTACTCGAAAACATTTAAATGGGCGCGTGGTTCTACTGTAAAACAATCTTCTCTACGTCTTTATGTTGTCACGGTAAGAAGAGTAGCGTTACATCACGAAAACGGCGTATTGCGAAAGACTAACTCTGCATGAGGGCGGAAAGGAATCTTCGATCGGCAAACAAAGCGTTTAGGCATCATATATCCAGTTATTACTACCTCAAGGTTTATATTCATCTTAGAAGCACGTTTTTTTTTACTCAAAGAAACACTCAGACTACAGTGCTTCTTTTATGCCGAAGTGGAGTTTTTTCCATCGAAATCGTGTGGTAATCGCATCTGATAGTTGACTACAAAGCCACAAAGATACCAACAAAAAGACTTAATGAGAGAGATAAAGACTGAAGTATACTCACAGAATAATCTCTGCCGATTTCTCCTTCAAGTTGATGCAAATTTGCACGTTCCAGTAAAAAAAATAAACCCGGCGTCTCGTGAAGTGGCAGCCGTCAAGTTATCATCAAATATATCATGTTCCAAGCTTGGTTACTCGGTTTATATACTACAGATCAGCTGACCATGGAACCTCCGGAATCTGGGATATCCATTCTTTTTTGTACAAACAAAAGTAACAAATTAAAAATAAGACAAAACCAATTACGAAAAACCTATAAACTGATCGAAATTTTCGTTTCCGGGTATAAAGAAAATTGCATTTAACATGTTAAAAGAGAAATATGGTTTAATCGTCCTTGATGTCTAACTAGAGACCAATGGCGCGACATTCTCCGCGGGATATGCGCGATCAAATGGGCCGGGTCACATGGTATCAAGACGCATGGTACCATTCTATTTCCCCGATCAACATGGCGGAAAGGAAGAGAAAATGTACGAGGTTATAAAGTAGCCTGTTTATGGCCATATCATATGACGATCCTTTTTCATACTTAGAACTTTCTCCATGTCAAGATTGCACCAAAGCAGGCTCTACTGTCTGCTCCAACCTCGTTCCAAGGGTCTCTCTTCCCCTCACGAAGGAAGAACAGAGACCCTGGTAACAAGGTTGCTGTTCAAGAGCAATCAGAACTTACATAGACCAAAACTAGAAAGTTGCTCTTTGTTTCTTTACTCGGAACTGGTTAGATCAAATGACCACCACAAACCGTATAATATTAAGCCAAGTTTTAATAATTATTCGATCTAAAAGAAATACATTTATAATTCGCAATTAGAACAAACGCAAATCAAGTCTTTATCTTGTAATTAAATTCAAAAACTTCAATATAAACTTACTTCTGTGGCGGGTCGTTACAACAGTCTCACTTTACGGGTTAGCAGATTCTCCAGGTAAGCGGATTTAGAGACAGAAAAACGATAACAAAATAACTTCTTTCTCACTTCGATTCTGCTGAAAAACTGACTTAAAACATAATAATCTAACGCTTTTAAATCAATCTATTGAATTAATGTCAATCACGATTCTTGTCACCGAATAAATATGTCAACACGAGGCAACGCCTATTTATTAAACGAAACACTCTTAATTGACCGCTATGACCGCTGGATAGCATTGTTATGTGTGTTTGTTCGACTGTTCAACCTGTTACTGGACTACTGCTGCTGAAAACTTGAAAATGATTGCTTTTTAAAATCTAAAACTCAATAAAAACGCCAAACATTATAAATTTGTCGTGGAATTCTCTTTCATAGAGGACTTGTTTAAAACGTATGCGTATTGATGACGCATTGTGAAAGAAGACTCATACGGAGATTTTATTTGATTCGGGGATAGTCTCGCTGTTGGACACCAAGTAACCTATATAGGATCAATATTTATTCCTGGGGAAACCGGACCAAAGTCTCTGTTTTTCTTCATCTCAGAGTTAGTAAACCACGTGACAGGGTATTCAACAATGACATAACGTTTCCAAAAATATTGTAAAAAGAGGGAAGCGAGGGAATGATGGGGGGAAGGTTACATAATCTCTTATAATCGATTAGGTTGTGAGTTAGCTTTTACTTCGGAAGTTTAATCAGACTGATATATCGATCTCGCAAAAGAGAAGGACATCTTTTCACAGTCCAAATGGCACTTTCTTGCATAATGCAGGGATTAATTTTCCCTCTCGTTTTAGATCATAAGCCTTACTGACTAACGTTTTTTAGCAAACGTTCTGAATGGTGAGCTTTTCTCCTACACAAACCAAACAAATATAACTAAAGGGTTTAAATACCTACACAGATGTTCTGGTTTTTTTTAAATTGAGGTGATGCAAGGAGAAATTTACAGAATTCGAAAGGAAATAAACAGTAAAATTCTTGGCAAAGTCTTCATTTTAAAATAAAGAGAAAAAGGCTAAGGAAATTAAGGACTTAACCCTTTAACTCCCGTGAGAGGCCAAAACAGAATTTCTCCTTACATCTTGAACACAGTATTAGGCAGACAAGTGATGAGAATGAAGGAAACTATCAATGAAAGGATTATTTGTTGACCCAATACCAAAATCTCAGAACTAACATTACAAGAATCGTATGGCAGACAGTAAAGAGAATTACAAACGAGATCAGTCTTGGGAGTGAAAGGTTTGACAAGGTATAGCAATTAAAGACAAAAAAACAACCTCGCAAGCTCTTTGCTCTTCACTGATTAACAACATGAAGCTTTATTTGCGTGAGCGTCTATCACAATTGGACATTTTGACCCGTGTAAGTGATCATGACAAAACTGTTTTTCTATAGAACAACGATGATAACTTCGCGTGCGGGAAATTAGGTCATTCTATATAATTTATGAAGCTTTGCAAATAAGCCGGAAATACGTCGATCAATTAAGAAACAAATGGATTACAATTAGGAAATAACATTTTGAAATTTAGGAATTCATTACTTTCACTTTTTTTCGCTTTTGTTTCATTACTTTTCCACAATTGCAAAAGACTAAACCCTTAATGTTAGAGCTAATGCTATAAACAAAGTTATTGTTTAGGTCGCTATTGCTGTTGTATATATCCTGCTTGCTCCTAGTCAAAGAATCAGGGTATTGGAAAAATATATATTTAACAGTGATCGCCTGCACCCAGACCTAACTTGCACGGTTATTTCAACCTACAGAAAAAACTTATCATCCAAATTAAAGTGGTTAAAACAATTGACACAGTAAAATAAATAAGATTATCAAATGCATAAGTCTCAGAAGCCGAACCATTTTGCTGAAATTGTTTCAATCGCATTTTCATTAAGATTCTTGCATATACACAGAAATACTAAGTATGGTTAATTTTTCTTTGGCGATTCTTATGAACAACACTGGGGAGTCTTCTTTAAATAGTTTTGCCTCCGTCATCTGTTTGATAGTTACACACTCCCTTCTTGCGTAGCGCGGCTGTTTTCAGCTGCCACACCTTGCTGTGATGAACCGCGACAGATCTTCCTTAAACAACAGCAAGCCAATGGAGACAGTTGTGTGTACCTTTTCCTGAATTCCCTGTCGATGCAGGCGTAAATAGCCGGCTTAATGACCCCGTACATCGCATCAGCCATCTGTGCGCAAAACGAAATGTACACGTTTTGGGAATATGACAAGTAATTCATCAAATAAGGCAGCAGCAGCAAAGACAGAAGGGAAAGAGCGATGAGAGGAACTGACACTGCAACCACGATTTTTGCTTCGGTTCGCGTTTCTTTGAATTCCTGTTCGCAGGCAGATTGACTGGTGTTACTCTGTCCATCTCCAACATCAACAATTCTTCCGGTTTCCGGGGGGTGTTCTGAAGAACTCTGTTTTTGGCCTTCGCAGATCAGTGTCACTTCTCCTTCATCAGGCTTCTCGTCGCACCACTCTCCCGAATGATCCAGTTCGATGCCGTCATCATCCCTCCTCTGTGGTTTTTTATTTGATTTGTAAGCAATTTTTGTGGATCGTGCTTGCGCATTCATTTCCTTCTTCCTTCGTCTAACTCGGAAGAACACGACGACGCATAGAATCGTTAGAATTAAGTCAACAGTGACGTCAAAAGCGAAATCAAGTTGGATGGTCATTATTATTCCCTCCGGACTTACTCCACATGCATTGTGAAAAACCCCTCCGAACACAAAGTAGATGGAAGAGAAACTTGTTGCCATCACCCACAGGAAAAACGTCATAATTGCGCTGAATTTTTTAGTATGTTCCTTTCGACCTGTGGAGGAGGAATTTCGTGTGGCGTCCCAGGCTAGAGCGACTAAGATAAGCGCAATAACCCTGGAAGCAATTTCAGAGAAGGTAAGGTACATCTTACACAGAGCATTGCCAACAGACCAAACGTCTTCAGCTTGGGGAGAAAATGCGGCATAGGTCATTAGGTAAATAAATGCAGCTTTTAAAATATCAGCGCAAGCTATGCTGATCAACATATAGAGAAAAAATGTTTTGTTGCGACCAATTCGAACGTTCTTGCACAGAATATAGAGGGCAAGGCTGTTCTCTATCAAACACAATACGAAGAAAATCCCTCTCAGAACTTGGACGAATTGGGAGCTGATCGGATCTTGAGGCGGCATAGGAGCAGCATAGTCATTAACATAGTCTGAAGTGTTCCATTGTATGGGCGGAAACGTAGCGTAAAGTACAAGCGTAGCAATTTTGTAATCTGTTGTCCCCTGTGACGAATTGTCCATTTTCATTCTCCATGCACTGCTGCGTCCAGTTTATGGACAACAAATGTTTTTAAATGCTCTCAAATGGCCATTAAGGGTTTTGTTTGTTTTTGATTTCCAGTTGTAATAGGCACTGATTGCATGCCAATTTTTTTCCATTACAAAAAGGTCACGTTTCCGCAAACGTTGATAAGAAATCGAGATGTTTAATCGTGCATTGATGTATTACTCCACTTGTAGTTCGCCAACGAATTCCAGCCGAAATGCTTCCCATCGTAGAAGCATTTCTCAACATCGGGCTCATGCTTTTAATTTTTACATCTGAATGCAATCTACTTCCATTAATTAATTTGGTGAAAACACATGTAGGTATACTGAACGATCCGCAAATACATTGGACGATTCCATCATGATCATTTTATCAATTTCTATAAGAAAAGTTTCCACCCAACGTTGATTTCACGCGAAAAACCGCTATCTCAGGAAGTGATTCGTGCAATATCCGTTTTCCACGTGAAGTTTAACTAAATGTTCCATGGATCAGTTACTTATTTTCTTTACCTCATGTGCACTTAAAAACCCATTAAACGCTTAGTGCGATGTCGGTGTTGTTTCCGCTCGAAGTTTTAAGAAGTCAATGTTCTTTCGCATGATAATGAAAATAAACATAACTTAAGTGACTATTCCTCTCCCAATGGCCTTTTTTTAAGGCCCGTGAAAACAGGAAGTGAAACAAATATTTCATTTTTTCTTAAGTGGTGATCTATCAAATAACTTATTCACAAAGAGGCGGACCGCTAAGCTTTTCCTAGGCGGGGCCTAGATCTGTCACGCAAGCATGCGTTGCGAGTCAAACTCAATGAAAACCAAAATACAGCCTACTGAATTTTTCCTATTCCTAGCAACGACATAAAGAGTTGATTGCCCTTTATTTGCTGCAAGAAACCCTTTTTTTACTGCATGTGGTTATTCAACCTTTTTTGCCGAATCGTCTCTGAACCAGGGGAAAAAGAAAATGAAATGAAGATGGTCTTCTAAGTCCATGGAAGAAATGCAAACTTTTCTACGAGTCCATCGCAGATCTTAAATAATACTGTTTCAATTCACAGGCAGGCTTCTTTAAAATAAAGAGCTTTAAGGCGAAAACCAACAAACAATTAAGTGAAGTGCCTTCCGGATAAATGAGATAACTTGGAATGGAAACGACCCTGTTTTCTTAAGGGGGTAAGTTTCTAAAGAAACTATGGTGCTGCATCGGTGGGAGAGTATAACAGGTAATTTAGTGTTAACAACTGAGTTGAAAACGTAAATTGGCCACCGTAAAGAGTTAAAAGGCTGACGTTTCGAGCTTTAGCCCTTCGTCAGAGCGATTAGTGGAGTTTTGGGTTGTGTGTGGGTTTGTATGCAGAAAATTGGGCTTCGCTATTGGTGGGAATATGATGACGAGAAAACAAGAATAAATTAGCGGAATGAAACGCGCTCGTTGATACCGTGGGGATTAAGAGTGCCGATTTAGAAAATAAATTTTTGTTCTAGCGTTTTGCGACTTTCCGAACTGCCTAGATGTAGGGAAAGGCCGCAAACTGCCATTTGTTGATTAGAATGATTAGGGAGAGTCTAGCGACTGGTTTGGATGCGTCCTTGTCATCTCTTCCTACGTCGCGAAGGTGTTCTCGGAATTGGTCACCTAGTCGTCTTCCTGTTTCACCAATGTATAACTTATTGCAGTAAGTGCAAGTTATGCAATAAATGACATTAGTGGAGGTACACGTAAAGTGATCAGTGATTTTAATGGATCCCTTGGGTCCCGATATTTTCTCTACGTTATGAATGAAAGGACAAGTTTTGCATCGTGAGCGAGCGCATTTGAAAGTATCAGATTCGTCATTGGTTTGAAATGAACTATTGACCAAAAAGTTGCCTATGTTTTTGTCACGTTTGAATGAAACTAGTGTGGGTTGCGAAAAGATGGTGCTAGTCTCTGAATCGTTTTGGAGTAATTTAAAGTTTTTTAAGAATAATAGATTTAACTGGGTGGTTGTAAGGGTGAAATGTGAGAGTGAATGGAATGCGGTCAGTGTTTTCCTTCTCAGCCGTTTGTGGTGCTGACTGTCGATCAATTTGTTGGGCACGGTGGTGGCCCGCTTGAACGACAGAGGCAGGATAGCCACGTTTATCGAAAAACTGAAACATTGACTCTGATTTTTTGGAAAAATCAGAGTCGTCACTACATAAACGACGAAGTCTGAGAAATTGTGAAAAAAGTATGGAATTCTTGACGTGTGATGGATGCGAAGATGAATACAATAGGTAACTATGTGAATCTGTAGGTTTGTAATAAACACTAGTGCATAAACCGTTGCCTTCAATTAAAATTTTGATGTCTAGAAAAGCCAAAGAGGTGTTGGAAATTCCCAGGTGTATTTAAGAGCCGGGTGCAAGGAATTGACGGCGGTTATAGATTGAGTGAGCTCCTCTCCGTTGGAGGAAGTAGCGCCGATGCAGTCGTCGATGTAACGGCCATAGAGTTCAGGTTTGGGCCGTGTTATTGACTAAAAAATTGATGTGCGATAAAACCTACGAAAAAATTGGCGTAGCTGGGTCCCATTTTAGTATCTATGGCGACGCCATTAGTTTGTTTGTAGCAGTTAGCACCGAATGAAAAGCAATTGAGTGTAGTTACTTGTTCGGCTACACGGAGAAGTGTTTCAGAGCTAGGTTCCTTAACAGTGCGTAGATCGAAAAAATGTAAAAAAAAAATGTAAAATTTATCTTCCAAATCGGCACTCGTAATCCCCACGGTATGAACAAGCGCTTTTCATTCAACTAATTTATTCTTGTTTTCTCGTCACCATATTCCCACCAATAGCGTAGCTCCATTTTCTGCATAGAAACCCACACACAACCCACAAATCCACCAATCCCTCTGACGAAAGGCTAACGCTCGAAACGTCAGCCTTTTAACTCTTAACAGTGGCCAATTTACGTTTTCAACTCAGTTGTTAACACTAAACAACCTTGTTTTCTGTTTTGGGGAGAGTGACATTTAAAATTACTCAGTGTTTCAAATGTAAATTCAAGCCTCATCGACAGCTGCAGTTTCAAGTAACACACTTAATTGCTGGACATTAGGAAATATCATTTACATAAAAATATGTTACACCTATATTTTTCTGAACAATTTTAAGCCATTAACTCTCGGACACTATTTAATCAGCTGCTTTTTATGCAATTCGTAATGTGTTTCATACTGTCTAATTATGGTTTCTTTTGTTTGTCTATCCATTTTCCCATCCTCAATATCATGGATTATTGCTTCCAATTTGTCTACTTCTTCTCCTTGCAAAACTTCTAAAGCTTCATAGAGCACATCTATATCCAACAAATCAGCCTTTTTTCTTGCAGTCTCTTCAGATGCTGCTAATTTGACTGCAAAACTAAACCTTGCACCTACCAAATTATAAAAAATAAAAAATAAATTCAAGGAATGTCAGCCATGACTACATCAACTTTAAAAAAAAAGGAATTTAACAGGTTTCACTGAAAAGTAAAGGCTGACCACCAGGTTCATAGGAGCAGCCATCTGCAAATATCTAACCCACTCCTTCAATTGTCTCCACTCACTGAGAACATGGAACAGGTTAAGGTGATTACAAAAAAGAAACATTTCTGAACATAAACTTCTGCACCTTCCCCAACCCCTTCCCTTGCATGAGAAAAGGAAACATTAATTCTGTCCCTTTCCAGGTCAAAAATTCTTTACATACATGAAGTTCACCAGTTGCCCTTAGTAGTTCAAAGAAAGTACAATAAATCAAGATAGTACTTCCTTTTTCAATTTATTGTGCCTTCTCTAGTAAAGGAAAAACTTGTGACCTTGTGGCTAACACACCAAGTAAGTGAAGCTGGTGGTAATAGTAATACTAAGACAGTGATGTCCATAATCAATGACATCTTCTAAATTTTGGCACTTAGCAACTCTTGATATGAAAAAAGTTGAGTAATAACTATGCTGCCTAAGTGTGTTCAGGTAAGGTTCTTGAGCCAAGAGACACAGAGTTCATTTTGGTTTCCTAAGCATGAAGCAACCAGCTACTAACTTGTTAGACTTCCCTGACAATCCATACTCCTGGGTGTGAGGAGGCTCTTTGAAAGTAAAGTGTTTTGCCTAAGAGCACAAAAACTGCACCTAGAGAACTCCTTAACATGGAGCAACCACCTAATAACTTGTTGGGCTTCCCTGACAATTCATTTAACTCATGTGTATAAAGAAGTTCTTTGAAAATTAAGCATTTTGCCCAATAGTACAACATATTGACCTTGCCAAGTCTTGAACTCTCAACTGGAGTCCAGTGCACTAGCTACTAAGCCACTGCATTTCCTACAGAGTGCATTCAGTAAACTTATTTCAATACACTCCCAAGGAGCAATAGTTGAGTTCATAACCTGTGTAATTATGTTCAATTTGTTTCCATACCTTCCATAAGAAGTGGGGGTGGTCGCGCACTATGTGGAATTGATCCATGGAAAATAGCAACACGCCCATATCTTGGCCTTACTGCAAATATTACCTCGTTCCCCTCCATATCATCAAAGAAGACAGTTTCGCCATGATGATTTGCAGTCCAGTCTTCATTGAGATAAATCAGGAGTGTGAATTCCCTTTCATTAAATTCACTATCTATATGAATTGTAGTTGTGTCTGTCGCTTGAATATTGTTACATCCAATGTCATAAGGAAAATAACCTTTCTTCCCAGAGACAAATGTCACAATCTGACTGACCACATTCCATAGTGAGGTTTGTAAAAAGTCATCAATTTCAAATGCCATGATCCACTGTACCTGATCTGTGCTGTCCATGCCAGCTGCATTATCGCTGTAACCGTTAGTTTCAACCGTTTTCCTCAAAGCATCAAGCTCTTTGAGAGGAAGAATGTCATCCAAAACTACAATGGAAAGGCCACTGTTTGTGGTGAAATTCTTAGTGACAAATTGCTGAATATCTAAGGTTCCATCTGGGGTTGTGTCAGTTTTGGTCAAAAGTTTAAAGTTAGGGGAAACCATTAGAGGATTAAAATCATTCCTTACAGTGTTGCCAGGTAACGTTTCCTGTATAACCGTCGAATGTCTCTGGTCATCTGAAAGTAAAAAGTGAATTTTCATACAATATAATCTCTCCGACATGTCTATCGCTGGAGATTTGATTACATGCTCCAGAGAGGCAGGAAAGATCACCAGCCTGCCTCTTTTCGGATATACAGCTTTGATTATTTCACCCTCGTTGTACACGATCAGCTCACCGTAAGCGTTGCGCCTCGAATTCTGCACAAGAAAAATTACAGCGATATAGCTCTTCACAGTTTTGTCACTTACACTTGCTCGTTCCGTACAAGTATGCCCAGCTCTGATGTTGATTTTTCCTTCTAAAGACAAAATTCTACATTTTCCCTTTATTCCAATATGCGAAGATAACGTGTCTGAAACTTTTCTCCAAGAAGAGGAGCTCTTAAAAGTAACAGATGTCAGATTAGAGGACCAACTGTAGCAACTGTAGCAAGCTTTGAAGCACAAATTCTTCGTTCGTCCAGCAATCGCTAAGTTGTTATCTTCTCTAGGCTGAAATTTCCACACCGTTTCATCTTGGCTTAGCAAAGATTTCATGTCCCGAATTTCATTTTCGGTAAATACATTGTCCTTGATCCAAACGTCCTTCGATCTGAGAGACTTTGACAGGGCGATCAAGGAAACAAAAATAAAGAATACCGAACACACAGCTGATGAGCTAATCATTGTGAACATGTGGATTTTCAAAATAGTTCCTTAATTTCGTGATGGTTTACCGACTTTCTTGGCTCTTGCTATCCAACCAATGCTGAAAGAATGTGTTAATAGAAAGTTATAATGATTATACTTGCCCAAATCTTGCAAATTCCTGATTGTAAGGCTCGCGGGCAGCTATTACTACGCGCTTGTCGCGCGCAATGTCGCGCGCGTCTGTTTCAAAAATGACTTTGTAACCGCTACTCCTTGCTTAGCATCCTCCCCATCCTTCCCAGTCTGTTCGAACGTGACGAACATGGCAGACCCTTTGTCGCTTCTTCGACAGTATAACATAAACAAGAAAGAGATCATAGAAAGGTCGGGTGAGATCATATTTGACGAATTCTCATTTCCAAGGACGGCAAAGACGAACTATGTTATTTTCAAGTAAGTAATTCAGTGCCTGTCAATTGTAGAAGCTCTCGTGTGTTCCGTGAACTTTCTTTTTCTTAAATTTGTTAATTTGGCACTTGTTGTTGCATGTATTTAAGATTTTTTTGACTTTCTTATTTAGATCCCAGCCGAAGGAATACTACACTTTGGAGTCGCTATTGTTTCTGTTGAAGAATGTGCATTTATCTCATCCAATTTACGTCCAGCGTGCAGCGGTAAGCAACGAACAGCTTGCTTATTTAGAAATTTGCTCATGAAACTTCTGTTCGACAGTTGAATCTGGGTGGTTGGATCGGTGCCAGTTGCTTCTATTTGATGATAGTAGATGATAAATATGTTTTAGTTTAACTTAATGAAGCAACTCATCTAAATTCGTTGTCTTTATTTAATTTGTGTCATCTTTGCTCTCAATGCAAATGTTTAGTGTTAGAAATGAATCACTGATTCATCCTGCCATGGGATTGTTTCCCTACCAGCTACTTCCACTGATACTTTTTTATTTTCCTATAATTTCTTTTTTCCTTCCATATTGGTAGGGTACAAAGATACCAGTGGTGAGATTGCCTGACAGAAAGGTTTGTTTATTTTCTCATTTCTTTTTAGTTGTATAGTAATTTTCCAATTTAAAAGGAAAGGAATGATGCATCATAATGTGATTTGCAGAAGCTGCAAATTTTGATATGCACCTGCCTCATACATTAATTGTAACTCAGCCACCTAGTCTTCTTTCTCACAGCCATACAGCTGATTGTGATTGTGCCTAGCTCTACAATGCACATCTCCACATGCTAGGTTCCATTATCCTCCTTCGTCATGTGGCTCTTTCAAACATACAATAGTTAACTTTACAAGGCAGTATTGATGGAATGTAGCAAAAGTGTTTGACTGCTTTTCAAGTTGGATGCAGACCAAAGCATCTATTTGAAAAACTGCTATAACAAGTGCTGGAGCTTAACAAAGACTATGGAGAAGCACATTTTCATGCTGAAACACATCTTTTGAGTAAACATTATCATGTTTCCACTTTCATGTTTTTTTCTCTAAAGCATTAACATATATTTTATGCATGTGGTAATTGTGAGAATGCAGAGAAAAGTTGAACAGCCTTTAACCTTTATGAATGGTCCTTCATTTTTTGTGCATTAGAACTAAACATGTGGTATTGATTTTTATGCAGCAGGGGAAACTGCTTAGAAACGTTCTATTTACTCACATCTTCTTACAAAAAGACTTACACAACTTCACAAACTAACCAAATATGCCAGTTAAATTATAAGGATCACCATTGATTCCAAAGTGGCTGTGTTAAGTCAACTAATATGTATATAAAGCTGTAGCTTGTGTTTGTTGTAAGTGATCTAATGTACAGACAACTCATCTTTGAATTTCAGGGATTACTCAGCTATCTCAATGGAGAGACAGGTTGGTGTGCATAACTACTGTATAGGAATCACGTGCATGTAATATATCAGATTTGAGTGTTAGTCCTCAATCACCCACTGTGAACTTATTTCCAATAGAAAGTGACTTGGTTTTACCTAGGGAAGGAAGTTGTTATTTTTGTAATTGTACTAATTCGTGGTTGTTGTTTTTCTCAATCTTCATTAGATACTGCAAGCAGCATTGACAAGAGTGTCCCTTTGGAAATGCCTAACCAGCGCTCTGCCATTGCTCAGGCACAAGGTTTTTATTGTATTCTTTATTCCCATTTCACTTTTCTTTCACTCATAAGATCAAAACATGAATTCTCTGCACTGTTTGCTATACATTTCACATAATTTAGATTTGAGAATTTGAAGTTAAATCAATCCATATTCCCTTGTTAATAGATTTTTCTTCCCTTTCATCTCTTTTCTGCTTCATAATGCATTCATAATGTAGGAAGGAATTTTTTTGGTTTCTCCTAGGAATAAATTTGTTAAATCTTTAATCCTTAAGTGCGACTTGCATTTAGTCTTGCTTTGAGTAATCACTTTTGAATTAAAAGTACGGTCATGATGGTAAAGGAAATGATCTCCAACTGAAAAAGCTGGTGATTTTTCAGCAAATTCTCATTGTCAGTACCATTGGAAATGTGTAAAGGAGTAAGAGAACAAATTGAATTCAGTCTTTGGAAAGTTACAATTTTTTTTTTCATCATTGCTTTTCAAAATGTGTTTTTAATTATTAGCAAAAAGGCCAGGAGATGACTCTGTAGGGGGAGAGATCAAGAAACCTCGGGTTGAGGTTTGTATAAATTAACATGAAAAATGTGGTTTATATTTTGTAAGTTATGCCTTGTAAAAAAAACACAAACAATGTAGAAATATGTTAATCCTCCTTTAAAGTAGTATTTGTGAGTTACTTAGAAAATATAATGGAGAACTTTTAAATGTGGCACAATTTACTTGTATGTAACCATGCAAGTTGCATGTTTTGTCTTTGTGGTGTTGGCACTTTCTATCATTCTACAAACTTTCTGTTTAATTGTGTATTTTTTTCTTCCAGACAGAGCAGTTACGTCTGGATAAGGTATATTAGCTTTAAAGTATTCTGCCTTATTTAATATTGCATCTGTTTGCTGTTTCATCATCTAGTTGTACTGAGTTCTATTTTTGAATAATGTTTTAGCTTTAAGCTGAAGAACAATAAAAGATACAGAAAAAGCAACATTTAAATAGTAAAACCATGATAAAAAGAACAATAATTAGTGCAGTATCAAAATATATTCACTGTTTATATTATCTATATACTTTATACCAAACAGCAGACCAACTGCTAGCAAGTAGATCAGGTGTCTTTTCCTTGAATTTTCATTGTGCTTGTCTCTGGCATGAAAAATGCTGAGAAATGGTGGCTGTTATAAAGGCTTGTTATTGTTATTCTTCCATGTCTCTGGATCAACAAAAAGTCTGTGTTTAAATCTTTTTTCACAGGGAAGAAACCTAATAGCCATGAATAGCATTCACTCTGAAGTGCAATAGTGGAATGTAAATGTAAATGAAAATTTGTAGTAGCTTCTTCAGCTATTTACAATACCATGATTTTCCTTTTACCACAGAAAAGGTTGGAAGCTCGACTTGAAGGGCACAAGGAGGGAACTGTTACCACTGAACAAATCAGGTAAAGTGTTGTGTTTAACTCACTTGTAGTTTGAGGAATGTTCTACTGTCCGGGAGGAAATATGCACACTTCAAAGGTATACTCTCTGAAAGCCATTGCAGGGGTTGATTTTCCTTTCATCAACCTCAGGTTGGTACCAAGTATCATAAATCAATGATTTCTTTATTTGATTCAGTTTTATCCTCTTATGTTTATCTGAAGATCTTTGAGTGATGCTATGTCAGTTGAGAAGATTGCAGCCATCAAGGCTAAGCGTTTGGCAAAGAAAAGGACTACCATCAAAGTGGATGATGACTTGGAATCTGGTGTTTTGGTATGAAAAACTGATAAAATGTGTATTTTTGTAGTGATGGAGAGATGCACAATTGTTCAGCCTGATTATATCATTTTTGGAGCAATCATTACACTCTGATTTGTGAATTTCTTTATTTTTGTAGGAACACAGGGTTTTTGTTGATGCTGAAGTTGATGTTACAAAAGACATAGTCAGTCGTGAGCGACCTCTTCGCACCCGCACATCTGTTCTGCAGAGTTCTGGCAAGGTATGTATGTGATACAAGAAGAGTGTTATGCTCTCTTTAAACAATACTAGGAGTCCATAGGTAATATCTACTTAGACTTTCTGAACAGTTGAGCCATTTTGCCAAGCAAAGCTATTGTTCAGTCGTACTGTAGTAATTTATCATTTTAATTGTATGTATATGTTTTCAGCAATTTCTGAAGAATGTGTTGGCCATACTCCAATCTGTAAAAGCCCAAGAGGAAGGGAAAGTCAAACAGCTTCAGAATCAAGATCCCTTTACAAACACTGTAAGATTTTAATTCAGTTCTTGCTTAAAGTTGTGATTTTTGCTTTTTGTACTAATGAGCTGAAGTTATTATTAATGTCTTGTGGGATATCCCTTAGTTCTAAACCCTTTAACTCCGAGAAGTGATTAACATGTAACTTCTCCTAGTAATACCCATACATTATCCAGCAAACAGGTAATGAGAAAGCTCAAACTTAACAGGTAGGAGTTGTTATCTTGATTTAACACCAAATTCTCATATTGAATTCATAAGGAAATGTCATGTAGTTAGGGAGGAGAATTAACAATCAGGTTGTGGGAGGTAATGAGTTGCTTAAGAAAAATGATAATTCATTTGTTCTTGCAACAGGAAACAAGAAAGAAGCCTGTAACTCCAGTACCATACAACAGATATGATCAGGAACGATTTAGGGGAAAAGAAGGTATGATGCAGAGCTTAGCATTTACAGCATACCATTGATTTATGGTTGAATTGATGGATAGTCATTTTAGTTTTTAAAACTAACAAACTTGCTTCTTTAATTTTTGAATTAAAATTTCTTTTGTACATGTAGATGTTGAAGAGCTTTGATTTATTAATTCAACAGAAACTGAGGGCTTCAAAATTGATACAATGGGAACATATCATGGCCTTAGTTTAGAATCTGTGAAGGTACAGTGTACTAGTTTGAATCCTGGAGAGGCTGAATGTGGAATCCTTGACTTATTACATCTTCTGAAACATGAAATGATTAGGAGCTATTTGCTCTGACAATGACACCTTTCAAACTCTGTACAGTGGCCAAGTTATGTTATCAACTCAGTTAATAATGCTAAATTACCCTGCTTAATTTGATAGTTCACCTGTAGCCATCCATACTCCTGGGTGAAAGGAGTCGCTGTGTGAGTAGAGGCTCACCCATGAACACAACTCTATGACCAGGCCAGATCTTACACAGAGCTCTTAAGCTGGTTCTGGTTGTTTGAGGGGTGTGTAATGCTATCCGCTGGGTAAATCTCTTGGCCCTTTGGACAATTGGACCCTGGAGTCCTGTGTGCTAACCATTGGACCACATCCAAAGTTATGTTTTTAACCATTTTTTTATCACTTGCAGGAAGGAGTTCAGAAACCCAAGAAAGTCTTTCCCAGTCCCTCTCCTCATACACAGCCCAGCAAGACCCCCAGGCCTAGTGAGTACTGGAAACCTTTGACTGTCCATTACAGCTTTAGTGTAAAATAGTAAGCACTCAGTTAGTGGAGTTTAGTTGAAAAACAATTAGAAAGTCTGGATTGAACTCAAACTTTTGCCCAACCAGCTGCTTAATTTCCTCTTGTGCCAGAGCTTAAGGATAGATTTCTTCTTTACAATATCAATACAATAGCGAACAGAGAAGTTATGAGATTAAAGACAATGTCAATTAGAGGATTATTAGTTGATCCAAAACCAAATTCTCTGAACTAACATCATGAGAATTGAGTGACAGACAGTAATTAGGAGCATTACTGTTGAGACCTTGAGAGTGAAATGGTTAACCCTTTAACTCCCCATGAGTGACCAAGATAGAATTTTTCCTTACAATATCAGTACAATATCAAGCAGACAAGTGATGAGAATTAAGTAAAATATTAGCAAGGGGATCATAAGTTGATCCGATACTAAATTCTCCAACCTAGCATCTCAAGAACTGTATGTCAGACAGTAAGGAGAACTACTAATGAGACCTTGGAAAGTAAAATTGAAAGTGAAATGGTTAAGCTTTTCTCCTCGCTGCAGACACTCAGACAAAGTTAGAAATACATTTGTATCAAAAGCTTAGAATGTCTTTAGTTTATTGGAACAAAGGTAGTAATAATTTTCTTTTAGTCTTGATCTTAGTGATTGAAAATTATCATGCAACAATATTAAACAACTATTAAATCTCATGATTCACAACAATTTATGACAATTTGTATTTTCAGTCCCTCAAAAGCCAAATCATCCTCCAAAACGAGGTAAGAGCTCTAAAATGTATATATTTTTTCATTGTTTGTTTTTCCTTTGAGGGGATTGTCATGATAACTATTGATGCAGCATGAGATGAATTTGCAAGTAAGGCTTAAAACTTCAGGGTTCACATGTTGTTGATAGGGTTAGTAGGACATTTCTAACTTGGGTAATCCCCCCCTTCCCTTCCCCCACAAAAAAAAAAAAAATTAGTCCATTAGATTAGACAGATGAGAGAAAAAAACAGCTTCTAAACAGCTGGATGCCTGTATCTGCAGTAATTTCATTATTATACATATCGTAGCGAATTCTCGGATATGTTAGAATAATCTCTAACTTGCCTCTCTTTCATATTCAGTCTTGTCGGACGGTTTGGTTTTCTTTGTCGTGTGATGGGTTTAATATTTGACCTGCATCTTTTTCAATTCCAGAATCACGCACGCCTATCATTATTATTCCTGCTGGTACTACGTCACTCATTACACTCTACAATGCTCAGGATTTGCTGCAGGACTTCAAGTAAGAATCCTTTAGTGCAATGATGCAATTATTTCGTTTTGCCAAACATGGTTCCAAACCTATCGAAGAGCTGTTCATAACTGATAATTGGAAAACTATTCCACATGGGTCTTGAAGTAATTTTCAATTAAGTGTCAAAGGAATCCGAAGTTGGATTGGTTTTGCTTTACTTTGCTCTCTAATTGGTCCAGAAAACTCGCGCCAAAACAAAAACCACGACTTAGTCGCCCGCATCCTCCCGCTCTTTTGGTTGTTTCGTTGTTTTAACTTTTGAGGTTTCATCGGCTCTTAAAAGGTATTTTCCTTTCTGATTAGTCTTTGTGATAACTTTGGTTTCGGATTTACAACACTCAGTCGAAAAGCGCTTCATTTAGGAAGTAACACACACGAGGCAGCTTTTCGTGACGATCTCTCACAGCGGAATGTCGTTAGTGTGTCTTGGCCTTTAAACCATTTTTTCTGTACCGTTTAAAGGTTCACCAGTTCTGATGAGAAAAAAGCTCAGGGCGCAAGGCGTGAAAACGAAGTACTCATTCAGCGAAGGAAAGACATTCAGCAGGCCCAGGCTGGTACAGGAGGTGCATCAACCACAGTGACTGTACCTTACAGAGTGATAGACAACCCAGCTCGTCTTCAACCCAACGACTGGTGAGTCAACCCTCCCCCCTTCCCCCCACCCCCTCAAAAAAATTTTCGATGGAATGTTAAGGGGAAGTTTATTTTTCGGATCGGCGATTTCTTATATTTGAAAGTTACGACTTGTTTTTGTTTTGAGGTGAAATATCAGTAAGGTACTAATTTTCACGATAGGTTTACGCAGCAGAGCATTAACGACGAAGGCATTTTATTACTCGTTCAGTAATAGCATACTCCACTAATTAGAGACATTTGACTGAAATGTTTTCAGTATCAGAAAAGCCTTATTGCTCTACTGGACCACAATTCAACGAAATAACAAAATCAAACAAAGAGCCTGCTCCTACCCACCTTGAGTTTTGTTGCTGGGCTGATTAAAAAAAAAATTTTCTGTTATGTTTTTGTTTTTGTTTTTTTTCGATGCAGGGACAAATTGTAACTCGCAAAATTTTCATGCTGTACGGAAATTTGGGACTGTATTGATTTTACTTGTCACGCCTTCTGATTAGCCCAGAAAACTCACGCTATTCCCCTCAACCAATCAAATAAAAGACCATAACTAAGCACGACATGGTCACTCGCGTTTTTTTTTTTTTAATTGTTATTTTTTTTTAACTTGTTACCTAAAATTTTCTAAATGTTTCTTTGACCTTTGCTGTGAAATATGGTTTTTCATCTGTCAGGAATCGCGTTGTAGCGGTGTTTGTCCAAGGTCCAGCCTGGCAGTTCAAAGGTTGGCCATACAGCTCCCCTGTCGACATCTTCATCAAAAGTATGTGGAAATGTTGGATTGCAACTAGAAGCCTGTCCATTTTATTTTCAGTCCTTATTGTAATTGAGCTTTCGGGTTTCTTCACATCGCATCTATACTTTTACTTTCCTGAACTTTCATCTAAGCTTTCGTAGCTGGAAGTTTTTTGGCGCCACAACCTCAGTTTTTGTTCGCCATCTTCGAATTGAAGGCCACACCGAATCAATAAATTGCATCGTTCATTCGAGGATTTTAAGAAGGAAAAAATCAAATGCGGTACAACTCGGGAACCTACGCCATCAGTGGAACGTTTTTCTAAAAAGTGGCATTAGGACTTAAATCAATTCTCTGTTACACCTAATATTTACAAATGATATACCGTAATTGATACCAGCGACTGAAGAAATTTGATTTTAAGAAAAACAACGCATCGAAAACGCAAAAATATAAAGTAAATTAGTATGTAAAGTAAATGCGAGCCACGATCGACTGTTCCTTCCAATTTCGAACTATTCACTTTATTGAAGAGGGATGCTTCTTGTCTTACAGCTAAAGGTTTCTACCTCAAGTACGACGAGATGAAAACAGATCCCAACGTGCAGAAGTGGGACGTACATATCCTCACTGTAAGTATTGGTTTTTTTTCTCTTTCAATTCCAAAATAGAAGAAAAAGATTAAAAATAGTTTTTAATTTGCTTTCAGATCAGCCGAAATAAAAGACATCTAGACAAAGCTTCCATCATCAGATTCTGGGAAATTCTTGATAAGTAAGTGCACTGATTGCTTTTAACCGTTTGAGCCCTAAATTTGATCAGCATCTAATTTCTCCTTACAGTATCATCCCTGAATCACACATCAAGGTCACGAGATTAAAGGAAATGATCACCAACCGAAGAAGCTCTTGATTGTTAAACAAATTCTCCTTGTCAGCACCCTACAAATGTATAGAGAACAGTATAGAGAATATGCATACTGTTGTTAAGGTGTAAAGGGTTAATTGCAGCAGATTTTGCTTATACTCGATGCGTTCCTACGTCGATTCGTACTTATTATTTTTACATTTTATTGATAGAGGAACTTTTATCAAACCACGTGGCTTTTTTCTATGAATTCGGTGCTCGAACAACTCTGGTTGACATTTACTTAGATTTCCATCGTAAACTTAAATTACATTTTTTCTCGGCAGGTTTATGACAAAGAACAAACCACATTTACGCTTCTAAACATTCAAAACAAATTCACTGACGGTGGAATTTCATGGCAGCGAGGAGCTGTTGATATCTTTTGTATGGCAGACTGCTTTATCAATCATGCAGCCAAAGTTTTGTATCAAAACATTAGTTCTGTGAATTGAACAGTCATTGGAACAGTCTACTGCAGTTTTGCCCAGATTTCAAATACCTGGTGGACTCAGTTTTTGAATCTTATGATTGCGCGGTTGCATTTCGTATATCAGTAATTAACCCCCAGCTTAATGTAACTGTCGAGGAATAATTATCGCCTTAAAATTTCTCTTCGGAACAATGTAACATACAATAATTTACAGTATGGTAAATGGGAACCCTAAACAATATGTTTTAGAAAGAGTTCAACGTACATTACTTTAGATGTTTGAGGGAGAACATGTTTCTAAGAGAAGAACTTGATCCCTGTAAGTTTTCCTATAATGGCCGGGTTATTTGACTCGTATTCATTGACGGTGGTTTGTTTTTGCAATTTGATGACGTGGTAAACAAGTCGCCTGGGTATGGTCAGTTAATTTATTAAGTGTTGCAGCGAGGGTTTATACGAATATCAAGAGTGAATTGCAGTCACAGCGAGAATTTTCTTTTGTACTTTCATTGGGTACATGCTGAGTGAACCTTACCTCGTTTCAGTGGGGGGGGGGGGGAGAGAGAGAGAGAGAGAGAGAGAGAGAGTGTGTGGGCCCGAGGATGAGGTTAGGATGAACAGTACTATCGATACATTGTAAATATTCTCTTTGTCTGTAATCAGGTAAATAAACACTTTTTCCACCGTTTGAATGAGAGATCACCCTGTTTACGCTAAGTTGTAACGGGATGTAAGAAAACTCGGCCCTCGACGGAAAGGTTGAAGATGTTACAATGCTACCAATTTCAAGTTAGTGAGCCCTGAGGCACGATAATTCAACTTCAAGGAACTGTTTATTGTTATCTTCACCGTACATATCAACTACAATTACACAACCAAAGTCTCGAGTACGAGCAGTCTTTACTTTTTTCACAGCATAATCTGTCGCAAAAGTCATTAAAAATATTCGCAAAAAAAGGTTCTGGCGTCGTATAAATTATGAAATGTTATTTTCATCGGTTTAAACTTTTCACTCGCGCGACGAATTTTGCTGGGAAATAAGAATGTAGTCCGACATATCACAAAGCGCGTATTGCATTATTGGCGGGTGAAAACCGTGGAACGCTATCACTCTTTCTTAAAAAAGACCATAAGCAATTGAGATGAGCTAGAACGCAGGTTTTTTTTAAGCATTGGGACGCAATGCGCACAAGACTCTTCACTGTTGACGCGCCTTCAATCTTTAAAGGCTCAATAGTAAGGCTTTCCTTTGGCATTAATTTACTGTTACGTAGATGAAAATGGTACAACTTAAGTGACGATAAACGGTACCTTTTCTAGAAAGTAGCCATTTTGAATACAATGTAAAGTGTAAGCGAAATTTTTTATGTCCTAACTTAATTTTTCGGCGACTTTGTCTGCTACTTCATCACGCCTATGTATTCTCCAGTAAGATTAAAACCAAATAATAACTGGGATTTTAACAGACTCCTCTGCTCCACTGTAAATGGTAGGCCTAACGCCCAAATTAAGTAACATTTAGTATTGACCGCCGCGAAATCCGCGAAAGCCTCCACGCCGGGATCCTCCACGAAAACCGCCACCGCCGCGGAATCCACCCCCTTGGTAATTGCCGCGGTAATGTCGAGGGCCTTGGTAGCCACGCCTTGGTGGAGGTCCACCACGTCCTCCTCGGTGCATCAACCTAGAGAAACACATTGACGTTACTAGATCTCCAATAAGCCCTGCCGCTCTAATAAGTGCCCTTTCCCGAATAAGCGCCCACCCCCTCGGCTGTAAGCTCAAACAAGCGCCCTCACCTCCCTCACTTTCTTAAATAGGAGGGAAACATAATAGGGATACCAAGACCTGCATTCTCAATTAATTGATAATTTTTCAGCGTTGGTACATCATTTTATAGTTGTGTACTTAGTTGCCAAGCCTTTGATTTGGAGTGGGGCTAAAGGTGACCTTGTTGTGATAAAGACCAGTATCTATGATAACCAAGTAATTTGCATTTGAAGATCACCAGCGTTTGTATCACGACAAGGTCACCTTTAGCCTCACACCTGTTAAAAGCCTTTGGACCCAAGCACGCAACTGATAAATGGACTATTACAGCGGAATCAGTACAAGAGAATAATAAGCGCTCTCCTTCCGATGAGCGGCCCTCCTTTTGGCCAAAGTTTTAAATAAGCACTCAGGCGCTTCTTCGAAGAAAAACAGTGGTTGAATAACTCACGAAGAAAGAAAAAACTCGACTGATCTATTAAGAACTTTATTTGATGTTAAATTTTGCTGGTGCAGCACCAAACTGACAAAACTTCATGAGAATGTAGCACTAAATGCTACCAGCCGATATATTTAACTGGATTAGAAATAAATAAATTAGACTTTTGGAAAACTTTGGAAAGTTGAGCTTTAACTTGATGGTTAAATATAAGTTGTACGTCCTAATACAAACTATTTCATTTCTGAACTTCTGAAAACATAACTTATTGGTAACAGGACTCTGTGACGTATAATTCTGTATCTAACGGTGCTTGTAAGTTCAAATCGGCTTTGCGGTACAGGCTCGGCGGATTAAAAATTACTCGCCCGGTCACTCCTCTGGATTCCATTCCACCCAATTTTATTACCATCACCAATTGGTCGACTAGGTGGCGCAAAAATCTTAATTTAATCACAGAGCGTTGTGTAGAGAAGCTAAACAAACCCGATCCTTAGTAACTCGAGGCCCAACTTTACATACCCCGGTAGAGGTCCTCCTCTCGGTTGAAATTGGCCTCCACCACGGCTCACATTAAAGCTTCCCGCATTAGCTCTTGATAACGCCTTGACGACATGCAGTATTCTCTCATCTTCATGACTCGGTTCAGCTATTGTGGCTGGATTTGTGGCAGCGCGAACTAATAGGAAGTCAAGTGCTTGACGCAGGGCTACGATCATGGCGGCTTGATGGTGAGCAAACCTGAACTGTAACCTTTGAAAATAACAAACAGTAACATTCTGACAAACTGTGGGTACCCGTAAACACTAACAAGCAGCAAACGGCTTCGTGCTACGTGACTTAGTAGAAATTGAATAATATTGAAAGAGCTTCAAAAGAAACGCGTTAAAAATATCAAAACATTTAAAACATATGAAGAGTTGTGAAAGCGCTCTGTATAAACTTTGGAGCAATAACAAGATTTAGTACACACTAAAAAAGTGGATAGCGTTGAAAATGCGCTCTGATTGGCTACTAAAACTCCGAATATCCTTTGCTATTTACTTCCAAGAAACTCGCGCGAAAATTCGCCCGAAAATATTGTAATCGTTGCGAGAGTAAATAAGTAAAAATCATCTTTTTTTACTATATTACCTGATTGTTTAAGTATATACTAAAACAACTATATTCACATCAGTGTCGGTAGCTTGCGGTGGATTTTTACCTCGTCGCTTTGCGGCTCGGTAAATATCCACAACTACCCACCTTCACTTTGGTAAATAGTTGTCAATTATTTCTGAAATCAGGGAATAACTTCCCAAGGTATTCACATCCGATTGTGCCGCCATTGAGCATGATGGAATTATCGCATGTATGTTTTTAGACAAATAAAATCACTACTGCATTTCAAATTTTAAGCGTTTAAAACAAAAACTAATGGCGGAATTAGTCTGCGTGCGCACAAGTGTCCTTACCAGTCGTCCATTTTGACGATCCCATTTTCAGATTCTACTTTACTCTGACTAAACATGAGCAGCTGTAGAGGATTAACCATGGTCATCTGTTTACACGATACAGCGCGGGTACGAATCTACAGCACAAATACAACATTATGAGAAGCCTTTCTGGTATGCTGGGGAAAAGACGCTCGCGTGAACCGCTCCAAGTTGATAACGCCTATCAGAGGTATCCTCACTAATGTCGTTATTTAAATTAAGCTAATTTAGAGACACAACAGGACCGAGGGTTCTTGAACAGACAGTGCGAGAAAAAGAACTCCTGTAATATAATTTAGGACTATCAAACACTACAGAAATCGCCCGATAACTTTTGCAAACCATGAAGCACACCTAAAAGCTTACCTTCTCTCCAAACACAAAGAACGGAGACGGGAAAGTCTGTTCCCTGTTGGAGCAGTTCACTGAGGACTTGTGGATGAGCGCGGCTTTGCCTTCTGTCGTTAGTACTTTGCGTTTCCCTCGGTGTACACAGACATTAGGATACATACCCAAACACAACAAAGCCACGACCTGAAGATATGGAAATAACTAATCACTCTCCATTTGAAAAATACTACACGGATATTAGAGCCGGGTTATGCTGATTATGAAAAGTTCAATCTTCAAAATCAACAATAGAACAACTCTTGTAAAACCGAGCGAACCGCTTGTTTGCACTTCTCGTCAACTATTCACCGTTGCCGTTGCAGGGAAAAATTTGAGTTCCCCACGGCATCCGAGCCACGCGAGAAGAGCCAAGAGTCTACACTACCAAGGCTTTATTGGACTACAGCTTCCTCAACTCAATTTTACTTCGAATGCTGTTGTGACTTGTAAAGTTCACATAGACTTGTTGGTGTTTTTAGCCTTGGAAGTAATTATACGTATTTGTCTGAGAAAAAGTACACTACACGTGGGTGAAGTCAAACCAAACTTAGGCTAGATGCGAGATGTTAGTGCAGCAGAGCGGAGAAGTCAATGCCGGAATAAACAACAGCCAACATCAACCACAACAACCGAAGCTTAAACGAGAAATAATTGATGTCCGAAGGTCAGGAAAAAAAATCACATAAGTTAACTTTCCGCGATAGTCGACGTGAAAAATCCAAATTACAAGAAAAACGACGCTTTGACTAAATTTAAAAAAAAAAAAAAGGATGTTGATAACATGAGAATAATCTGACAAAGTTTGGAAAACATAAAACGCCCATAGACTGCAAAGTATGTGACATCTAAAATTCCTTACCATGTCCAACTTGGAGTCGGGGCCGCTGTAGTTAAATGGCTGTGGGTGCATACATTCTGCAAAGGATTGGGATAAATGTAAGTATTTACCAGCACAGATGCCGCCAAATAGTGCAACACGAGCTTCTTCTTGAACTAGATTATGACAGTAGAAATCAAAAAGCGAGTTAAATGAACCCGACATATTAACCGGCAGTAACAGATACGATCATGGTAAGCCAACGACATCACTTCAAAACTAGCAGAGTAATACTCCCACCTACAGCCATTTCAGAATAGTCTTGAAATTGGGTCAGACAGAGTAAACTTTCGCATTTACACAAAATCACAAACTATCTAATGTTTGAGCCTCCACGGCGTCTCGCAATGCAGTTGAGCACGCCAAATATTGGACTACTGGGTTTTCGCCCTATATGAAATGATTTCAGTCTACAAAAATAATACCAAATAAGCCAGCCTTCAAGCAGACGGACTTGTGATTCTTTATTGTTATTCGCAAGTATCTCCTAACCCTTTGACCAATAAGAGTGACTGACATTTAATTTCTCCTTACAATATCACCCCGAATCACATATTATGGTCACGAGAATAAAGGAAATGATCACTAATTAACAAAGCTCTTGATTGTTACACAAATGTTCTACTAGTCAGCACCTAAGGAAATGTATCGCGGGTAGCGTGGTGGATATGCATCCTGATGTTAGGGTGTAAAGGGTTAATTAACAGTCACTTACCATCTGGAAACCCAGCGTTACAAAGAAGATCTTTCAGCTGAAGCTGTAGATAAGATAAAAAAATGAATGAAAGCAAACTAATGGACGTAAACAACATTTTAAGCTAGTCAATATCAATCGGAGGCTTATTCCACCACAGATTGGTGGGACTGCGCACAAATGGTTTGACCATTGCAGTTTTACCTTAGCCTCCGATGTCATGCGAAGGGTTGACATGTTCAACTGACGACTCTCGCAAAACTGATACTCAGCAGATTCATCTTCTACTGACCTACGTTAAAGAAAAAAAAATTATAGCGAACCGGAACACCTCACGGCAAACACATATTTTAGGTCTGGCCTTGAAGACAAATGAAAAATGAGGCTACCAAAACGGCCGATAATTTTCGTCCTTTCTCAGGCAGAAAGAAACAAGAGTGGTCGCAAATTATTTTTTAAAATATAGGTACTCCATACGACATAGGTCGACGTCTGTTCGGGTTCGTATGGATGGATATTTTCTATCCACGGGGTAGATAAACACGAAGCCCTCCTTCGTAACAGCTCTCCTATCTCGGTCCACCCTGCAGAATCGTTTCCTGCGTTTCCTGCCCTTCCTCCCCTCTATGTAACTTTCAGTATTCTTCTTCTTATTGCTAACAAGGCTGTAGTCCTACCTTGTCACCTTAATTGCGTTACCTGGCATCCTCCCAAGCCTGATATGCGCTGAGCAACGCAATGTGATCGCTGTGACGTGACCCTGAAAACTGTTTGTGTACCCAGCCCAGTCTCCTTTGGTCAGTTGATGTTTCGAAAGGCTCAGGGAAACTGGTGCTAGCAGCAATAGTGCACATGGCATCTCCACAGCTGAGAAAAAGATGGCAAAACATTGATAAGTAAATTTGTGGTTAAGACTTAAAAGAACTTAAAGAAAGTGTCTTAAATTATGTGAACTATCCTCCGCCCTGCTTCCCACAACAACTCGTGGACGGAACAGTGGTCTATCTCTAGCCTGAACCTAGCTGCCAGTTAGTGAAGACTATAAAATGGCAATCAAGCTGTCGCACGGCAGTCACAGCTGTTGTTTCTTCGTGCGTCCGCTTTTTCGCTCGTCTCCATAGACTAAGAACCATGGACAAGCTCGCCTATCGCGTGAAATCCAGAAACTGTCCCCCCTCCCCACCCATCCCCCGTCTTCCGAAGCTTTCATAGCACCTCCTGACGATCAAGCGCTACCTACTTACACTCTAAGTATTTTGTCTTATCAGAAAAAACAAAACAAAACCAAAAAAAAAAGAAAACAATAAAAGACGTAACCGATACCTTGTCTCTGAGTCCTACAGACCATACCATAAAACGACTACGACAACTCCCTGGGAAATGTTGCACTAGCTTCAGAAAGAAATCATACCAAAGAAAAACAGCACTACTACTCACTAAAAGATGCATCCAAGAATGATCATCTTGCCAAGCCGTGGTTCAATGGGTAATTTTGCCAGAAGGTAACCAAGGGGAGTGAGATTTAAGTTTCCATCCAAAGCCTCCATGTCTAGACAAAACCATTTATATCGTTTATCAGAAATGGCTTGTCATACTTAGTAACAACTTACCCAGAAATCTGGCCTTTCGAGATTTAAACCTTGCTAGCCGCACCTTTCTTCAGTTAAGTTTATTACAATGACTAAATCCGACCAGAAACAAGGAACAGGATTCCGTATACCAAGAATCAACTTCGCAACTGACAACCGAGCATGAATGTGGAATCGAACTTACTAGCAATCTTCGCCCAGTGTAGCACCTATCCATCCTAAAAACCTGAGTCGTATTTTGACTTTGACAACAGTTGTCTTAATCCTTTCACTCGCACGACTTGGAAACTAATTTGCTTCCTTTCATAAGAAGTTTTAGCAATTTCCCTGGTAAATAGTTTTCGCGGCTCTAAAAGTGCGACGTCAGGAAGTATTGAAACGTTTCATAAGCATAGGTGCTGAAGCACCAAAGCTTAGTTTAAATAGAAAGCATTGAAGTTAGGTGCATCCTAAATCAGCGAAACTGTAACTGCGAGGACAGTCGTTTTGTGTAGCGCACAAACAAAACATGACACATACAATATAAGGTCACTTGAAAATCGATTCAATTTTTTTCGACTGAGGTATTCTTGGTTTTTCCTTACTACGTAACAACAAACGTGGCTCGAGTCAACGAGGGTAAAACTGTGGAGGAAATGGTCTGAACGTGAACGAACAGGGGTAAGATTAAAAGATTGAAAAGGAGTTTAAAGTTATTAAGGGTGCGAGTTACCGAGAGTAAAGTTACAGTAAACATATTTCGGAATTTCACGAGGAGATTGATTTTGTTTCAAGTCAGCGAGGGTTCAAGTTATCACCAACAATGTGCCCACTGTATATATGTAATATATGGAAGTCACATATTTGAACTGCGGTTAAAGACGTAACAACCGTTTATTCACCACTTCACGGGTTTATTTGGAACCAACACAGTGACCAGCTCCCCGTTGGCTTGTTAGCTCAGTTGGCAGAGCACTGCACCGGTATCGCAGAGGTCATGGGTTCAAATCCCGTACAGGCCTGAATTTTTTTCAGACCTTCTTTTCACTACTACTCAAGTAGTGTTCATTACTGCGAAGATCGCTTTCATATACAATATGCCCACTCTATCTACTCCGAAAGCAATTTACCTTTTAATAGGGCAATAGACTCTGCCACTGCATCAAGCGGGGGCGGCTCGATGGCTTTGTTCAAAAACTCTCTGATATCTCCGAGTTTTAGAAATTTGATGGTGAGAGCCAGCTCGTGAAGCGGTGTGCGCAAGATCTCTGGTGTGGCGTGTTCAGCGAGTCTGTCAAAATAAGCATAAAATTTCCAAGTTTGTGATTTGCAATCCGTGATCATCTCCACCATCCTAAGCCATCCCTGCCTCTTGTTAATTTAGTATGGCCTCGTTTATGTTTTTTTATCTTACCAAACAAATATTTTCAGTCATTTAACATCCGTCTAAATCCACTCCATCCAAAACCGACTATCCTCATTCCGTCTTGGTTAACAACTGCTTCTTTTGTGTTTCTCTATTCTACCAAATTGATATTTTGTATTCATTTTTAATCCGTGATAATCTTCTTTATCCTTTGCTATCCTTTCTCCTTTTGGTTACAATTATCTATGTTGCCTTTCTACTCAAAGTTCTCCGAAATTCAAAATGTTGACATAAGGTAATCATTAAATCCTGGGAACATAAAAACAGACAAGCCAATTTCCCCCTCAACCTCCGCCAGTAAAGGACCTAACATTAAAAAATTTTGGAAATTTTTATCAATATAATGGCAGATAGAGGGACTTCTCACAAATTTACCTTGAAGCTCTTGTTCTGCTGCAAAGATGGAAAGCAAATCCTGGTCTGACTCTGCCTGCTCGACCACGCCTCTGTTCCATGTTGGTTCTGGACGCCCATACAGTGGCGTAATTTGTCATGTTGTTGTGTGAGGTGAATAATTTTACTTTGGCTCTGATGACAAAAGTAATCACCACGTAAGCTTTTCAACGTTTTTAAAGCCCTGCATTCTTTGGTCGTGCTAAAACATGTAAATATATATAATTTTTTTTTTAATTAAGCGAGTCTTAGTTCCCTGTACATGTTCGGGATCGAAAAAAAAAATTAACCTGCATTATATAAAGACCATAGACCTTGGTCAAAACAGTGAACCGTTAAAAGAGGTGCAAAAGCAGGCCTGTTTAGTAACTCACTTGACTGAATCAATGACAAAAACAACATCATCAATTGTAATACTTGTTTCAGCGATGTTTGTAGAAAGAATTATCTGCAACAGAGAAAAACAACCAACCTTCTTAACGATAAGGTCAACACACCTGCAAAACAATTAAGTGGGATGCCTGTGGCAGACCACGTTCAACTTGGAAGAGTCAACATGAAATTTATTCTTTTCCACGTAAATCCACAGTGACTGTAGATAACGACCAACGCGTCCCACGTTGACGCCTTGCGGCGTCTTGTTTTTTTTTTTTAAAAAGTACTCAACGCATTCTGACAATACTCTACGGTGACCATGAACACTTGTACAAAACAGACCAATTTGAGTACATGAGACGAGCAATGAATCCCATTTAATTTCTCTGTCACTTTTTCATGCTTTGATTCTAAGCATTCATTAGCTACATTCAAGTTTGTTGGAATTCTCTCTCTTTTCTTATGTCAAGATTGGTTAAGTGACCACGGTGTAAGCAGCACTTACCTTTGTGACTCCTTCTGGAACGGGCTCAAATACTCTCCGCTGGTCTTCTCTGGGGATCTGGGAGTGAAGAGGAAGCAAGCGATATCTGCTACTCACACCTGAAAGGACAAAATTTGAAAAATTTGAAAAATCGAACCTATGAAGACAATCAGTTGATAACAGTAGGTAACTTTTTGGTTTACCAAAATTTAGTCTATCAGGCTGATGCCCACTCTTTGTTTCAATTGCCTTCCGAAGAGGCTGAACAGTTTCTGTAGAAAACAATAACTTATAAATCTGCACAGGCTTTTGACTGTGATATAAACAAAGAAGTGTCCTGTGTCCATTTATTTATCAGTTATACATGTTTGAAGACTATAGCACACGGTTCATTTCCTGGATTTTATGTTAACATGGAATGTCTTTCCTTAAACTGAGTGAAAGTTTCGTTTTAGTACTGAAAAAAGTTAAAAAAGCCTGTAAAAATTTTGGCTTGATAAACAAATGATTGATCTTACAAAACACAAACGGTGAAGAGTTTTTTCAGCAATCTTTGATTTTCCAACCAATGAATGTGATTTTTCTAATATTTTGGCGTAGGCTCAAATTAATACGATGAAGATCCCCACTACTGACGCAAGCGAGACTGTATCGTTTCCTCGGCGGCATGAGATCTGATAGGAGGTGATGCATTTTCTCAAATTGAAGCAACACTCGTCAGTATGCCGAATTTCACCAATGTTAAGGGCGTTTCTCACTTTCTATTCTCATTCTATATGGCTCTATGATCCACAAGAAAAGATTTAAACAAGTAACAGGTCTCAGCCTCACCAAATTGTGGATGCATCTTCAGGTGCTTGTGAAGTTTAAAAATTAAGTTCCACCCTGGAAGGAATATGAGGACAGCTCCAGGAATATTCAGGCCGGATATGTAGTTAAGCAAAGCCTACAATGGTCAAATTTGACGTGTTACTGTCTTTATTCATATACAAATTCGACCAAAAGAAAGAAATGAAATGCAAGAGCAGTTTATAAGATGTTTAGTTCATTATATTTTCATTAATACAACTTATCGACGCTACTTGGTGCGGTCTGGGTAAATTCTACTGAATACGCTTTTCGACGGTTGGGTTGGAGAAGCTTCGATAGAAATCACGGATTACACTCCGTAACCTATTTATGCACTCACTACTGATCGTCACGAATAAGATATTTTGTTTAGTATACGACAATGATAATGATAAAAACAACATCTTTACCTCCACAAGTTCAAAAGACATTTCTTTTTCACTCAGTTGTGCCAACGCATTCTTGGTTTGGAAGGAATAGTCCTCACTGCATGTTAAGTTACAATTTTCCTATAATTATTACAAAACAATAAATTATAACTAAATAATAGGAATACGTTATTCGTTTGGTGCGATTTCCAGTAATGTCCAATCGCGCTTTACAATTTCCATTACATAAATTCGATAAAAAATATGAAACTTTGAAGGAAAATTACATTTGCAAGCCTTTTTCTTTGTATTGTTTGTTTGTTTTTAGAGCATTTCATGACTCAGGTTGGCCAGATGCCAACACTAAAAATAGTTAAACTTGGATCCCTAGACATTGATGTGCTCATCATAGTTACCTCCTCATCATCATCCACATCGTCTCTCTTTTTCTTTTTATCCGGAAGTGGAGGGACAAAATTTAACATTTGGATCACATCTTCAAGGTAATATTCTGCGAAAAAACAATTTAAAGCTGAAATATTACTAGTTTTAAAGCTGACCTACAATAACAACAACAACTATAACAACAATTCAGACCTAAGGAATTAATACTAACAGCAACTCTATATCTTACCTTGAACTGGAAATGATCTTCCTTCTATTTCCACAATAGGACAGTTGCCAAAATACTCTGTAAACATCTGGGTGTCAATAGTGGCAGACATGAGGACAACTCTGAGGTTTGGGTATGCTTGAATCATGTCACGCAAAATCACCAACACAAAATCAGTCTGCAATTCAAAATGAGAATGTCTTCCTTCAAAAGTTTACCTTTTGTTGAGCCATTTACTTGTTAACACAAAAATTAATTACTAAAGAAAAGTCCTATAATCTTGAAGCTCCTAAAAACCAGTGATACACCAGCACACAAGTCCTTTCCAAAGAATTTGGCATTTAGTAAATGGACATGAGGTAGAGAAGGATATCTGTAGTTCAACATGTCAAGACGTCAATGTATAATCACATATTGGTCAACAGAGCATGTAGTCCAAGTACATCACAGAAAATACTAGCATGAAGCTACTTCTGAAATCCATCGATCATAAACAACACTGGTTATGTGGCAACTCCAGCCCAGAGCTTTGAGGGGAGTTGATTTTTGAAAGTTGATTTTGTCACTGATATTAAGCTTTTCTGTTCTATCCTCGTCTCAGCCACATCTCAGGGTTGTCGAAATAGGCTGAAAACAGCATATTTCACTCTTAAATCCGAAAAACCCGCAAGCTATTCTGAATGCTTGTGGCTCAATTTTCAGCATGGAAGCACGAGATTGTGACACCTACTTTGTGCCACAGTCAGGTTACTTATAATTAAATCTTTTTGACAACCCTGACATCTTGAGAGAAGTTAATGGCTGCTAAAAAGTAGCTCTACTACACTATCATGCCTTCCATTCTGACAGATTTTGTTGACAGTTAAGGGTGTTCCCATTTGACTGATACTCCTGAATGAAGAAAAACACAGCATAATTCTAGCATTTGTGAGGCCAAGACCAATCAAGTAAACTACAAACACACCAAAAAACTCACATTTATATCTCGCTCGTGTATCTCATCCACAACCACATGAGAAATTCCATGAAGACCATTTTCAAGCTTCCTGAGAAGAACACCTGTAAGGTAACAGGCAATCAAAAAACAAATATATAAATAAATAAATGAAAAATCTCAACATAAAGAGGAGAGGAGGGTACTTCAACAGGACTTATCACAGGTTGTAGGTATGGAAAAAGTTCCCAAAAATTTTGCTAGAGATTGTAGCTCTCTATCAACATGACAACATGGAATCTACTGGTATTTGTTTTATAGGAAAACATGCAAAAGTTTGTTAATGGTTGCACCATTTATACATCTCTAGATCATAAGTAAGAACCAATCAAAATGTGTGTATCACTCAGCTTACCAAAAGACATCTAACTGCTCAAAAGGGATTAGCTTGTCTTTGAATTCTACTGCAAAATTTTGAGTTTTCTTTGCCTTGTGACAATTTATCAAAATCTTTCCTCAGGACTTACCAACTGTGCAGAACAGCATGGAGGCATGGCTTCTAGGAAGAATAGTATCAAACCTGACTGAATATCCTACACTGGTGCCCAGTATTTCAGCTCTCTCACTGGCCACTCTTTCAGCTACACTCACAGCACTGATACGTCGCGGCTGTCATAGAAAATCCACACAGCAAAATGAACAAATAACTTTCAGTGGGATCACTTAACTCTTACCAATCAACCTCTTAACCCTCCCCTCCCCCCCGATTGATGAGGACAGATTTTCTCCCCACAGTTACTATCTAATATTAAGCAGACAATGGACGAGGATAAATAAAAATATCAATTAGGGGATCATTAGTTCATCTAACAACTATATCTCCAAAATAACATCATAAGAATTATACGCCAAACTGTACGGAGAATTGTGAATATGAAAGCAACCTTCGCAGTAATGAACACTACTCAAATAGTAGTGAAAAGAAGGCCTGGAAAAAGTTCAGGCCTGTACGGGATTTGAACCCATGACCTCTGCAATACCGGTGCAGTGCTCTACCAACTGAGCTTTTTAAAGTGTTCATTACTGCAAAGATCACTTTCATATTCATGTCTTTAACCGCAGTTAAAATATATGATTTCCATATATTCACAACCGTTTGTGCGTTTGTATGGAGAATTATTAAATAAATGAGATCTTGGGAATGAAAGAACAAAGTTTGATGTAATACTCAGGATAGCATAATTTCCAGTTAAGTGATACATTGAGGCAAAGGTATGAACCATCATATGAAGAATGGACCTCTTGAAAAAAAAAGAAGACACACAAACATAACTTTGATCTTAACATTCACCAACCTGAGTGACTACAATACAACACTCAGCACCATACCCTGTCTCAATGTAGTCATCGAGAATGTACTGTGGAACCTGAAAAAGATGATGTAATAACAAAAAGATGGTGTAATATTACCACACATGGAAAGAAATAAGCACTTTGAAAAATATCAACAAAACATTGCACAAGAACAATCTTAAATATCCTTTTCTAAACCTGGGTAGTTTTTCCACAGCCTGTTGCACCCTTTATAACAACAACTCTGTTTGTCCTGATTGCCTCCACCAATGCAGACTTGTACTGGAACACAGGAAGTTGACTTCGCTGCTCTAACATGTTTTTATACACATCAACATTTTGATGTTTCTCTCTGTATTCATTTAGGTAATCCTGACTTGTTGGAATAGGTTCCTAAAAGAAATTGTTTAACAGTTTTCAGAGGATAATTCAAAACGTATTTTTAATAACCCTTTCAATTAATGCAAAAGTGAAAACTAAGTATATCCTCTTTACTCAACCTGCAGCCTCACTCAAGAGTACATTTTTGGGAACACTTGCTCTTTCTTTTATCTCCTGCAGTGTTGGTCTGTGAGATACAGAGGGCACATGTGCAAAAACAACAAAACTGAAAAGAGAAAAGGACAGAAAGGACACCGCAACAAGAAGATGGTGTGAACAATAGTTTGAAGTAAGGAATTTGCTTTTATTTGGTTTGTAGTCAAACATCTGTAATCCATTGCATGCCCACTTAGAGACACTAGACTTGGACAGCTTTGAGTGTCACTCACTTGGTAGTCTTCAGCTCCTTCTATAATCATTGGCTGGTTTATCCATGGATTCCAGTTCATATTTGGTTGAGTCCATTCCACTATTCCAGAACCTGGTTCTGGATTTGTCTCTTGAAATTTGACCATTCCAGGGAGAAGGACTAGGGATACAGCTTGGTTTGGGTCCTGGGGTTAATTAAAACAATTGCTTTAAGAAAAACATATTAAGTTTCTTTTACTACCATTTCTGCAAATTTCTGGTAAATTTTTTTAATTATAACCTACAGTTACTGACTATTAAACTAAAATTGGTTAATATTTTAATCACTTGGATTAACAATGATGGATTCACATCCTTTAAAGTGTATGTGTCAGATCTTTTTTGACTCATTCAGGAAGTCCTAATGACAAAATCGAAAGAGGCAATGATTTTTGATTAACTTCCACCTGCTTTTATCCTTTGAAAATAAAAGTAAATAATAAGTGTATTTCACCTCTTAAATCACTTAAATCAAGGTTTGAAAAAATCATCCCATATTTGATTTAGCAAAGACAAGTTAACTTCAAAACAAAAAAGGGGAATTTTATTGTCAATCAGTAATCTTCCTGTTTCCTTGTTAGTGACAGATCATACCTCACCTTTGTTACTTTTCTATTCCTTTTTACTTTGGGAAACATTCCCTCACCGGCTGTCTGTCCTCCAGATGCTTATTAACATTTGTACTTTATTTTGATCATGAAAATGTTACTAGATCACTCAGTCTAAAAACCACCAACATTTACCTTTGCACTGGAGTATGTCATTGAACTTAAAACAAATGAAACTGGTTTTCAACCTATTAAAACTTCCTTTGTGTTTCAAATGTCAAAAAATGCAACTTGCTATTACCTCAAGCATCCAAAATACTCCACTCCTCTTGTGGGATTACTCTCCTCAATCATGAGCTATAATAAAGAGATGAGACTACACCCTTGAAGCAGACACACTTTGGAAAACACCCCTGTCAAGGACAAGAACAGCATCAGATGCAGATGGTGTCAGGTTTAACAACACTTGCATCATATGCATCAAAAGGCCATCAATATTTAAACAATCACAGAGCCTTTTGGTACATGCTATGCAATGCCAAGCTACTTTTGGTTATAACAGGGAACCTTGATAGATGACAGTTCAGTGTGTATGCATGCAATTTGCAATTAAATCTGGCAGTATTTTTTCTTGCACCTGCAGCAAGTAAGAATACTTGTATTAAACATACACAAGATACAAAAAGAACTGTCAATTGAGAGTTTTCAATCAAGGTTCTACATTGAAAGACCTTTACAATTTCAGGCTGGTCAAGCACAAGCCACAAGATTAGAATTTAGAACAATTTTTTTTTAAAATGTCTGTTGTGGTTCAGTCTTCAATTAGTTAAAATTTTGACAAACTACTTTATTTTTTTTTTCTTTTTCTTTTGTCTTACATTCATCATCTTGATCTAAAACAAAGAAATAAAAACATCTAGCAAGTTTGAAAACTTTCCTGCCAATATGAAATTTAAACTACAACATGATTCAAATACTGGTCATGTGGCCTGTGGTTGAGCAATTCTCAAGAGAACCTTGCTTTATTTACATGGCCATCAACTGTAAAGAACCAAAAGCGTGCTGTAAGATGAATTCAACTGGATCTGATACTGTTCTTAAGGAGGCAGTACTGAACTCAGGGCAGAGTCAAAGACTACCATCACTTGGCAGTCTCTTCCTTTACCCAAAGTTGTACTATCACAAAAGTTGTAAAAACTGCTTGTCACTTCAGGGATGCAGTCTTTCCTCTGTTAAAGCTCATGAAAGAGGAGAACGGTACAAAAATTGTGACTCTAGTTCACTAACATTTTTTTTAAACTTTTGACTTTGCAAAGTGGAGTGGACTCTCTTGAAGGAAAGATACAGAGTATACACTCCATATACACACTGACAAAACAAGGCAAAGAATCTTGATCAAACAAGTAGACATTGTATAATGAAAAAAGGTTAACCAAGATTTCAGTTACTCAATATGAAGGGAGCATTTCAATTTAGTTTCATTACACCAAATCCAAAGACCTCACACCAACCAACAAAAAAAACATGCATGAGCACACTGTGCAGCAGAGAAAAGAAACCAGAAAGAATTTTTGAACAGAGCTTTTTCCCCTTTTTTAAGCTGAACCCCTCCAATATTCAGGGGTACTATTTATTATAAGTGATTGCTGAAAGAAAAACTTGATGCTTCTTATATAGTTTCCATCCGATGTTCTTCCTGATGACTCCCATAACAAAAAGCAGTCTTGAAAAATACAACATGAATGGGCTATCACAAATCTATCATTTGTTTTTTTCCACTGTTAAAAATAACATGCCTGGATATTAGTTAGAGTTCTAAAATTAACCTGAGGAACTGGTTGAATTTCAAGTCTTTGAAGCAGATCTGACACTTGCTGTTCCATTTCAGGACTGATAGCAACATCATGAGGTTCAATCTAATTTGTTGAAATGAATAACAAAAGTTAAGAAAGGTAATTTTCATTTCACAAGAACTTGCAATACATTACATTACCATGTTAAGAAAAATGATAGAAAAAATTACATCAATAAGAAAACAAAAGGGGTTCTGACAACACAAAATAACCAAGGAAAATAATAAAAAAAAGGAAGGGTGGTAGCTCTAGTGCCTTAAATTATTGTTAACAGTGTTTAGATACTATTTTATTATTAATAATATTAAAAAAAAAAATTACTCAGTTCTGATTGGTTAAGATAAATGCAGTTTTCAGGTAATTCAATACAGAAGAGAGTTAATTCAGTGCAAAGAAAGTAACAAACCAGACATTCTGATTGGTCAATAATCAAACAAACTCCAAATAGCCAATCAAATGAGAGCCTTAGATGTTGCAATATTTGGCTACAATGAAAATTTGCAAGCAAAATAATAGCTGGTGTTTTAATTAGGTTTTCTTTTGCCACTGCAACAACAATACAGCAGCTGAAAAACAGCTTTAACAATGAAAACACTGTAAAAAGCACTGCTTTTTGGGTGTCAGTTCACGCTGAAATTGAAAATAAACATGGTCAAACCTCACAAATGACCATTCCATTCCATTGAAAGTGATTTGAACACAGACTGAACAATTCCTTGAACTGTTTAGCCTGACTTTGATTTTTTTTGCACCTTAAAGATGTGAAAATATCATTGTATATTGCTGTTTTGATCATACGTGGTTGTTTTGACTGAATGCACCGGTTTGAATAAATCATTTTTGCACTTGATGTGTGCACTTTGCTTCTACATAATCATTATAAGCTATCTCGTATTTTTCATGTATATTATTAATATGTAATCACACAATTTTTCTCATGCAGTTTGGAATAAATAAGCACTTATAAATTTTTTCAAAGACCACAAATTGCACTCGCCCTACACACTTGTGCAATTTTGTTAGTCTTTGAAAATGCTTATTTATTCCAAATAGTACTCAAAATCAGGTGATTATCTTTTCTAAACTAAACTATTCTTGGTATGCTATAAGTTATGAAATAATAGAATAAGTGTTAGGAGTGTAGAGGAACATATGTATGATAGATTTAAACATTCTGACAGTAAAACCTCCTCACAAGTGCCACGGGGCCCGGATAGCAGCAGAAAGAAGACAGGATAGGTGGGGGGACCCTATGTCAGTTAAGATAATGCAATATTGAGGAGAGGGAGTATGAGTTTCCAAGAAAGGTAAGTTTTGTACTCTAGCCAACTAGCCCACCCAGCTAGAGCTTATCTGGTTTCCATAGCATAAAGCCAGCTAGAATATTATTGCTTTATCTGGATGGGATGCCAGTTCATTGCAAGGTTACACCCCAGCATTTCATCAAGCTTCCTTGACAATTTGCTGGTACCCATTCATACTTCTGAATGGAGAGAGGCACTGTGACAATAAAGTGTTTGCCCAAGAACACAACAAACAAAAGACATGGCAAGGTCTCTGATTCAAATTTCTTAACCCTTTAAATCATTACAATACCCAGCAAACAGGTAATAAGAATACTCAACTTTATCAGGTAGAAGTTGTTATCTTGATTTAACAACAAATTCTCTGAACTAATTCACAGAAATGTGTAACAGCTGGAGGAGAGAATTCACAAACAGATCTTGGGAGTTAAAGAGTAAAACCCCTGTCCAGAGCACTAACCATTAAACATGTAGGCCACCATATCTTTCACCACAGTTACGAAAACATTCTGTTTTATATCAATGCTTTCCACTGAGGTTACAGCGATCAGAATAAGCCAGTGTCATCTCAAAAGATGTTTGCTTACTTTTGATATTGATTCTCTCTTCACCAGCACTAATACCAAACTCAGCCATGAAGCACTCACCTCATCTGTTTTTGTTTTCTTTGGTTGAACTTGACCTGGTTCAGCAGCCTCCAACACTCCCATGTGAAACAATTGTCGAACAAGACTTAAAGAAGTGTTCTGTGCAGCTTGTTTCTTAGTGGAAGCATGTTCTTGAGCAGAAATAGCTGCAAGTAAATTCAGTTCACTAATCAGTCTATGTGGCACATAAATACAATTAATTAGTTCCCTATTCATCCATCCACTGATCAGTTAATTAGTAGGAGGATGAAAATTAAGTTATAGTTTTTCTTTCCTTCTGGTCATTAGTCAAGTTACTCATTCTACATTCTACCAAGGTTTGACTTCTATTGGGAGCACTCAGAGTTCTTTTTCTCCCAATATGCCCCTGTCATTCAATGAAGAACATCTTCTTTCCCTTAAAAATCAATCCCCTTGAAATTTGCCATCTTCTTTTACATCACCATTGGGCAGAAGTGTTACATATCTACATTCCTATCCTAGCAGCACGCAAGAAGTTTGTCATGATGGATGTAGTTTATAGGTCTAGCCTGCCTCAAGTCTCCTATATTACAGCTCAGTGGTAGAGCATTCAAAGTACTAATCAGAGGGTCTTAGGTTTCACTCCTATATATTTATTATTTAGGAGCATTTGGGGTTCTTTTTCCCTGTGTATGTCACTGCCACTCACTAAATAACATCATCTTTCATTCTGCATTTTTTACAACATCATTGCAGCCGAGGCAAAAAGCCATATTTTTCAAATTAAAGTGGTTAATGTTCATTAATAATAAAAACCATTGAAATCTTTTCTATTTCTGGCACTTACTTCTTCGGTGAGACTTCACAAAAATAGATAATTCAGCAACAAAATGTCTAGTAAGAAAGAGCAAATCAGTATGCTTGCAAAGTGTTTAATCTATTTAGTACCTTCAGGAAAAAAAACTAAATACCAATCATATTAACCATGATAGTACATTTCCTCAATAAGCACTCTCCACCAAATAAGTGCCCACCCCACAACAAAATGTCAAACAAGTGCTCCCCCTCCTTGTTCACTCTGTTGTATAATAAGGATGCAAGGAAAGCCTGTTTCTATGACCACTTAATTCAAACCTTTAAGCTTCAACTACGGCAGAATCAGTGGAAGAGAAAAGTTTTTTTCCCCTCTCCAATCATTTCTATCTCTGTATGCTTGCAGGGTTTCCTTATGTGTGTTACCGGTATCTGTTCTTTTCATTTCTGTCCTTTAGCTGTGCTAACTTAATACATGCCCCCCTCCACCCCTGGGCCCCCCTTATTAATTAAGCACCCCCTTTATGACAAGCACCCACCTTCCAATAAGCACCCCCCTTGATTTAGCACCCTCCCTCCTATGGGCACCCCCATAAGTAAATAAATAAAATAAGCACCCTCATTCCAAAAAGAGCCCTTCTTCCAATACCCCCTCCTTCCAATAAGTGCCTCTTCTTTCTACCAAAATTTCAAATTAGCACCGTGGTGCTTATTCAAGGAAATAGGGTTTTATACAACAGTGTAAAAAAATAACAACATTTTGATTAATTTTAAAATGTGAAATATTTTGTTTTCTAATAAGACCTACCTTTTAAAAGTATGTTCAAAAACTAACATTTCATTTGTGCAATTCACACATCCGAAAATATAAAAAATTTTCAAACATTCCCTCAGGAGCAAAACCTAGCCCTTTGAGAAAACTAGTCTACATTTCTGCTTAAGAGTCTGGTTACGAAAAGTGTCTTTTAAGAGGACTAGAGCATGTGTACCTGTTGTGGTCTGGACCCCCTGCAGAATATTTGAAATCAGCAGGAATTCTGTTCTGCTGCAGATACTGATGCAGCCGAGACTTGGCATTAGCTAATGTCCAGTTTCCATGAAGATGAGCATTTAGATCCACATCTTCAGCCTAGGATATAATAAATGTAACCAAAGATTTTACATATGTATATAAATAATAAAGGGGTAAGTTTCTAAAGAAACTGTGGTGCTGCGTCGGTGGGAGAGTATAGCAGGTAATTTAGTGTTAACAACTGGGTTGAAAACGTAAATTAGCCACCATAAAGGCTAAAAAAGCTGACGTTTCGAGCGTTAGCCCTTCGTCAGAGCGATTAAATAATACATATCCACCATATCCAACCAGGTTTGCAGTTATCCCTTGGAACTTGAGAATTAATATTTGGTAATACTAAGGTTTAGGAGGTAAAACAAGATTTTTATTGCTCCAGAGAATCCCCCATTCAGAAATGAGAATCAAAGACAAACTTGATGAGTGTTTTTTTTTTTAACGGGAGGGGAAGGGGGGCGCATGATAAAATGCCATTTGATTTAGGACAGACTCCTAGATTCTCCTTCCGAGTTTCCTGTATTCCCTTATTAAACAGCTGAGGGAGAAGTAATTGTTGCTTCAAGAGTCACTCAAAGCTTTATCCACCCACCTCTCAAGTCCTAGTAGACTTAACAGATACGCACCTCTTCAAACTTTCTTTTATTGTACAGGCTATAATGGTAATCTCTCTGGCCAGCTCCACTCCAACTATCCATTTGACTTGTACCAGGTGCTGTTCCACCTGCACAGAAAAACAAATCAGCTGCACCATTAAAATTTTTAAGTCTAATTTCCTCCTGGCTAACAATCAGTGACAAAATTGTTGACTTTCTATCACTGAAACTTAAAACTCTAAAAGAGCATACCAATTTTATTCCTAGTACCTTTTTCACCCCTGCTCCCTCTGTACTATATATACTTTGTTTTCTGTGATTATACAATATTGAATAAGGTATGGGGTATTTTATCAAATTGCCCAGCATTTCTAAATACATCATTTCTAAAGTGAAAAAAATTATTAGAGCAAGTTCACAACTGGTCACTGTATGGCAGCAATAAAATTATTCTGGTTTTCACCATTATATTGTCAATTTTTTTTATTTATAATGGTAATTGAACTGAGTGGAGTGCAATTTGGGCTGAAATCATATGTATGATTTCAAAATCGAATGAGTGTGCAGTGCGAGTTCAATTTGAAGTATGATTTCAGACCAAAATTGCACAACACGAGGTTCAATTACCACTTTATTACATCCATTTTGAAATCACCCAAATACAGGACTTGGTCAGTTCAAATATTTTATTAATGCAGTACTGAACTGGTTTGAAATTAATTTCATCCATTTTTGGGGGGAAAAATTGGAGTTTTGGAAACAAAAATTACAAAATTTGCCACATGATACTCTTTGTCTTTCATTTTCCTGCAATTTGATCGGTTACTTTAAACAAGCCTCGAAATATGATGGGTTGTTTTGTTTTTAGTGTGGCTTGCTCATTGGCTTGGAAAAAGATGTGATTTAAAGCAGAAAATAGTGCGATTCATGAATAAATTGCACCTCTAGAGCCAATCAGATAACAGGGACCACCAGTGATTTCAAAATGGATGTAGTAAAGACTTAAAAAAAGCTTACATAAGCCTGAAAATTGATCAGAAATAAAAAATTTAATGTGATAATTTCGTGGTTCTGGGGTTGCTTGTTTCTTTTGAACCTTACCATGATTAGAAAGTGAATGATTCACCTGTCAGTATCAAATAAAAGAGTTCACAATTGTCTCCCTAAAACTTTCCAAAATGTTGAAAAAAATGGTTTTGTTAAGGTGACAGAGTTGTTACAGTCCCACTGGAGAATGAAAATTAACTATGCACAAGCAGTGGATTAAACCAGTTCATAAATGAACCACAGACCTTGCTGCATCATAAGAAGGGGTGGTTGTGATGGAAAAGACTTCCCCTGTGTTGGTCCTGATTGTTGGTTTTGATTCTGCATTAGCTGCATCGGAGGAGCTGGTGCTGCAGATGATGGAAGCTGCTGTTGAGATGGCATGGAAGCTGATGATGATGTAGGTCCTTCTCCCTGTTTTGAACAAAAATCACTTTACATGTTAATCTTGGAGGTATCTCATGTGAGCCTTATTCTTGCTTCAGCAACGAAAGAAAAACCACTGACAGTCACATATTTCAATAATCACCTGTTATCATATGACCCATATGGCCCTCCTACTCAGTCAATAAGTAGATATTCTTTTAGGGGGTGTGTATGTAATACCAGGGCAACTTTTAAATTCCTGAGTTCAAACTAGTTTCCTTTAACAACCCTGAGTTTGTTTATGTGATATCAACAAAATTTATCAAAGGGTAAAGTAAAGAAATTATTGGCATAAGTTCACAACTGGTCACTGTATGACAGCAAATAAAAATATTCTGGTACAAAATATTGCAATGGTATCATGAAAACAAAGAACAACCACTTTTTCAGTGGCCACAGTCCACTGGATTGCAATTAGTGGTATGGGCTGTAATATATAGATTTAGCCAAGCCTAAAAGCGGAGCTCGCATTTTTTTTCCTGCACATCTCAAGGGCACATTGCCTTGCCCCAAGTCAGGACTAGAACCTGGGTCGTCCGACTCAGAGCCCAGTGCACTGACCACTGGATTACTGAACAAAGCTGTGGTGTTGGCGTGCCCGCAGCACATTTGACCATGCATGCTAGTATGGTCGTATGGTTGTACGGTCGTACAGTCGTAAATCCAAATTTTTTCGGCTTGATGGGTTACTGTGATTTTGTATAATTATGGGGCTACGCTCTGCAGGTTCCATTATAATTTTCCTCCAGCAAAGATGGCATATCATGATGATTGTCAGGGTAGACATGGGACAAGGAGAAAACAGATGAATTATTTAAATGGTAGAAGTCATCCTGGTATAGAACTAGCAACAGTGCAGGTTTTCTCTGTGGAGAAATCGAGGTTTACAACATCTATCAAAAAATATCCAAGAAACTTTTTTCCTGACAACTGAACATCAATCCAACATATACAGTAGATGTCTTCATTAAAAGAAGTCCACATGTTAATGTGCAGTGTTAATTAATAACACTTACTAATAATGATGAAATAAATTATGATACACCATACAACTCACAAATAAATCATCTGGAAATGAATCTGGAGGAATAATTCCAGCTCCGATCAGGAAACCACAGAAATCCTTAGCAGCATTAGTTTCAGCATCTTTCTTGCTGGTAGCACTTCCAAGGCCCACATAATCAAATCCATCTATTTGAACCTGCAGTTTAATAATCGGAGCGATCGAGTTTAGAGAAAGGAGCAACTTCAGAATACCCCGCTACTCATTTACATGTCATTGAATAAGAATAGCGTCTATTGTGTTATGCCTCGATCTTCAAAGCCTCCCGACACATGTAAGTGAGGCGGACCAAAGGTATTCTGAAGAAAACAGATCTTTTCATATGCACCTCACAGGTGGCCAAATTTAACCTGTGCAGTATGTTTTTAAAGGAAAAAAAAGCTTCAAGAAAGCTAGCAAATTCAACGTTCGCTGGATGTTTACCTGGAATTTGAAAGTTCCCTGAGTAGAAGGTCTTTCTGTGTAGACAGGTCTGGTTTTGCGTTTTCCACAAAAGGCGTAGAGAAAGTTCTTGAACTGAGCGGCCGACATTTTGCCGGGACCATGCGAGCATGCGAACGAGGCGACTTGACCTCCTTCCGTCTTCTTTTGACAGGGGTAGGGAGGAAAAGTAGTTATTAAAAACTCTTGTTATTTCAAAAGTAAAATTGGTTTTTGTGATGCTTATATCTAAAAATTAATTCTTATTTAGAAATTTAAAAAAATTCGTTTGAAGCAATGTATGCAATGTTTGGCTCTTTTTTTCAATAATGACATTTCGTCTTCCTCTACTCTCCTCTCCTTTGGGATTCGTTGTATCACGTGACTAAACGCTTTATTGGGGCGATTCCGAGGAGACTACAGGCGATTCGTTCACAAACCCTGTGTGTTTTGCCGTCTAGTCTTGTGGTGAAGAAATATTCAGAATGGCTGAGGTAGATTCTCGTCAAATTGCTATTCTAGAAACCGTCGAAGATATTCAAAACCGTCGTGAACAGGTTTTGCGGCGCTATGCAGAGTTCAAAGAAGCAACTCGGGTTCGGCGCCAGCGCTTGGAAGATGCCAAGCGCTACCATCAATTCAAACGTGATGCTGATGAAGTGGAAGCTTGGATCAATGAGAAACTTCAGATCGCTTGCGACGAAAACTACAGAGATCCAACCAACCTTCAGGTAGGTTTTGAAAGGATTAAGAGACAACTATGGTCAATACTTTAGTGCTTTATTTGCCATTTAGGATTCAAAGCTTGCTCTCCTTCGACAACGCCCCAAGCAAACCTTTGTCGAGAATACAAAATTTATTCGCTTGATTTTACTTGGTTTGATGCAGATTGTGAGTAAAAGATCGGGTTTTACATATTTTCTGACCTGTTTTTGATAAAATGTTACTTGTGTGTAGATCTCATGGAGAAATAGTTTTCACAACAGTCTGTGTCACAAAATATCACGCTGGAATTCATGTGCGTGACCAGACATTACTTAGACGCCATACAGCAGTTTGATTGATCAAATTTAGAAATTCGCGATCACTCTTCCATGGCGCGATGGGCTATGAGATGATCGAGTGCGAAATCATCTAAAGGAAAGTGCCACAAGAATTATTATGTGAACTCTGGTCTGATCTCAGCAAAGTGCAACCATATATACTATGCAAATTATTCAAAGCACGCGCCACGTTCGAATGGAGCAGCTGGTTACTAGAAAGCGCCAGAAACTCTGATTAATTAATCTTCGCTGAGTGGCGTGATCAACTCAATCGTGCTTTATCATCTGGTTTCTTAGATTGAGTAATTCGTGTAAGTCGCAACGTTTTGAGTCGGAAAGTTGTTTTGCTAATCTGCATCGAATGTTGAAACGAACAGATTTTGTGAATTACTACGTACACAATGCATGAATTCAGATTTTGAATAAAAAAGTAATGATAAGCAGGGAACTTGAAGAGTGCTGCAAGAATCATCTCCCCTCTTACTCTCTCTTACTAGCAATATATGAGTTGACCTAATCAAGTGTGCATAGTTTCAATGCCCAATACTTTGATATGGGGTATACAATTCATCATCATTGATCATTTAGCCATTAGTAAAGAACAGCAAAATTTTGTTTGCACCAGCCCATATCTCTTTGGAGTTGAAACAAATCAGTTATATGAATAAATTGCTAATAAGTTTTGTTAGCTTCCAAACTAAAGGGAGAAAGTACAAACTATGATCAATACAAGGATGTTTTATCTGCTCTCATGGATTCAAAGTTTGATCTTGTTTGTCAATGCCCAGAGCAAACTTTTGTTGATATTACAACGTTTATCTTATCTCTGATCAGAGTTGAAACTAATATATTATATAAGTGTATTATTAGTAAGTTTTTTTAGCTTCCACCTGGTCTGAATGTCATTGTTGAAGATTTCCACATAGCCCTATATTTCACTATGTTTACAGTTCTTGGATTATGGGAACAATGGCAAAAACAACAGATTGTATTTGGGACAATGGCTTTGTTTTAGAATAGTCTGGGAAATGAGGAAATATGTCTAAAACTTCAACAACCTCAACATAAATGCTTTCAAAAAATGTTTTTAATATACACATCCATCCAATTTTTATGAACTGAAAAATTTTTATGATTCGAGAACATTACCAAACTATAAAAGGCTAAAATTTACTTTAATATTTTACTTTTCTTTCTAATAGTGTTAATGACACATTTTCACCTCAATGTAGCATACAAACCTTATTTTGGATGCAAAATACAAGTAGCTTGGGAAACAATCTGCAAAATGTTTTGGTTTTAACTGTGCAATTGTCATCTTTGTGTTGTCCAGGGTAAACTCCAGAAACATCAGGCGTTTGAAGCAGAGATTTCAGCTCACAGCAATGCCATTGTTGAACTCCAAGAAAATGGTGAAGGCATGATCAGTGAGTCCCACTATGCCTCTGAACTTATCAGGGTGAGTTTCAATTAGTGCCTTTATTTTGTTCCTAAATACTACATGCAAAAGATATCCATGCATTTTGATTTCACTTAAGATATAAAACACAGCTTGCAGAGATGAGGGCAAACCCACAGTTTTTTCATTTGAAAGAATTGCATTTCCCAGGAAGGAGATTCATGCAAATTGTGTAACTTATACAAACTGTGAGATTAGGAGTGAGAGTAGAAAATCAAAAAGTCTTTGAAGAAGGGAAATGAAACTTGCCTTTGCCAAAACATGGGAAACAAAACTAACAAGTAAATAGCTAATAAAATGAACTTGACTGTAACAAGCTTATATGAGAATTTTAATTGGCTTTCGATGATCATTTTTTCTTTTATTAAATTAGAAACAAATACTCAACACATCCTCAAATGATCATTTCTTCAACAGGAACGTCTTGACTCACTCATCAAGCTATGGGAATTGCTGCTGTCCAAATCAGCAGAGAAAGGCCGCATGCTTCTCTTTACTCAGAAAAGAGTCCACTTCTTGCATGAAACAGAGGAAGTTATGTCATGGATTTTAGAAAAAGTGAGTCCTGATTATACCTGTAGATATTTTAAATGCTCATTGCAGATATCTTTGCATCAGTAATATTGTCATTCCAACCTTTGTAATAAGAAATATTTTCATTTCAACTTTTCTCCTTGTGGATGTAAATGTAGCAAACTAAAAAAAAAATACACGTATATTATTCAGTACTAAAAGTATGCACAATATTTTATACTTAAGTAAAGTTGTTTTTTGAAAAATGTAGGGTTTCTGCATTTTCCATGGATTTTCAGTTTCATTGAAAAGTCTGTTAGTAAAATTGTTATTGTTTTGTTTGTTATTCAGGAAGCAATTGCCACTTCTGAAGAAGTAGGAAGAGATTTGGAACATGTGGAAGTTCTTCAGAAGAAATTTGAGGACTTCTTGAAGGATATTCAGGCAAATGAATCAAGGGTCACATACATCAATGAGCTTGCACATCAACTTGGAGATGAGGGTCATCCAGATATAGAACTGATCAGTACAAAGCAAGCGGTAAGAAGTTAAAGCTTAGCTGGATAAAATAAGCTTGAATCAGGTATTAATGATTCAAGGAGAACTTATTTTATAGCTCTATCAGAGGAGCATGCAATGTGATGATAAATCCTTGTAGGATTGTCTGCACAGGGTGACCTTTTCCAGAACAAGCAAAAAAGGAAATCACATACTCTTCTCTGTTTTTTGAAGTTAAGCAAGTTTGTTCAGGTTGTCAACATGTTCAGTGGACATACATTGTGCCCTTTCAGGATTGGGTACCTGGAATGTTGTATTTCTGTTATTGTTCAATTTAGTTCCCTCCTTCAAATATTGAATGTGTCTGTTAATAGTGCCTATACCCTTGAAGGCACTGCTTTTAGGTACATATCCTCAACTTAAATCAAACTTTCTGCTTGTACATGAAAAACTTAATAATAGCAGCCTTTCATGTTAGCCCTTTAATAGACACGCCTTCAATTTATAGGGCTTTAATACATGTTAAGTTACTGGTTTTTTAATTTTAGGAAGTCAATGAAGCTTGGGAAAGGCTGAAGATGCTGGCACTCAAACGTCAGAAGAGACTGGCAGGTGCCCAGCAAATACACAGCTTCTATCGGTAAGAAGCCATGTTATTCTTGGTAATACTACTTTTGCTTTGCTCTAACTTTTTTTAATCGTAAAACAGGGTTTATGTCAAAAACGGTTATGGCAGAAGGAAAGTTTAAGGTAACAGGAAAAAGTTTCAACTGGTCAGAATGAAATTTACATGTAGCTCAGGTTATAAAAACATAGATGGAGAATTTCATGCATAGGTCAGAGAATTCTTCAGTCCTTGATGCCTACTTAGCACCTTGTTAATGCAAGCCAAGGTATAGAATCTGACTTTACGAGAAGCTCCTTTTTAGCAATACAAGATCTGCCTCAACTGCAACTGAGTCTTTGAACTACCACTTTTATTACTATTTTCATTGTAAACAATTGAATTAAAAGTGCAGCTTATATTGCATTACATCAGCTGTACATGTATGCACATAAACCATAACACTGAAGCTGTAACTTAAATCTATTTTAACCAGTGATGCTGATGAGACCAAGAATTGGATCAATGAGAAAGACAAAGTTCTGTCATCAGATGATTATGGAAAAGATCTGGCCAGTGTCAATGCTCTGTTACGCAAACATGAAGCTCTAGAAAGAGATTTGGCTGCAGTGGAAGATAAGGTAACTCCTTTTTTCCTCAGAAAGCTGACTTTTATATTTTACTAATTTAAACAGATATAATCCACAAAAAAAAACCAGATTTGACTGTATTCAGATATCAAAACTGACCAATCATAACTAGAAAACATAACTTGTGTTTTAAAGCCAATCACATTTTGACAAAACATAGCAATCAGTTTTTGCAAACCAATCTTAAAATGCCAGAGAGACCTATGACCCTTCTCTTGTCTCTGATAAAGACTTAAACACAGATTTTAGCTATATCAGTCACTGTTAGCATTAACAGTCCTCTTCCCTTGCTCAGGTAATTAGAATAAGGTTAATAATTTCTGATCTATCAACTGACTACTGAATACTCCTTTTCTAGGTCACTGCCCTTGGTTCAGAATCTGCACAGCTGCAAGAGGCATATCCAGAAAGTGCGGATGAGATAGCTGCTAAGCAAGATGAAATAGTAACTGCCTGGGGAAATCTTAAGGAGAAGGTGCTGTTCAAAGTCTTTATACTGGAGCTCACTACCCAAGAATCTGAGGGTGAAATCTGAAGGATTAAGGTTTTATTCCTCTTGGGGTCTTTGAATTGTTTTCCTTTGTGCAGCATTCATGTCAAGACAAAAAATGCCCTTTGCTTTTACATTACCAAGCTCAAAATTTACCACCCTAGGTATCCTATTTATACAATTAAAATGCTATTCTTAGTTAAAAATTTATCTTATGTTTGTTATTTATGCAGTATGAATGATCCCTTTGAACTAATTGTCATACATGTATATATGGTATCTTTCAGTCTGGGGTGCGAAAAGCAAGGTTGGAGGATTCTTATCGTCTGCAAAGGTTCATTAGTGACTACAGGTGAGAGGCATTAAGAGTTTTTCAATCACTATAACTTTGCTTTTGTACACTGAGGTCTGCTGCATATACATTTAGGTTCAATAACAGCCAGCTGGAATAGTCTAGTAAGAGAAATTAAATGTGCTTCCTGTTGTCAAGGAAAAACTATCTAAATTTCTCAATAACCAACCTGAGATTCTAGTGTGATTGCAGTGTTCATACATGCATGGTGTAACCTTTCAGCTTTCATCCATGTGATCAGGCTAACAGGACTTCTCTTACGAAAATGCAAGCTGTTTTGAAAGGAAAATGTAAAGCAAAGGCTGTTCAGTTGACAAAGGCTGTTCTGACTGCACCATATCTTAGACTGATAATTTTATTCACGTTTATCAATTGAAGGCATGTTTTTCCAGCTGACTCACACCAGTATATGTGTTCTTACTTTTCTTCAAACAACTACCTTTATTTTCACCCCATGATTTTTTCATTTGATTCTAGGGACCACATTTCTTTTATAAATGAAATGAAAGTCTTGATCCAAAGTGATGAACTGGCAAAAGATGTAGCTAGTGCAGAAAGTCTTCTGGAACGTCATCAGGAACATAAGGTGAATGTCATTTTTACCCTTGACTCATTTTTTCCTGAGGTCTTCTTGTTAACATGCAATTCTTTCCTTGTATCCATTAGGGTTATATTGATGCATCAGAGGATGGATTTAAGAAGTTTGCCGATGATGGAGAAGAACTTGTCAATTCCAATCATTATGCTACTGATGAGATCAAAGAAAAGGTACTTAATCAAAAGTTTCCCTGTTTTTTTCCATACTTTTAGCAGTGGATGTGTTCAACAACAATAATATTATAATGTAATAAAATATGTGCTTATTGTTGATGGTGGTGTAAGATAGGAGATGAACTTTGTTTGTTTGTGTCATGATAGAGTCACTTTGTTGTAGATGGTGACATTTTGACTGCAATACTGCTAGTCTTCATCAGGCAATGAGGTTGATAGTTTATGTGTCTATCAACCTCATCACCTGATGAAGACTAGCAGTATTGCAGTTGAAATGTCACAGTCTACATCAAAAGTGACTCTATCGTGAGACAAACAAGCAAAGTTCATCTCCTACCAATAATATTAAAAAAAGTTAATATATCTTTGTAATGCCCTGAAGGACAGCTGATGTAATTATGACCTAAATTGTTTTAATTATCCTTTAATTTTAAGCTGACATTAATTGGCAAGAAAGTGTTTACTCCAAGTGGTTAACCCTTTGACCCCTAAGAGTGACTTGCATCTAATTTCTCCTTACAATATCATCCCTGAATCACACATTATGTCGCAAGAATGAAGGAATGTTTAATTACTTAAGATGCTTTTAATTGTTAAACACATTCTCCTTGTCAGCACCTTATGAAATGCACGTAGAACAGTATGAAGAATATGCTTTTTGATGTTACGATGCAAATGTTTAATAGGCAAGCAGGTGTTTATTCCAAACATTTAACTTTGCTCTCCTTTTAGCTTGCTAGTCTGGAGACTGAGAAAATGGAACTGTTGGAGCTGTGGGAGAGGAGACGTGTGCAGTTTGAGCAGTGTATGGAGCTGCAGCTTTTTAATCGAGATTGTGAGCATGCAGATGCCACTATGTCTAAACAAGAGGTTGGAATACATTTGTCTGATCTTGTAGTATATCATTTGACCCTGAAAAAGATTATTCTGGTCTTCATGAGACCTTGATTGATCACTTCTTCTGAAGCAGGCACAGTTTACCTGTTTGTAATTTAATCTGTGGCATGAACCTGCAACATCAAATGAGTTTACTCATAACAGATGTTTAAATGTGCCTGTTAATGCCAGGGCATTGCGAGCCTTGACTCGTTTCATTATGGAGCTAAATTCAGTGATGTTGTCATCTTCACTTTCCATAAGAAAAAAAATTTGTGTTAACTATTCAGTTACCAGCAGTATATTGATGTCTTCACAAGATTCACCAAAATACAGTTTTATTGTGTCTTCAACAAGGAAAATGCTGAGAAATTGTATTTCTGATCCTAGCACATTTCAGCACTGTTATAGAATGAAGATGAAATTGTACCAAAAATACATAGATGTTTTGCTTTTTTCCTTGTGTATCACTAAATATATGTTGTGGAAGTTGTTTTTATTTACTGAACATTTTTAACAGGCCTTCCTTGCTGATGATAACCTTGGTGATTCTCTCGATGGAGTAGAAGCTCTGATCAGGAAGCATGAAGACTTTGACAAATCTTTTGCTGCCCAAGCAGAGAAGATCAATGTGAGTACATTACAGCAGTTAACATTTCTCTTGAAATTCACCATGGATTTTACTGTACCTTAACTAGGTAATAACACACAGAGACAAGAGCTTTGTACATACATGTAGCCTGACTTTCCTTTGATGCCTCTAAAGCTCATTGTTGTCAAGAGAGCATCACAGAGGTTTTGATCTTCATGGAGAGCTCAGACTTTTTTCCAAAGCACCATTTATTTAAAACACATACCATAGGAAAAACTTCTGGACTATACGATATTTTAATATACAACAAATTACTAATTTATGCTCCTTTGTTCCTTCGTCTTTCAGAGTATTGACGAGTATGCAAACCGCCTTGTTGACAGCAATCACTATGCCTCAGATGAGGTGCGTGAGAGAAGAGATGGTATAATGGAAAGGCGTAATAACATTGGGGAGTTGTCCAAGGCACGCAGGTTGAAACTTGAGGAATCTCGTAAACTGCAGCAGTTTGAGAGAGACTGTGATGAAGTAAAAAGCTGGATTACAGAAAAGCTGAAGATTGCCAGTGATGAATCTTACAAGGTGAGAAATAGTATTTTTGCTCACACAAAAACATTGGGGTTACCCAATATCTGGCTCTACCTATAACTACTTGTATCACAAGACTACAGTTAAGCTTTTGAGGCCTTTGGCATGTCAGCACATCTTCATTTAAAGGTAACATGGTTGAGGGAATACAAGACAGTTCCACAGATTCTAGATTGGGTCTTAACTTTCAAGAGTCCTTCCAACCTTTTAAGTGTTAATATGGTGCTATTTAATCAAGGAAAAAGTCCTTGATTGCTTTTGGAAGAATTTTATAAAATATGAGCAAATCTCAAATGTTACTACTGCAATCCATACACAATATTACTGTAAGTTATTGTTTGTAACAAAATACCACTTTTGAAATCTTTAGGATCCAACTAATCTGCAAGGAAAGATCCAGAAGCACCAAGCATTTGAGGCTGAGTTGAATGCCAATCAAAGCCGGCTTGATGCAGTTGACAACACTGGTGAACAACTGATTGGAGATGAACACTATGCCTCAGATCAAATCAGAGAGAGACTTGATGAACTGCATAAGTTGTGGGCCTATCTGTTTGAGAGATCAAATGATAAAGGTACTTTACATGTGACTTATAAAACATTTTTGATTCAAGACATTACAGATATCCTTACAGGTCCAACGGTTACAATTTGGAGAGTGGTGAAGCATACCTGTACATATAAAGTAGAAAATTACACTTGCGAAGTGTTGATTGAGGCATTTTTTCAAACCCTTTGTATTTTCAACTAGAGTTTCAGGACTGGAAATAACTCTTTACAAAAACAATTAAACAATTATACTGGAATGTATATAGTAGCTTGTGGGGATATCAAATGAAGTTTTTTCCTCTTATTTGGAATTCAGGGTTGAAATTGAAAGAAGCAGCACAGCAACAGCAGTTCAACCGGTGAGAAGTGACACAAAACATGTGATCTACTTTCCCTTAATACTACGTTTACATGTATTTCAAGACTTTTCTTGTTATATTAACCTAGATGTTAAGTCCTCACAGATGTGCAGAACAATAACTACTCTATCATCACACTCTGAGAAATGTCTTGTGACATCAATGTTATTGAATGCATTTTGATATGTTATGAACTTGTTATCATGCAGAGGTGCTGAAGATGTTGAGTTGTGGTTCACTGAAGTTGAAAACTTGCTTGCTCTTGAGGATGTAGGAAAGGTATGTTATTTTGAAAAAAATAATAAAACCCATACCTGTACTTAAATCCTAGTAGTTCTTTGGTTTCTCTATCTGGATATGATTATAAGGAATTCTGAAAAAAGTTGCTTTTAATTACAGGATCTGACAAGTGTGCAAAACCTCCAAAAGAAACATGCCATGATAGAGGCTGATGTCATAGCCCGTGCAGTAAGTAAAATAAAATATAAAGTTGCTAGGCTGGTTATTTAACCAAAGTGAAGCTGTTGTTTAACGTACCACTTTCTAAGCCATCTCCAATTTAGCTGAACCTTTAGTGGAAGGACATTTATTTCATTATATCAACCTTCTCAAAGAGAATCCTTGAGGTCCTCTGCTTGTGTAAAATCGTGGTTTGATTTAGAGCTTGTACTGTGTCTAGGCTGATTTTGTGAAGACCACCTGTCATCACATTTGAATTGTTCTCTCTGTTTTTATGAATATTTTATCACTGATGCAACCATGTAATATCTTCACCTTGATGCTTTCTCTTCAAATGACAAGAACTGTATCTGTAGTGACTGTCTCTTTTAGCATTGATTCAGGACATTTGAAAATATGGCTAATAGTTATAGAAAGCTAGGGTAACATCTCTAAGATAAATGTAAAGTGTTTCAGAAATGAAAGTGAGTTGTTCAATTTTTCATTATATATTCTGTTGTGTTGTTCCCCAGGAAAAGATTGAGGTTGTTAATGCACAAGCTGATTTATTTGCGGAGGCTGACCACTTTGATGCTCCTTCCATCAAAGAAAAGAAGGAGGTTTTAAATAGCCGATACCAACAGCTACAGGTGATAATGATAATGAAGTGTGTGTGATTGAGTGGCTCAGGGAAATGTCCAACTTTTAGCCTTTACTAATAATATTAATACAAGATGATAAGAATCAGTGCTCCAAGCTTGACTCCAGTGAGTCTCCTGACAACAGTCACTACTAGAGACAACAGTCATCTCAAGACTACAGTACTATCATCCAAAATGTTAGACTCCATGATCATATGTTTTTTTACTACACAGTATTACCAAAAGGAAAATTCAGTTGCTGATAGCCACGATAGACTAAGATTTACCCCAGAATTTGTTTTAAATTTTATATTCACAAAGCAAGATCATCTGATGTCCTTTTCTCAGGAAGTGCTTAACATTACCTCCCATCTTCCTCCCCAGGCTCCTCTCCTAGCTCGCAAAGCAAAGCTCCAGGATGCTGAGAGACTTAAACGATTCCTTCATGATGTTGAAGACGAGGAGGCATGGATAAGGGAGAAGGAACCTGTTGCTTCATCCACAAACACTGGTAAGTAAATGAATAGCAGATAATGATACAAAATAAAGAGCAAAATGAAAATTGATTCCAGTGGAAATTATGATGATTGCTTTCCTGGGGTATTAATATAAACCACTTCAATGTAAATGTAAGTGGTCTGAAAACAAATTGAAAGTCCTTGAAAATGCTGAAGCACTCAATTTTTACAACTATGCTTTCATTGTCTAAACATGGTCATTTTTTAATGGTTTTCTCTGATATTAAGAATGTTATTTCTTAACAGAAATCTTCCCTTAATTGTAGACCATCACCTCAATAGTAAACTGAAAATTAAATGTCTACCTCTATAGGCCGAGATTTGACAGGAGCCCAGAATCTGTCAAAGAAACACCAGGCATTAATGGTAAGAACAGCCGTACCTGAACAATTAAAAAAAAATGTTTTAGTAAATAAATGGGTTTGTGGCCAGAAGCTGAAACAATTTGTAGATCTTAGGTTGAATCCATTTTTCAATTTTAAGTTCACTATTATAAAGTAATCCTAGAGTGTCTTTTGTCTATTGTGAACATTTCAATCAGTTTTTGTATGTGTAGCCTACAAGCAAGCTCTTCTTTTTTAGGACTGAGGCACAAGACAGTTAAAAGCCTCAGTCAAAGCAGACTGGCGAGAAGTGTGCAAGGGCTCCTCACTATCAGTGCTAGAGTGCTTGCAGACCTCTTGCTGGTTAGCATTGCTCAAAGCCTCAAACTTCCTCACTGAAAAAGAGGTACTTGTACTGACAATGATTTATCACCAACTTACTAGCCCATTTCATCCATTTCACTTTGCAGACTGAAATTGCTGGTCATGAACCACGTGTCAGAGCTGTTTGCGATAATGGTGTTCAAATGATAGATAATGGTTAGTTCTCTTGAATAGTTTTTCTCAAGAATGTGTCTTCTTTTCAATTCATATACTTTTCATATACCTTTCATACTCTGTCAGTACTTTTTTGTTTGATTTAAATGTTTTGACTCATTTTTATTGTGTTGTGTTTTCCCTCAGGCCACTTTGCCGCTGATGAGATCAAAGAAAAGATCGATGATCTTGACCAGAAATGGCTGGAATTCAAGGTAAGACCATTCCATGACATTTTGAGTTTCCGCTTTTATTAACCATTTAAAGAGTATTGTTCTTTCTAAGATGTGTTTTGACAATTTTTTTATTATTACTCCAGGATAAGGCACATGTGCGAAAAGGACATCTGGATGACTCTCTTCAAGCTCATCAGTATCTAGCTGATGTTGCCGAAGCAGAATCCTGGTTGAAGGAGAAAGAACCAATTGTTACCAGTGATGACTATGGAAAAGATGAAGACAGTGCACAGGTAAATATCTTTGTTGTTTTCTTATCAGTCTCAGGGTTGTCATTTGTACTAGATATATGATCTAAAGTTTACAACACACCATTCTATTGGAGTCTGTGGACATGTTCTCTCTTCCCCCCAAAAAAAAAAATTTGAATTTTTGACACTGTGTGAGACTGATTTCTAGCTTTCTTGGCCATTTTGACCAGCTTTTTTTTTTAGCTAATGTTAAATTTAGAATTAGTTCAAAAATACTTATTTTCTGTGTCTGATCACAGCTCACAGAGTACCTGGTGTTAAATTGTCTGACAATCGAGATGTTACTGTTGCTTATGGGCTCCTAGTGACAACCCTTTGCCTTGCCAGTAGTTATCTTTCATTTCATTGTTTCCTTTTGAACAATGTAGTACAAGTTTTGTTGAGTGTTACAACTAATACTTTGAACACTTTAGGCATTGCTTACCAAACACGATGCCATCATGTCAGACTTGAGAGCATATGGAACTGTTGTAGATGGGCTGAGAGAACAAAGTCAACACTGCAAGGTAAGAGTAAGCACAGCGCAAACATGAAGGACAAAAAAAAAATGAACATGAGATTGGATTCAGCAGTGGTATACCTATTTCCAATGTTTCCAGATCAAATTAAGTTCTGATACTTTCAAATTGTGTTTATCTTGTGGAAAGAGGAAATGGGGAAGGGGTGCATCCAAATCACTGCAAGGTGTAATTAGGGTTACATTAGTGAAAAAAGGAGAGTTCCACCAAACCAAAAACATTGATACTGTTTCCTCCGAGACACAGTTGATCTGTATGTAAATTTAAGGGGGGGGATCTTTGCACCATCTTTGCATCCACCAATGTTTATTTTCATGAAATTATCTCCCTCAGCCTGCAGCTCATGTCACAGACATCTCTGACAAGGAATGTGTAGTTGCTCTTTATGACTATCAGGAGAAAACAGCGAGAGAGGTGTCCATGCAGAAGGGTGACATTCTGACCCTACTCAATTCTAGCAACAAGGTAAGTCTCCTTTTTTTTGACATATGCTGTACATTGGTTTAACTACCCTTGAGGAAAGTAGTACATATATGAACTTCGAAATGGGTCTTGCTCACTCTAGAGTCTGTGTGGCTTAGTGGTAGAGCATCATAGTGCTGAATATAAAGGTTTGAGGTTCAATTCTTCATGGGGACTCAGAATTTTTTTCCTTGTACCACTCTCATGACGTGACGAAAAACATCTTTCCCTACAATTTACATCATCTTAAATCCATTTCACAAGAAAGACCCAGGAAGCATCCTAACTTGGGAATACCAAAATTAAGGGTGAGCAGAAGCAGAAGCAGTTGCCCAAGTACCATTGGCAGAAAGAAAATACTACAGTGTTGTTGGGAAGGTTTTCAATTATTTGCCAACGCAAAAAAAAAATTGTTAAGTTTTAATTTAACTCAAGTATTACCAAGTGTGACTTATTATGTTTTACAATGGCCTTGTTAGGAGTCAGTTGCAATTAAAATATTAAACGCTTTGTAATATTTTAGTGGCAACCATTGATTCTGTAACACCTTTGATAAAATCTTGTGCACTGATTTCAGGATTGGTGGAAAGTAGAAACTAATGACAGACAAGGTTTTGTTCCTGCTGCATATGTCAAGAGGATTGACTCCCACAAAGCCTCACAGGACCTTCTGTCACAGGCTCCTGAAGTGGACACTGTTGCTAACAGACAGCAGGCTTTGGATGATAAGTGAGTATCAGACTTTGCTGTAACAGTTTCATCCTTCCAAAGATTAACCCTTTACTCCCTAACATCAGAACACATATTCTCTGAACATTTCCTAACATGCTGACAAAGAGAATTTGCTTTACAATCAGGAGCTTTTTTATTTGGTGATCAATTCCTTTATTCTCGTGACCTCCAAGTATGATTCAGGGGATAGATTTTTGGGAGAAATTAGATGCTAGTCACTCTTAGGGGTCAGAGGGTAAAAGCACCGACTTTGTGTTCCTTTTATTACAAACAAGAAATTCAATTCCAGTGGTAAATGACAAAGATAGTTGAAAAATCAAGAGCTTTTATAGTTGGCAAACTTTTCTTTTACTCCCATAACTTTAAAATTCGATTTGGATACGTAAGAGTGAAGTTAGAAGACAGCCACTCTTAATTTAAAAATGTTCTGTACACTGATGTACCATCAACATCCCTTTCAGAACCTTGCGTTTTAATGGTGTTGAGAACAGGTATGGCTAATTGATAGATAACAAGTAAATTTTTTTTTAACAGATACCAAGACCTGATGGACAAAGGCGAAGAACGTAAGAAGAAGCTGGAAGATTCCATTCAAAGATACAGTGTGTTGCGGGATGCTCACGAACTGGAGTCTTGGATCAATGACAAGGTTCGTGTATTTGCAAAGACTTGGCAACTACAAACGTACATTTGTCTTAAAACATAAACACACAAGAGTAACAATTTTCTAAAATCTCTGACAGCGAAGAAAGCTAAGGCTATACTAACACACTCATTTATTGGGTCATATCGCCCACTTTCCATAAGGCTTGCTCGTTACCTGATTTGTTTATAATAGAATACATTAACGTGACAGACCTTTTCTTACATTTAGGAAGCAATTGTCACCTCAGAGGAAATCGGAAAGGACTACGAACATGTGGAAGCTCAGCAAAAGAAGTTTGATGACTTTGAAAAGGTACAATGTTTCAGCTGACAACATCGTTTATGTAATTGGGTGTCGAAAAATTCTCCTTGGTTGCATTGGATTTGCTTTACTTCGCTCTGTGATTGTCCCAGAAAACTCGTGTCGTCCTCTCGACCAATCAGATTCAAAACTAAAACCAATCGCGTCTTGGCCACTTGTATTTTCCCGCGCTTTAGGCTGTGAACTTGTTTTTACTTTGCGTTCTTATTGGCTCCTTGTGATATTTTCCTCTCCTCTGATTGGCTGTTGTGATTTCTTTGGTTTTTGGTTTTACGACACTCAATCGGAAACCCTCGATAATGCTCAACATAACTAACCAAACATTTGCTTATCACGCAGGATATGATTTCTAAAGAGGTTCGTATCAGAGAACTGACGTTACTGGCTGAGAAACTAAAGATTGAACACTACAGAGAATATGAGATGATCCGAGAGATGATTGAGGTGAGGAATGAATAATTGTGTTGTGTGTTTTCAAACGCAAGCAGACTGATATACGTTGTTGAAAATATGACGACAGAGAGTGCACAGTGTATTAAGCGTCACACTCTCTTTTCTGTTAATATTTGGCTTTCTTCATGCCATTTATAAGTCTTAACTAAGAAACATTGTACGCTTTCTCTCTGAGATGATTCTTCCACGCAGAAAAAACCCCTCTTAAAGTTTAGTCGGTCGTAGTGCTTAACTAGTATTGAGTGGCACGGGTTCGAATCCCGTCATAGCTTGAGTTTTTCCAGGATTCCTTTGTACAATTGCATAAATTGTAGCCCACATACCACAATTATTGCTCTACTTGATTTTAAATCCGCAGTCAAATGAAATTTCTTTCATTTCAAATTGTATCTAATGAAGAGAAGTTGCGTTAGAATATGTGTCACTAGAGACTGACTGTGTGTGACCTTGTCTGAAAAGCGAGAGTTGACTGTATCACCCACGAAATTTTAATACGCATCGATTGTTACAGTGTGAAGCATATTTTTTAACTACAGGTGAATACAGTAACTGTGGTTACTACAAAAATCCTTGTAAGTGACTCATCAGAGTTGATAACGTCTGTGCCTTTGTTTTTGCAATGCAGCGTGTGGTAAATTTTGGAATAAAAACATTATGGCTTTGTAGTTGTAAGCTGCTAACTGGTATAGATTGCTCGGGTCAATAAACAATTCATCCTATTTTTTAATGACCTTTAACAGAGGCTGAACCAGAAATGGACCAATCTTAAGACCATGTCAGAGCAGAGGAAGGAAAATTTGGATAATGCTCAGGAAATTCAGAAATTCCACAGGTATTGTTGAAATATAAAATACAATTACATGTATTTTCTTTTTAAAGCTCAATACAAAATACAATTACATGTACTTTCTTTTAATACCTTTGAACCTCAATTCAATCAGAAGTCAAAGAACTAGAGAATTGCTTTGGCATTCTTGTCAGAATTAATTTTGGAAGATATTTCTTGTTGTCATGATTAAGTTTCTCAACACTCCGCTCACTACAACAAAGCACAACTTTGGGTGGGCTGAAGATTTTTTCCAGTTTGCCTAGAGATTCTTTCGTAATAATTTTTTCCCCAAAATAATTCAGGGATGCTGATGACACCAAGGCTTGGATTTCAGAGAAAGACACTGCTCTTTCCACCTCAGATTATGGTCGAGATTTGGCTAGTGTCCAGGCCTTGCAGAGAAAGCATGAAGTTTTGGAGAGAGACTTGGCCGCATTGGAAGAGAAGGTATGGTGACTAGTATGTCTCTCAGAGCACTTTCTATATCAATGGAAATACCGACGAAAATTCCCTGTCGAATGGAACATAAGTTTTAAATCTGGATTGATGTCACTTTGTTACTGAAAAATGACATTTTTTTGTCGTCATCAGGTTCGTGAACTCAATGTGGAAGCTGCTAAGTTAACATCCAGTCATCCGAATGCAGCACAAGACATTGAATGGAAGAGACACGAGCTAGAAGAAGCGTGGGCTAATCTCAGAGAACAGGTACACCAACTTCTATAACTCCAATTGAAGTTATCCTTTACACCTTCGCTGTCCAGATCTGACCTCAAATTCTCGTTTTAAGCCTGAACGGACCATTTCTTGAAAACTTGGAAGAATGCCAGGTCACTTTATCAAGATATTTTTAATTGACAGAACTTTATTTGACTCTCACACTTCGCGTTTTTATTCGGTTTTTAATCGAGGTTATACGTAAATCACCGTTTTAATAGTGAAAGGGATAGTAGCATTTTTTTTTGTATTCGTCTAAACTTTTAGGCGGCTGCAAGAAGGGGCAAACTGAGTGACTCGTCAGATTACTTCCATTTCCTCAACGAATTCAGGTAAGTGATGGGCTTGTCATTTGGTGAACATCCTGACAAATTGTTTTTATTTTTCATTCGGCGTAAGGTGTTTGGTCCAGACACAAGTTTCTGTTAGGTAGCATGTAATTTTTTTCTTTTCATATTTCAGAGATCTTACTTCATGGATCAATGGTATTATGGCATTGGTAACTTCTGATGAACTTGCAAAGGATGTGGCCAGTGCAGAAGCTCTGTTGGACAGGCATCAGGTATAGAATGAATACTTTTACAGAGATTTCACTCAGACTTCAGGGCTTAAACGTTGTCTTCCTTTTTCCCTACATTGCTCTCTTCGCTGCAAAGGTATTCAATATCGAAAGTTACTTTCATATTTCAATACAATTCTGCGATGTCTTTTGAACTAGACAACCGAATGAGCTGTTAATTATCAGCTGTGAACGTTCTTTACATATAAACCAATTTTAGAGCGACAAGAAATTCTTTAGATCGTGTAGTCTGCTCGTCCGGGTCAGAGTGGTTCTGGGAAGGACTGTTTTTGGTAGCGCTCACTGACGTTTCAACAACCTTAGCGGAAGTAATTATCACCCGTACGAGCAGACAACACGATCAACTTTAACTCCGAGCTTGGAAACATTTACAGGAAATGTATTTTGAGCCTTTTTCGAGGTATTTGCATCAAGTCGACCATAGTTTAATATGTAAAAAGAAAATAAGTTGTCTTTCCTGGTGTAATCCAATCATACAAAATACACATGTACAGGCAAACGTCACTGTGCTTTTATATTTCTCAACTGTGCAAAATTTTATAGACATATGAATTGAATATATGGTTGGGATTTGCTTTGTTACTTACAGGAACATCGCGCAGAAATTGATGCGCGTGACAGCGAGTTCCAGTCCTTTGAAGATTTCGGCAAGAAATTATTGGACAAAGAACATTATGCTAGTCCCGACATCCGTGAAAAACTGGAGACCATGGCTACAGAACGAGAAGAACTGGAAAAGTAAGGCCATTAAGTTTAAGAATTTGATCTCTTAAGTGAAAACAATTCCTTATGGATGAATGATAGCACTGGGATCTGCTAAACACTTTCATTTATATGTCTCTGTTTCGTCGAACCAAAGGCGCATTGCACACTGTTGTTTTCCGGTAGTTTGCGATCGCATACGCCAGAATTTTCATTTCATCAGTACTTCCCTTTTTGTCTCCTTTATAAAGTTAAGATGCGGTGATTATTGAAAATCAATTCCTTTTCAGGGCCTGGGCTTCTCGCAAGCAAAGACTCGATGAATGTTTGGAGTTGCAGGTTTGTGAACATTCATATTGTGATGGTTTCCAGAACCAACCAATTTTTTGTATCTAAGCTTTTTTTTGCTGTGCGGCAATGAACACAAACACGATGAAAAATTTTGTCGTCCCAAAGTGAAGTGGGTTTGAATTAATTGGCGAAAGTGATCCAGCGTTGAATTAGATTTGCTTCACTGCGCTTTGCAATTCGTCCTAAGTCAGCCAATCAGATGCAAAGCTGAAACCAACCGTGACTCGGTCACTTGTTTTTCTCCCGCGCTTATGGCCGTTTTTAGGTTCTGAGTTCTTATTGGTTCCCTGAGATATTTTCCTTTTCCCTGATTGGTCATTTTGATTGCTTTGGCTCTGATTTTACGACAATCAGTTGGAAAGTGCTCTGTGATTGAAGGCTTTATGGCATTATTTGACGTACGGCTTTAATGTTAACAGTTATTCAATCGAGATGCCGAACAACTGGAGCAGTGGATGGCGACACGTGAGGCCATCATTCAGAGCGAAGATGTCGGAGAAGCAGCGGAGGGTGCTGAAGCTCTGATCAAGAAACATGAAGACTTCACAAAGACACTTGCAGTGCAGGACGTGAAGATCAATGCTCTGAAAGACAATGCTGATCGGCTGATTGATAACAATCATTATGACTCTCCAGCTATTGCAGAGAGGATTTCTGCAGTCTTAGCGAGGTGACCTGAAAGTTATCTTCAGACACGGATAACAATCTCAATCTTTTTGTTCGAATGTAGAGCTTGACGTGTAACCACTACTTTACGTGGAAATACACTATTTAAAGATTTTTTTAGCCAGTTTTCGCGTCATTTCCGATTAATATAGTCAGAGATATATTTAATTCTGTTTCTTATTTTAATTGTTCGATGAAACAAAGGCTCTTTTCCAGTTCATTTCAAGAATACCTCTGCAAAGAAATTTGCTTGGAAATTTTAAATTTGGTTTTTGCTTCCTGAGCGTAACTGAGTTTCCTCACTTACGACTTTCGTTGTGGAAGATTTTTCACTCTGGCGATCAAAGTACACTTTTCCCAAGTTTCAAATTATTATTATTATTTTGTTGTTTTGTGTCTTAGATGGGCTACTCTGAAGGCAGCCTTGGTTGAACGCCGATCAAAACTGGGTGAGTCCAAAACCATTCAGCAGTTCAGTCGTGATGCTGAGGACATTGAAGCATGGGTCAGTGAAAAGTTACAGACAGTGCTGGATGAATCTTACAAGGATCCAACCAACTTACAGGTATTTTTTCTGCCATCAACTAATGAGCCTGTGAACAGGCTGTCATTTCTGCTGCAACACGAGTGACCTAGCTTTCGGATTTCGAGCCGGCGAGCGAGGTGGGCGTGCGAAAGGTCTGCAGAAGTACGGAAATGAGTGCCACACCGACCCGTCACAGACCTCTCGCGCCGAGAGGTCTTGTGACTCGAATCTCGCGGGTCAGCCGCTCGTGTCGTAGCGTTCGTTGGCTGAATATAAGCTCTACCGATTATCCTCCCAGCTTAGTGCTTTAGTTTAGAATTTTCACTCTTTTGCCAGTTCAGGGTCAAGTCCTAGCTGGGTCATTGTGTCATGTTTGTTGCAAATAGGATAATTGTGCCTACTGTTTATTTTCAGTCCAAGTTCCAAAAGCATCAGGCGTTTGAAGCTGAAGTCTCAGCCAATCAGGAGAGAGTCTTGGAGACCATCAACCTAGCTGAAGGTAAGCAGCACTGAAAGAGTTAAGAACAAAATGGCTTGAAGTTAACATATTAATTCAAGCACGTGATTATAATTCGAGAAAGTGATCGTCAAATTGTTCGTGTTTCTTGTTCACGTAGGTCTCATTGAGCAGCGCAAATGTGCCGGAAGTGAGGAGATTGTGAAAGAGAGAATCACCAAACTTCAGCAGCAGTGGGAATACCTGGTACAGAAGTCCAATGAGAAGAGTCAACATCTGAAGGAATCTAATCAACAACAGCAATTTAATACAAATGTTAAGGAACTGGATTTCTGGCTGGGGGAGGTGAGAACGCCACGCACATAAATATGTCTTTGAAATTGTCATGTTCTCTCGATTTGCGACCTGGACACGGCAAAAATCGGCGTTTTTGCTTTGTATTTTGGATATAAGGTTACACTGAACCCAAGGCCATGCTTGGGATAAATTCCCAAGAGCTACACAATCAGACTCGATTCATCTACAGTAGTTTACGAATAGACTCACCGGAAGTCAAATCGTGTGTTAACATACCGGAAATCGAGAGGTTTGAACAGTATGAGAAAATGAGCAGCATGAGAAAATGACAAGAGGAGGAGCGCGCGACTCTCCTCTCGCGTTCGCCTCACCCTAACTTTCGCTCCCCGGAAAAATACTATTAAACAAAATGTTACCTGTTCTGTTGGCGTCAATTGTTAGGGAGCAATATGAAGATAAAAGGTTGTAAAGGATATCTAGAACTCCAGCTAAGTTCAGGTTGATTCCCACAGGAATACAGTGTGGTTAACATTCGGGCTGTTTTCATTATTTCCCTTGAAATGTTCTCTTGTAGGTTGAAGCTTCCTTGTCTCACGATGATCATGGTCGAGATCTGGCCAGTGTTCAGAATCTGATCAAGAAGCACCAACTTGTTGAAGCAGATATTGCTGCTCACGAGGTTTGTTAGAAGTTAACTACTGGTGAAGGCACGTTTGCTCTCGAGGTTTGAAGATGAGAAAAAAAAATATTTTGCACTTATTCTGTGATGATTGTTTTTCAGGATCGTATCACTGATCTTCAAGCCCAGACCCAGCACTTCGCTGAGGTTGGCCATTTTGATGCTGACTCACTGCAAGACAAATCCCGCATTATTGCAGAACGCTACGACAAGTGAGTTAACATTTTACCAACATTTTGTTTTCGTTAGTTAGTATTATTTTTTATTTAGGAAGTGAAACGAGATGAGCTACACGACCACTTTGACCCTAACACGACCCTTTGCAAATATTTATTCGCACCCGAAAACCCCTGCTATCGTTATTATTAGATACTTCGAACCACGTTTGCGGCAAATGGGAAAGTCCAATTCATTTCTTATTTCGTTCACGTCTCCTCCAGTCCTGTTTTCGAAAAGCAGAAAATGGTTAGTGTAATGTCTCCTTTTCACATGAAATGCAGATACATACATTTTCAATTTATTAAGCCTAAGGCTGAAAGAAAAAACGAGGACAACTGTGGTTCATTATGTGCCTTTTTCCGTTCGCGAAAGCGTTTTTCTAGTTTTCTTTATGAACAAAATATTTTCCTCTGTTTTGAATAAATATTATTGAAATATTGTATTGTTTTAATTTTACCTTTGTAATCTATTTTATTTTATTTCATCGATTGATGTATGTTTTCTGTTCAGAGTAAAAGACATGGCCGCAGATCGCCATAAGAAGTTGGACGAGTCCAACGCTTTGCACCAGTTTTACCGAGATGTGGACGACGAAGAGTCCTGGATAAAGTAAGTGGCCACTTTGTGAAGAGCCTGTCTTAACATAAGTGGAAACTAAATTTTTGTCGGTGTTTCTCATTAGGGAGAAAAAGCTATTGACCAGCTCTGAAGATTATGGAAAGGACTTGACTGGTGTACAAAACCTACGTAAGAAACATCAGCGTTTGGAAGCTGAATTGAACACCCATGAGGCCAGAATTCAGGTCAGGAAACAAAATTCGTACTTCTTTCTGTTAGTGTAATAAACTGGTAGTTTACTAGGGCGCGTTAGATAATAGATAGTCTATAGCCAACTCGGCGCTTTGCGATGAACGAGTCCGTTGCAGCTTAGCTATGAAATATTGGCTTTTATACCATTGTGGATGAGCCTATCGAAACTCTAGAATTGCAATATCCTTCGATATAGTTTTAAAAAGTTGAAAATGCGAGTAGAAGTTTTGTTCACTTGCGAATAACTTTTTGTTTCTACAGGCTGTACTACTGTGTGGCCGTAAATTTATTGACGAAGGACACAGTAGCTCTGATGAAATCAAAGCTCGCTGTGATCAGCTGCAGGAAAACTGGGACGAACTGAAAAACCTGGCTGAGCAGAGGTTTGTTTGTATTCAGTTACATGTGTAACAGTTTGTTCAGTATGGGGATTTATTTAGTCTCCCTGATAAATCTGACTTGTTCTGAACGATGTCTGCGGTTTTATTTTTTAGGCAGCACAAGCTAGATGAGTCTCTGGAATATCAACAGTTCAGCGCTAATGTTGGTGAAGAGGAATCGTGGATCAATGAGAAGAACACTCTTGTTGGAAGTGACGACTATGGTGATACACTGGCTGCAGTCCAAGTACGTTAATTGCCCCCCCCTGATACTTAGGGTTAATAGCATGTTCTAAAGTTAGGTGTAGGGTCAAACAAAGTTAGTATTTTAACCCTTTCATTCCAAAGAAAGGGGGGCGAATATTGATCTTTGCATTTTTTAAGTTCAACCTTCGATGCTCATGATCTTTACATCTATGCCCTTATACAAAACTGATTCATCTTATGTTGGTACTTATCCAGGGTCTTTTAAAGAAGCACGAAGCATTCGAGACAGATCTTGAGGTTCATCGGGAAAGAGTTCAGGACATTGAAGATGCTGGCAACAAGCTCATTGAAAAGGTTAACTTCAATGAATTTAGAATCATTTATCTCTTTCGTTTCTGTATCCTACTCTTTTTGTTCTCATTAAGAATTCTAAAATGTAAATTGACATTGAGTTTTTCTCTCCACAGGGTAACCACCAATCTGAGTTGATTGACCACAGGATTGCATCCATTAAGGTAATGACACCATCAGCCAAGACCTGCACTTGTCGATTGGCCACTGACTGAGTTCTTTGTTACTAGTTGGTCATGCAGCTGAATGGTCACACGAACACGACGCTCCTCTCCAAATCACCTCTCGAATAGTCAAATTCAGAATAAATTTTCGAATTAAAAAACCCGAGCAAGACTTGTAGAGTTTCTCCATTTTCCTAATTTAATACATGGACCTTGTGGTGACGTTACGAGTTGTTGGCTTTTGGTCAGTTTTGAACATCTTTGTTCGGTTTCTGCTTTATATAGAGTAAACTTACCGAGTTGGAGAGAATGGCGTCCTATCGCAAGTCCAAGCTCAATGACAACTCAGCTTTCCTGCAGTTCAACTGGAAGGCCGATGTGGTGGAATCCTGGATTGGTATGTTAAAGTTTTGGGGTTTTTTTGTTTTCCTTTTAGTTCAGATTGATCGCTGCAATTTTCTCTTTAAGTGTATTTCTTTGGTTTTAAACTTAGTTGCTCCATTTGTGTTTTTTAGGTGACAAGGAAGGAATTGCTCGGTCAGATGATCTGGGGCGCGATTTGTCTTCAGTGCAAACACTTTTCACCAAACAGGTAAAGTGCAAGATGAAATTCAAGCAAGGCAACTTAAGTTAATTGTTGAGGTCTGCTTTTGGTTGGCTTTGACTTCCGGAGTTGAGTTTTTATGCAGGGAATCTAGTCGGTAATACCAATAAATCTTCGGTGGCATCGTATACAACAATTTTCCGACTGTGCTGTGTTTTTTTTTACCAGGAAACCTTTGACTCAGGTCTCCAAGCATTTGAAAACGAAGGCATTGCACGTGTGACTGTGCTGAAAGATGAGCTTGTCCAATCACAACACGAGCAGTCGCCTGCCATCATCAAACGTCATGATGACCTTATTAGGAGGTGGGTGCTTTCTTTTAATCAGCTATTATTACAGGTGTCATGGCCATATAAGGAGCAACAGCGTAATACACTTGTGATGAGGTCAAAGACCTGTATTTCGATTACAAGTACGAACATTGACATTCTGAGGAAAGACTTACCGAGCCGTTTTAGAGCGGGAAAGCTTCTCCTCGTTCTAGCGTTGCTTAATTTTTCTTCGATCGAAGTAGCTTTTAGCGCTACCGCAATTTATCTCTACTTCTCTTGCAAAGAGTCCCAGTTTGAATGTAGACGTCGTCTATTTTATGACGATATCGTTGGTTAATGCTGGGGCTTGATGCGGCATTTAGTTAAAATTTCCTTTCTTTTTACACTCTAAGGTGGGAGCAGCTACTGGAAGACTCCAAGACTCGAAAAGAACGACTTCAACATGCCCAGGATCAATACAAGAAGGTGACTACTTGTGTGTTTTTTTGTTTTTGTTTTTTTCTTCTCCGTTTTGCTTGTTTAGTCGTAGTTTCGGTCGCCTTACTATGTTGCTCAGGAGTGCATCACTAATGAACGCTACCATCTTTCTTTTGTCCAAGGTGGAGGACTTGTTCCTGTTGTTTGCCAAAAAAGCCTCTGCTTTTAACAGTTGGTTCGAGAATGCGGAGGAAGATCTGACCGATCCAGTGCGCTGCAACTCTGTTGAGGAGATACGTGTAAGTAGCCTCACTGAACAGGCAGGAATAACTTTGTTTTTCATCTTCCCTGTCGCGAATCTTGTTACTAAGAACGCCAAGCGCGGGTGATCTGACCGAAGACGTGAGAGGCAAAACTCGTGACTTATATTCAGGCTAGGCGCTATGTTGAGTAGAATCAATTGCATGTTGCTAGACCAATCATAAATGTAATTTTTTGCTATTATTCTTTCGAAATTTCAGGCTTTGCAAGATGGCCACACCCAGTTCCGCGCTTCTCTGGACCAAGCGGAAGACGACATCATGATGTTGAGGAAGCTTGATCGTCAGATCAAGAGCTATAACGTCTCCATCAACCCGTAAGTTTTCTAATGTATTGTGAAGATCACTGGCTTACCTTCATTTTAAAACTACATCAGGCAGATTTTGTTCTTACTTCTCTCACCTGACATAAGTTATGTCCCATTCATATTCAACTGTTAGGAGAGTAATTTTTGGAGCAAATCCTGTCTGAGACCATAAGCGATGGCATTTCTTTGCTTTGAAGTTTATTTTTAGTAAACAGAGAGCGTGCCAGTAACATTACCTTTTCACGTCAGCGTTAAAAGAGGCGTGTGATGCTAGAAGCCTTCTTGGCACTATTTGTGAAGATAAATCTGCTGAAATGGAGACGTTTAGGGCTCGGTTTTGCTCAACAACGGATAAATTAAGGCTCGATAAGTGACTCATAGACTTGAAAGAACCTGTTGATTCATTTAAGATGGTAGTGAAAGGGCCTTTTCGTTCTTTTTAGTTACACTTGGTTTACTATGGAAGCATTGGAAGACACGTGGGAAAATCTGCAGAAGATTATTGAGGTTTGTAAACTGGTCACAAATGATATCATCCTTTCGTGAACATTTCTTACAAATGGCTGGAAATTGATTTGGTTTCTCTCCCCGGAATGGGTTTAAATTATTATACAACTTTCAAGCCTTGGAGGTGAAGTGTTTCAAAAGAGTATGCCCATTACTTCTCAGTTTTTCTTTTCACAAGCCTCTTCTGTTGCGACAATCCCACTCGGAGTTGTCTTCCATGCCGAATAAATTGAAAGGAGGCTTTTGGATTGTATGGGAGTACCTTGCCTCGGAAATGAAATAAAAGATTGACTACGAATTCAACGTAATGTATCTTCGTTTTGTTTCTAGGAACGCGAGGATGATTTGCGTAAAGAAGCCCAGCGTCAAGAGTATAATGACAACCTCAGGCAGGAATTTGCACAGGCTGCCAACTCATTCCACGCTTGGCTCTCTGACACAAGGTACGATGAACAAGTTTGCCTCAGGAGAACAGTGGATAATAAAGCTTTAAAAAATCCATGAACGTTTATTTAAACTGTATATTTCATTTTTCTTAGGGTTGCAATGGTTGACGGTCAAGGGGACCTTGAAGATCAACTGGCCGAGGTCAAGAAGAAGAGTGCTGAGATAGCAGACAGGAAAGAGGACCTTAGGATCCTGGAGGATCTTGGGGCTCAAATGGAAGAGGCTCTTATCCTGGACAACAAGTTAGTTGAGTTCTTTTTAGATGCATGCCCAGAAAGCTTCCCACTCAATGTACTCTAAAGTAACATTACATGTTGTTGGTGGTGTTCACGTGCTGAACGCGTGTTTTTTTTCTTCTAATACTCGTGCGTTAACACATGTTTGATTTTTACTCAAGGTATACTGAACACAGCACAGTGGACCTTGCTCAGCAGTGGGATCAGCTGGATCAACTTGCCATGCGCATGAAACACAATCTTGAACAGCAAATCCAGGCCCGCAATACCACTGGCGTTTCCGAGGATACACTCAAAGAATTCACTATCATGTTCAAGTAAGTTTCTTTTCAATTGCAATACAAAAAGCTGTTAAATATTTCGTAGGTCGTCGAAAAAAGTTGTTCGCTTTAGTTCTTGGGGTTTTCATACCAGTTTTTTGCATTTTAAGCTGTGTTGTCTTCAGGAGAAGGCCATTAGAAACTCGAGATTACACTCGACTTCTTGTTTTGAAATGTCACTTTTTCGGCTCTTAAAATCAACATTAATATTTATGGATCTGGAAAAGTTTTCATTTTTGTTAGCTGTAAGGCAGTACTACGGTCCGTATTTGAATTTTTCGTTCGTCCTTCAGTCATGAATTGTGTTTACTCAGCTCTTGATCGCTCCCCTCTAATCTCTTCAACAGGCACTTTGACAAGGATAAGACTGGTTACCTGGATCATCAAGAATTCAAGTCATGCCTCCGTTCTCTTGGCTACGATCTCTCCATTGTAGAGGAGGGCGAAGAAGACCCGGAGTTCCAAAGCATCCTCAGAACGGTGGATCCCAACGGGTAAGTGGCCTGGGCCACACTGAATTGCTTTGGCTTCACCTCCTGCTTTGGCAGGTGGTTACCGCTCACTGCCTCGGTCACACCCACGGTTTCCAGCTACAGACAAAACTTTGGAAAGAATAAGGAAGAGCACTGGTCGATAGTATTAACGAATAGCTCTCTACCAGATAAGCTCACATTTAGAGTCTATAAGAATCTACAGCACAACAAAATTCTTTGTTTTTAGAGATTAGTGGTAATTGTGCTTTTGTAGTGATACCACCGCCACTATGTCATAGCTTTGTTTTAAAGCCACCACGCTCTCAGTTGGAAAGGCGTAGATTTTTGTCTATTTCTCTGTCTATTCTTGTGTTACTGACTGATTGTCTCTTGCTTTCAATTCTACGTAGTGACGGTGTGGTGTCGATGGGAGAGTACATGGCCTTCATGATCAGTCGTGAAACAGAAAATGTTGGCTCTAGCCAGGAAGTCATCAACGCCTTCAAGGCGCTCACTGAGGGTGGAAAACGTCTTTATGTTACTGAGGCTGAGCTCTATCAGGTAAAATCTACACCTCAAATTTAAACTTATGAGAGGGGAAGGAGAACGTAGCTTGATTGAAACTTACTAGACGCCCCATGAGAGCCATCATATAATGCTTGTATTTGTTGAACGATTTTCACGTCCCAGAGAAGTATTTGATTTGTCGTGATGTCGGTCCTTGAAGTTTACTGTTAGTTTCCACAAAGCACATAACTGGATAATGCCTCTCTTGCTGCTTTCGATCTTGATTTCTTTGCCTCTCTTTTTCAGTCTCTCACTAAGGAGCAGGCCGACTTCTGTATTGATCGTATGAATCCTTACGTTGACGACAAGGGCCGAGAAGTTCCGGGAGCTTACGACTACAAGACTTTCTGCGAGGAACTCTTCTCTTCTAGCTAAATTAGTCAGTCCGGCATAGATTTGCAGTAATTGTGGTATGTTCCTTATTTCTGAAGAAACGAAACACGTCACTGGAAGATAATAATACCCCAGCAGCTCGCTAGGTATTACTGAAGCTATCATCAACAGATTAACTGATCACAGTGTTCAAGAGAATTACTAATGTAATGTTTCTTCAGTGCATGTTATTATGTTTAGAGTGATGAGTTGTTACTTGGGTAGGGATAGCGGAAAAGTTCTGTTATATTAGCAAACAAAAATGTGGGCCAGTGCATGGTTTAAACATAAAAAGGAAAACAGTGTTCCAGAAGCAGTGGTTCATGTAACGCCATATACGATTTTATGCCGTGGAGGTGTTTTGTTGCAGAAGTTTCAAACTATGTCCTAATTGTAGTGTAGAACGGACTATTGGCTGGTTGTCGTGTGACATTATCATTTAGCATTAATGACCTAATAAAAGGGAGTGAAGAAATGTCTGGATATCTGTGGATGTGTTTTGTGCGGTGCGTGAAGCTGGGAGGCGAGCCAACAAAACTTATTAGGACAATCTCTGGTAAACTTACCAAGGTAAATAACGTGAAACGACACCTTTTTTTAGCCAGTTGTTTGTTCGAAGAGCCGTCAGATAACTTGATGTAAAACAATCTCGAGTAGCAACTTAAGGAAATGAAGATATAAGCCAAACGAAACAAGTTAACCCTTTAACCCTTTAAAGTGCCTTTGACACGAATCTTTTTTTTGGCGTCAATATTTAGCTTATCACATTTATAAGCCAATTCCGATAGAAGAGAATTTTCAAAAGCATAAAGCTCGGATTTTTCGGGCCCTGAAGTGCTCTTATTTTGTCTTTAAAGTGTCCCGTGGACTGGTAACGAATTAGTGGGTGATGACCTAGAAAACTGTGAAAACTTTCAGTTAACACAAACAAATCGCTCACATCTCTTGTAATTTTGTATCAGTCAGCGTTGAAATAGTCTTAAAATAATGTCCGATAGCAATACATACCTACCTTCAGCTAGCTCCACCGAGAGTTTTGATACATCGTACTCAAGTAGAAAGAGAAGAAATGGAGCTGCGAGTACGGTTCAACCCTACGAAGGAGAACCGCCGAGAAGACGTTTTCTCGCCTGCGGTGTTCAGGGCAAGATTAGAACAAAATATTCCCGTTACTGAATGTGTAGCTTGTTCCATTTTTGTTTTGTTTTCTATTGCGAAATCTATCTTAAGAATGGAGAGTTTCGTTGCTTAATAAACCCAAAGCTAACTTTTGGTTTACCAAGGGAAGGGTTTATAGATTTTCGGAAATCTAGCTTAGGAGAATCCACGGCCCTTTCGAGCTTGTGTTTATGTCAATATCCGCCAGAGGTTCGCACTGTTCACGCTACAAGATATCGGTCAGCTTAAGAAAGGGCTTGAACTTCATTACAAATGACGCATTTCTGCTATTAAAATACGATGGAAACGAAAATTGGTAGTATTTTCTTATGATTAGAAAAGAGAAAATGTTGTAATGTGGAAAGACTAGTATGAGTACATCTCAAGCGCGCGAAATAGACAACTTACTTCACAACAGCTGGAAAGATATTGCAAACGTGAGCTAAATCCGCCAAACATCCCTCTTTAAACCTAAACTTAAACTTGAAAGGGCTTGAAATAACGACCGGTCAATGGACAATGCTTGGTCAGATGTAGGTTTTGTCCAGTCAACTCTTTTGATGACCAGACATTTCGTCCGGTTGTTTACGAATGGAAAGAGGAAGTAGTTGTCGTGATAAAATTAAGCCCCACCCACCCAATCCTCCCCGCGCCAGTCGACTGGTCCCTTGGGAATTCTGTTTTTTCCTTCGTTTGGGAACGCGAAGACGATTTGGCGCTGACGCATTTCCGTGCCCGCTTCGCGCTTCGCCAAACTTCAAACAATCATAAGCGATCCTTTTCTAAGCTTTATTTTTTCACTACCAAAAGATGCATTAAGAATGTGACAGACTTATGTTAATGGCCTCTGATCCAGAGCAACTAAATTAGGTCGAAACTAGACTGGATGTGGCAATTCTTTCCTTCACTATTCCGACATTAAAAACCAGATAAAGAAACGTTTCCATTTTTTCCTATTCTTTATAATTTTTCAATAAAACTTTGGCTACGATTCAAAGTGGCCACTTACAACAAACTTCGATAATAATCTTACAAAAGAGTGGGCTTTCCTTCGAGGGATAGATATTTGAAAATGTTTGTAAAAACAACGAAGCTAATTGTTTGTCATATGAAAAACTTGTATAGCTGTACTTGGGAACAATTATAACAGATGGCAATCTAACATACACGTGAGTGTCTGTATCATCGCCTATTGGCCTTGTATCTCATATCAGGGGTTCCATCTTTTTTCAATGGACCTTGCGCCTGGGACCGAGATTGCGGAGGATAGTGCGACTGTCTGTTCGCTGCATAACGCATGTCCGGTTTCCCATCTTTCTTAAGAGGTCCTCGCGAGCTGGTTGTAGCGGCGGGGAGATTACCAAAACGCTGCTTGTTCACCGCATACCGCATGTCAGGTGCGCCGTTTTTCTTCAGAGGTCCCGCGGTAAAAACTTTAGCCAAGGACGGCCCCAAAGAGGATTTTGTTCCACCGGTAAGCGTACCAGTAACTACAGAACATGCGGAACTTGAAACATAGGAGGAGCCGCAGAGTGCTGTTCTGTTGTTTCTGTACCGCATGTCACGCGTACCATCCTTCTTCACTGGGTGAACCTTTGCTGGTACGTTGGTTGAAATTGATGCTGACGTTTTCCTCAACGCTCCAAATAATTCCTTATTCACCTTATATCGCATATCAGGTTCTCCATTCTTCTTATCCGGACCAGGAAACTCTCTCCTATGTTCCCTCAGCCTCAAGTCCCGGGAATCATCTTTGTTATTTCCACTTTTACAGAAAATCCTTCGATTCACCTTAAAGCGCATGTCTGGCTGGCCATCCTTCCTTTTCGGGCCCGACAAGCAGCTCGCCTCTTCGTCGTCAGACGGGTTGGAGCTGATATGACCACGTTGTGAGTAATCATGCGAGTAACTATCTGGTGGGCTGCTGTCACGCCGAGGCGGAGACTTGTCGTGCACGTAGCTATCACGTAAATATCGGTCACGCAAGTAACTGTCGTCATGTTCATCTTCGCGTGGGCTACTGTTATAGCTGTCACCTGTGCAACAGCTATAACAGTCGTCAATATGGTCACTTTCGCGCAAGTTACTATCCTCAAAGTCTTCTCCATTATAAGATGCGGTTGACAAGCCTTCGAGTTCTTCTCGCGGATCCTCGTGCCAGGAGTCGCCATCATATGATTCTTCGCTCCCCTGGAAACCTTCATCATCGTGACTACTGGAGTGAGACATGGAGTGGCCTTGGTCAGCTAGCCTATGTCGGGCCTCCTCGATTACCTCAAGGCATTCAGGAGAGCGTCCGATTCTTGGATCCTGCTGGATAGTGTCCAAGAAGTCAAGGCTTGTATGTTCCAAGCGGACACAAGCCAGCAACCTGCTCAGGTGAGGAAGACGATTCTTTTCGTCAAACTCCAACCATTTCATGACAACGTGAAGGACATGTTCTTCATCTTCAATTTCAAGGTACTCATCCTGGATGATTTCCATCAAGTCTTCAAGGCCAAGAGCATTGATTCCGTGTTCAGCACTTAACGAACTGAAATTGGTGATGATAATTTTCTTTGTTCTTCTTTCCAGATCTGCAGTGTGCTCAGAATCTAATTCGCGAACCAAGCACAGGATACCCACCACATCATAGGTGTCCAGTTTAGCAATCAGCCATTCACAACAGACTTGAGAAAGTGCTGGTATTTGATAAGTACACGCGGCTCTGAGAAGACCAACAGCATTTTTGCGCTGCAGAGTCACTTTCGCCGAGTAGAGGTAACCAATGAAATCACGAAGAACATTAGCATGGATGCCCAGACGAATGGGGTGCCTTCTTTGAGGAGTACAACCTTGCAAAATGATATCTTGAAGGGCCGGTGACGCAGCCGCGACGAGGGGGCCATGCACAGCTAACTGGATCTTTCCCTGATAGTCTTCTACGGTTGTTGTGGTTAGTTCTTTCTCGAAGAACATATTCAATAGCTCCAAAAGCACATCTCCGTGATCGTCAGGTACTACTTTTATCCTTCCCTGATGATCCTGTAATTCTTCACACTTAGCTGCGAGTGCATCAATTTCAAATTGAACGGCAAAGTTGTGAAGGTCTTGTAGAGTGTCCTCATCTATCGTAAACTCACATTTATAGATGAATTTTCTAAGACACCGGAGAGTTTCTTTGGTCAATCCGTCAAGCAAAATGGCCCTTGCGGAATCTTTGACACTCCTTGCCATAAGAAGATCTTTAACATTTGGGCTGCTGGCTGCTAAGAGCATAGAATGAAACTTTTCTTCGGAGTCTTTTCTTCTGGAAATGAGGTTCACGTCAGTTAAGATTCCCTCATTTCCTGCCTGCATGTCGCGAAGGTTGTCTAGAAGAATCTTCGCATGGTCTTCCTTTTTAAAAACGAAAGTCACAGCCTTCTCGCCCAATTCCTCCTTCCGTTCTTCTACGGCCACATCCAGAAGACTGAGTGAAGACATGCTGAGAAAAAAGGAATCAATATGATGATGTGATTTAAACTTCAATTCCTGTAAAGACTTCCGTGAATATTTCGCATGCCGTTGGAAACTTGAAAACACAAGTGATGAAACAATATCGCTAAATGTAATGGTAGAAATCATATCATGAAATTCGAAAAAAAAAAGCATTTTGAGCTTTTATTGCGTCATTGGTGGCTAAAACTATCAAACGCTGGCTTTCGATTCCAGGTAGTTTTGTCTCAGACGCTGCCATTGCGACTACCGAAAAATATGGGGAACCCGAGCGGAAGTAAACAATTGGGTATTTTGTTTCGAGGGAAAGTCCCATACCCTGCGCCCGCAATCTTTGGGTTGAACGGATGCTGCGCATCATGGACAAACCTTAGCTTTGATAAAGAGATTATGATCTCTTGATTTTGGTGGATAATTTTTAGTAGTAAACATCAAGAACTTCGAACAGAAAAGCAAGCAATCGGTACTAGCCTTGCAGAATAACTGAATAGCTTCTCAGCGAAGAATAGCAAACACTAGCAAGATATGAAAAATTGTAGAATCAGCACTCCGAGTAGAAGAAACGAAACGAAAGCTAATCAATTTGTTTTCACTTGAGTAAATAATTATTAGAGTCTTATCTTTTTCGTGGTATCGAGATCTAAAATTGGCCATGCGACTTCCGGTTTCGTTTCGTTACTTTCGAAGCTTTTTAAGAAATAGTGATTATTGAACTATTATCGAGCCCAGCAGGTGAACTGAACGGATCTACTTTTTTTTTTATCGACAATCGGCATCAATGATAAAGCTATGATATATATTAGATTCAATTGATAATTCTAAATTACAGCCAGTACTGACGAACGATTATCATGTTAAAGAATTGGGTAAATCAGTTTACACAAAATGACAGTAGTGTACGGGGGTTGTTCATTTCAAGGTTTGGTGAGTTTCGATTGATAGAAGCCGCCATAATTTTCCTCAAGCTATCAGTACCAGTTTATTTTAGTTTCATGGCCTTGACGAAGCGAAAAAATGACAAAGTTTCATTCACTATTTGAAGACATCTTCGGCTGGAGTTCGTGCGAGCGCTCGCAATGAACGCGAACTTGGTGGCCGTGCTGAAGGTTGTTTTTAATAAGTAACTTACCAAACGGCATCAACACTTTGGCTCGAATGTATTTACAAATGAATCATCCGTTTTTCTTGAAACACGTGGTAATAAATCTAATCTCTGCCTTAGTTAACCTATTGAAGTTTACTCAATTCACGGACTCGAGGAAATTCAGTAATAGATAACGTGTTGTTCCATCGGTGCGAGAACTGAATAAGATTTTGGAGTAAGATTGACAAAATGAGTATTTAGAAATTGTTTTACCTCACCTTATTGTAGTGTTGTAGTTTTTTTCGCTATCTAAGAGGACCACTAAAGTTCAGAACAAACAGTTGCACAGATCTTCTTCACCGTGTAAAGCTCGGAAAACTCTGTTCACTCCTAAGAGCGAAATATCTTTTTATACTGTATCACGATGAGGTTACGTACGTATACGTCACCGGGAAATGTCCCGGCGATCATGTTACTGTTTTAAGATATTTTGCCTGCAGCTTTACATATCGCTTTCGAGAGGCTTCCCTAACCAAAACGGAAAGAGGAAGAGACTTAGAAATGTTGATGATCATCTTTTAGAAAAGAACTGCCGCTCTAATATAGCTATGAAAGAAGTGGTTTTATTTTTTGAGAGTCGTGATTGCTTTTGACTAATTTCATTTTTAATTTACACCCGTTATAAAAAACGTGGCAATTTGAAAATATATTTTAGATATATACCTTCTATTTTTTCCTCATCAAAAAAGGGTAATGCACGATGCGTTTATAGTTTACTTAGAAATAACAATATCTTTTTTGATATTATGCGAAGGTGAAACAAAGACTTTGGAAATATTGACACCAGTTATTATACTTTTCCTTTGTCTCTATAATTTATTCATTCAAAACCTTTTCCTTTCTCGGGTGTATATGTCAATACCCGTTTTCAAAAACGTTGAAAAAAGGTTTCGATAGTTCTTCTGTCATCTTCAGTTCTGATTTATACAAAGTACAAAGATGAATTTTTCAAAACATTTTGATAAACACTTTAAAAAGTGTTTATCAAAATGCTCATTGGACAAAACAAACAGTGGAAACAAAACAATGTCCTATATTTTCTTAAATTCGTGACATATCTGCTGCTATCCAGACCATATATACCTTTCCTTTTCTTATCAAAAAGTGTCTCTTTCATATAGAAGTTATTTTTCATTTTCACATTTCAGTCGAGCAATTACACGTCGCTGAAACTTGAAGAAAATGAAAATAAGAATATTTAATGTGAAACTACTTTTGTTTTGATCCTATATGATAACTTTGACGTTATCGCAGAATAGTACGAAAGCATATATGACGGTTTCCACTGTTTCATACACTGGTCCCTCAAAATACAATTCAAAGATAGACCGTCAAAGACTGCATGTTGCTACTGGCATAGCACAATTTTTGTTGGCATTGAAAAGAACTACAGGTTGTATAATGACGCTTGAAGGTAGGTATAGGTAGTGTGGAAGAATACTTGCCGTTCAAGCGAAACAGAAAACCAGCCGCACCCACATATTTATGAGTACCCTGTTCCGCAAGAGAAAGATGATTCAAGAATATAGTATCTCATTGGCATTCAACCAATAATGAAATGCTAACAAATAATAATATTAACAATAATAATAGAGATAATGATAAAAATAACTTTTAGGGTCTCGCTCGAAAGCCTCGTCGTTCTTTCTGGGCTCCAACAATGATTCTCTATGCTTCTTTTAATTTTGCCTGTTAATTATCAAGAATTTTCCTATTTTATAGCAGTTCTTGAGGCTTCTGTTTCGTACCAAAAAGGATTTCACGTTTTTGAGGATATTCCGTCGATCCACTCTTCCTCCGTTCCATCATTCTGTTGGATAATTAACTCAAGGTATCGCATTCGCAGCTTGCCCTCTTCGCAAATTTAGCGGCTCTTTCTGGCATAAGTCGCTGATTTAAAGGTTAAAATGCTCTTTTCTCAAAGAAAAAGAAAAATTGCACAATCTTTTTTGTAGTAGAAAGCAAAGTTAGTTTCTTCCGTTGTGCGCTTTCCTTTGAAATCACTCGGCATCCATTTTGGAGGACCTTTCGCAGACGGTTGAATTTTTGTGTAGGCCGATGATATGCGGTGTTCACATAAAAAGAGGAAATTTGAGATAGAAATCAAAACGTTGCGGATAGTGATAGTGGAATGCCAGTACGTCTCCGGTAGTTTTAAAACAAGTATTCTTTGTTTGCGATTAGCATGACCATGTCATGCGCGTACAAAATTGTCCTCAATTAACTATTTCCTCTTGCCGCAAATGCTCGTCTCTACTCGCTATTCATACGTGTGACCGGAATAGTTTATTGAAATAACATTATAAATATTTCTCAACTATTTCTACAGTTTTTGTCCAAAGCACATGCATATAGTATCAAATACAATGCTCCGAAATCAAGGGTGACTCCAAGCTGCCTCAGTTGGCGGTGCCCAAACCAGACTTAACCCTAATTATGTTTACAGTCGTTTCTGTGTATATGGCCTTGAATCGGCTGAAAATGTGGTGATACCTAAGTCTAAAATCCAAGATTTTAAAGATGATACTTCTTGGAATTTTTTCGTTCGTTGCAGTTAGGTCCAATAATGGTACAAACATCTAATCACCTGATTTATCCAAAATTTGTCATAGTATAATAATAACATCATTACAACCGCTGGCTTTTGAGCCTTTTCATGCAGTTTAAGACTTCTTTTTCGTTTGGTTTCAGAAAATTGTGTAGTCATTCGGTGATTTTTTACTTATTTTTAACCTTAAACATTAAATAACGAATACAATGGTCACATATAAGACCTTTACATGCGTGGAAGACTGGACCCCATAATTTACATATGAGCAAACAGTCTGTCAGCAGCTACAGTAGTTAGACAAGATGGCGGACGGCTTGAAAGAAAGTGACTCAATCAAGTTAAAACCAAGAGAAAATAAGCAATCGAAAAAGACAAGTGAGTGAGATCTTCTGCTAATCAAAGTGGTATGCTTGTTTGCTTATGCGAGTTACAATTACCTTTTTTTTTAATCTTCAGAAGCATCTGCTCGGGCTAAAAAAGATGAAAATCAAAGGTGAGATTCTCTTTTCGAATCGTCTCAGGAGTTTACTTATTTGTAGCTTTTCATATTTGCACATTGTATACTGGTGAGTTCCACTTTTCAATTTAAATGAATACTCTTATCTTAATTACTATTCTCTCTGGTTTGAATTTCAGGTTAAAAGAGATTGAAACCTCCATTCGCTCTCAAGTCGCCGCAGAAAAGCGAGCCCATGACGTAGTGGAGAGGCTAGTTCTAGAAGATTTCATCTCGGAAGACTTCCTCATCAACTCGGTAAACAGACTCTGTTAGATTGTGTTCGACCTCGAATCCAGAAAAGGAACAACGTCAAGATAAAGTTTTGAGAAAGTAATATGTTTTCTCTTAATTCTGCAGGGAAACTTGATCACAACAAGCCATTATGCAGATATAGTAGAAGAGAGGATGTTATCCAAAAAGTGCGGTTACCCTTTATGTAGAAATCCTTTGAACCAGGTTGGTAAGTCAGTTGCTGTTAGTCCAGTCTAAAGTATGTGGCAGATGCTTGCAAATGCCCCTTTTAAATTGCTCATTGTGCATGACAGAATCACAGCATTGGCAAAGTAGCTGCTATACAAAGAGGGTCACATAATAGTTCTGGACAGATAGCTCATACAGCTGAAAATGGCTCTGCACTCACCAGATCTAACCAAGTTCTGCTTTACTCTGCCAAATGGCCCCCTACTAAAAAATCTATTAGATATTGTTCAAAAATTAGGAAATGAAGATGCATCTTGGAGCCAAAATATCCAAATAAATGCCTAGACCCAATGGATATACTTGTATGACAATATCAGGGATGCTTATGCTGAAGTCTTTCCTTGGTTAAAAATTGTTCAAACCAGTTTGTATTTTGTAGTTATTTTATTCCTTACCATAGTTTGAAACCAAGAAAATTAAAACTCAAACTGGTGTGGAAAAAATTGATATCAGGCAGTTGAAGGAAAGGTAGCATATACAGCATGCTTACATAATTTGTTCAATTTTCCAGATTCCAGCACAAAAATACAAGATCTTTTTAAAAACAAATCGAGTTTATGATATCACAGAAAGAAAGGTAAGCTATTCTCCTTCTTGTTATTTCAGTATTGTTGTTATTGATTATAATAATAAGGATAATAATAACATCAATTTATTTAGTACTATTCTGCTAATCTTCCATAGTGCTTTACAATCATTAATGCTATCTTAACTAAGGTAAAAACTATAATCTAAAAAAACAAGATAAATTTACAAAGCTAAAAAAATAATATAAAAATATTTTATTAAAGATAGATCTTTAAATTCTTCTTAAAAATAGCTATAAAATGGAGATTTTTTAATGCTAAGAGACAATTCATTCCTTAACCCTGGTGCTTCTGTGCTGAACACCCTCTCTTCATAAGTAATTAGTTTTGTCTGTGGCACAGTGAGCAGTTCTTTGTTACAAGAACATAAAGACCTAAAGATACTTCAGTGGCTCAGCATTAGTAGCTCAGTGAATAAGAAGCGGTGAATTGATCACAATAGATTGACAACAAGTCACTTTTATGATCAACTTTACTACAATGTACAATGTTATTTTTTTAACCTTTTTTATTTTACATTATTTGTCTGTTTTTTTCATATTTGGGCATTATCGAGGTTGCATATTGTTGTCCAAAAAGCATATCTGTTAGTAGGATATTAAGATTCAACCAAAATTAAATGAAGAAATAGGTTTTTTATTGATTTAACAACATGCCCTTAACAGTTCTAAATGTCATTAAATTTAGCATTTGTTTGTGTTACAGTGTTTTTGCTGCAACTTGTGTTATAAAGCATCAAAATATTTCGAGTCACAAATCTCAGATTCTCCAGTGTGGACACGGATTGGTGAAAGGTACTGTCACTCTGCCATAATTTCTTTGTTAATCATTTTGTACAAAATTCAAAATTCTTAACCCTTAAACTCCCATGAGTGACCAATAATTTTTCATATCGATATCTATACAATATCAAGCAGAAGACTGATGAGAATAAAGAAAAATATAAATTATTGAAAAGTTTTTTGTCAGAACTAGCATCAAAAGAATTGTGTGGTAGATAGTAAAGAATTAGTAATAAGATTCTGGAAGTGAAAAGGTTGACAATACTATGGTTTGCACATCAGAGTATGAAAAGTATGCATTTGTTTGAATAAAATTTTTGGGAAATAAATGCAGAATAAATTCACATTTTGGGGCAAAGAAGAATTTAAAAAGTATTTTTAATTTTAAAAGAATTTAAACATACCCCTCATTCTTCAAGGGTATGTTTGGTATGGAATACATCTCAGTGTTGTTTCACTCATCTGGTAACAATTTTTCTTACTTGTGGACTCCTCTACTAACTATGTTGTGGATCATCTCTGAGGTTCCTGGCCTCATGCTATAGCTGAATTGACATACAATGAGAATTCAGTGTGTCATTTTGTTTTTATGCTGTAGATAATGTACTTTATACAGATAATTAGAATCCTTATTTAGAGGGGATTTGAAGCCATCTGAGCAAAAATTGTATGGTTGCGTTTATTAGATATTCTGTCATGTGTTTCATGAGATTGCAGGTGATCTTTCAACCTGACAACCTGCATAAGAAGTTGGCTTTGATATGGTGAAGTTCCAACGTAGATACAAAGATTTTCAGTGATACTTTCACCTACTTAATCACAACACATAAGTTTCTTAAACACTGGTTAGATATGACAAATGTGTTGCCAAAAGCTATGAACTGTGAAATGATGTTAATGAAGTTAATACTTGATATTTTTGCATGCTATACAGCCCCAAGATGTTTGTTTTGCTCAAGAATGAAAACAACACCAGTAGGTATGGGAAACTGAGAATTAATTCGTTAGTTTATCAATCAATACTAGTTTCTCTCTTAGACTATTAATTTATCAGCTGAATAATCTATGCAGGATTTTTTGAGAGAACACAAGAGAGAACATTTAGCAAAGATTGGTCAATGTGGTTGCAGGTTATGTGGTTCTTCTAGGATGTGTTTGGTATAGAATACATGTATGCCTCAATGTTATTTCACTGGCAACAATTTTTCTTACTTGTAGAGTATCTCAAAAGTTCCTGGCCTCATGTTAGAGCTGAATTGATATACAATAAGAATTTAGGTTGTCATTTCATAAATACGTAATAGACAAAGTACTCTATACAGATAATTCTCATGACAGAAGTTTGCAAATTACAACCTGTTGGAAAATGAGTCACAAAATCTTTCAAAGTGCTGTAAACACCCTAAGTTTATTATTACTCCTGACAGTAAACCAAGGGAAAGTGCAGTCAACTGCTTAAATAATTAGGAAAGGTGTGGGTTTGTCTATACAATAAACAACAGATTTTTGACCAATCATATGGCTCATGGTATGCTATTTATAAAATAATGTAATTTTAATAATGTAATTTTAATAATGTAATTTAATTATAATAATGTAATGTAATTATATATTCTATGCATGCAAAAGCCACCAACACACAAAGCTAGCTGATTCTTACCAGCTGGTAGATCATCAACAAATCGTTATCTGCATAGTTGTTTACTGATTTAAATAATTCAAAGTTGACCATCTCTTTTCACAGGACTGGTTCTGGTGAAGTTCTTCTTGGAAAAGATAATAAACTAGAAAATATAAGGTGATAGAAACAATCATGTCACCTTCAGCAGTTAATGTATCCCACATGTTCTTTATCCTTATTTTACTATAGAGGAACTGTTAGCACAATCAATTTGTATCAACGGTTTGCTAGAAATAAGTTTACTTGAGCAAAAATTTAGTGGGGTATGTAAAAGTGAGCGTGTCTTTATTTGTTGGTGTTTGGAACTTTATGAGTCAAGTCTGTTAATGATGATTAGTGGGCAAGAACACTTGTACATAGCAAAACGCGTTTTAAAAATTATTTCACTCGCGTCATAAAAAGGGTAAAGTATTCCTCTTAAAGTTTATTTTTGATCGGAGTTTGTATTTTTCTTTAGTGACGGTATGCAAGATGATCGCGTCATGGATCCTGAGAAAAGTGAAAAAAGTTTGTATGGACTGGCAGCAGGCTATAGTGGAGAATTGTCGCAGGATGAAGATTCTCTAATAACATCCCAAGAGAATTCTTTTATTCGCAATGAGAACAATCCACAAGGGAACTTGTCATCGTCATTGTCCACATCTTTTCTGGCATGTAGAAATGAAAAATCAGGTGCATTAGATCATTTGTTGGACAAAACAGATCTATTACTTGAAAAACCTGAACAGATATCAAATGAACCTGACCTCCTACAGTGTCATTCTCCTAAATCGCAAAGGAGAGCGCAAGATTCTAACAAGAGTGAGAGAAATTTTTCCTCTGAGGGTGAAAGGAAGCTGGACTTTGTTAGGAAATCACTGAACAGTGACACAGTAATTCAATCTGTCCAAGCTGTGTTCCAGGAATGGTGCACACATTCTACCTTTGAATATCTGGGACTCGCTGTAAAACCAAAAGTCGCGAGCGCCCCACCAGAGGCGAAAGACAAAGGTAAGCATTTTTCTTGATTATTAGATTTTAATCTTTTCTTGATTATTAGACGGCAAGTTTAGGGTTGCTCTGACTCTAGAGTCGGTAGGCTATGAGGGAATCAAGATCGAGGCAATTATTGGCTGCAAATTTGGAAGAAAGCCAAGATGTGGTGAATTAGAAACCGACTGATCTTTGTGCCACAGGAGTGAACCATGTAAGTGTAGTCATTTTATTTAATTAGTTTAATTTGTTTGGGACTTGTGAAGGGACACATTTAACCTCGACTTTGTCGATGAAAGCTTGTGAATGAAAACTTGTCTAAGAAATCTTTTGAGGGAAAACTTGTTTGGCAAATCTTTTTGAGGAAAGCTTGTCAGGTAGAACTTGTCCTGGAAATATTTTCGAGGTAAAGTTGTCCAATAAAACTTGTCTTTGAAATCCTTTAAAAGAAAACGTAAGTGAAACTCCGGCTTTGTTGAACCATCTAGACCCAGAATCCTTCACGACCAGGGCTATTCAGTTCTTCCAAGCTGCCTTGAATGACAGTGAAGATTCAGACTTAGAAGCAGATACTGAACTGGGTCCGAAAATAACCAAAGAAAATATAGTGATAAAAGAAAACAAACCTGCAAATGAGGTAACTATACAGTTATCATTAATTAAAAAAAAGAGACATTTTCTAAGGGGCTTGGTCATGGATTAGTACATTTTACTCTATTGAAAGTAAATTTATTGATTGTTATGAAAATACTTCTTCGTCTTTTCAACCTTCGCTGGTTGAAAACCATAGTTAAGAATGTAATTTAATATAAGCTCTTTTATGGAAACTGGTAACGGTGTAAAAGTGTATCTTTAATTTCTTGTACTCCAAACTCAGTCAAAGTGAAATCAGCATGGTGGATTTGACGATTTTGACGAATTTTCGCCATTTTCGTTACTGTATGCTTTTCACGGCATATCTCAAGTTAACACTGTATTAACACTTTACTTGATTGTTGTAGGATAGAATTTGTATTCTGCCTCCTATCGACTCAAAATCACAAGTTACCATCAGAAGACGAATTGTCTTGGATAGATTGTTTCGAACGTAAGTGTGACTGTCCAATTATGATTTAAGTCAAAGTATAACCTGTTATCTTCACACATAAAAATCGCACCTTACTACTTCCAAAAAAAAAGCATTAAAGTGGAATGATTTAATTGTCATTGGTGTTCATATACTACATAGAATAGTACATGGTCACTTAGAGATAGGAAATATGTCTTCTCGTGTTGAAAAATATTTCGCGAGTGAGCGATATTTTTGAAGAGAAATTTCTTATCTCCGTGCGGCAATGTAATATCCACTACATATTTATTGGTGTTTTTAACAAAATAATCAATTTACTCGTGCTTGTTGTTTATGAGATGATTTAGTAGCGAACTCGGCCTATCTATCATCCCACCAACGCGTGCTCGTGTAACGATTGTTAATAAGAGAGCAATCTTCAATTGGGTATCGAAAGTGATCCTTGGCATTTCTTCAGTCAGCTTTGTTAGTTTGCCTAGAAAACTTGTGCCACCTGCTCACCTAATGAGATTCTACCAACCTTGAGCCAATTGTGACTTGATAACTCGCGCTTTCCTACTCTTTAGGCCATTTCCGAGTATCATCTCTGAGTTCCCATTGGCTGTTTGTGATATTTATATTCGCACTGATTGGTTGTTGTGATTACCATGGTATTGTTGTTACGGGACTCCATCGGAAAGCGCTTTGGCAAGGTTACATTCATTTGCTGATTCAATTGCATGAAATAGTCTTGCTTCTGTCCCTAGCATGCCAGATTTGTTGAGTGAAATCAAGTTAACTGTGGGGGAAGTATCACGTGACGTCACTCAGCTGGTTCACACCTTTAGGTCAGTGGAAGTAGTCCTGATGTGAATTTCAGTGCTCACAGTGACAACTTTAATGGTTATTGTGTCAAGGTTAAAATTATTATTATTAATTGCCTTACAATGAAGAGCCACGTTGAACTCGACTAAAGCGAGCGGACGTTAATTTTCAACTTACAGTTGTTAATCAGTGATTGTACAATAAAACAATGGTTACACAATATGTTAATTTGTTTATTTATACATGTGTTTATTTATTGTAGTCTTGACAGTAAAAACATCACCCTGAAGCCTCTGCAGTGGAGAATTCTCTCCTTGGCGTTGATTCTTATGTGGGTATATTTTTTCTCTTTATTGGAGTAATACACTAAATAACCTTAAGTTGCCGGTTTTCGCTGTCACGCTATCATTAAAACCAACCGAAAAAAAAATCAAGAATCAAAGAGATAAACGAAGATGAATATTCAAACAGTCTCGCAACGATTCAGATCTCGTGCTGGAGATAATTGAAGACGTTATTTACTCATATTTATAAGGCGCCATGTCTGTGTGCCGGAAGCTAACAAAAACATATATCATCGAGTTTTGTCGTCTTCTGAGGACTCACAAACATTTCTATGGGTCCTTATTCTCATACAAGAATTGATCAGATGCAAAATCTCAGCGGATAACTCACTTTTTTTAACCTACGTGATTGCATTCTTGGCTGTCATTTTAATATCGTGTCAATTTGTGAAAAGATAAGTCTTCAGCTGTTCTATGAACTAACTGTACTAAAATCTCAAAAGGATTGATAAATCCTAATTTTTTTAATTTTGATGACGTTACTTGAAAACTAGGTATAGCCCATGCCAGCTTTAGAAGTCATTTCCTTGATACCTCTTTATATTGGGGCAAGTTACGAGTTGAAAATTACCTTGAGATCCTCGGTTTTACTGAGTAGAAAGATGGTGATTTAGGTCAGTACAAGACACGAAGATATACATGCTAATTGCTGGATTGAAATTACGTGAATCGTGAATCGCCTTTCTTTCACCAACTTTTTGGCTTCTCAAATTTTCTGTCTACAATTGTTTTCTTAGTTTTCTTTGCAGAAATTAAATGTTGACGGTTGACAATTTGTTACATTTTTGACAGACTGGAGAGGAAGAACTCCCATATAGCACAAGCATTGGAGTCTTCTAAGAAGGACTTCGAAGTTTACCTCGCTCGTTTGGAAATGACGCGGAAAGATATTGAACTTGTTTTTTCGCCGTTATTTGAAAGGCAACGTTGTCGAGATTTCAGTAGTGAGGTAGAAAGCAATGAAGCAGTCGAGACATGTGAATCTAGAGAGGAAAATCGCAAAGTTTACGCTAATGAAAGAGAAGGTTATGGCGACATGGAAGAATTGGATTAAACGAGATACAAGATGCTGGATTTCGGGAAACTCGTTTGATTGTGGACGAAGTAGACTTGAATAACAGACACCCAGATTGAGAGGAGCGGTTCAAAATTTTTTTTAAGAGGCATTTAATCAAAACAATGATTCTCGCAGGTGGACTGCAATTTCAGCAATTTCAGAAAAGAGGCCTGAGGAAAAATCAGGCCTCGACGGAATTCGAACCCATGTCTTCCACGTACCCTTTGGACGCAACTAGGGAAAGCCCGGCAAATTTCAGATTTTAAAGAGACTTATATTAAAGGAATCCACCTTTTAGTAGTATTTTTATGGGTTTGGGTGACTTTAAAATCTACCTTATTTTCATTCCAAAAAACTAATTATTAAAAATGTCACATAGATCAAGTTTGTCGATCGTATTAGGTCAATTCTACCTGGCGTTTGCATACATTCTGAGATCACATGAGATAGCAAGTCACGTGACTTCGAGCTCGGTGCGAGTTTGATTTCGGGCAAGGTCGCTTGGAGCACTAGTCGCTCCCACAAAATTTTCAGAAATTTCATCCATTTCTCGTTCAGAGCCTCAAGCCGAAGATATTAGCGATGTCAAAACAATCTGAGGACGATCTCCTCGCCGACGAAATTGAGGACGAGGGCGAAGAAGACCAGATAAACAAGGATTCGCTACCCGACGAACGCAACGCGGTGCCTGCACACGCTTCACGACTCAAGTACAAAACAGCCGCTTCCTCGGAAGAAATTAGCCAACTCACCCACGCAATTCTAGGCCTGACGAAAAGCCTGCCAGAACTCATCAATAGGCCATTTTACAGTTGTGTACTTAGTTGACAAAAGACAAATTTGGAAAACGGCCGGCGAGCAAATTAGACCAAAATCTGTTAGCATGATAAAAAATTAATTTGCAAAAACAAAGATGGCGAGGCGACAAACAAGGTCGAGCGCCTCCGACCAGTTCAACTTGCGAAAAACTCTATGACTCTGTGTTAAACAACAACAGTGATGAGTCAGAGCAAAACACCACTCGTAGTGGTGATGAGGATGATTTCCTCTCGGAACTCGTAAAAGAATACGAGTCTGACGATATCGTGGGCGAAAGCCTCGAAAATGAGAAACTAGCCAAGCTAGTTGACAAAATGTTCCGCTGCAAACTAAGCGAGAAAAATCTCAAAGACCGGCTTGAGAGGCAGGAGAGACCGGCTAATTGTACTACAGCCAAGCCTCCCAAGGTAAACCCGGGCATTTGGCGTCGACTGAGAGAGCCAACTAAGAAGAGGGATTTACAATTTTTCAAAATACAACAAGCCCTCACAAAAGGCATCCTGCCAGTTGTCCGAATCACGGACAAGCTTATGCAGGCAAAATCGCTTAATGCTGATGAATGCCAAGACCTAAAGAAACAGGGGCTGTAGGCCATGTCCCTCCTCACTCATGCCTCTTATGAAATAAACATGCAGCGCCGTCTTCTACTGAGACCAGATATTGGGAGGGAATACTCAGCTCTCTGCTCCTCCCAATTGCCATTTACAGAATTTCTCTTTGGAGATGATCTACAAAAGCATTTGAAAGATATTGGCGATCAAAACAAAATCGGGGCCAAGATCACCCCTAATTATAAAGGGCATCGCCCTTCTCCAGGAAGACCTGGCAATAACAGCTATAATGGCTATAAGCAGTCAAAAAACTGGAGAGGCAACAACTTCAAACCTTGGAAATCCAAGAACAATGCCAACCGGGACAAGACAACCCGGACAAGCCAATAGAACACTTGCTGCCAGCTACTAGCACAGTAAGTATATGTTCGCCTCTTTGTACCAATGTATATATTGCTGGAAACATAGCTAAGCATTTCAGTGCTTGGCAGACGCTCACGTCTGACCCCTACATTTTACGCATCGTTAAGGGTTACCAACTAGAGTTTTGCAACCCTCCTTGCCAGGCGCTCACCCCTAGAGCTGTCAAACTTTCTTGTAAAGAGACAGATATTGCTACTACTGAAATTAACAAGCTTTTAACTAAAGGGGTCATTAGGAAAGCTACTCATGTTCCTGGTGAATTTATCTCAACAATTTTCACCAGGCCCAAAAAAAAAAAGATGGGTCTCACCGTCTTATTTTGAACTTGAAAAAGCTAAATGAGCATATTGAGTACCATCACTTCAAGATGGATTCACTGCCTAACGCACTTCAACTTATGAAGCCTAATTGTTGGATGGCTGTCTTAGACCTAAAAGACGCATACTACTCTGTTCCTATTAGGACTGAGGACAGAAAATACCTTCGTTTCGAGCACGAAGGCCAACTTTATGAATTTGTTTGCCTTCCTAATGGCCTCTCTAGTGCACCCAGAATTTTTACCAAATTGCTAAAACCTGCCCTTGCCAAATTAAGGGAGGATGGGGTGCTTCTAGTAATTTACATTGATGACATTATACTTTTTGCCGATGACCCTCAGACATTGGTCATATTTATACAAAGGGCTATGACATTGTTGCAGTCTCTGGGATTCACTATCCATTCTGATAAATCCCAACTTGTCCCATCCCAGAGAGTCAATTTCCTGGGTTTCATTTTAGACTCGGTTGTGATGACAGTCTCTATGAAATCGGACAAGGCTGATAAAGCGAAATCAGCCATTTTACAGCTCCTCAGAACGGAGCAGCCTCTTATTAGAGGGGTTGCATCTGTAGTTGGGCAAATGGTGTCATGTTTTCCTGGAGTCAAATATGGCCCACTGTATTACCGTGCTCTTGAAAATGACAAAACTGATGCTTTAAAGACGAATGGGTGGAACTTAGATGACAGAATGCTCATCTCTGATATAGCTAAGAAAGACATGTCTTGGTGGCTTTCAAATATTGACAATGATCCATGCCCTGTCTGGCCTATGAAATACAAATTAACCCTTAAATATGATAGCTCTCTAGAAGGATGGGGAAGTGTTATTGAAAATTCTTCCCTTGCCGCAAATAGGCGATGGTCCCACAGTGAGAGTATGTTCCACATAAACTATTTGGAGATAAAAGCAGTCCTGTTTGGCCTTCAGTCCTTGTGCTCAGACTTAACAAACTGTAACATCAAAGTATTGTCTGATAACCAAACTGCGGTTTCCTACTTGAGAAATATGGGTGGCACTCACTCTCGGGACTGTAATGAGATTGCAAGAGAAACTCTTATGTGGTGCAAAGACAGGGGCATATCCTTAGCTGTCACCCATTTACCTGGAAAACGTAATGTTGAAGCTGACCTAGCAAGTAGACACTTTCATGATGACACGGAATGGTCATTAGACACTCATGTTTATAACAGCTTAATTACTAAATGGGGTAATCCTGAGATTGATCTTTTGCATCACGGTTGAATGCAAAACTGCCTTGCTACGCAGCATGGAAACCTGACCCATGTGCTCATTTTATTGATGCCTTTACACTTGACTGGTCTGTGTTTAAACTTGTTTACTGCTTCCCACCTTTCAGTGTTATTGGGAAAGTACTTCAGAAGATGATATTCTCCGAGACAACAGCAATCCTAGTTCTCCCCGACTGGCCAACACAGTTTTGGTACCCACGAGTAATGTCAATGCTAGTGGCGCCTCTACACCGAATAAAGCTGCAGAAGTCAACCCTGACCCTTCCCCACGATCTCGAGAACGTCCATCCCCTCTACCCCAAGCTCCGACTGATTGGCTGTCTTGTGTCAGAAAATCCCTCCAGCTGCAAGGAATAACTGGTGAAGCTTTGAACATTATTATTGATTCTTGGAGAGAAAGTACCCAGAAGCAATACAGATCCAGCATATCAGCTTGGATAAATTACTGTAAAGAACAGAAGATCAGCATTACAACACCTTCATTACCACAACTGTTGAACTTTCTAACTCTTCAGTCCAAAAAGCTTAGCTACAGTGCTCTAGGGACCACTAGAAGTGCTCTTTCCTCCTTAATCAATATTGATGGCTCCAAAGTAGGAGAACACCCTATTATTTCACGTTTTATGTCGGGTGCTTTCAACAGGAAACCAACTTTCCCCAGATATGTGGAAACATGGAACCCCCAAATTGTTCTCAGCCACCTCAACGGCTATTCTGACACCAAGGAAATGTCTCTGAAGCAATTGACTTTGAAACTGACTATGATTTTGGCCTTAGTTACTGCAAAACGAACACAGACTCTTAAGTTGCTGTCAATCAATGACATGCAATCTAAAGATGGAGAATATGTTTTTCAAATTACTTCCATTCTAAAGCAAACAACTGCTCATGGTGGCCGGCAAAGACACCTGCCACCTATTGTGTTGAAGAAATATGACCATGATAAAACTCTTTGCGTTTTTACATTGTTACAAGAGTATCTTATTAGAACTTCTAACTTAGGGGGTTCATGTTCTCAACTCCTGATTTGCCACTGCAAGCCTCATGGGCCTGCTTCTAAAGACACTATTTCTAGGTGGCTCAAACAAGTTATGCTTGACGCTGGAATTAATACTTCTGTTTTTAAGCCTCACTCCACCAGAAGTGCAGCCACTTCTGCTGCAAAGTCAGCTGATGTTCCTCTAGATGAAATTATGACCACAGCTGGCTGGCGTTCAAGCTCTGTGTTTGCTGTTTATTATAACAAACCACTGTTAAATGATAGTTCCTTTGCCACACAGTGTACAGTGTACTGGGAAAATGAATTAGTGCCTTGGTAATAAATGCCATGCTTACGTTTCCTTATCTGGAATGTGTATTTCTTTATTTTTGAGAGCCCTATAGAGCTCTAAAATCTCATGTGATCTCAGAATGTATGCAAATGCGAGGTAGAATTGAATAATTAAACGAGACTTACCTGTAAGTTGAAGTTTGATTGAAATTCTACCGTAGCATTTTCAAGCAGAAATGAAGAGATCACATCCTCCAATTGGAATCGCCCCCAGTCCCCTGTTCATATCATCCTATGGTGTTGCATACACCATATATTTACTATTCATCTATGGGGTGGTCTACAGGACTCCTCAAAAAAAAAAAAAAAAAAAAAAATAATATGCTTTCAAGACTGAGCTCGAAGTCACGTGACTTGCTATCTCATGTGATCTCTTCATTTCTGCAAATGCAAATGCGTTTTGCCTACATCTTTATTCTGTTCTGTATTCTTTTAACTATACGACTCTGGGATTTGTATTCCTACAGTTTTCCATGTGGGGTTTCTTCTTGATCCTGAACTAATAGTGCTCAACTATTAGTTCAGTAGTGTTCATAACTGCGAGGATTGCTTCTATATTAGCATATGGCAGTTTGCAGCCTTTCCCTACATGTAGGCAGTTCGGAAAGCCGCAAAACACTAGAACAAAAATTTATCTTCCGAACCAGCTCTCTTGATCCCCACGGTATCAACGATTGCTTTTCATTCAACTAATTTAGTCTACTACTAATTTAGTCCCCATCTGGTCTTAGGATCAAAAGAATCCAAGTCAGAGGTCAAAATGTCGATACACTTCAAGGTAAATTTGACGACATTATTCGCGAGGCACTGAAACGAAGTTGTTAGAAGCTGCAATTGACCATCTCCGCTCTAAAGTGAAAGACCATCGGGAAGCCGTCCACTCCACTTCTGCCAATATCGTGGGCACTATTGGGCAATGGAAGGTTGAGCTCCGAAAAAATGATATTTCGTAAGATCAAGCCAGCAGCCTCTGTGTTGCCGCTTCAGCCTTTGGAGAAGAGCTTTCTCAAGACAGTGCAGTTTCTAGAGCTTCTAAAGTTCTTCAGGCGGAGATAAACTGCAAGGAAAAGCGTTAAATGGCATGTAAACCCCAAAATTACAAGTTTTTCTTGAACAATGTAAAAAGTGGCATAAAAAACGAATTTGCAATTTGTTTTGCCCAATTCGACTTATTTTAAGGAGAACATGGGCATTTTTAACTGAAATTCCACTTCCGGTGAAAACAATAGCGAGAACAGCTTACTGATGGCATAGCAGAAGTTGTGGCCTTTAGATGGATAACTTACTTAAACAAGCTGAACATCAAACACTTTGTTGATCCTTTGTTTAATACTTAGCACTGTGACCTGGGCTGTCAGATCTACCATCCCCAGAAAGAACAACACCACCACTTAAGTTAGAAAATCTTTTTACCAATTTCTCCTGTTCCTCCTTCCACATTTCTATGCCAACAGGTATGAGGAAGTTCTTCTGATGTTTATGATATGTCTGGTGGCGAAAACACTGTACTCTCAGAATTTTCAGCATTCTTAGGGTTTGGGAGATCATACTACCAGAATAAAGAGTAGCAGCGGATAGCAACAGATTTCCAGATTTTCTTTTTAATCTATGGTTTGCTTCTCCACACGCGCGCATAACTGCAGCTTAGACACTTTTGGGTGACGAGGATGAGAGTGCCTACCACATTAGATACCTCAGATGTAGAAGGCTCAGTGCACAGAGGACAGAACTCAAAGAGTTGCATCAAGCAGGAAAAAAAGACGATGAACTTGTTTTCACTTTGTGGGCCCTCTGAACCTTTTTTATTGTAGGATGTCCTATAACAAAATGAAAAGTGACCACAACTTAAAACAAAATTTTTAAAAAATCAGCTAGGCGAAATCTAAGACAATCTCTTTCTACCTCGAAAGTTTTTCTTCAAAGTTGTTCGGTTTGTTTTCCTCTTCTTAACAGGACTACACAAAGGCGTAGAACATGTGGGTACAGACGGTAGGTTGATGATCTCACATTGGACTTCGGCCTCAGTTGTAACAACTTCCACTTGTGTGTCTGTGTAATGAAGAAAGCCATCACGCTCAATAATGGGGAAGGGTTTCAAAGCGCAGAAACTGTGCTAAGATTTGTTTTAAAAAGTTATCGTCTTACCCACACTCGCCGTAGATTTTTGTAGAACATCGAACCAATAAAATTCCAGATCACATTGTATACCGATATCGACAAATTCTCTTTCTCTAATGAGTGCTTCCGTTTCAGGCAAAAGTTCAGACAGGTCAGTGTCTTTTATGGGCTCAACGCAAGCTCCCGAACAACTGGATTCCCCATAGTCTTTCAATAGCTGAGAAGCAAAGGTTTTTTGAGAACCTTAGTTACATTTGTTTATTTTTCTTAAGGTTTCCACGCAAATCGATTTTGTACTTACTCTATTGACCTCTAACTTTTGAAGAGCTCTACTTCTCCTCGGTCGTTTCTCAGTTCGGCAGCCACTTTCAGGTCCTCGCTGTCTGCCGACTGTATGGGTCTTCTTTTTACTACGGAAGAATTTACTTCTGGTAGTGCTTGAATCGTCTGTATCGACTTTTGAGAAAAAAACTAATAAAACCGATTGCGTACTTGAAATATATACTAAACAGTTGCGTGGAAAGAAAATGTGCGATTTTTGAGTTTACATGCCCTCCAAAGCTTGGACGTTAGCGAGCGTTTTGGGCCTTCGGAAACCTCGATCCGAGAGATCGTTCGAAGTGAACTCCATCTTTCCGGTAGCACAGTAAACCGAGTCGACACGATTCGACCACGCAAAGTTTCTATCGTCCACTCCATGGAAAGCAAAATGACAAACCCGGTGCCAAGCACAGTGGTAAACCCAATGCCAAGCGCGACAGCAACTCAATTCAAGGTCGACCCGAACACCGAAAAGCTAATCAACGCCAAAGATCAAGGTCGAGCTCTAGCAAACCTCGAACGCTGTCAAAAAACGTTCGCGGTAAAGGTTTTGGCCACGTAAAGTAGACAAACGTTCCACATTCCAGAAATGGGTGTCTAAGATAGCCCCGACCGCTATTCGATTTGCTTCCACGAAACTTGGAAATCCACAATTTTACTTCTATTGAGCTGACTAAGCGGCAGTCTAGAGTTCTGGGACCAGGTCTGAAGTTCAGACCTTCCTTGCGCCCTTCAACAGTTCCTCAGTTCAACCAGCAAATTCAAGACTTTTGCCGAAGAGTTCGCCTTCAAGATAAGTTTGCCAACCGACCTCAAAACAGCGAGTTCAACCCCAAATTATACGTTCCAACCGGCTAGATTCCATTGAGGGAAAACCCAGATCTTGAGGACAAACTCTTTACGCTTCGCGAAGAGTTGCAAAAGAGCTTCGTGGCTGAAATTCACATTAGAGAAACAATCTCTCAAAGCAAGAGTGAGAAGACCTTCATGAGCTGAATTCCAATCCTGACATTAAAATCCTGCTCATGGATAAAAACGTAGGTCCAGCTTTTCTGTCAACGGATTGGGTTCAAGCTGAGACACTTAGATATTTGCATGACGAGCTTTCATATTATAAAGTCACACAACAGGACTGGTATGCTAATCGTCTTTGTGTGATCAATTCTCGCGAAAGGCTCATGTCTATTTACAGTGGATTTATCTCCTCTAATGTTGCTCGCTTTTTGCATAAGCACTAAATTCTAAACTTTTTAAACATTTGCACCAAATTAAGGCCCAAAAACTCGACCAACTTATCGGCCCTCAAATTAAAAGCGACTCATCGCCTGAAAACCTCAAAACTGTAGTTATCATTCCAGAAAATTTACTGCTTTCCGATCCAGAAAAATGAGTTCTCAGCAAGGGCTTCAATTTTTTCCCATATCCGAAAAAACCGACGAATTTTCAGTTAAGCGAGACGTTGAAAAATTCCTTTGCCGCGTTCTGGGCCGCGAACTAGTACTCACACTCAATTGCTTTTCATTCGGTGGTAACTACTACAAACAAACTAATGGCGTGGCCATGGGTACTAACATGGGACCCAGCTACGCCAATCTTTTTGTAGGTTTTATCTAACATCAATTTTTAACCAATACCACGGCCCAAAACCTGAACTCTACGGCCGCTACATTGACGATTGCATCGGCGCTACCTCCTCTACCAAAGAGGAGCTCACTCAATTTATAAACGCCGTCAATTACTTTCATCTGGCTCTTAAATATACGTGGGAAATTTCCGACACTTCTTTGGCTTTTCTAGACATCAAAATTTCAATTGAAGGCAACGGCTTATGCACTAGTGTTTACTACAAACCTACAGATTCACATAGTTACTTGTTGTATTCATCTTCTTCCAAACCAGTCGCTAGACACTTTAATCTTCTTAATCATTCTAAACAGCATATGGCAGTTTGCGGCCTTTCCTTAAATCTAGGCAGTACAAAAAGCCGTAAAACACTAGAACAAAAATTTTTCTTCCAAATCGGCACCTTTAATCCCCACGGAATCAACGAGCGCTTTTCATTCAACTAATTTATTCCTAGACATAGTTTGATGCTACTCTGGCTTGCAGATTTAATGAAGGTAACTGAAGAAGTTACAATTCATAGACCCAACGTTTCGACATTCCTGTCTAATGCCTTCATCAGGGGTGATCTAAACGCTACAACAAGAGGCCTTTTTTCTGACGAGGTGTAAATAGGCGTCAGGAAGCAAACCGCCATCGTCACGATTTAAGGGAGCGTGGGCGCAGTTAATATGCCAAGCCTCCAAACAAAGGCGCTGGTGGTAACGTCGATTAGTGGTGATAATTTTAGAATTATCCCACCCAATTGTATGGTTGGTTAGGCATGTATGCTCCGATAAAGTTGAATTTTCCTTTTTGCAAAGAAAAACCACTTTTTGGTGCTCTTTTAACCGTGTACCAAACTGACGTTTGGTCTGTCCGATGTATTCGTTGTCACAGTCATTGCAAGGAATAGAATAAATGGCGTCGGTTCGTTGTTCTTTCGTGACAGGATCCTTAGGTTTGGCGAAAATATGCCCCAAAGTCTGAAAAGGTTTTTGAGTAACTTTAACGTTGTGGCTATTCAAAATTCTCTTGATGAGTTCCGTAACACCCTGTATGTAAGGAATAACAGCAAAACCAGTCGCTGGTTCCCTTTCATCAAGAGCGTTACTATTTGTAACTGGTTTTTGGCAGTTACGGAGAAAAGTTTTTGTATAGCCATTTGTGTTTAGGACATGGGAAACATATTTCCTCTCCTCAGCCTTCGAATCGAGTGAAGATGGTAGACAGTCAGCCCTCCTAAGTAAAGTTTTGGCTACAGACTTTTTATGGCAAATAGGGTGGTGAGAATCGAAAGCGAGGTATTTGTCGGTGTGGGTAGGTCTACGGTAGACACTTGTCTCTAAATTACACTGAACCCCTCTGGGCACATTTAAATCAAGAAAGGGAAAATGTCTATCCTTTTCGCGCTCAAGGGCGAATTGGATCGACGGCTCTACTGAATTCAAATGCGACAAGAGGCGCACCGCTTCATTTCCGATACCACAGAAATAACATCATCGACATACCATTTCCAGAAAAAGGGTTTAACCGGTGAAGTGGCTAAGGCCCTTTGTTCCACGTCTTCCATTACCATGTTAGCGACAGCGAACCCATCCGGTACCAAAAACTTGTTGATAGTAGGTGCCGTTATATGTAAATTGCGTGGTTTTGAGGCAAAAAGACAGCAGATGAATAATATCCTCCACAGGCAAAGAAGTTCTTTGTCCCAGGGAAGCATCTTCTCTGAGTCTTTCCTCCGCAACCTTAACGGCAAGATCAACTGGGATTTTGGTGAAGAGCGAAACAACGTCGAAAGATACTAATTCTTCACAAGCGTATAAGAGTTTATCTCTTATGAAATCCGCAAATTCGCAGGAATTTTTGGAAGTGTAATCAGTATTCCCAACAGACAGAATTAACAAAAGAGACAATGGGTATGAATTTTAGGTAAGCCATAAAAACGTGGACATAAGCTGTCACTACTGTATAACATTTTGTACGTAGAGTCACTAATTCTACCAGCTTTTTTCAAATCAAGCAACATTTTGTTTAACTTCCTTTGAGTTTTACTGGTAGGATCAGAGTTTAAGACAGCATACGTACTCTTGTCATTAAGCAGAGACAAAGCTTAACAATTACCCTTGTCAGCAGATAATACGAGCCTGTCCGGATCCGTTTTGAGAGCTATAAGCGCATTGAAAACATCCTTTTGAATGTTTTTGGGAGGAGGTTTAGCACGCCTGAGTATACTACTTACTTCTGCTCTTACCAAATGCCTACGATCGTCGTTGAGTTGAGAGATACTCTCTTCAACAGCGGCGACAATTTCGACATTCGGTATTTTGCGAGGAGCAATAGCAAACTTCAGACCCTTCTCTAAACCACTCCGTTCCAGCGCGGATAACTCCTTGGAGGAAAGGTTCATGACCCATTTATCTTTCAAAGATGAGCCTGAATTAACAGGAGACCTCTTACTGAGCAAGTGACGGAGTTTTCTGTCGTGTTTCTCTCTCTGTTTGGTAAACGTCTGCAGTTCTTTCGAACTGCAGAACTCCTCGACCCAGGAAGTTTCGGAGTTGTTAATCAAAGAAGAGAGTTAAAAACGATAAACGATATGTCGATGATGGAAACGATATGTCGATGATGTTATTTCTGTGATATCGGAAATGAAGCGGAGCGCCTCTTGTCGCATTTGAATTCAGTACAGCCGTCGATCCAATTCGCCCTTGAGCGCGAAAAGGATAGACATTTTCCCTTTCTTGATTTAAATGTGTCCAGAGGGGTTCAGTGTAATTTAGAGACAAGTGTCTACCGTAAACCTACCCACACCGACAAATACCTCGCTTTCGATTCTCACCACCCTATTTGCCATAAAAAGTCTGTAGCCAAAACTTTACTTAGGAGGGCTAACTGTCTACCATCTTCACTCGATTCGAAGGCTGAGGAGAGGAAATATGTTTCCCATGTCCTAAAGGCAAATGGCTATACAAAAACTTTTCTCCGTAACTGCCAAAAACCAGTTATAAATAGTAACGCTCTTGATGAAAGGGAAGCAGCGACTGGTTTGCTGTTATTCCTTACATACGGGGTGTTACGGAACCCATCAAGAGAATTTTGAATAGCCACAACGTTAAAGTTGCTCAAAAATCTTTTCAGACTTTGGGGCATATTTTCGTCTAACCTAAGGATCCTGTCACGAAACAACAACGAACCGACGCCATTCATTCTATTCCTTGCAATGACTGTTACAACGAATACATCGGACAGACCAAACGTCAGTTTGGTACACGGTTAAAAGAGCACCAAAAAGCGGTTTTTCTTTGCAAAAAGGAAAATTCAGCATTATCGGAGCATACATGCCTAACCAACCATACAATTGGGTGGGATAATTCTAAAATTATCACCACTAATCGGCGTTATCACCAGCGCCTTTGTTTGGAGGCTTGGCATATTAACTCCGCCCACGCTCCTTTAAATCGTGACGATGGCGGTTTGCTTCCTGACGCCTATTTACACCTCGTCAGAAAAAAGGCCGCTAATTAGTGATCATGTAAAAGGACCTCTTGTTGCAGCGTTTAGATCACCCCTGATGAAGGCACTAGACAGGAGTGGCGAAACGTTGGGTCTATGAATTGTAACTTCTTCAGTTACATTCATTAAATCTGCAAGCCAGAATAGCATCAAACTATGTCTGATTGTCCACCTGGTTGCCGTGTGAACTTTAATATATTTTAATTTTATTCCTGTTCTCTCGTCACCATATTCCCACCAATGGCGTAGCTCCACTTTCTGCATATAAACCCACACTCAACCTACAATTCCTCCAATCGCTCTGACGAAGGACTAACGCTCGAAACGTCAGCTTTTTTACCCTTTACGGTGGCTAATTTACGTTTTCAACTCAGTTGTTATCACTAAGTTACCTAGTATTGTTGTTGATTGTTAAGCCCACAACATATTTGCCCACGGTCCCTAGGGATTCTGGCGAGCTTATTCAATTACTGGAAAATACTGTCTTGCCCAACTCAAGCTGTTTTCTTGTCACCGCGGAAGTTGCATCTCTATATCCCAACGTGGACACCAAAAAAGCAGTAGTGGCTCTCGACTTGCTCCACCGCGATGCTAGGGTTCCCGAAACTCCACTATTGATTCAGCTCGCCAGACTTGTACTCGACAATAACTATTTATCGTCCGAATCAGTTCAGTCCGGACATTTTTCATCAAGAGTTTTGTATTGTTTTGAGCACTCCTTTCGCCGTCACAGTGGCAAAACGCTTTTATGTATTTTCACGAGAAAGATATTGTGGAGCAGTACACCCAATTTCTCGTGCTCTATTGGCGTTTCATTCATGACATTTTTGTCATTTGGTGTGGGCCCAGGGTACCCTCCTAGAATTTCCAGGTGCTTTTTATTACAAAAAGGATCGCATTAAGCTTACTCGTTGTATTAGCAACATTAGCATTTGTTTCCAAGATCTTTGTCTACATAAGGATATTTCCTAAAGCGTACTGCAGTTTTCTATCTGCATGAAATCTGTAATTTGCGAAATGGAAAGTTGTGTTCACAGGCGGCCCAAGCTCACGTCTCGAGAAAAAGCCAACGATGAATTCATGAACGCGTCACGCGTTGTGTGACTCGGTGTTAAGTTACGGGAGGAACCGTTGAAAAATTGAACACGTTATAAGGAATAGTATGGGGAACGAAATATAGTCGATTTACAACGATAAATATTTCGAAATATGAATATTTTACACGTAAAATAAATAAAACTTGCTCATGCCCTGTGTATCCGTCGTAGTTTCTGGCGATTTCTTCCTTTTTAAGCTTGCTTTGTTATCCATGTCAAAAGACATGACTTTAAGTAAGTAAGTTTAAGCGATATATTGTTATTTCTAATATGGTAATTGTTTAAAAAATTGTACATTACCTCGATTGGACGGAGATTAAGTTTGAATATAATGTAGCAGGCGATATTACTTTTGTCGACAAGGATAATCCGTGACTTGTTTCACCTACTACATTTTCTCTATCTGCGTTGTGCCATGATCATAATTGAAAATATTCTACGATAATGTTTTTTACAATATTTAGATGAGGATTTTCTATTCTAAACGCAAGAGCGTACTTAGGGAAAGATCTACAAGAAACAGTTTCTCATGAATATATTTTAAAAATTCTTTTAGCTGACTTCTACATAGATAAAAATTACTACATAGATATATTTCACTTCGACGATTATCTTAATAAACAATTAACGGGAAGTTCTGAGAATCAGTTTTTTTTTTCAGTTTTGATAGATTTCGTGGAGGTGTTACTATATTGTAGTTGTAATCGGCCATCCGTGAAAAGGAGGCATCGCAGAAATTTTGTGGAGTCTGTAATAAAGGTAAGCAACGAAAAAAAAAAGCAAATATCTTACGGCTAATACGAAGTCATGAGCGAAAACGAAGCTCGTGTTCGTTTCTACTCTGTTTTGCGGGTCTAATATGCTAAATAGGGCCTTCATCACGAAGACAACATCGGGCGAGCTCGGATTCGGTAATCGGAAATCTACCCAAGATGACCTCCTTCTGACGGATGTCGGAGTGCGCTTTCCGAATTCATCGTTGGCTTTTTCTCGAGACGTGAGCTTGGGCCGCCTGTGTTGTGTTTTGCAAAAAGTTAGCTTGGGTTCCAATTTCCTCGGGTCAAAGGGTCGCACCAACCTTGGCCCCTGATGTATGGGTAAGAATTACAAGACTCTATTAGCATTTCCGTAAAACCTTTTGGCGTTCTAATCAAGTCGTAATCATTCTTGAAATATCGAAGAGGCTGGGTCAGTTTCATTTTCCCACCAAGCATGATATTTTATTTAGAACCATGCTGCATACGCCTTTAGTCACGGCCTTCCCCAAGAGTATGTTCGGTCAGGAAAGTTGGCACGAATTTAATATAATTTAAGCTGTCACTTCGACACACCTCATGTTATGGTGCACGGCTGTGCGTACATAATAATTTTTAACATGGTAACTACTCCGAATTAGGTAGGACGAACGAGCGTGCTATATTATAATTGGGGCGAAAAAGCATTGAGAACAAACAAACATTCATTCCTTTATCAGAATTCTGGTATTTTGCTTATCGCAACATTTGTTTGCTCCTTCTTTTAATTGCTTTCTAAACTTCTTCTTCATCTATATGGACAACTAAGTAAATTTCTTTTAGAACCCAAAAAGCGTGACTTTGCTAGAATAATCTGTCATGGAAAGATAGATCAAGTTGGTTTCATCAACTGAACTGATGATGTAAATTCGCCATCGCAGTTTCAAAGCTGACGTTTCGAGCGTTAGCCCTTCATCTTTCGCTCTGACTTAGTTGATAAAACCAAATTATCTTGTATTACCACGCTCTCTTCGGCATTTTACACAACCCACCAGCACAGAACCACAATTTCTTTAGAAACCCATGCTAAGTTCAGACGTCGTACTTCTGCCGTGCCGAAATAAATTGCAATTAGGTTCGACTATGGCACCGCAGTAGCGCGACTCTGATTCAGACGTGGGGCTAATTTCGTGTGAACTTCAGCATTTACTGAAGCAGCCTCAGCACATACTCCGTAGAGGAGAATTGTTCTCGTGACTCTTTCCGCGCTAATACAATCCCGCCGAAATGCATTGGAATAATTTATGAATTTGGGTTGTTGTAATTGCATGTGTGAAATCTTTAACAGAGCATGAAGAAAATTGGTTGGCGGGAACGTGCTGTATATCAAGTGGAGTGTTGACCATGAAAGATAGTACTTCTAAGATTCTACTTACTAAAAGCATCTTTCGCTCTGGCTCAGTTAATAAAACCAAATTATCTTGTATTACCACGCTTTCTTCGGCATTTTACACAACCCACCGACGCAGCACCACAATTTCTTTAGAAACCCATGCTAAGTTCAGACGTCGTACTTCTGCCGTGCCGAGCTAAATTGCAATTAGGTTCGACTATGGCACCGCAGTAGCACGACTCTGATTCAGACGTGGGGCTAATTTCGTGCGAACTTCAGCATTTACTGAAGCAGCCTCAGCACATACTCCGTAGAGGAGAATTGTTCTCGTGACTCTTTCCGCGCTAATACAATCCCGCCGAAATGCATTGGAATAATTTATGAATTTGGGTTGTTGTAATTGCATGTGTGAAATCTTTAACAGAGCATGAAGAAAATTGGTTGGCGGGAACGTAATGTATATCAAGTGGAGTGTTGACCATGAAAGATAGTACTTCTAAGATTCCAGTTACTAAAAGCACAGGCCACACGCTTCCAGAGAAGGAAGAGACATGGACTCTGCGCAATACAGTAATTTTTCTTTCAATGTGCCTGGTTTACTTCGCCCTATTTGCAGCTTATTCAGTTTATGCGCCATTTTTACCGAGTGAGGTAAGCAAATCCATTTTTCCTATAGGGTACAAAAATGCTAAATTAATCGCAACGTCTTTAATGCAACGTCTTAAATACATTTGTTGCACACGGTAAGTTGATGTTTCAAGCAACTGAAGCCAGTTAAAACTCACAATTTCCAATAGTTCACAAACTAAAATAGTTCGGCAGGTCGAATATAACACTTTCACTTGTAGTTTTTTAATATTAATTCAGGATCTGAAAGTGAAATGCTCAGTGAAATCCTTTGTTCAGTGAAAAGCTAGAGAGAAGTCCGGGAAATGGTCGGACATTGGCAAATTGGCAAATGGCGTGAGAGCTCTTTGAAATATCTTCGGAAGATGAAGTCATTTTGTTTATTCATTTCGGTTAGAAAATGGGGTTTCTGGCACATTTTGAAATCAACCTTGATTTTAAAGGCAACTCATGAATTTAACCTTGAAATCAAGGTTGAATTGAAATCAACCTTGAATTAAAAAAAACAGTTCTTGCACACTTTGAAATCAACCTTGATTTCAAGACAACTTAAATTTTTTCACAGGTGAATAATTTCACACTCTCTTTACAATGCCCACTCGTGAGTTCTGAAAAGGGTATGAATATTATCATCTTGAATGATCTTGAATATTATTATCTTGATTGATCCTCTTGTCACGCCATCAGCCTCGCTGAAAGGGTGTTGATTGTTTGTGTGAAGATTTCATGCGTGTGGCTTCTTACCGTATGTTTTATTGAGATTGTCATGCGACAGCATCAGCATCAATATTGTATCGTGTTGTGCCTTGATTTGTTGTGTAATCGTAAATGAGAAGAGTATGACTGTCAGAGTTTAATCCCTCGTGAAAATTACCTCTATCCTGTTTTTTTAAATTTCCTTCAACATACTGTAGTATTGAATATGTTCTTTCTGTAGTAAAGTGTACAAGTTTTTTGCCATTACACCGGAAAGTTTATATCTTTTTCTGAACTTTCACCAATCCAGTGGCAGCTAATGACTTTCCACTTTCCTCCTTCTGTTGGATTTGCCTTTGTCTTGAATCCTGCTGTGGTTTAACATCAATGAAAACATCATAACATTTATTTGTTTCATGATTGTATCTTTGTGTTCGATATAGTTTCGTGTTTTTTCCAATAGCGATGAATGGAGCATGTTATATGCATTTTTTTCTTAAAAAAGAAGATCAAATTGCCTATTTTCATGAAAAGAAGAAAAATTGTCTTCCATTGTTTGTTGAAGTGGATATTCTTGGTCTGAGTGAAATTTTCTGTTTTGTGTTGCATAGTTGTTCAATCGTGATTGATCAAAAAAATCAATACTATATTATTATAATGAAGTATTTCATTGTCTGAGTTGTGGTCTGTGTGATACCAGCATGTTGCTTTTTCCTTGATGAATGTCTCAATGAAGAGACTTTTGGGGGCATATTTGGTAAAGAAAAAGTGAATGAATCGATTGTTTCTGTTTTTTCATCAACATAGTTCTTGTTTGCTGCGTCTTCGTTGTCAGTTGGATCGGCAAGATTGCGGATCTTTTTATTGTTCATGTCTTTCTCAGTTTCTTGAATTGATTCACCAGGATTGCTCAGGTCTATTGAGAAACTGATTTCAATGGTTTTTTTTCCAAATCAACGAATTCTTTCACGAATCAACTAAGTTCCAGGATGAACAATCGAAGCCCCTCTTGAACGAATACACGCTTTGGACCATCTTTCAGATAGTAGAGAACTGGCTCTCTTTCATTCACAGTTGATTCCTCGATACCATAGACCTTCAGAGACCAGATTGGATCTGTGGCTCAGCTTTGAGCACCTTCCAATTCACTAGAGGAGGAGAGTATCTTCTCCTTCAAGCCAACAGGTCTTGAATAAGAAGTTGAACTCTTCACGTCAACCGACTTGTCTTTGATTCCGTCAACAGGTTTCTTTCCAGTCAAACTGGTCACCTCACTATTCAAAGCCAATACAACTTCTGGAAGCCTCCTCACCCATTCGACTGATCTCTTTCCCTCTTTGTGGTTAATCTCTTAACTGTATTGGAAAGTGAAGAGGCGTTCACCCAAAGTTTGGTTGAATCGCTCAACGATTCCCTGATCTCTATGAACGTTCACATTTCCTCTTCTTATCCTAACATCATGCTTTGCCATCTCTCTTGTGACTTCACCCATGAATTCACGCGCAGGATCAACTTAAAGAACCTTTGGCCATCTCAATGGTCCATGCTTATAAATTGTCTGAAAAGTTCTACAGACCTTAGAAGAAATATTTGAGGTGAGAGGTTCGACAGCCTTGAATCTGCTTGTAACATAAACAACTGTCAATGCATATTTATATACAGAATTTCCTTCCTCTCAGAAGTCTGTCATGAGGAGGGAAAAGAAGATCAGCTTGATTTACAGGATTTGGGGATTGCACATCAAAAGTTGGTCTTGGTATATGTTTAGGGGCAGGAAAATGAATCTGCCAGATGGCTTGCTTCATCAGCCAAAGCTTTTCAACGTCCTCAGACATTCCAGCTTCTTTAGCCGATTTCTTCACAGCTGGCAATCCCTTCCAAAAGCCTTTAGGGCTATAGTAGATTCTTGAAAGTTTTCCTTTCACTTTATTATAGTTCACAAGAAACGACTGGCAGCCAATCCCAAAGCCAAAGCCATTCCTCCGACGTAGATCATCTCACCTGTTTTTTGGTGAACACTTGGGTTGTACAGGTCGGAAAGCTGTTGTTCTCTTAGATCAAGCTCTTGATTATGCACCTTTTTGTACAGCTTCAAAGCATAATCTGCGCCCGTCCATCAAATTCTGTTTTGCCTGCTCCTCGACTCTGTCATTAGTTGCAATCCAATCGAGGAGCTTTGTTCGATTATCTTGATACTTTTCGTACTAAGCCGCTCGGTACTTCTCCACAGTGAGATCATGCCTATCCTTCTGCTCTTCAACACTATTCTGGTCTCCACTCAAATACTTTGCGAGATGGCTTTCACCGAAAAATGATGTTGCATTATTGCTATGCTTGCCATTTTACCTACGTTCATCATTATTTTTGAAAATCGACAACAAGTATTCATCATGAAAATTTTGACTGTTGATCAAATCATAAACTTGATGAAACTCAAGAATATCAAAGAGCTTGGGTCAGTTTCATTTTCCCTCTAAGCATGATATTTTATTTGATATTGCATACGCCTTTAGCCACAACGTTCTCCAAGTGCACGTCTGGTCAGAAAACTTGGCACGTATTTAATGTAATTTAGGTTATCACTTAAATAACAGATTTCGATTTCGCAAATCACAGATTAAGAGTAATATTACAGAGTAAGTTATCAGATATTAAGCATTCAAAATGAAATGAAGACCGAACGAACACAAGTAATCGAAAAATTAAAACGAACGGAAATGCAAACTTCATTTGTTTTCTCAAATGAAGTGCTTACGCAATCTCTTACGGAAGCATACTAAATGGTACGATGAAGGAGTCAACAACTTCTTATCATCACTCAAGAAATGTTGTATGTTGCAGTGCTTCGCGTAGTAAAGATGCTTCAGATATGTTAGTTTTAGAGCTGAGCTGAGCGAAGCTCTTCTTAGTAGTAATATTTGTGGTTTTATGGTCCAATAGCCACATTCAGCTTTTAAAGACAATGAATCTGGCAATTTTCTATTCGCCTTTCTTGTTAATAAGTCACGCCACACAGTTCGACGAAGTTTGGTCGCTATCATTAAATGCACAGAACTCCAAAGCTTGAAGCTCCAATCCATCAAAAAAAATATCGTTTCGAGCCCAAATCTCTAAAGAAATTGACAATTTTATGACTTTGTAATACTATTGACACAAAAATGTGAAGTAAATGTACAGTTTTCTGCCCCTGCGTCTGAGAAATTGTCCTATAAACTAATATTTGGCCAATTAGCGAAGCATCTAGGACAAATGTAAAACCTTGAGGACAATCTGTCATCCAAGGACAATATAAGCCGACATACCAGCAAGCCAGAATGGGGTTTGTTTATTTTAGAACCCTTCCATTAATCTTCGTATCGTACGTTGACAGCAAATTTTGTTGACACTTTTTTGTGCTTTCCTGATCAGCATTTTAGATCAGCTCCTTAATGTCACTATCATCGGACATGCACAAAACGAACTCGTTTTTCTTCCATGTAAAGTAATGGATATGAAAAAGCTAAAATCTTGGGCTGGCGTTTTTTCCGCTGGCTTTGTTTCTTTGGATGGAAATAATCAGAGGACAAATAACGACTTAGACAGGGGTTATTGCGTCACAACTGTCCGCACATTTTGCACCACATTGAGTAAAGTAGTCAATAGAACTGCGCAAAATTAGTGGGTGAGTTATGATCATTATTAACTTCTCATCTTATCCTTTACATTTTAGGCAAAAGATAGATGTGTGTCTGATATTTATGTTGGATTAATTTTTGGATCTTACGCTTTTGTAATTTTCCTGACTTCCCCCCCATGTGGAGTTCTTGTAAGTATATGCACTGCAAAGTACATTCTTGTTTTGTACTAAAAATGTGTAAAATATACCCATTTAACTTAACCTCGGCTTCGTTCTTTCACGAAAAATCAAGTGAACTCATTAGCACCAAACCAATCCTTCTAGTAACATGAAAAACATTTTCATTGCAGGTGCCAAAATATGGTGCTCGCACTATGCTTGTAACAGGTACTTTTATCGCTGGTACATCCCTGATGCTAATGGGGTAAGCAGAAAACTCTATATTCTAGTTCATTGAGGTGATTCCTCAATACTGCACTGCGCATCTAGTATTGCGCATACCATCACCTATATCCTGCGAATTAGTGCGCATGGTCTTTTTCACTTAAACGAGCACGGTGACCTATATTTTTCAACGCATAATTTGATGCTTAAGTTGTTCCATTTGGGGGAAAAATTCAATGTTTAGCACGTTTAAGTCCTGAACGAGAAGCAGGTTCGAGATTGAATCCCCTTTGTATTTCTTGTCATTTCCTTTTACCGTGACATAATGCGCTTAATATTTTGTCTTTTTTTCAGATTTGGCGAAGTGATCTTTGATCCGACAATGTTCATAATATTTTGCTTTGTGTTACGAATAACATCAGCCATTGGGGCAGCAGCGGCTGAAACTGCTGTCCTTTCTTTAATGCTGCAGAAGTTTCCAAATGATACCGGAACAGTTTCTGTATGTCTGCATTTGAATTTGTGTGCATGAGCATAGTAAATGCATGTGCATGAACGTGAATGCGAGAGCATTGATTTTTTAATGCATGAGATGTAACATTAAGGTTCCGCTAAAAGATAAACGTGAAGAGGATATTTTATTTCTCAGACAACTCACAAGGCAAACGTTGTACTGTCCAAAAACAAAACGGATACAACATTTTCTGTCCTCTTCACCCCACAACACGCTCAATCTTAAGTCCGCATCAGTTTGAAGACATAACCGTACGGCTAAACTTGAGTCTTGAATTTCTCCATAGCTATGTGAACGGCACCAACATCGTTTTGTTTCGGGCTTTTGATTGTTGATATCTCTTGATACCTCTTGCGCCTTTTTCCGTTGTTTGATTGATATTCAAGAACTTTCAAGCGCTTGTCTTTCGTAAGAATCAGTACAAGGAATGGTATGCAGTTGCCAGTAAATTTGGCAACACACTTTTAATTTGTGATCAGTCTATGATCTTTTTATTTCCAGTTTGGCTGGAAAAAATGTAAAGAGTGATTCTTGTCTGGTACATTTGTGTTTAGGGAGCAGTGGAGACATCTTGTCTTGTTGGATCTTCCTTTGGTCCAGTTTTTGGAGGGTTTCTGTACACAGTAAGTAAAAAACCTGGTAAATCCCTAAGTGCCTATGGCGTTATTTCAAATTTAGGCCGATAAGAAGATAAAATTCGTATCCACGTACAGCCATGTCACATGCTTAGTATTCGTATTATCATGAGAAAATAACAGTTACCCCTTATTTTTCTCTTGCCTCTTAATATATGTACCCCTTCATTTCAAAATATTTAGGCTTAAGGTATGCAATGATGCACCATCACATTAAATTGCGTTTTATTTTTTCATATATTTTCTTTTCAGGTAGGTGGCTTCAAACTTCCTTTCATTCTCATGGGTCTAATTCTATTTTGTAGCATTGGAGTTTTAGCTTTTCTGCTTTCAAAAGAAACAGGTTGGTGAGATTATGCATGTAAACTTTTGCTTAGACCTGGTACAAATACCAACCCTTTCATAACCCTTACAACTTGACTTTAGGTGTTAGGACTCATAAGTAAATGAAAAATTTTGCGTCTGGATCATCTATGACCGGCTGCTTTAATTCGGAACTGCTCTGTTGTTCTTTCCGCACAATTTTGCAGGAAACTTAGACTTCATACACCAAACCAAATACATAAAAACTTTTCTTATATACTTCACAGGTGAATACTGCTTTTTGCGTGCACTGATTTGCTAAACCGGAAGAAATTAAGATTAACCATTGCTATTCACCTCCGTGCAGCCGAAGAGAAATCGCATGTCAAGTGTCAAGTTCGTGGAATATAACAAAACAATCATATATTCATCGCCACTTCGGCGAAGGATTGTTGAATAACTCATTCAGCACTTTAATTCAGAGAGAAAGTACCGTGGAGAGTTTTTGCAGAAAGGCATACAACATCGTTGATTAAGTTCGACGTTTTTTAAAATTTGGGTTGGTTTATTGGAATAAAGTTCAAGCTTTGTAAAGTTTGGCCTCTGAACAAGGCCTTACTTTTAAAAATCCGGATAAGTATTTGAAAGATTAATTTTTAATCGGGTATCAAAGCTTGTCATTCGTAGTTCTTGAAAATCACAGTGAAAGGTTATTTTCATTTTCATTCCATTGACCTCAATCATTTCCATTTATATTCCACAAATTGATCAGAATACCGAACAGAATCAAGCAAAAGCATATCCATGTGCAAATCTATGCAACCATTAAGGATTCCAGCTGTTTTTGTAATGGGTAAGTTTGATATGCATGAACTGTAACTAACTGAGCCCGCAATCATGGTGTCAGCGTGTTGCGACACAATCGGCAAAGCAGATGAGGGATGATACGAGAAATCTTGTATCCGGTTATTTGCTCTTCATGCCGCATATCCGTTGTGTCACACATACTTTACGGAGGGAGTTAGTATTAAACAATTTAGGCCATTATTTCACGGTTTTAGTTGCATAGGATTTTTTTTTACGGCTCTATTACGAAATTCTTTAGCCTGCATTGTCTAAGCTTAATTCCTCGCAGAAACTCGTGGCGCCCTCTGTTTCAAGGTCTCATTTAACAACTCCTTCCCAAAACGAAAGTTTTTAAGCCGCAACCGCCGTTAACGAAATGGAAAGAAACCTTTTCTTTTTTTTGTACTCAGGCTTTTCCTCTGTTATCGGTGGGGCGTTATCTGGTTTCATACAACCAATTTTGGCGCCTCACTTGAGAGAGGTATGTTGATTTTGAATATTTCATCGCAATATCCTTTTATTATTAACAATTGTGGTAATTCCTCAGCTACCAACAGTATAAGTTTTAAACTCGGTCTTTAGCAAAGAAAGATATTGTTCTTTTTTCTACCAGCGTGAGGCAAAGGAAAAAATTGTTTGTGAGGAATCGAGCCTTAAACCTTTGGACTTCGCGCGCCAGTTTATCACTTTACCTATTCTAAATAAACACACAGGGAAAAAGTTCATCTTCAGCATACGCCGAAAAGATTATTTTGAGGCACAAACAACTTAATATGTTTCTCTTATAGCTGGGTCAAAATGCTACACAGACTGGTCTAGTATTCTTCCTATTTGCCGGTACTAACGCCGTCTCAGCGCCTTTAATAGGCTTTATAGCGGACAAAACAGTAAGTAAAACTTAGATTTCTACTCATATATTGCTAGCAACCCTTTCCTTCTCCCCTACCTGGCCTTCTCCAGCAAAGTGTGTCGGTGCCGCATAAATAAAAGCCGTCTTCAAATTATCTTTTGTTGGATTTTTTTAAGAATCACGCGTCGGAAACAGGGGCTGCTTGTAATCTGTTGTCTGCCTTCTTTTCATTTGTTTTGGCTCACGAAAGATTATGGGTCAGGATCACGTTAACTCAAACCTTATTCTTTGCTTCCTTGTACTAATTTCAACAGAAAAAACCTGCTGTCAAAATTCTTCCTTTAGATATCGGAATTTTTTTATCAGTCAGCCCTTGTTAACTGAGTGTTGTCGGCAATAGAGATAGGAATAGGAATAGGAGGGTGGGAAAGACCTCCTACATGGTCTCATGGATTCGTACTTGTGGCGATTTTGTGAGCTACTCGCAAGCAGTTACAAAATAACTCTCAGAAAAATAGTAGAAAATGCAAAAGAAAAACAAAAGAACAAAAAAAAAAAAAAACCGGAAAGGCCGTAATACTCTCTTCTCAGAATGACTTCTTCCTCCGCCAACCAATCCCTGCCACTTGCACACGTGATGATCGTACGCACTGCTTGCAAGGAAGCTTACAAATTTGGAAATGCAAGAGAGCGAGGACGCTCATCGCGCGTCACAATAATTCGGCTTTCCTTGCTTATCCTCACGGTATGTTAGGTATTATATGACGACAGTAAAATCAAAGCCCTCCTCAATGAACTAGAATAAAACTCTGTCTCATTCTTGTAATTACAACCTTGTATAATTTTCCTGATCAGAAATGCTACCGATCGCTGCTCCTGTCGGGTTTGATCGCTTACAGCATTGGATACCTATCATTAGGACCAGCTCCCTTTTTACCATTTCTTCCCGATGGGTATGTACCTTCCGTCACATGCATGTTTTCAATGTATGATTGAAGCTATTTGCTTGTCAAACGGATTTGGTGAGTTTGCCAACGGTAAATATCTATCTATTGCTGCGACTAACATCTTTTTGCTTGTTAAAATCAACAGAACCAGACAAGTTAGCTATACGTTGAATCATTTTGATGATTTGGTGGGAAATAGATTTATTTTGCTTCTGATTCATTTGTAATGCTATCAAAAACGTTGAAAACAGTTGGGCTAATAAAGTAGACAGTAGCGTATGTGCCGATCAATTCGAAGCTTTAACATACCCTCCCCCCGCGGGAAACCCCTTGGGCAAACTCCCAGGCAAGCCGCCGGGCATTTGAACTTTTGAAGATTATTTCGATCAAATTCTTGCCCCTGGAGAAGCTTTCTACATATTGACCAAGCTTTAAAACCTAGACCTTGTACAACTTTTCCTCTGAGCCATTCGCTCGCAAAAATGAACCTTTCACCCTAAACATCTCCATTTAAAGATATAATGGCACTTGAATTCCGCCAGAAAGACCTGATACTTCCGGTTCAAATCCCTTACTCCACCCCGGCAAAGTTAAATTTTCCACCCCCTGAAAACGGACAACGCTCAAATGTCCATGGGGGATGCTAAAGTTTCGAACCGATCGGCGCATTATCGTGCTCAATTTGTAAGATCCAGACTTAAAAGGCACTTTGTGATAGTGGAAATTTGGGAGGGTCCCGCAGGTGGCAACCTTTTACAGATTTCATTGCAGTTATCTATTTTTATAAAATTAATCACTAATTTTAAACTGTATATTATCGTTGCAGCGAGGTATGGCTAGTATGCGTTGCCATGGCGTTTTCGGGATTCGTTGCCTCATTTTACTATGTGCCATTATTGCCTGAAATCATGATAGCTGCAAGGTGAATGGCTCATTGCCATGTCTGTTTCAATATACCAAGGGAAACACTTTATCCTCTCTTGAACATACTGAAGATCAGAATTCACGTGATCCAACTAACTGGGAACCCAGGCCTGCTGCGAACCAGTGTGTTTCATATACCCATGACTCGATAACTTAGCCAGTAGAAACGTTTTCGTGCCCAGTGCCGCGTGAAGACTTTCTTGATCGTGGAAATTTTGCCTGGGTTTCGTTGAAGTCTGCCAAGTCATCATGAGCAAACTCAATAAAGCATTTTAGAAAGCATTTTATTTATGTATTCCAAGATACGCCGACACAGAAAAGCAAAACCAATCAGAAAACCCTCGCAACCGAATGAAATCAAATTGTCATTTTGTAACAGTATCCAATATAAGAATAGGACTAGCATTTAAGAATTTAATTTTCTAATAATCGGTTTTATACTTAGTCTGTTTAAGGCGTACCGTTTTCATGAGAAAAATCTGTTCTCGCATGGAAATCGATGCCAAAATAGGAGTGTGTGAAGTGAAACTGATTAGAAAAGTGCAAATTTCTTCACTTTTATTTACCGACGAGGCTTGACATTGTCAATTTCTCAAGGTGGGGGAGCGACTAATAACCCGGGTGCATCTTATAGCCGAATGAATATGGAGTAAACATTTGTTTTTGGGCAGGGAAAATGGGATGCCTGACAATGACGAAACAAATGCAGAGCTTTCAAGTCTTTACACAAGCTTGTATTACTTAGGGTATGTATTCTGTCTTCAACTTTGATATATGAAAACCTTGCAGTCAAGTCGCGGTGCAATAATATATTACATTCAGACTTTGATTCCAAACGAAATACCAGCCGTCTACCAGTTAGTAACTTTCGCTTCTACTAATGCTGAATACTTCGATTTTTGATGCTCTATATTTCTGATGCCATAGCCACAGCAAATGCTACTGCTTCCGCTTGTGCTTCTCAGTTGTTTTTTTCGTTATTGTGGTTATTATAATTTGTATTAGTAATGTTTTACAGAGCTTTTATCGGTCCAAGCCTCGGAGGTGCTTTTGACGAGCATTTTGGCTTTCAGTGGGCAATGACGGTATGTAGATATAATGTAATCCCGCGCCTTAAAGCCACCTCGATAGCTCTGGCCATTTTTTTGAAACGGCCATTCATCTCACATAAATAAATAAATTAAAAAAAAAACCCTCGTCAATGCAGTCACCCCTTTAAATGGTCAACGGCTTCATTAAAAAATCTCAGACAGGAGACTCCTACATAATTTTATTCATGAAATTGACCCTACCTCGCTAATATGGCCATTTTTTGCTGGCCGATTGGAGTCCAAATTAACATGCGTATCCCAGTTAAGGTTGTTGTCGGAGTTAGGTTTCCGCTAATGAAAAGAAAAAACTTTGGCTTAGTCAACTCAACTAAAATGAAAGACATACGTGAAGTGCCATTAATTAAGGACCAAAACTAGTACTCTGTGTTTCGTTCAAATAAGTGGCGTTCGAGGGTATAACAATACCAAAAAGGCGCAACCAATCAATGGCGATCTTCCTCTTCACGGAAGAGGTTGAGAGTCCAAACATTTGCTCTTGTTTTTCAACCTTCCACAATTATCACCCTTTCCATATCGACACCCGATACCTGCATCTAAAAGCACTCTCGAACTGTCAAAGGACTAGTGCATGGTGTGTACAAATGTTGTGTTTTCAAACCCTATTTGTTAGTGTTGAAAGACTGTCTAAAGGCCGGCTATTGTGCCGAGAAGTTCAAGTGTTGTAATGAGTTTCCTTTCTCATTTTGCAGATTGCAGGTCTCATAAGTTTTGCTCAAGTAAGTACACCTTTATCGGAATGGATTTTGCTCTAATGCTGTCTGAATTTGAACTTCGTGCGGTAAAAGGGCTTTAAAGGGTTTTTGACCGCGCGAGACTGATGGCGCAAGCTTAAAAAATGTCGAGAAGCAAAACAAATATGAAAAATAAAACAAATATGAAAAATATCTTAGTCATTTACTGGGAGGTAAGCTAGTACCCCCAGCCCTTCCCCGATGCACGTTAGTAGGGTTTCCCTGGGAATTTGCCGTTACTCATTCTTACTCCTGGTGCGCGAGAGGGGTCAACGACCCTGGATAAGGCTCTGAATCCAAAGCGCTGACAACTAGGCCACCACGTCATTCATTCTAATTGGACAGAAGAAGAAGGGTATCTTCTGATGGATATACATTCATGTAAAACGAAGTTAAACAATAATTAATTTGTTTCAATTTACTATTTTATTTTACATTTTTAGGCACTCGTTGTGCTTATATTTACATTGGTGGAGAAGGTGTCCCGAGGGTTAGTAATTGTTGTAATATTTTCGTGAAATCCTAAATTATTCCAGTAATTGTTTTTGTTAGTGTGGTTCTCCTTAGCGATGAACAACAGAAAGAGTAGAAGCTAGTAGAGACTCAGGTAATATGGTTCATTTCGTGTCTCGCAATTTTTTTTCGAACACTGAAACTTCTGGTCAGAGTATCAAAGTAGAATGCCTGATCAATGATTGTCATGTAATAATCTAGTTCTCGACGATAGGATGAACAACTTTCTTAGATTTGTTGTCAGATCATGTAGCCACTCATTTCAAACAAACAAGAAAAGAAGAAGTTTGAGCACGTGGTGCTAACGACTAAAATAGTTTGAGGTGGTTTTGACTTCTACCGCCAATTGTGCTCCATTCGTTCATCTTTGTATGCCTTGAAATAATTTCACTGTTCTTTTCTTTAGAAAATGTTCCAATCAGACAGAAGAGAAACTCTCTTTGTTAAACTAAAGCACTTTTAGCGACGAAACGAAAGGGCAAAGATACAAGAAAGAAAACAAAGGAGAACAAGAACAAAGTCTGGAAAGCAATTTGGATTCCTGCACTTGGAATCCTGGACACGGTGTTTCTCTAAGATTCTCGCTGGTTTTTGTCAAAATGACAGGAATTGCCATTTTTCACTGATCAGAACGCCCTGCTCGTGAGAAAACACACTTATGCCAGTCCCCTTCCCGGCCAGTCCCTGGCTGCTTCCCCTCTTGAAACAGAGGAGACTTGAAATGGATGGTGCTAAAGTAAATTCAAATTTCGCCCGTTAATGCTGGATTTGATTGTTTCACTCGTGCGATTGGTTTCTAAGAGTGATTAAGCAACGTTTTTTGTTTTCTGATTAAGTTTAAGGATTTCGTACTGTCTCTGTGAATGATTTTTATTTATTCCTTGGGCGGCTTTGAGGGAAAAACAATATTGGGCCTTTTCCCGAAAGAACAGAAAATAATTCCTTAAGTTATTATAAAAAGCAAACAAGTGAGTATACAATAAAACAAACAATTTCTGAGAGAGCGAAAAGTGTTTCTTTGACATTTATTTCTGATAAATTAAGACCGACATGCCCATGGTGCTTTAACCACAAAAGCATCTCGCAACTGGCTTGTGTCACGTTACAATTTGATTTCCTTCCTTGTGTGCAGGCAACATCTGACTAAAGAAATGAAATCTGATTTTCCAATTTTTGACATAATTGAAAATGCCATGCCATAGTAGCACAGTGCCAGCTTCGTTCCCATTTTCCCGCAATATTTCGTTACCGTTTCCCATAATACCTTTTCCTAGCCATTTTCATCCCCAGTTGCATTCCACTTATTCCACTTGAGAAGAATACTAATGAATCCGTGACACATTAAAATGCTTAAACGACATTGGGTGTCTAGGGTGGTGTAAAGCGTCTGCCCATGGAGCCTTTAGTCAGACTGCTAAAAAACCAAGCGAGTTGTGCTGCTCCACACAGCGAGTCGAACGCCGCAGGCACCACAACTAAACCAGTAAGACCAAAACCACAGGTAAACCATGCAACCTTTGACAATGCTGATGGTCAGCTCAAATAGAAGGAGCCTTTGACGAATCAAGTCACCATCACACTCTGTTGAGCCAACAGTAATTGCTTCAGGGTAATTTAATATTATCAACTGAATTTATAACGTAAATTGGCCACCATAAAGAGTTTCGAAGCTGATGTTTCGAGCCTTAGCCCTTCGTCATTCGCTCCGACTTACCCCCGTTATTTAGTAATTGCTGCAGTTTAATTTAACAAATTGAACACAATTCTCCATCATCTACAAAGTACTGTATCATAGAAATGTGGTCAACAGTGTTCACTGCAAAGTTTTAAACATTGTTGACATCATTTCTATCATTAATATACCAGTAATTAATGGATGGCAATAGACTCTATTACCCTTACTTGTTTATACTGCTCACTTAGTTTTAATTTTGTGCCCTTTGCTTCGGCATCGGCAAGTTATTCTACGAGGTGGTCTTTTTCGTAATTCAAACGTTACAGTCCGAGAAACGGCTTTCTCTTCCTCAAGATTTTCCCTTCCCCTTTTTCTTCCACCTCGACAAGTTCGTCTTCAAAAATTTCTCCTTATATACAGATCTTAAAATTTTGACACTCGTCACCGCCCATTTATGCACAAATTTGCGACTGAGTTTTCCCAGAGAAATTTTTTTTCTCTAAGATGGCGAGGACTGCTTAGCGGTGCGTTACGAGCACTTTTCAATCCCTACAGTAATTATAAAAGAAGATTATTGAACAGTAATACTGGATTGAGATGTTATAATGTTATTCTCTGATCTTCAAGTTAAGTCAAGGTATGAGACTGACGTTCTCATTCCCGGTAACTTTTATTTCAAATTATTCTTACTTATTTTAGTTTTACGCAACACCGTTGCGAGCTTACTTCTTTGGAGTAGGGTTTGACGTCATTTAAGACACGAGACTCTTACTATGTGCCCTAAATTATGGAGTTGTTGTTGTTGTTGTTGTTTTGTTATTGTTATTGTTGTTGTTGTTCTATGACAGACTGTTTAACGTCTCCATTCACCCTTCCTCCAGTCGCCCTACCTTGCCGATTGCACAACCATACAAATAGTCTATCCATCAATCATACTCATATCGTCATTATTTCTTTTCTTTCCGGCCCACAATTTAAACTACTTTGTCTCCCAATGACCATGCAAGGCAGTAAAATTCATTAAATATTCATTTCATTTATTTATCGCAGAATTTTACAAAATCATATATATGATGGTCGTCCAGGAATCTAAATTGTGTTCCAGACTGCTCAGACTTCCTTCTTTAGTTTCATTCAGGTTCTTATAACTTTGCCATTTCATTTCGTCATAAGTCTTGCCTTAATTCAACAAAGAGAGCTTCTCTTCCTTCCGATTGGAATTTCTTCTAAAGAAAAGAATCGTAAAATTAATTCAAGACACACAAAGATGATCAAATGGACCACAATGATCTTTAGTAAGAATTTGAAAAAACTCAAACTATTTCATTCGCTTGCGTCTCGTGCACGCTATCTTTTTTATTTGTGTGCATCTGCATATTCTGATGATAGTTTAAGAAGGGGTAATAATCTATGGTTAACTCTTTGACTCCTAAAAGGGACTCGCATCCAATTTCTCCAGACAATATCACCCTGAATCCACACATTACGGTCACAAGAACAAAGGAAATGATCAGCGACTAAAGAACCTCTTAATCGTTACGCAAATTCTCCTCAGTTGTCAACACCTAAGAAATGTTTACAGGGCAGCATGGAGAAAATGCATATTGATGTCACGGTGTAAAGGGTCAAGAAGATATCGTGATATGACAATCATTGATGCGCAAGTCGTAATTCTCTAAAGCTGAAGCATTTTTTGTGCAAACTGTAAATACTAAAAGAAATGGCTTGACGCGTCAATCTCGTTACCAAAGTCTCTCCTGTTCCCGCTGTTCTTTGGTGAGAACTAGAACATAGGAGCCCTTGGGGTAGGAATGAAGAGAGAACCTAGAAACGTGGTAGACGGAAAGTAGCAAAATTTCCTGGTGTAAAACGGTACTTAAGATTCCTTGCATTAGTGGTTGGGGCACTTTAATATGATATGAACTATATGCTTATTAGATCCGCTATTGATTAACTTTCAGTAAAGAGTTATATGTAAACCCCGTGAAGTTATTTATCTGCGTATTAACGATAACGTTTTAAAAAATAATTCAGGATTTAAAGAACACACTCCAAACATTTATTAACCTTTGAGACGCATTTTCCACCAATGTGAAGATGAGCAACGTCAATGCCTAAAAACATCAAAGCAATAATGTTACCTAACATTTGTCCTTGTTCGACCCAGTGGTACATAAACATACATTTTTTTTTCTTAAGCTCCTCAGCAGGCCTAACTCTCAAATCCTCCAATTTGATTGGCTACGGGTATTTACAAAATAAGGACCACAATCCGGAATCTCTTCCGCGCCAATTGCGAAAAAAGCGGAAAAAGCAAAGCGGTCGGTCTCTATAAGATTGAACTGTACCCTTGGTCTTAAATGCAGCCTCCGACCTTCGGCCTCTGGCCGTATTGAAGACCTCGAGCACGGTTTTTCTCTCATGGGGACCTTCCGCCAGGTAATATAAATTACAAATAATAACATATATTTCTACAAGGAAATACTATTTTTCTCCTGTGCAATCAGTGTGAATAACGCGCTGGCTTAATTGTGAGCGCGCTGAACTCTAACCAGAGGCTCTGACGCAACTAAGCAAAAGAAATGTAATTCAGGATTACCTTTACACTCAATTGACATGCGGTCTTTCAGGCACAATTTATAGTTTCCTTCAGCTAATGGACAGCTGTTTAAAAATTTTGACCCATTCTTAAGTAAGAACACTTATATCCCACCAAATTTACTGACGTGTCTCATGTTGGAGAGTCTTTGTCTATTTCTTTGCTGAATTCTTACCGGGTCATCTTTCATTAATTTTTATCTCTCGTAACCGATCAATATTCCCTTCTTTTCCTTTTTGTTTAAGCTAAGCTCTCGTAACCTGCACCTCAAAGTACTAAACTGATTTTGATATCATGAATGTCAGCCAAGAATTGCCGCACAATTCCATTTTCATTCTCAAAGTGAAAGCAAGTCTTATGTTATTGTCCGTTCCTCCTCTATATTTTGTCAGTTATGACAGGCGAGGCTTCCCATCCCACCCCACTTACCAGTAGTCATAGTACCCGCATACCACTACATGCATAAAATCTGCGGCAACTGTTTTACTTTTCATCTGCAGTAACTATTTTGCACTTGCAGAATATATGTATTTATATTTTTTGCAGTAGTAGCAGCAGCTGCAGATATTCCGTAGTTGCAACAACTACTTTAAATCTTCAGCAACTGTTACATATCTGCTGCAACTATTTTATTTTTGTTGCAACTGTTTGATTTGCAGTAGTGGATCACTGTACAAATCCATTTTGAAAAGGTGTACTTACAAGAGCAAGGCCTATTAGAGCTGCAACCTGGAAAAAAAAGGGAAAACTTACAAAACTACTTGAATCTTTTGGCACAAGAGCCAGCCTGTGAACAGAGTCTTTCTGCAATAAAAAATTGTGTCACGTCACGTCCAGTCACGCCATTTGTACACACTATGAGTATATTTGTTTAGAGTCAGTATGTGGTGCTCTTCCTTACAGGTTAGTAAAGCTTAGGTGCGTCAACTTCACAAACGAAATATTAACTCCTACGTGAGGCTTAGTAATTTGGTAGGTCACATTTACATACCGTCACTGCCCACGCAAAACCAAAATGTTCGGCAAGAGCACCTCCGAGGCTTGGACCGATAAAAAGTCTGTTAAAATAATTATTCAAGAGACTCAAAACACAGAAAAAAAAAACTGAGAAGCAAAAAGGAAATGTAATGTATACTTAAATCTGTCTTTTTTTTTTAGAAGCGCCTTTTAATACAAGGACCATCTTGAACATAGGATTCACTTAAGCGGAAACAGTAGCATCAGGAACAGCAGGAATAGCAGCAGCAGTAGTGGCGGCAGTAGTAGTACTAATAGTAGCAGTAGCAGGAGCAGTAATAGCGGCAGTAAGAGCAACAGCAGCAGAAGAAATATTACTATCAGTAGCAGTAACAGAAGCAGTCAAAGTTGCAGCAGTAGTAGCAATAGAAGTAGCAGTAGAAATATAGCAGTAGCATTAACAGCAACAGTCTGAACAGTAGTATCAGTAGTAGCAGTAACAGTAGCAATACCAGAAGCAGAGGCAGAAGCAGAAGCAGTAGCAGTAATAGTAGCAGTACTATGAACCGTAGCAGTAGCAGTAGCAGTAGCAGTAACAGAAGCAGTAGTAGTAGCAGTAGCAGTAGCAGTAGCAGTAGCAGTAGCAGTAACAGAAGCAGTAGCAGTAGCAGTAGCAGTAGCAGTAGCAGTAGCAGTAGCAGTAGCAGTAGCAGTAGCAGTAGCTGTACTAGTAGCAGGAGCAGTAGTAGTCGTAATAGCAGAAGCAATAGCAGTAATAGTAGCAGTGGCAGTAGTAGTAGCAGAGCAGAAGCAGTAGCGGTATAACAGTAGTAATACTAGTAGCAATAGCAGTTGCAGAAGCAGTAACAGAAGTAGGTGTAGCAATAACAGTAGCAGTGGCAGAAGTATGAGTAAGAATAATAGCAGCAGCAGCGGTAGCAATAACAGCAGCAGTGACGGGAAAAGGAGTTCCTCACCGGCAGATAGCTTGTAGTTTGTTCGGAATAAAGCTTGATATGTTTCTGCGCCATACCTTAACAAAGATATTAATGTAATACATCAAAGATGAAGACAGAATATTTACCCCAAATAAGCCATGGTGTTGTAAAGGCTGGAAAGCATTGCCTTTGTTTCCTCATTTTCGGGCATTCCATTTTCACTGTAAAATAACAAATAAATATGAAACAGAATATCTGAGAAAATTTCGCATGTGTATGTTTAGTGCAACTCTTTGTTGGATACTGTCAAAAAATGACTATTTGATTTGATTCGGTAGGAGGGGGGTTTCCAATACTTAATCTCAGTATATCTTGAAATGCAAAAATGAAGAGCTTTGTACTCAGATTACAAGAGATATCGACCGCCAATAAAGACAGGGGCGTCCTGCGGAGGCTGAGGAGACCCTCAGCAAAAACATTTCGCAGGAAGAGAAGAAGGGGGGTATTTGCAGTCAGCAGCTATGGCACAAAGAGTGCCTAAAAATTCCCAGGTGCCTCATAGCTTTGTGTTTAAATTGCTCACAATGTGATCAAATACATTTATCAAGTTTGTTTAGATTACACATTTCGTTTAAATCCAGGCTAAATCTGCACACTTACAGAAGCGAGGCGCCTCTGTTCTCTCTCGGCTTTTACGTGGCATGTCCATGTGCTGTATTTTTCCCTTACCCAGCAGAAACATTAGGCCATTTTTAAGTCTTTATTTAAAATCATAAGCGTTTTGCATCGTTTGCAAGTAGAAAAATTGCCACTAAAAAAAAACTTAATCTATGAAGTATTAATGGCGTGACTAAGAGTATTGGCGGGCTGCTGGATTACGTGTTCTCAGGTTGTGCATGACAAATATTTTGCTGAGTCCTTGAGCTGATGATCCTGCCTCATGGTAATATGAAGCTCACTTGCTTCCACTATGTTTGTGGTGCTCATGATGTTGCAACAAACATGGCAGTTAGCCACTTACCTTGCAACTTTCAAGATTTCAGGCAATAACGGCACAAAGAAAAATGCAGTAAAGAATCCAGTAAACGCCATGGCAAAACGTATTAGCCATAACTCACTGCAATGATAACACTCAGTTTAGAATTTGTGATTAATCCAACAAAAAATAGATAACTGCAGTACGAGGTAAACCTGTATAACACTGCCACCCACGGGACCCTTGTTAATGTTCATCATCACAATATAGTGAACAAGGTGTCTCAAGTTTAGATTCCAATATTACTAATGATGACGATCGGTCCGTTGCAATTTCAATCGTATATTCAATGGTCTGTTTTAAAGATCAGCTGTTTTGAGCCTCCAAGATGGCTGAAAAAAAATATAAATATATATATATGTTTGTAGATCAGGAGCACTTCCAGAGATTTCGATGGGAGGAGGGGGGTGCCAACTTTGATTCAGAAAACAGATATGGTTGCTATATGCAACCCGCCTATAAGCTGCTGTTGTGTGTTTTGTTACGCTCCAAACACAACTTTTCCTTCCTAATCATACAAGTAATTCACGTAAAGTTTACTTGCCGACAACTATAAACATGAACAATTGTTAGCCTCAATAATAAATATACTTTTTGCAAGCTCGCCAAATCCAGCTAACGGGTACACATTTGCAACTGCAAGTAAATACATGCACGTGACTGTAGGTACATACTCAGCGGGAAGAAATGGTAGAAATGGAGCAGGTCCTAACAACAGGTATCCAATACTGAAAGTGGCCATACCAAACAGGAGCAGCAATCGGTAACATTTCTGACGAGAAAATTTGTTGAAGGCTTTTAATATAAGTGGGAAACACATTTTCTATCATGGCGTTTTACAAAGAAATCTCTCAGTAAAGCAGTGTAGATTTACCTTATTTCCTCGATAGAACGTCAGGACGCTTGTTTAAAATTTGGAATAAAAGGAGGGGCGCTTGTTGGGAGGAGGGCTCTCAATCGAAGGGGGGAGGGGGGTGCTTAATAAGTAATCGCAGAAAAAAGACAAAAACTTAAAAGAACAGATAACGCAAACAAAGGAACTCTGCAAGAAAATAAATGAAATGGAAAAGAAAGTATTCTTCTGAACTGATTCCACCGTAGTTGATGCTTAAAAATTTGTAAATAAAGAGGCAATGAAAACAAGTTTCCTTGTATCCCTACTATTTAAGAAAGTACGGGAGGAGGGGGGCAGTTGTATTCTGGTGCCCACATCCAACCACTTGGCCGAAGTAGATATTGGTACGAGACAAAGGCAAGAGCTTATTCGAGAAGGGCGCCTGTTTGTCATTATGACCAAGAGGGTGGGTGCTTTTTCGAAGAAGGGTGTATATTAGAGCGTGGCGCTCATTTGCAGGAATACGGTAACTGTGGTCACTCGGCATCAGACATTCAAACTCGACTCGACGACAAACAAGGACGCGACAATAAAAGCTCTTGGTTCAATTGACCTGGTGAGTAGGACACACGATTAAAGCTCTCTCGCTCAAGCAGATCAAATTTTAAAACTAATTCTTTCTAGCAAGTGATGCGTACTATCATCACTTCTGCAAGCGGCAGGGTTTTTTTGGAAAGTCTCAGTTTGAGAAAATCCATCTGCAAGTTAGTATTACTTCGTCGCTATATTTGCTGTTTTGGCCGATTATTTTTCGTAACCTTACTTTGTTACTTGCGAGATCGCCGCTATCACGACGAGACTAAGTAGGAGGACTTTCATACGTGGTTATCAAAACTTCCTGTGAACATTTGAGCTAAATTATATCTAAACTGATACCGACATTCGGTTACCATGAGGTGGCGGATAAAAAAGGTCGTCTGATATTTCGAATAAGAGAAGTACAGCGTAACAGGGATGAACAAAGAGCTTCCGCGTGGTCACCAAGCCTTTAAAAGACTTTGTTTTGACTGCTGCGTTCTCATTAAAACATGGAATACTGATTTGAAGAAATAAGAGACAAGATTGTTTTCTGTTAAGATTAGTACAAGAAAGAGTAGAGCAAGAGTCGAGTTTAGCAGATCCCGACCCATAATCTTTCGTGACCATAAAAATAAATGTATAAAACTAGGAGCTCGTTGTCTGCCACTGCTAAAACACCTTAAACTCGACAGAACTGAAGAGAAACTAGAGTGTCCCAAGGTAAGAAAAAGGATTACAAACAGTCCTGGCTTAGCATTCTCCGTCGCACGATAATTTTAAAGTCGGCGTGATATTCACGCAGAGCCGACGCAATTTTGCCGGAAAAGGCCGGGGAGGCGAGGTTGTAATAGATGAGTAGAAAGTCTCACTTACCGTTTTGTCTGCTATAAAGCCCAATGCTAACGCTGAGAGGGCGTTAAAACCGGCAAATAAGAAGAAAACAAGACCAATCTGTACGCTATTTTGACCCAGCTATAAGGAAACAGATAAAGACTTATGAACAAAGTTGTACACGTAGTTTATGCGCCAAAATAAATTTGCTGAGCAAGATTTCGATTTCGATATTACTAAATATCGTAACTTATCACCAATATCGAGGTTAGATATACAAAACCAACTTACCTTCCTTAACTGAGGCGCCAAGATTGGTTGTATGAAACCATAACACAAGCAACCGATAACAGAGGTAAACTCTGGGTACAAGAAAAAGAAATGTTGACTTTCCAATAAGTTTTCGCTTTGGAAAGAATTAAGGCCGCAAACAAAGGGCGCCACTAGTTTTTTTCGGGGAATTAAGTTCACAAAATGATGGGTAAAGAGCTATGTATGGGAGCCATAGTGATAAATTTCGTTTGGGAAAAAAATCGTATGCAGCTAAATTTGCGTGATACTTATCCTAGATGTTCAATCTTGATTTTTTTTTTCATAAACAGAATAGCGTCGTGAAGTGAATTGGAAACATAGCTTGCAATTTTTTTGCCGGTTTAACGGCACGAGCTGCAAAAAGACTGGCTCGAATTTCTCGTGCCCACTGACAGCTTTCTCGCGTGCTGTGTTATTTATAGTTAATGGCTTACCCAGGATGCATGTGAAACTTACCCATCATAAAAACAGCGGGAATCTTTAATGGTCTCATAGATTTACAAATGGATATGCTTTCTTTTGATTCACCATCTTTCTGACTCTCTAATCAGTTAAAAGAAAGGAAATGTTTCAAGTGGATAAATATATCAAAAAGAAAAGTACTAAGTCTAACGGATAGTTTACATGAATTACCTCACCAACCTGTTTCGTGTGATAGCAGAAAAGCTAAAACTCCAATGCTACATAACAGAATTATACCCATAATGATGAAAGGAAGTTTGAAGCCTCCTACCTGAAACAAAAATATGTATATCCTGGTATGAAAAAAGGATTTTGTTATTGAGGTGCAACATTCCTAAACTTGAGCCTATATATTTTGAAATCAAAGGGTATTTACGTATATATACTGGATATTACATGACCATACGTGCAAACGAATTTTATCTTTGAGCGTTGATGATGTCTATCAGGAATGAACGAAGCGATCGAATGAGAGATATTACCAATACAAGAAAACTTTTGACACGACCGAAGACCACGTGTCGAAACAAGGTCAGTTTTACCTTGTGCAAAAGAATGATAGAGCATTCCTCGCAAGCAAAAAATCTCCCAAAAGAACGCACTATGATGTGTAGACACTTTCCAAGTGGTCTCAGCGCATTTTCCATTATTCTCAGTGCATTTTCACTTTTAATTTTTTTCGATTAAGCCACGTTCAAATACGCACCTCCCTCAAGGTAAACGCCCCTCTCGAGTAAGGCCCCCCCCCTTCTTCCTTACTTTTTTTCGGCACGAGTGATTACAATCGCCAAACTGCTTACGCGTGTAATTGCATGCAGCTTTAGATGTCCGTAACCCTGATGGTGGTTACTCTGTGAACAGGAAATGTTTATAAAAATAACGGGTATCAGAAGCACTGCTAGTTAATTTATAGGATCAACTCTGAATATTGACGCTCAACCTTTGTGCAGAAGTTGTATTGCAAATAAATTAAATAAATAAATACAATGATGATCTAAGATAATTTAGATAATCTCTTCCCATTGTTCTAAATCTTAAATTGAAATCGCTGTTTACCAGGTTCGTACTTACTGTGTAGAGAAACCCTCCGAAAACTGGAGCAAAGGAATTTCCACCAAGAGAAGATAGCTGCATTCCTGCCTAAACACATTATGGAATTTACAAGGGAAAAATCACTCTTTATATCATTCCAAGAAAAAGTAAAATAAATGAATGATTAAAGGGTTGTCTTTCTGGTAGAACTAAAATAGCAACAGTCATACCGTCTGAATGGAACAGAATATAGTCTCCAGTTCTGAAAATCTCTTACTTTACTAACGCTTTTTGATTTTTTTTTTTTTAAAGATTCGACTAGTCACTATGCACAGATGTGCGTCGGTACATGTCCCTAGCAACTTTATTATACTCTTTGAAGTGAACCGTGCGACAAGTCGGGCTGTGACTGTATTTGGATATCGCAATGAAAAAAACCTGAACGAAATAAGCAGCAATCAGAAAGGTGTAGTTGTTCTAAGAAGTGTCAGTGATTAATAGTCCAAAATAAAGCGCTGCAGAGAAATTTGAAAACACGGGCATTCACACACGGTTAGGTCGTCGTCCACAATAATCCGGATTTAAATCGAGCTTTCCAAACATAACAAAGTCACTGCTTTTATATTTTGGCAGAATGAGCACTGTTATCATGCTTGCAAAAGTGGTTGCAGCCGTTGGTTGTCGCGTATACAAATTTATCCGGCATATTGCGGACAGAAAACGTTTCATCCGTTTGGACGGATATAAGTTTGTTGCGTTGCCATAGTGAAAACGTCGTTTTCATATTTATCTAGCATAGTTTGAACGGAGCCTTAGAATAACAGCTCATGAATTATTAAAATCTAAATGCAAACATACAGCAATTGCTCCGGCATTATTTGGAAACCTCTGCAGCATGAAAGTGAGTACAGCAGTTTCAGCTGCCGCTGCCCCAATTGCTGATGTTATTCGTAACACAAAACAAAAGACTATAAACATTGTTGGATCAAAAATCACTTCCCCAAATCTAGAAAACAAAACACATTTAAACACATTATATCCTCATAAGAGAATTCACCAGAAATAAAGTTCTCAAACCTCTCTCGATATTGAAGTTATCATTAGGGATCGGTCATGATTTATCGCCTAAGGAAATCCGGGAGGGAGGGGGTTGGGGTTGGCTCTGTAATATTCCTATGACCTCCCCCCTCCTCATGTCAACAGTTAATTGGCAGTCAATATTCTACAGTTCCCCCATTATACTCTGTTGGTGGCGGCTGTGGTGATGTTATGCGCAGTACAGCATGCGCAATAGAACATCAAGGAATCACATTAACTAACTGACACTAAAGTACGGAGTTTTCTACTCACCCCATTAACATCAAAGATGTTCCAGCGATAAAAATACCTGTTAAAAGTATATTGCATGCACCATATTTGGGCACCTGAAATAAAAAATGGATTTCATGTTACTTGATGGATTGGTTAGATTCTTCTGAATTCACTTGATGTTTGAGCATTTTGGTGAACGAGTGACGTTAGGTAAAATGAGTTATACCTTGCACCTTCTTAAAATAAAAAAGAATTTATTACGCAGTACATGTACTTACAAGAACTCCCCATGGTGGTGAGGTTAGGAAAATTGCAAAGGCGTAGGATCCAAATATCAATCCAACATAAATTTTGGTTATGCCTCTATCTTCTGCCTAAAAATTAACAAGTTAAGATGAGATGTAAGTAATGAATACATCAGATTCAGTCGCAAAATGAACTGAAGGTGCGGGGATTATACATGTGGCGCGGCATGATTTCGATTTCAACCAATGAAAATTCAGTCCTTAAGGAAGGCTTTTAAGGGGAAGGTTCTGTTGCAATTACCATAAAACTTCCGTTAAATATAGGGCGACATGATTGTACTTACCTCACTCGGTAAGAATGGCGCGTAAACTGAGTATGCTGCGTATAGGACGAAGTAAACCAGGCACATTGAAAGAAGGAGGACTATGTTACGCGCATTCCATGTTTCTTCTATCGTCTCCGGACGGGTTTCGCCCGTACTCTTAGGTAGCAGAATCTCTGAACTGCTTTCCTTCATGGTCGTTAACTTGCAAGTGGAGCGTGTAATTATTATGTGTTCGAGTGGCAAGGTTTAGTGGGCGAGTCTCAGTTTGAGAATGTTTGAATTACTACGTTGCCGTATTTGCTGTATTTCGGCCGATATTTTTCGAAAAGTCATTTTACATCTGCTTGCATAAAACTTACGCAGTCGCGACAAACATGTTAAGATCAAGTCAGAGGGCTTTCTCACCTTTGTGTGTTTAAATATGGAGAGCAAAACTTCCTTCGCATAATTTATGCTAAATTATGTCTCTGCTGTCATCTGCAATCAGTTACCAAGGGCTAACGGATTAAAAAAGATCGTCAGATATTTTGAATGAAAGAAGAGTGGTGTAATGGGGATAAATAAAGAGCTCTTATGTGTCACAAATTTTTAAAAGCCTCCTTAGGGCTGTATTTTAACTGCTGCGTTCTTATGTAAAGATTGAATACTGATAAGAAGAAATTAGAGACACGATTGTTTTCTGTGAAAATCAGTTCAAGAAAGCGAAGAATAAGGGTCGAGTTTAATAGATTCCGACCCTTACTCTTTCGTGAGCCATAAAAACAAATATATATATAACTTAAAATAGACAGAAATGAAAGAAACCAGAATTTAAGTGACTCCTGGCGATATAGATTACAAGCAGCCCCGACCTTTGGCTTTGCCCGTCGCGCAATTTGAAAGAAACCCTGTACAAAGGCCGGGGGCTGCTTTTGATACAAGATAATATGGTTTTACTACATGATTTGATAATGTATTTTGGCCAACGTAAAAAGTTCCTAATGCTGACATCTGGTGCGTTTTCCTTCGGTCAGAGGAATTTCAGTTGAGTTGTGTGTGGTTCATCTACAGAAGAAAAGAGCTACGCTATTGTTGGTATCATGGTAACGTGAAAAACGGCTCTCCAGACCAGTTGCCTAGATGTAGGGAAACGTCGTAAACTGTCATATTTTGCTAAGAATGATCTGGGAGATTAAAGTGTTTAGCAACTGGTTTGGATGACTGCGTCTTTTCAAATCCTTTCTTTGTCACGAAGTTGTTCCTGGAATCACTCGCCAGGTCGTCTTCTTGTTTCGCTGATGTCTTAGATTTCAATCAGTGCAAGTTAAGTAACGGATGACCTTGGCTTGAATACAGGAGAAGTGATCAGTGATTACTGCACTTTTACAAAGCTAAGTATTACTTACTATTTTATCTGTTATAAAACCTATTAATAGCGCTCAGGAGGCGTTAATAGTGGCAAATAAGAAGAACACAAGACCAGTCTGTGTGAGATTTTGACCCAACTACAAGGAAAACAGATGAAGATTTAAATAAAGTTACGCACGTAGTTTATCGGTGTCAAAATAAATTTAAGACATTCCTTTTTGAATAAAGACAATGACATATCTGTTTGTTCTGATTAAAAACCCTGTACTTGTTTTTTGGAAATATAATTTATGTAACTTCAAAATGGATGTTGTGAAGTGGTAATTTCGCGTCGTGCCGCGAAAAAATGACAGTTTTCGTCTGAAACTATATGTTTATTTAATAGTCAAACTTACACTTCGCAATGCGCACTCATTCCATTGGCTGAAATCACACAGATGATTTTAGATCCAATGGCACTCCATTCAGTTCAATAAACATTATGAATAAGATTCATGATTTCAAGCTGGTATTCAGAATATTTTTATCTCCCCCAGATAAAGCAAGTATCGCGTGAGAGTTGCTGATCAACATTTGGTGTCATACACATGACAGGGTTGGTCAGAAGCTGGTATTAAGAATATTTTTATCTCTTTTAGATAAAGCAAGTATCGCGTGAGAGTTGCCGATCAACATTTGGCATCAAACACATGACATGGTTAGTCATAGAAAGATGCTTAAGATACGCAGACGACAAAAGCAATGTTTAAAGTGCCCCCCTACCCCCCACTAGGAGACTGCGCAAAAAGCGCGGCCTTTGATGGTTTGAATTTATAGGAAATAATGAAAATATTCGTATCATTGTAACCGGGTGCGACGGATACTTATCAACTGATTCATACGTCAGCGAGCTTCACTGATATATGGTGGCACAATGGCAGCTTCGTTCCCGCTTTCCCGCAATATTTTCGTTAACGTTTTCCATAATACCTTTTCCTTGCCATTATCATCCACAATTGCATTCCACTTATCTCCACCAACTGAGAAGAATACGAAGAAATCGGAAACACATGCATTAAAATGCTCAAAACCTTAAACTGCAGTGGGTGTCCTGGGTGCTGTAAAGCGTCTGTCCATGGAGCCTTTTAGTCAGACTACTGAAATTAAGCGAGTTGTGCTGCTCCAAAACAGTAAGTCGAACGCCACAGGCACCACAACTAAACCAGTAAGACCAAAACCATAGGGAAACCATGCAGCCCTAGACAACGTTGATGGTCAGCTCAAATAAAAGGAGCCTTTGACTTAAATGAAAATCAAGAGTCACGAAGCAAGTCACCATCACACTCTGTTGAGCCAGCAGTAATTGCTGCAGGGTAATTTAGTATTATCAACTGAATTGATAACGTAAATCGGCCACCATAAAGAGTTTCGAAGCTGATGTCTCGAGCCTTAGCCCTTCGCCATTCGCTCTGACTTACCCCCGCTATTTAGTAATTGCTGCAGTTTAATTAAACAAATTGAACACAATTTCCATCATCTACAACGTAGTGAATCATAGACGTGTGGTCAACAGTGTTCACTGCAAAGTTTTCAACATTGTTGACGTCATTTCTATCATTAATGTACTAGTAATTAATGGATGGCAATTGACTCTATTACCCTTACTTGTTTTATTGTTCACTTATTTTTTTTTTATTATTTTTGTGCCCTTTGCTTCGGCATCGGCAAGTAATTCTACGAGGTGGTCTTCTTCGTAATTCAAACGTTACCGTCCGAGAAATGGCTTTCTCTTCCCTCCGCTTTTTCTTCCACCTCGACAAGTTCGACTTAAAAAATTTTTCCCAGTATACAGATCTTAAAATTTTGAAACTCGTCACCGTCCATATTTTTTCGTAAATTTTGCAATTGAGTTTTCCGAGAGTGGATTTCTCTAAGATGGCGTGGACTGCTGAGCGTTGCGTTACATATTGTGTTATTTTTATGATCCATAACATTTTTGACAATGGCTCTCTCCACCAATGAGCGCACATCAATCCCTACATAAATTGAAAAAGTATTCTTGAACATTAATACTGGATTAAGATGTTACAATGTTATTCTCTGTCAAGTTAAGAGACTGACGTTCTCATTCCCGGTAACTTTTATTTCAAATTATTCTTACTTATTTTGGTTTTACGCAACACCGTTGCCAGCTTACTTCTTTGGAGTAGGGTTGACGTCATGTAAGACACGAGACTCTTACCAAGTGCTTTCGAAGTTTGTCGGTTAAATTATGGAGTTGCTGTTGTTGTTGTTGTTATTGTTGTTGTTGTTGTTATTGTTGTTGTTGTTATTGTTGTTGTTGTTATTGATGTTGTTGTTGTTGTTGTTATTGTTGTTGTTCTATTACAGACTGTTTAACGTCTCCATTCACCCTTCCTCCAGTCGCCTTACCTTGCCGATTGCACAACCATACAAATAGTCCATCCATCAATTATACTCATATCGTCATTATTTTTTTTCTTTTCGGCCCACAATTTAAACTACTTTGTCTCCCAATGATTATGCAAGACAATAAAATTCATTCAATATTCATTTCATTTATTTATCGAAGAATTTTTACAAAATCATATAAATGATGGCCGTCCAGGAATCAAAATGTTTTCCAAACTGCTCAGACTTCCTTCTTTAGTTTCATTCAGGTTCTTTTAACTTGCCTTTTCATATCGCCATAAGTAGTGTCTTAATTTAACAAAGAGAGCTTCTCTTCCTTCTGATTGGAATTTTTTCTAAAGAAAAGAATCGTAAAATTAATTCAAGACACACAAAGATGATCAAATGGACCACAATGATCTTTAGTAAGAATTTGAAAAAACTCAAACTATTTCATTCGCTTGCGTCTCGTGCTCGCTATCTTCTTTATTTAGGTGCAACTGCATATTCTGACAACAGTTCAAGAAGGAGTAATAATCTATGGTTAATTCTTTGACTCCTAAAAGGAATTTGCATCCAATTTCTCTAGACAATATCACCCTGAATCCACACATTACGGTCACAAGAACAAAGGAAATGATCAACAACTAAAGAACCTCTTAATCGTTACGCAAATTCACCTCAGTTGTCAACACCTGAGAAATATGTACAGGGCAGTATTTAGAATATGCATAATGATGTCATGGTGTAAAGGGTTAGGAAGATATCGTGAAATGACAATCATTGATGCGCAAGTCGTAATACTCTAAGGCTGAAGCATTTTTTGTGCAAACTGTAAATACTAAAAGAAATGGCTTGACACGTCAATCTCGTTAATAAAGTCTCTCCTGTTCCCGCTGTTCTTTGGTGCGAACTAGAATATAGGAGCCCTTGGGGTAGGAATAAAGAGAGAACCTAGAAACGTGGTAGACGGATAACAGCAAAATTTCCTAGTATAAAACGGTACATAAGATTCCTTGCATAAGTGGTTGGGGCACTTTAATATGATATGAACTATATGCTTATTAGATCCGCTATTGATTAACTTTCAGTAAAGAGTTATATGTAAACCCCGTGAAGTCATTTTTCTGCATATTAACGATAACTGTTTAAAAATATAATTCAGGACTTCAAGAACACACTCCAAACATTTATTAACCTTTGAGACGCATTTTCCACCAATGTGAAGATAAGCAAAGTCAATGCCTAAAAACATCAAAGCAATAATGTTACCTAACATTTGTCCTTGTTCGACCCAGTGGTGCATAAACATATATATTTTTTTTCTTCCTAACTCTCAAATCCTCCAATTTGATTGGCCACGGGTTCTTACAAAATAAGGACCACAATCCGGAATCTCTTCCGCGCCAATCGCGAAAAAAGCGGAAAAAGCAAAGCGGTCGGTCTCTATGAGATTGAACTGTACCTTTGGTCTTAAGTGCAGCCTTCGACCTTCGGCCTCTGGCCGTATTGAAGACCTCGAGCACAGCTTCTCTCTCATGGAGACCTTCCGTCGGGTAAATTACAAATAATAACATATATTTCTACAAGGAAATATTATTTTTCTCCTGTGCAATCAGTGTGAATAACGCGCTGGCTTAATTGTGAGCGCGCTGAACTCTAACCAGAGGCTCTGACGCAACTAAGCAAAAGAAATGTAATTAGGATTACCTTTACACTCAATTTACATGCGGTCTTTCAGGCACAATTTGTAATTTCCTTCAGCTAATGGACAGCTGTTTAAAAATTTTGACCCATTCTTAAGTGAGAACACTTACATCCCACCAAATTTACTGACGTGTCTCATGTTGGAGAGTCTTTGTCTATTTCTTTGCTGAATTCTTACCGGGTCATCTTTCATTAATTTTTATCTCTCGTAACCGATCAATATTCCCTTCTTTTCCTTTTCTGTTTAAGCTATACTCTCGTAACCTGCACCTCAAAGTACTAAACTGATTTTGATATCATGAATGTCAGCCAAGAATTGCCGCACAATTCCATTTTCATTCTCAAAGTGAAAGCAAGTGTTATATTATCGTCCGTTCCTCCTCTATATTTTGTCGGTTATGACAGGCGAGGCTTCCCATCCCACCCCACTTACCAGTAGTCATAGTACCCGCATACCACTACATGCATAAAATCTGCGGCAACTGGTTTACTTTTCATCTGCAGTAACTATTTTGCACTTGCAGAATATATGTATTTATATTTTTTGCAGTAGTAGCAACAGCTGCAGATATTCCGTAGTTGCAACAACTACTTTAAATCTTCAGCAACTGTTACATATCTGCTGCAACTATTTCATTTTTGTTGCAACTGTTTGCTTTGCAGTTGTGGATCACTGTACAAATCCATTTTGAAAAGGTGTACTTACAAGAGCAAGGCCTATTAGAGCTGCAACCTGGAAAAAAAAAGAGGAAGCTTACAAAACTACTTGAATCTTTTGGCACAAAAGCCAGCCTGTGAACAGAGTCTTTCTGCAATAAAAAATAGGGTCACGTCACGTCTAGTCACTTCATTTGTACGCACTATGAGTATATTTGTTTAGAGTCAGTATGTAGTGCTGTTCCTTACAGGTTAGTAAAGCTTAGGTGCGTCAACTTCACAAACGAAATATTAACTACCTCAGGCTTAGTAATTTGGTAGGTCACATTTACATACCGTCACTGCCCACGCAAAACCAAAATGTTCGGCAAGAGCACCTCCGAGGCTTGGACCGATAAAAAGTCTGTTAAAATAATTATTCAAGAGACTCAAAACACAGAAAAAAGAAAACTGAGAAGCAAAAAGGAAATGTAATGTATACTTAAATCTGTCTTTTTTTTAGAAGCGTCTTTTAATACAAGGACCATCTTGCCCAATCAGATAGCCAATCAGAACATAGAATTCGCTTAAGCGGAAACAGCAGCATCAGGAACAGCAGGAATAACAGCAGCAGTAGTGGCGGCAGTAGTAGTACTAATAGTAGCAGTAGCAGAAGCAGTAATAGCAGCAGTAGGAGCAACAGTAACAGAAGAAATATTACTATCAGTGGCAGTAACAGAAGCAGTAAAAGTAGCAGCAGTAGCAGCAATAGAGGTAGCAGTAGAAATATAGCAGTAGCATTAACAGCAACAGTCTGAACAGTAGTATCAGTAGTAGCAGTAACAGTAGCAATACCAGAAGCAGAGGCAGAAGCAGAAGCAGTAGCAGTAACAGTAGCAGTACTATGAACCGTAGCAGTAGCAGTAGCAGTAGCAGTAGCAGTAGCAGAAACAGTAGCAGTAGTAGTAGTAGCAGTAGCAGTAGCAGTAGCAGTAGCAGTAGCAGTAGCAGTAGCAGTAGCAGTAGCAGTAGCAGTAGCAGTAGCAGTAGCAGTAGCAGTAGCAGTAGCAGTAGCAGTAGCAGTAGCAGTAGCAGTGGCAGTAGCAGAAGCAGTAGCAGTCGTAATAGCAGAAGCAATAGTAGTAGTAGTAACAGTAGCAGTAGCAGTAGCAGTAGCAGTAGTAGTAGCAGAAGCAGAAGCAGTAACAGTAACAGCGGCAGTAGCAGTAGCAGAGCAGAAGCAGTAGCGGTATAATAGTAGTAATATTAGTAGCAATAGCAGTTGCAGAAGCAGTAACAGAAGTAGGTGTAGCAATAGCAGTAGCAGTGGCAGAAGTATGAGTAAGAATAATAGCAGCAGCAGCGGTAGCAATAACAGCAGCAGTGACAGGAACAGGAGTTCCTCACCGGCAGATAGCTCGTAGTTTGTTCGGCTTGATATGTTTCTGCGTCATACCTTAACAAAGATATTGATTTAATACATCAAAGATGAAGAGAGAATATTTACCCCAAATAAGCCATGGTGTTGTAAAGGCTGGAAAGCATTGCCTTTGTTTCCTCGTTTTCGGGCATCCCATTTTCACTGTAAAATAACAAATAAATATATCACAGAATATCTGAGAAAATTTCGCATGTGTATGTTTAGTGCAACTCTATGTTGGATACCGTCACAAAATGGCAATTTGATTTCATTCGGTGGGGGGGGGGGGTTCCAATATCTTACTCTCAGTACATCTTGAAATGCAAAAATGAAGAGCTTTGTACTCAGATTACAAGAGATATCGACCGCCAATAAAGATACAGGGGCGTCCTGCGGAGGCTGAGGAGACCCTCAGCAAAAACGTGTCGCAGGAAGAGAAGAAGGGGGGTATTTGCAGTCAGCAGCTATGGCACAAAGAGTGCCTAAAAATTCCCAGGTGCCTCATAGCTTTGTGTTTAAATTGCTCACAATGTGATCAAATACATTTATCAAGTTTGTTTAGATTACACACTTAGCTTAAATCCAGGCAAAATCTGCACACTTACAGAAGCGAGGCGCCTCGGTTCTCTCTCGGCTTTTACGTGGCATGTCCATGTGCTGTATTTTTTTCTTACCCAGCAGAAACATTAGGCCATTTTTAAGTCTTTATTTAAAATCATGAGCGTTTTGCATCGTTTGCAACTAGAAAAATTGCCACTAAAAAAAACTTAATCTATTAAGTATTAATGGCGCGACTAAGAGTATTGGCGGGCTGCCGGATTACGTGTTCTCAGGTTGCGCATGACAAATATTGTGCTGAGTCCTTGTGCTAATGATCCTGCCTCATGGTAATATGAAGCTCACTTGCTTCCACTATGTTTGTGGTGCTCAGTAGCAACAAACATGGCAGTTAGCTACTTACCTTGCAACTTTCAAGATTTCAGGCAATAACGGCACATAGAAAAATGCAGTAAAGAATCCAGTAAACTCCATGGCAAAACGTATTAGCCATAACTCACTGCAATGATAACACTCAGTTTAGAATTTGTGATTAATCTAACAAAAAATAGATAACTGCTGTACAAGGGAAACCTGTATAACACTGCCACCCACTGAACCCCTGTTAATGTTCAAGGTGTCTCATGTTCAGCTTCTAATATCATTAATGATGACGATCGGTCCTTTACAATTTCAACCGAATATTCAATGGTCTGTTTTAAAGATTAGCTGTTTTGAGCCTCTAAGATGGCTAAATATATATATATATATATATATAGGAAGTCTGCAAGTCGATTTTCGCGTGGAACAGTGCTCAATACGTTGAAGCAGAGCAGAATAAATATTATGAGAGGAAAAAACGACGTAACTACATTTCCCGACAAGCCTGTTTCGTGAATCGCTTCACTCTTCAGGGGTTTAATATATATATAATGATTGTAGATCAGGAGCACTTCCAGAGATTTCGATGGGAGGAGGGGGGTGCCAACTTTGATTCAGAAAACACATATGGTCGCTATATGTAACCCGCTTGTGAGCTGCTGTTGTGTGTTTTGTTACGCTCCAAACACAACTTTTCCTTCCTAGTCATACAAGTAATTCACGTAAAGTTTACTTGCCGATAACTGTAAACATGAACAATTGTTAGCCTCAATAATAAATATACTTTTGGCAAGCTCGCCAAATCCAGAAAACGGGTACACATTTGTAACTGCAAGCAAATACATGCACGTGACTGTAGGAACATACTCAGCGGGAAGAAATGGTAAAAATGGAGCAGGTCCTAACAACAGGTATCCAATACTGAAAGTGACCATACCAAACAGGAGCAGCAATCGGTAACATTTCTGACGAGAAAATTTGTTGAAGGCTTTTAATATAAGTGGGAAACACATTTTCCATCATGGCGTTTTACAAATAAATCTCTCAGAAAAGCAGTGTAGATTTACCTTATTTCCTTGATAGAACGCCAGGACGCTTATTTAAAATTTAGAATAAAAGGAGGGGCGCTTGTTAAGAGGAGGGCGCTCAATCGAAGGGGAGAGGGGGGGGGGTTACTTAATAAGTAATCGCAGAAAAAAGACAAAAACTTAAAAGAACAGATAACGCAAACAAAGGAACTCTGCAAGGGCATGAAATAAATGAAATGGAAAAGAAAGTATTCTTCTGTGATGATTCCGCCGTAATTGAAGCTTAAAAATTTATAAATAAAGTGGCAGTGAAAACAAGTTTCCTTGTATCCCTACTATTTAAGAAAGTACGGGAGGAGGGGGGCAGTTGTATTCTCGTGCCCACATCCAACCACTTGGCCGTAGTAGATATTGGTACGAGACAAGGGCAAGAGCTTATTCGAGAAGGGCCCCTGTTTATCATTATGGCCAAGAGGGTGGGTGCTTTTTCGAAGAAGGATGTATATTAGAGCGTGGCGCTCATTTGCAGGAATACGGTAACTGTGATCATTCGGCATAAGAAATTCAAACTCGACTCGACGATGAACAAGGACGCGACAATAAAAGCTCTTTGTTCAATTGACCTGGTGAGTAGGACACACGATTAGAGCTCTCTTGCTCAAGCATATCAAATTTTAAAGCTAATTCTTTCTAGCAAGTGATGCGTACTATCATCACTCCTGCTAGCGGCAGGGTTTGTTGGGAAAGTCTCAGTTTGAGAAAATTCATCTGCAAGTTAGTATTACTTCGTCGCTATATTTGCTGTTTTGGCCGATTATTTTTCGAAACGTTACTTTGTTACTTGCGAGATCGACACTATTACGACGAGACTAAGTAGGAGGACCTCCCCTACGTGGTTATCAAAACTTCCTGTGAACATAATTTGGGCTAAATTATATCTGAACTGATACCGACATTCGGTTACCATGAGGTGACGGATAAAAAAGGTCGTCTGATATTTCGAATAAGAGAAGTACAGCGTAACAGGGATAAACAAAGAGCTTCCGCGCGGTCACCAAGCCTTAAAAAGACTTTGTTTTGACTGCTGCGTTCTCATTAAAACATGGAATACGGGTTTGAAGAAATTAGAGTTAAGATTGTTTTCTGTTAAGATCAGTACAAGAAAGAATAGAGCAAGAGTCGAGTTTAGCAGATCCCGACCCATAATCTTTCGTGACCCATAAAAATAAATGTATAAAACTAGGAGCTCATTGTCTGCCACTGCTAAAACACCTTAAACTCGACAGAACTGAAGAGAAACTAGAGTGTCCCAAGGCAAGAAAAAGGATTACAAACAGTCCTGGCTTAGCATTCTCCGTCGCACGATAATTTTAAAGTCCGCGTGATATTCACGCAGAGTCAACACAATTTTGCTGGAAAAGGCCGTGGAGTAGGGTTGGAATAGATGAGTTAAAAGTCTCACTTACCGTTTTGTCTGCTATAAAGCCCAATGCTAACGCTGAGAGGGCGTTAAAACCGGCAAATAAGAAGAAAACAAGACCAATCTGCACGCTATTTTGACCCAGCTATAAGGAAACAGATAAAGACTTATGAACAAAGTTGTACACGTAGTTTATGCGCCAAAATAAATTTGCTGAGGAAGACTTCGATTTCGATATTGCTAAATATCGTAACTTGTCACCAATATCGAGGTTAGATATACAAAACCAACTTACCTTCCTTAACTGAGGCGCCAAGATTGGTTGTATGAAACCATAACACAAGCAACCGATAACAGAGGTAAACTCTGGGTACAAAAAAAAGAAATGTTGACTTTCCAATAAGTTTTCGTTTTGGAAAGAATTAAGGCCACAAACAAAGGGCGCCACTAGTTTTTGCGGGGAATTAAGTTCACAAAATGGTGGGTAAAGAGCTATGTATGGGAGCCATAGTGATAAATTTCGTTTGGGAAAAAAAAATCGTATGCATCTAAATTTGCGTGATACTTATCCTAGATGTTTAATCTTGAGTTTTTTTCATAAACAGAATAGAGTCGTGAAGTAAGTTGGAAACAAAGCTTGTAATTTGTTTGCCGGTTTGACGGCACGAGCTGCAAAAAGCCTGGCTCGAATTTCTCGTGCCCAGCCCTTCAACGGCTTCGCTGATTGTGTCGTAGCACGGTGACAGCTTGCTCGCGGGCTGTGTTATTTATAGTTAATGGCTTACCCAGGATGCTTGTGAAACTTACCCATCATAAAAACAGCGGGAATCTTTAATGGTCGCATAGATTTACAAATGGATATGCTTTCCTTTGATTCACCATCTTTATGACTCTCTAATCAGTTAAAAAAAATGGAAATGTTTCAAGTGGATAAATATATCAAAAAGAAAATCATTTTCGTACTAAGTCTGACAGATAGTTTACATGTTTTACCTCACCAACCTGTTTCGTGTGATAGCAGAAAAGCTAAAACTCCAGTGCTACATAACAGAATTATACCCATAATGATGAAAGGAAGTTTGAAGCCTCCTACCTGAAGCAAAAATATGTATATCATGGAATGAAAAAAGGATTTTGTTATTAAGGTGCAACATTCCTAAACTTGAGCCTACAGTTCAAAATGACTAAAAAAAAACACGCATGATTCCCTGTAACTCTGAGTTTCGTGCTTACACACTCGTCACTCAGTCAGACAAACTTGAGCCTATATTTTGAAATCAAGGGGTATTTAGGTATATATAATGGATATTACATGACCATAAGTGCAAACGAATTTTACCTTCGAGCGTTGATGAAGTCTATCAGGAGTGAACGAAGCGATCTAATGAGAGATATTACCAATACGAGAAAACTGTTGACACGACCGAAGACCACGTGTCAAAGCAAAGTCAGTTTTACCTTGTGCAAAAGAATGATAAAGCATTCCTCGCAAGCAAAAAATCTCCCGAAAGAACGCACTATGATGTGTAAACACTTTTCAAGTGTCTCAGCGCATTTTCCATTATTCTCAGTGCATTTTCACTTTTAATTTTTTTCGATAAGCCACGTTCAAATACGCGCCTCCCTCAAGGTAAACGCCCATCACGAGTAAAGCCCCCCCCCCTTCTTCCTCACTTTTTTTCAGCACGAGTGATTATAATCGCCAAACTGCTTACGTGCGTAATTGCATGCAGTTTTAGATGTCCATAACCCTAATTGTGGTTACTCTGTGAACAGGAAAGGTTTGTAAAAATAACGAGTACCGGTAGCACTGCTAATTAATTTATAGGATCAGCTCTGAATATTGACGCTCAACCTTTGCGCAGAAGTTGTATTGCAAATAAATAAATAAATAAATAAATACAATGATGATCCAAGATAACTTAGGTGATCTCCCCCATTGTTCTTAATCTTAAATTGAAATCCCTGTTTTACCAGGTTTGTACTCACCGTGTAGAGAAACCCTCCGAAAACTGGAGCAAAGGAATTTCCACCAAGACAAGATAGCTGCATTCCTGCCTAAACAAATGGATTTACAAGGGAAAAATCACTCTTTATATCATTCCAAGAAAAAGTAAAAGAAATATATAATTAAAGATTTGTCTTTCTGGTAGAACTAAAAGAGCAACAATCATTTTGTCTGAATGGAACAGAATTTAGTCTCCAGTTCTGAAAATCCCTTACTTTACTAACGCTTTTTTACATTTTTTTTAAAGATTCGACTAGTCACTATGCACAGAAGTGCGTCGATACATGTCCGATACTCTTTGAAGTGAACCGTGCGACAAGTCGGGCTGTGACTGTATTTGGATATCACAATGCAAAAAAACCTGAACGAAATAAGCGGCAATCAGAAAGTTGTACTTGTTCTAAATAAATGTCAGTGATCAACAGTCCAAAATAAAGCGCTGCGGAGAAATTTGAGAACACGGGTTCATTCACACACGGTTAGGTCGTCGTCCACACTAATTCGGATTTAAATCGAGCTTTCCAAACATAACAAAGTCACTGCTTTTATATTTTGGCAGAATGAGCACTGTTATCATGTTTTGAAATAGTGGTTGCAGCCGTTGGTTGTCGCGTATACAAATTTATCCGGCGTACTGTGGACAGAAAACGTTTCATCCGTTTGGACGGATATAAGTTACTTGCGTTACCAGAGTGAAAACGTCGTTTTCATATTTATCTAGCATAGTTTGAACGGAGCCTTAGAGTAACAGCTCATGAATTATTAACATCTGAATGCAAACATACAGCAATTGCTCCGGTATTATTTGGAAACCTCTGGAGCACGAAAGCGAGGACAGAAGTTTCAGCTGCCGCTGCCCCAATTGCTGATGTTATTCGTAACACAAAGCAAAAGACTATAAACATTGTTGGATCAAAAATCACTTCGCCAAATCTAGAAAACAAAACATATTTAAACACATTATATCCTCATAAAAGAATTCACAAGAAATAAAGTTCTCAAACCTCTCTCGGTATTAAAGTTATCATCAGAGATCGGTAATGATTTATCGCCTGAGGAGTTCCGGGAGGGAGGGGGGGTTGGCTCGGTAATATTCTTACGACCTCCCCCCTCCTCATGTCAACAGTTAACTGGCAGTCAATATTCTACAGTTCCCCCATTATACTCTGTTGGTGGCGACTGATCCCTCCATTACCCTTTGAATATCGTCAAATCCTATGGGTGATGTTATGCGCAGTACAGCCTGCGCAATAAAACATTAAGGAATCACATGAACTAACTAACTAAAGTATCAAGTTTTGTGCTTACCCCATTAACATCAAAGATGTTCCAGCGATAAAAATACCTGTTAAAAGTATATTGCGTGCACCATATTTGGGCACCTGAAAAAAATATGCATTTCATGATACTTGATGGATTGGTTAGATTCTTCTGAATTCACTTGATGTTTGAGCTTTTTGGTGAACGAGTAACGTTGCACCTTTTTGAAATAAAAAGAATTACGCAGTACATGTACTTACAAGAACTCCCCATGGTGGTGAGGTTAGGAAAATTGCAAAGGCGTAGGATCCAAATATCAATCCAACATAAATTTTAGATACGCCTCTATCTTCTGCCTAAAAATTAACAAGTTAAGATGAGATGTAAGTAATGAATAAGATCAGATTCAGTCGCAAAATGAACTGAAGGTGCGGGGATTATGAATGTCGCGACATTACAGCACGGCATGATTTCAATTTCAACCAATGAAAACTCACTCCTTAAGGAAGGCTTTTAAGGGGGATGTTCTGTTGCAATTACCATAGAACTTTCGTTAAATATAGGACGACATGATTGTACTTACCTCACTTGGTAAGAATGGCGCGTAAACTGAGTATGCTGCGTATAGGACGAAGTAAACCAGGCACATTGAAAGAAGGAGGACTATGTTACGCGCATTCCATGTTTCTTCTACCGTCTCCAGACGGGTTTCGCCAGTACTCGTAGGTAGCAGAATCTCTGAACTGCTTTCTCTCATGGTCGTTTACTTGTAAGTAGTGCGTGTAATCATTACGTGGTCGAGTGGCAAGGTTTGGTGGGCGAGTCTCAGTTTGAGAATGTTTGAATTACTCCGTTGCAGTATTTGCTGTATTTCGGTCGATACTTTTCGAAAAGTTATTTTACATCTGCTTACATAGAACTTACGCAGTTGCGACAAACATGTTAGGATCAAGTTAGAGGATATTTTCACCTTTGTGTGTTTAAATGTGGATAGCAAAACTTCCTTTGGTATAATTTGTGTCAATTTATGTCTGTACTGACATTTTTAATCAGTTACCAAGGGCTGCCGGATAGAAAAAGATCGTCAGATATTTTGAATGAAAGAAGATTGGTGTCACGGGGATAAACAAACTTTTAAAAGCCTCCTTAGGACTTTATTTTAACTGCTGCGTTCTCATGTGAAGATGGAATACTGATAAGAAGAAATAAGAGCTACGATTGTTTTCTGAATAAAATCAGTGCAAGAAAGCGTAGAATAAGGGTTGAGTTTATTAGATTCCGACCCTAACTTTTTCGTGAGCCATAAAAACAAACGTATAACTACCTAAAAATAGACAGAAATGAAAAGAAACCAGAATTTCAGTGACCCCGGCAATATAGATTACAAGCAGCCCCCATCTTTAGCTTTGACTGTCAATTTAAAAGAAATCCCCAATAAATGCCGGGGGGCTGCCATTACTACAGGATAATGTGGTGTTATTAAATGAGTTGACAGTGCATTTTGGCCAAGGTATAAAGTTCCTAATGCTGACGTTTCGTGCGTTTTCCTTCCATCAGAGGAATTTTGGGTTGTGGGTGGTTCATCTACGGAAGAAAAGAGCTACGCTATTTCTGGTAACATGGTAACGTAAAAACCGGCTGCCTAGATGTAGGGAAACGTCGCGGACTGTCATATCGTACTAAGAATGATTCGGGAGATAAAGAGTTTAGCAACTGGTTTAGATGACTGCGTCTTTTCAAATCCTTTCTTTGTCACGAAGTTGTTCTTGAAATCGCTGGCCAGGTCGTCTTCTTGTTTCGCTGATGTCTTAGATTTCAATCAGTGCAAGTTAAGTAACGGATGACCCTGGCTTGGATACAGAAGAAGTGATCAGTGATTACTGCACTTGTACAAACCTAAGTATCACTCACTGTTTGTACTGCTATAAAGCCTACTGATGGCGCTGTGGGGGCGTTAATACCGGCAAATAAGAAGAACACAGACCAGTCTGTGTGGGATTTTGACCCAAATGTAAGGAAAACAGATGAAGATTTAGATAAAGTTATGCACGTAGTTTATCTGCGTCAAAATAAATTTAAGACATATGTTGAGGAAGACCTCGACTTGAGCTCTAACGTAATCATGGAGACCATTGTCTTCTCAAATGAAAATAGCCAGAAAGGAGATTGAGGCATTTCACGTGAAGAGAATTTCCCCTGCCATATGCTGTAATTGTCAAAAAAAATTTGTTCTTTAAACTCACGCTACAGTATGCGCATCTGATCTAATTTCACAAGCCAGTTTATTGTTGGTCATTATCAAGTAAAAATTTTCTATATTTAGTATCATTCTAGCTCATTTAGTTCTCGAAACGAATGTTCGGCTAGCTTTAAAAAGAGAAGACTGTTAAAGAAAACAAGTTAAGGTTTAACATAAGTTCTACAACTGAAAACATGGCGTCATGTACATATTTTTCATAACACCTTTCGGGAACTTGTATTTGGAGATAATGAATGATGTTATTACTTCCATTTTGAAATCACTGGTGATTTTTGAAATCTGATTGGCTCTCAGGAGTATGATTTACTTACGAATCGCACTATTTTTGCTCTAAATGGCATTTTTGGTCTGAAATTATACTTTTGATTTAAAATCAAACTTACACTGCGCAATGCGCACTCGTTCGGTTAGTTGAAATCACGTATATGATATGGCACTCCATTCAGTTCAGTTACCATTATGAATAAGATTCCGATTTCACGCTGGTATTCAGAATATTTTTATCTCTTTCAGATGAAGCAAGTATCGCGTGAGAGTTGCTGATCAACATTTGGCGTCAAACACATGACAGGGTTAATCACGGAAAGGTACTTAAGATACGTAGACGACAAAAGCAATAGAAAAGGTTGTGGTTATTCATCGTGGTGAATTCAGGCGATGAAGAAGACTGGCAGTATGCAGTCGAAACGTCGCGATCTACATCACACGTGACTACGTCATGAGACAAACGAAAAACAATGTCCAAAGTCCCGCCCCCCGCTAGGAGACTGCGCAAAAAGTGCGGCCTTTTATATTTTGAATTTTGAGGAAATATTGAAAATTTTCCTATTATTGTAACAGGCTGCGACGGCTATTTATCAACTGGTTCATACGTCAGCGTGCTTCACCGATATATAAAGAACGCGGGAAGTTTATGCTTCATGCCTAGATGAACGAACGCTGACGTATGAACCAAATGTTTTTTGTCAGCTGTGCATTTAACAAGATATGAATCACTTAGAAATTTTTAAAGAGAACTCAAGAAGCTTGAGTTGCTTGAGGCGCCACACGGGACCAATTTCCACCTTTGATTTACTGAAGGCCTTTGGTTCAAAGGAAACAAAGAAGTCAGTTTGGATGCCGAAAACAACGAGAAAGTTTTTAGTATTCTGACATTTTTCAAATTTCCTATTTAAAATGCAGTTTAACTGACTGGTTGTGCCACTTTAAGCCTTTATTTCTCGCTACGTGTTAAAAATTAAAGAACTTCAGTATCTCCCGGCTAAAGTTCCTCAAGCTTCTCACCAAGAAAGAAAAGGTTTTTATTTACTTTCCGCGATTTCACCTTTCATTTGATAGTTTTTTTTTCTAAATTTAAGCGTTTTTAGCACTTTCTGGGGAAAATTTTGACGAGAACTCCATGAAAGCTTAAATTCAAGATTTCAAATGGAGGGGCCGGTTATTTACAAGAACTCTGACACAAACCTCAGGTTTTATCCGTATGATGGTTGATTTAATTAAATCAATGTCCGTCGACTGTTAATTACGGCCCTCTTGAAACTGCTTACAAAATTAAATGCTCCAATGAAAGGTTCAGCTAAATTGAAGATGGCTTAGAACTCGGGTTTTTTCAAACAACAGTTAAACTTTGTTTAAATAATCAAACCGAAAAGTTTGAAAGCCACCCATCTCCGGCTCGTGGTTTACAACCCTTTCTGGAGTTTTCCCAACGGTTCCGCGGTGGTTTATTACTCAGCAAACCATTAGAAAGAGCGGTTTATTACTTAAGTAGTAGATGCTTTTGAAAATTTTCCTCAGCGATTGACTGCAAAGTTCCCTTCCAGTTTGCCCGCAAGTTTTGAGATTTACATGTTTTCAGGTCATTCCAGATTCTTTTTTGGTGTTTCAAGAAGGTTTTAGCCTATGTTGTTTACAGCTTTTGGTTTATTATATGAACGATAACATAAAATTAGAGAAAGATGATTTTTGAGTCCCTATGAGGTAATTTTTTAGTCCCCCTATGAGGAATTTTGAGTCCCCACGAGGAATCGAATCTCAGACCTTTGGATTCTGCGCTCCGACGCTCTGGCACCCGAAGGTCTGAGGTTCGATTCCTCATGGACTTAGAATCTTTTCTTTGCCTTACGCTCGTGACAAGACGAAAAACTTCTTTCTCTATTTCTTTACCGTGCTACCATTTACCACCTCTCTTATTCTATTGCAAACGTTAACTTACTAACAAACTATTTTATAATATTGGCTAATTCTTCATATTAATGCAAAGCTTGACCACATTTCATTTGTCAAGAGTGAGAGGTTCCCTCTCTGATGGGTCAGAATTTTCCCTACAAATTAAAAAAAATAATAAAGTTGTTCAATCGCGCAGGTTAATAGTTCGGTTGAAGGTACTCCCTTTCGAAAACACCAGTGAAAGTCATCAATCAACCGATGAGTTATTTTAAGTCGAATGCTATAAGCCAGTTTCCTTGGAAGACTCAAGAAGCAGGTCTTAGTCAATTGTGATTGGTCAGTTCTAATACGTTGGTAAAATAGGGTCGTTGCGTTCGCTTAATCTGGATTTCATTACTCAGGCAACCTGGTGTTTTTCAAGAGGCTAATTACGAATTAATTCCAAAAGGATTTCGAAAAAATCTACCTGACAAACTGTATTTCAGCGCTCTGTTTGCATGAGCAGTCGTGGAAATCGTTGATCTGGTTTCTCTTAAAGACCATGAGACAAGCTTACAAGAAATTTAAAATCTGTTTCTGTCCTCGTGCATGCAAGTCAAGCCAAATGGGTCATTACAACAAAACAAATAACAAAGTATTTTAGTTCTAATCGACCTCAGTTACTTTCCTTCCTGATTATGCCAAAAAAGAGGTTCAATGGCAGTTACTTGCAAGGTGCTTTTTACAAAAACAACTTGTGCTACCTGTATCGACTTGGCTACTGACCTTTGAGATAAATTTTCACGCAACGTGAAAAAACAAATCAGCACGACCTAATATGTATATAAAAAACAAAACAATAAATGAAGATATTAACAGAAAAATATTTCTTAAACTTGAAGAACAAAACCTAACAGACAAAAAATCTTCTTTTCGAAAAAAAACTATCTTCTTTAAGTTAAAGTATGACAGAACTAATCAGTGGAAGATATAGCAAACAAATCATTGGAAAGTAAAATTTTCAGTGTACCCACTTGAAAAAAGCAGATGAAAGCTGCTACCTGCATAAAAGTAAAAAACCGAGAAAAAATCCTTGTTATGTGAATGGTTATTTCTGTCAAGGCAAAGGTCATTGTTTATCACCTGGGAGAGGAGGAAGGGAAGGGGGGGAGGGGAGGGGGGATTAAAGATTTTGGTGTCACGTTAAAATATACTAAAATATTTGAAATATTCCTAAGTTCCCCCCCTCAATAGTATTTATTTGGCAGTCGCCTGGCGACGAATGATCTCCCATCTGTTTCCTTTGAAAACCATGTGATCCCCACCAAAATCCTCCATTACCACCCCACCGCCCCAGTCGATAAATACTGACTTATCCCTAAACTCTTTATAATATCAAGTTTCGTAGCGTAGATCAAATGCCTCTAATGATGAAAAAACACTTACACTCATGGCCCACTCAAATCCAAAATGTTCATCTAATACTCCAGCCAGAATGGGCCCAATTGTTGCTCTGTAAAGAAGGAGTTGAAAAAATATGCATGATCCGCTTTAAGAGTGGATGTTAGCGTCTGCACTCCCTTATATCGTTGCTGCTTCAGCAATTAAAACAAAAGAGATAAAGAATCAGTAAAAAAGTGTACATACCCTAAATAGTTCATAGAACTATAAATACTTGACACAAGCGCGTTTGTGGATGAATTATCGGGCATTCCATTTACCCTGCAAGGGAAAAAGAAGCAACAAGCAAGTACACAAATATGTTTAAAAGAATCAATCAATAAATCAATAAAGTTGACTTCCAATAACTCAACACTCGCCAATTCGAACTTCTCGCTAACTCGAACCAAAACCAATTTCTCTGAAAATCCGCCACTCATTTATCGCGACTTTACTCTAGATAACTCGAACCCTCCAGAAAAAATAAAGGACTCTCTTTTTAGTTTATCTTGAAGGTTCGAGTTATCGGGAGTCGCTGTACTCGTAAAAAATAATTACAAAGGTTCACAAACAGAGAGGAAAAGAAGAGGACTTGATTACACTAATTGAACAGTTCAAATGCAAAGCATACACACATAAAATCACTCACACACACACACACACACACACAAAAAAGACAGACACCGACGCATAATAAGTGACATTGGAAAGCCGAAATCATCATCTCTTGTAGTCAGAATTCTCGTGGTTGTAATTTATTAAGTCACCAAACATATTCCCACCTATCATAGCTGTATATTTGCCTGGGAAATTCGTCACAAATATTTATTTATTGTACGTACGAAAATCGTTAACAGACCGGCAAACAGCGGCTGCAGCTTTTGACCTTCAGAATCGAGAGGTTCTACCCGTGACGTCACAGGAAAGATGGCGAATGTTTCGAATTTGGAAGAGCTTTCACAGGGTGAAAATGGACAAATTATACCTTTGCTGTACTTTATATATTTACTAAACAGCTACGTGAACAGAAAATGTACGTTCTTAGGGTTTTCATACTCTTTAAACCTTTATACCCTAAAGTCTGTATTCATATTCCACATACTGTTCTGTATACATTCGTTATGGTACTGACTAGAAGAACTTGCCGATCATTTCCTTTACCTTCATGACCTTAATGTTTGATTCAGAGGAGAAATTAGATCTTAGAGGTTAGAGTATTAAGGTCGCGAATATGAGTATCAAAGCTAACACTTAAAGATGAAGTATAGCTTTGGGCATTACTGTTAAATTAGTAACACTCCTTTTGCGCCCCCCTTGCATTGGTTGTTGTATTTACTAAAACATATATTGGCACTTACCTTAAAGTTTTAATAAGCTCAGGCATGATGGGTACAAAACCAAGTGCACCAGAAATTCCATAAAGGAACATTGAAAGAATAACCAGCCAAATCGTCCTGCAAGAATAGCGGGATCGAAGAAGTTTTATCATTAATATAACATAACATTTCTCAAAGGTGACTGAACCTCAGTTCTGGAGATAGCCGTGAAACTTGATAATCACAACTACAAATATGTGTCGGATCGCAGGTTCATTGACCTCTGAAGTTTTTGAACATGTACATACGGATTACTTTTGGAAAGCTTAAACCGGTCACCAGAATTTTCTCGGTTTATTAATTTTGTTGACATATTTCCAATACCTTTGAGTTTAGTGTAAAGTAGTGCGAGCTGTAGACATTCACCTCTGACGAGTTATTTATATCTTTTTCTTAATTCCTGAACACAGACCCTTTCCAAAATGTCGAGGTAATAAAGGTTGTTTTGGCTCTTTAATATTGTTTAGGACACAGTATTTATTTTAGTGGATAGAAAAAAAATTTAACACAGTTTGCCACGTATGCAGTAAAATGAGAACCAACCCTTTTTTCTCATAGACCATTGGGTCTTCATACAGCGAGACCCGCAGAATTGCTAAACAAGATGACTAACGACTCTGATCAACATTTTGTTAGCCTACCTATACCCTCCCTTGTGGACATCACTGGTAAGTAAATATGTATGAACTTGGTGTTTGGTTTATAGAACGTTGTGGGTTAATTGATAGCGTGCTCGACCACGGGTCGAGGGTCTGGGTTCGAGACCTCTGGCCTGGTCACTATCTTGAGTTCTTGGGCCAGAAAGACACGGGTTTGAATTCCGTCCACGCCTGAAACTTTGACTTTAACTAACACTTTTAGCTAACATGATTATAATAATATACAGAATGATCAGTACACATACTTGGCTGGTAAAAACGTAAGAAATGGAGCAGGTCCCAGCAACAGATGTCCAATGACAAAACCAATAAAACCTAAAATTATCATCGTTCGATAACATTTCTGTGAAGAGATTTGTTAAGAAACATGGAATTGCATCAAAATCATGCTTTTATTTTTAACTCATAAGACACCAAATCACACGAAGAAAGGCTGGTAACACGAGTTGTAAACAACACAGCTGGCAGAGCGCATGACTTTTTCTCTGAGGTGACGACTCAAGTTGACAATTGAATCAACGGTAAATCGGAGGTATAAATGGTAACTTTCGTCTTTAGAGGACCTACAAATATCGAAGCAGAAAATATTTGGAAAGACACTTCACAGCTAGACATCGCCAAAAGTTACTATTTTCCCACAACACTCTTTAATGTTTACGATGATCCATTTCATGCACTACACCCCATTCCCCAATCCCTCAGAAAGACACTTTCGATGAGTAGAATTGTACCCTGTTGGTCACCAAGATTAATCTCGTGAGCCTAAGTTTGAACATTTCCTTACGCACTCCATAACGCACTGGAAACCCCGCCCTGCCCCCACCTATCACAAAAAAATTCACAAAAAGAAGTCTTTGTTACTATGCCAAAGAGAAAACTTACCGTTTTATCTCCTATGCAGCCGACTACTGGTGCTAACAGGGCGTAAGTCCCAGACCAATAAAGAAAAGCAAGACCAATCTGTGTTGGATTTTGATCCATCTGTGAAGTAAATAGATTCCATCCATTGAAAATCTTACAAAATGGACAATTAAGTTCAGCTTTTAAGACAGACGAATCTAAGAGTTTGGCGAACTCAATTTTCCAAAAGGAATAATTAATCGCATTTCGATTAAAAGCGTTGCAACACGAGCGTTTCTTAGCCCGCGATAAAGTCTGAGTTCTTTGGAAAAGCAAGCCGACCAGCGGTATGTGTGAGGTCTGTCAGATCCCAGCAAACCTCTCCACGACTCGTTTCCAATCTTCCCGCCTGCAGAGAAAGGCGCGTCCTGCAGCGCTAATAATGAGGGCCTGGTCGCAAGCTAAATTCGATTGAATGTCACATAATGGAAACCAAAATAGTCACAATTCCAAATGAGGAAAAAAAGAAAATTACACGGAGCTAATAAGGAATTGAAAATACAAAGGAACCTTTGTGAAGGGCGGGGAAACGACAATGACCAAGTCGTAATAAGTTTTAGTTCTGCCTCCAAATGGTTGGCGTGAGTTTACTGGATCACAAGAGAAAAAGAAACAGAACTAACGAAATCCTGGAGTATTTTCCACATTCACTAATGAATCGTCCTTGATCAAGGTGCTGCGTTATAAGATTCTCGCGCCCAGGTTTGCCTTTCAAAGATTGGCCAGAGTTTTATCAATCCGTCCAGCCGACAAAGCATGTTCTGTGACAGAATGAAGCATTAGCTGTTACCTCAAAAACACCTGACATAATAATTTATCTAAAAGTCGTAGTTGTACCTGCTTTAAGTGCGGGCCCAAGATGGGCTCAAGGTAAGAAAATGACAAACCACAGATAATAAAGCAGACAGCTGGAAGAAAATGGCAAGAAAAATTTATTAGAGACCAATCTCATTTTGGTAACTCTTAAACAATTGTAACAACTCTTATTCTTCAAAACTGTACCTTAAAAATGGCCCCTGCCCTTTTCAATCGCTGATCCTGCCTTATTTTAAAAGGTACCTATTTTGAGACAGGCGTGGCATCACAAAAATTTTCTGCCAAAGAAGTATTCTGGTCACCCTCAACCTAGGGTGCACCAGCAATCACATTATCCTGTAATATGAACTATTTATTACCCATTTCCAGAAATAATGGGCCAAATGTTACGTCTAGTCTTGTACTTACATAGCATGACTGCAGTTGGAATTTTTAGCACTTTTGACGTGGATGTTGATTCCTTGTCATCGTTTTTCTTGTCTCCTGGTATGAAGTTTTTAAATAAAAATAACATATTCACGCTTACATAACATCGCGTTTGGACTATTGTAATGCCCTACTGTATGGTCTCCCAAAGTATCTGATTAATAGACTTCAGCTTTTACAGAACTCAGCAGCTCGCCTTGTTACCTTGACTAGAAGGCAGGAACATATCACACCAATACTAAGGAGCTTACATTGGCTGCCAGTTCATTATAGGATAGTTTTTAAAATATTGCTGCTGACTTAAAAAGCTCTGAATGGACTGGCCCCAGATTACATTAAAGACCTATTGCAGTATAATGACTCTCGTCGCACACTAAGATCTTCAAACAACAGCTTGATGAGCCTAGAGCGAATCTTAAAACGTATGGTGAAAGGGCTTTTTCCGTGGTGGCACCAAGGCTCTGGAATAAACTACCACTCAAGACCAGGCTTTTATCATCAGAGGTAGTTTTTAAGGCTAATCTTAAGACTTATCTTTTAAGCGTGCATTTGATTTGTAGTTTTTACTTGTAGTTATGGTGCATTTAATTCTTAGGATTTTAATTTTTCCGGTTTTTAGAGTATTGTAAAGCGCCATGGACAATTAATGGAAGATGGCGCTATATAAATGTATTTAATTTAATTTAATCTGAAATATTTCGATAGCAACTTCTCAGAAATGGACAAATGTGGCTCAAAATGACACTAAATATATTACAGGATGTTTGATTGACTGATTGACTGATTGACTGACTGACTAAAAGACAAACTGACTGAATGACTGATCAACTAACTGACTGACTGATTGACTGACTGATTGACTGACTGATTGACTGACTGACTGATTGACTAACTGACTGACTGATTGACTAACTGACTGACTGACTGATTGACTAACTGACTTAATGACTTGCTGACTTGCTGACTGACTGACTGACTTATTTTTTTAACCTGACCTCCCTCTCACATTTCAAATGACATCTGTGGTAATGAGATACTTCGATCATTTAAAGAATTAGATTGTTAAAAAATCTGAAAATCAAACCTTTGCCAAGTGTTAAGGCTAAAATTGGAATAACAGCAATCATAGTTCCACCCATAACAATGAAGGGAAGTTTAAAACCACCAACCTAGAAACAAGATCAACTGAGATGAAAGAGTATTGATGACATTTCTTTCCTGCACCTTAGACTACTTTGTTACTCATAACTTTAATTTGTTCCTTGATAATTATATTCTGTGAACAAAAGCTGGGGTAATTGAGTATTCAAACTCACTATGGTGTGGGGGAGGGTGGGAAGGTGAGGTAATGTCTCGGTTAAACAACACAAGTATTGGACCCTGGCCAATAGGAGCATAGCAATTAAAAAAACAACAAAAACCACTAGCAGTTATAATAATAATAAAAGTTATACTTATAATGTGCATATATTCATTTATATATGCTCATATGGGCACAGAAAGAAACAAATATTCCAAATAAACATAAAGTGTTTGAAAATCCCAACTTGTGGGAGCAGACCAGTTGGCTATTTATACAGCACAGCCAAGGAGTTGAACCTGGAACCACCAGATTACAAGTCTAGTGCCCTAACAACTTGGCTGTGCCACCTCCATGGTTTTAGAATATAATGTTGACAAGACTTTCGTGTTGAATTTCACACATTCAATGATGCTTTTAACATAATATTCATAATAACATATTACAAAAATAATAATTCAGGTAAAGATCATACCGTGTAAAGAATTCCCCCCATAACTGGACCAAAGGAAAATGCACCTCCAGTACATATCTCCACCACACCCTAGAAAATACAATAAACTTTTGTCTTAGAGGTGCTCTAAGTTGTAAACTAACAAGATAAAAAAAAAAGCCTGAGGGAAACAAATCAGGAAGGGAGAGGGGGAAAAGAGAAATTTGCCTGACGTTCTTATTACATATACCATCTCCCTTGAGCACAGTTTTTTTTACTTGCTCTAGGCCTTACTTGGTATTATCAAAATGAATTCAACCTTGACAGCTTTAACACTCACTAGAAATATTGAGCATAAGTTGCCACGTCCCTGCTACATGAATGCAGACTTATTTTCAATTTACAAGCACTGTTAAAATCGAGTGTTCAGTTAAATTCCAATCATTTTATTTTAACAAAATGGAAGTATCTGTAAATTAGGTTACCTTCTGAATCTACCACTGCTAAATCTTATTCAACTAACATTTATTCCAATTATTTACTACCATTTATTCCTTTTATTTTTTATAGAAGCTAAAATTATTAATGGTACTTAGTAAATTTGATGAATAAATCCTATTATCATGCATTTTGTTACTTGATTAAGGTGGCTCTAAACTCATTGAAACATACATCACTCAGGGAATGTCATGACAAGCCCTACACAGTGGCTCCTGAGTGATGTCTGTTTCCAGGGGGTTTATAGAGTAACCTTAAATATTTTGCAAAACAAGTTCATCACAATACCATATAATAACTCCACATTTTTGTGATACAGATATTTTTATAAACTAATTCGAAGTTCATCTTAATTACCCTTTAAAGTACATCGTTACCATGCATGTGACAATATAATATTCACATTTTAAGGCCAACAATGTATATATTAAACAACATAGTTTGAATTCAAGAAACGAAATCCCACATACTGAAACCATTCCAACATTATCTGGGAATTTTTCCAATAAGACGGTCAATGCCGAGGTTTCAGCTGCAGCCCCTCCAATGGCAGATGTTGCTCTTAACATAAAGCAAAGAGCTGTAAATGCATCCCGATCTACAATCTGGCCACAAAATCTGAAAAATACGAAAGCCATTATAGATACCTCTTTGTTTAAAAAGCCTTCAAACCATAAAGGAGAAAGGTCTTTTTAACTTCTTACTTTTTGCCTTTACAAATAGATCTTTTCAGAGTTAACTTTCAAGACCATTTCATCTTGACTGTCTATAACATTACTCAGCATATTTACTAGCTTAATTCTTGCCCAGCTGATCAAGCGATTGGACAAGAGCTGAATCTGAGAACTGTACATATCAATACAGGTTCAAGAATAAGAGTAATGCAAAGAAAGAAGGTTTACAATTCAAGGATTCATTGTGTAATTAAATACTGAAAAAATCATACATATTAAATCCATTGTTTTGGCTCACCCAAATAAAACCAATGATCCCCCACAAAGAACAAGCCCTGAGTAGAGAACAAACCTAGGGCCGTATTTTGTTATCTGCAATTGATAAAAATTTCTCATCAGTAAATGATTGTGAAAAAGCTTGGAATTCAATTGTTGATTCAAGGAGAAAACTATGTGTAATTGAGTTGTGGCCATGTGGTTCTAATAAATCATCATATTGTCCCTTTACGCCCAAATGTCAGTATCTATTTTCTCCAAACTCTTTTCTTGACATTTCTTTAGTACAAAGAAGGAGAATTCATCAAACAAAGCTTCTCAGGTTGGCGATCATTTCTTTTATTCTCATGATCTTAACAAATGACTCATCAGTATTACTGTGGGGAGAACTTGGATGTTTGTCACCATTAGTGTATAAAGGGTTCAAGATGCAAAATAAAGACTTGTCATTGATAATAGACTATTTTCTTTCATGCAAATTAATCTCTTAAAATGAAAGTAGACTCTTTCAGGTTCTGCCATGTTGAGCCTCACTCTGATCTGAATGTGATCAAGTTGTTTATCACAGAAATTATTACTAAAATAAAATACTGAATCTGAAAAAGGGAATGATGGTCAATATACAAAAAATGGTTCAAATATTTTAACTATCACGGATATCATTAAGAGTCAAATACTTACAAGAACTCCACAAAATGGCGAAAAGATGAAAATCACAAACGAATAAGTTCCTAAGATCAAACCCACTACAGCTCCAGAAACACCTTTATCTCTAGCCTTTAAGTCAACATAGAAAAATAAATTAGATGATAAATCACAAACTTATGAAACAAAATAAAAAAATGACACTGGCACAAAAATCAATCTTTCTACTTAATTGACTCTAGATTCAATAATCGATGATTGGGGTAATTATGCACGATAATTCTCACTAAGCTCCTCCTATTGCTATAGCCTTGCCTCACCCCTCTCCCCTTGAAACAACACTCCTTATCCAGGAGACAGATGAAAGGCAGTATGCAGCAAGCCCCCAGTTGATATTACGATTTGTCATTATTTGTGTGACTTACTGAGTTTTATTTTAACAATAGCATTCATTTGCTCATCTTCTGATATATATCATTCATCAATAAATACGAGTGCTTACCTCACTGGGAAAGAATGGTGAATACACAGAACACGCTGCAAACACCACAAAGTACACAATACAAATGGAAATGATGGTAAATATGTTACGAAGTGTGCAAAGTGAGCTCGCCGGGTTCTGCACTCTCTCGTTGGATTGATAACTGTCGTTTAGCAAGCCATTCCTCTGGTTGGTAAATGAAATCTCTGGACTATTAACATTTTCCATCAGAATTTATGATACTATCAATAAAACATCGATACCTATTTGCAATCCTTTAAAGCACACACTACTTCCGAAATAAATAAACATTGACTAAAGAGGAAAAGTTAAGGGGGCTCGAAAGTCCGCTTTAGGCGTGGGTACGAGTTATTGCACCATCTCACGAAAGACCAGTCACGCAAAGCAGAGGGGCATTTTGTTGCGCATGCGCCAAGAAAATTTGTTCGGCGCGTTCGGCGCCATTTTGATATTTTCAGCGCGCTTTTGCGGGTTTTCAACTGAGCGATCGACACCTTTCTGTGATATTTTTTGGAGAGGGATGGAAGAGTATGACAAGTTTACTACCATTTCTAACTCTGTGGATACTTGTGGAGTTTGCTGGCTCTTCGGATGAGGATATTTTAATGATCAAAGTGCGAACAAAACGCGAAAAAAAGTCGAAAACTTGAAGTTTGAGATTTGATTTGCTGACGATCAAGATGTGCACATGAGACTACAAACCTTGAAGGTTAGTCTTAAGATGTTGATGTCTTACTTCTATAAATCACGAAGTGATGTGTGGAGGCGATCGTGAGATATTCGTTACGATAATAGAAGGTAGTTTACAATTGGATCTTATTTTACTTCAACTTTGAAATAAAATTACGTTAAGTTCGAGGTGGCCCCAAGCTTCAAATCACTTCAAATAACATCTTATCTTCTTTCTCTTTGTTGTCCCATTGGACACAAGGCTTAAAAAAATCTTCCAGCTTCAGGATTGAGTTGCTCTTTCTATAACCTTCGGCGAATTCGTTTTTGGGAGGTTGAGGTGGATTTTCAAAGTCATGGCTCACAACTGTCTTTGGCCATTTTGCTCTCCAAGTCTGTTGTACTTGGTACGTAGGCATGCGTCTTAACAACGTTTATAGTCTTGCCTCGATCATCTGCGGTTTTATCTAATTTTTTTGCTGTGTTTTGGTGAGAATTTTTCTGATTGCCCTTTTGGGCTTGAAGGGCTAACTAGAGGATAAACTTCGGTAGAACTTGTTTTATCACATGGCCCCCAAATCTCTCACCACTGTCAGTTCATTGTTTATTTATTTAGCCTTCGGTCTAACCAGTTCATTTACCTCAAAAAAATCCGTGGGCTTTGTCTCATGAGTTTAAACTGGTGCCGTTTTCTTCATGTTCATGTGTTATTCGAAACGGATGGCGTCAGCTTCATTCTGTCTTGTTTATTTCAGTAGAATACTTCTGCCATACGAAATGAATTTTGAGTCGAAGTGTACTATAAAACTCGCAGATTAAAATTATCTAACTTTCTCTGGTTCTTAAAACATGAGGTGAGCGATACAATAAATGAATAATTACTCAAGGGGCTGGAACTCTCTTTCTTTAGAATGTGAACTACAGTATTTCTGTCATATTTGAAAACGAATTTCGGGTTAAAATGTCTTCAAACCAGTTTGACTTGTATTTCTCTTTGCCAGATAAGTCTTGATCCTTCAATTTTTATTTCTTAATTGAGACTGATGATTGGAATTAACTATTGTGTTCTCTGCTGTTTAGGGAGATGTGAAGTGACCCCACTACATATGGTCAGTACTATTGACAGAAAGGATAGGTGTGACATTTGCTGTGGCAAGCTGGCATTCAAGAGAATGTCATTAGTACCAGAAGCTTACTACTGGTATAAATTATCAATCTTTTGTTCTCTCCACACAACTTGCCTCAACTAGCTTATGCTATATGCAACTTGTGTCTATACCTTTTTTTGCAACTATAAAATTACCAATAAAGTTTTTTGAAAGTTTTGTCCAAATTTCATGGGAAAACAATATGAGGAGTGATCAGGTGAAATATTGTCCTGTTCCTTAACAGTGTTTGAGCTTCCAGGCAGAGCTAAAAATTTCTTAAGCGACTGATTTATGATTTTCTGCCTTAAAATTAGCACAGCCAAACCCCTGGCTTGAAAACTATTAATTTCTGCAAATAGGCATCCAAGCTGATGCCCATTACTGCAGAATATGCAATATCAAAGTCCCCTTTTGACTTAGGTCTCATTTCTCTAAAATCTGATAGATGTAGAGCATCAATTTTCATAAAGAGATCAACAAACCTCTTCACATTAGTTTAATCTGACCTCACTTAGTCTTATTCCTGAAAAGAAAAGGCTTTTTTTTTTTTACCCTCACTGTTAAATATCAGCCTTACTGGTTCTTTGTTGTTTAGCATGTGTAAGAGTCTTTTCAGACCATCAAATTGTCACACAACTCTTGTAATTTAATAGGTTGGAGAATAAGGTTGCAAAGAGTGTATATGATTTTTTTGTGCAGTTGAAATGATAAATGATAGTGATTTTCACTGGGTAATAATTGATTTAACTATTCATCTTACAACTGGAAGCCCAAAGTAGTACTTGTTTTCTTTCACAATTTCCCACATCATCGATCATATCTGATGATATTTCCGAGACTAATGATTGAAAAGACTTTATCTTACTCTGATAAAATCCATAATTATTCCTCCATTTCTAACCAGATGGAGCTACCATATCTCTAGCATTAGCATTGTCTTACTTTTCTTTACTCGACATTGACCTTTTTTATTTTGGTAATCGGCCCTGCCGGTTGTGATTCATGTCAAAAAAAACTTTTGAAACAAAACATAAACCTCTGTAAACTTTACATTTTTGCCAAAATTGGAGGTACACTGCACTAGCAGTACAGTTGAAGCTCTAAAAAACGCTTACAGAAAGGCGAGTACTTCAAATGATCACCTATAACTTGAGATAGCAATGACACGATAAAAGTATACTATCCAATTCTTTTGTACTCTTCGACAGGCCACTTGCATCCTTCAAAAATAACATCATCTTCATCGATCGCCCAGACAATCACGAGACAAGACTCGAACAATCTTTTGCATTCTGAAAATAACTTCCTTCCACACATCACACAATAATTTCAAGGATTTGCCGCTTCCATCTACGTTACAGAAGAAAAAATGAGAAGAAAGGTTGTCTCAAATACTCGAACCATTGTTTTTTCCGACGTATTTTACTGCTTCTTTTCTTTCGTGATTCTCGAAAGGGAAACCGACGCAGGCGCATACCAGCGGTTTCTCGTATCAAACTAAAATTTACCGGACATGCGCAACAAAATGCCCCTCTGCTGTCACGCAATAGAAGGAAGCTATATCCAGTTACACGCGAATTTTCGCTTTTTTTTATTTGAATATTTTCTGTCCTTTGCATTTTCAAACGGTTATAAATTTTGATTTCGCATCCGAGCTATTTGAAAGAACATTTTTCTTAGCATCACCTGAAGTGGAATTCAGCTTGCAACCGCGAGCTGCGCTGAAACAAAACTCTATTGAAGTGTTAACTGGAGCTTTCTTGGGGATTTGTGACGGCGCTCTTGCATTCGAGGTGCGTTACTGGCGGTTTTGTTTGGGAGCGCTTGAACAAGTTTGGGAAGCTGCAAGGAGAATGAAAAACGACGATTAACGCCCCAGGAGTGAAATAGCTGCGTGATACTCCGTCCCTATTTTTGCACTAAACTTCGCTTTGAGATCTGACATTTATTTCTGTTTACTGCGTACGGTGCCTACCGACACAGCACTTACAACCTCTTTGCCATGAACTAAACTCCTACGTTAAACATAACTTTTTTTTCGCAATTTTAAGTTTCTAAAAGTTTCTATACGCTGAAATTCGACAAGAGTGACAATCCACAAAATTTCATGAAAAATAACGTTTATTTTGATCTTGAAAGACAATTTTGTAAGTATGGTCGATTTACTACGCTAAACATTCCGAAATATGAAAACTTTATTAATTTTACGTGTAAAATGTTCATATTTCGAAATATTTAGCGTTTTTCATACCATTTCTTCTTAAAACGTTTAAACCATCAGCACTACTATCTCTATTAATATGAATCTAGACATCGATAACTGAGAGGTCTGGACTTGGTACAGGCAGGTTACATTTCCTTAGATGGAGAAATTAGTTCAGCATGTAAGTCATAAGATTTGGATTTAGCCAATGGCTATGCAGCACGCTAACGCGTTTTAATTGCGAAATACTTAGTATATTATCGCTTAGGTATCTGTGTATGTGTTATTAGCAATTAAGCAAGCAAGTTACAAGTTTATTTCTATCTTCCACGTTTTTATAGCTTAAATTACCTAAACCGGGAATTCCTTTGAGACCTATTGTCTCTTTTGGTAATTCTCCGACTTATGCAATTTCTGGTTATCTTGCGAGAATTTTGTCGCCTGTTGTTGGGAATACTGATTACACTGACAAAAATTCTTGCGAATTTACATAATTCATGACAGGACGGAAAACGCGTGCACTGTAAGTACCTCCCGTTGTCCCATACAAAGCCTTAGAAAACTTTTCTAAGGCTTTGTATGGGCTTTTTTTCTGGAGTATCTGGTAGCGCTCCAGGTTGCTTCAATATGCTTACCGCAAGGCGTCATAATCTCGTCACTTTGTGACAGAAATGTCGTTTAACTGAAAGTGAACCAGAACACCAACAGACCTATACATGTCTCAATTTTCCGATGAGGGAATGTTAGGCATCAATGACACGTCATCGCTTGTCAAACTTTGTCAGTAAACATGACTTCCACTTGCGTAATTGGCACAGGATATACTACTACCGATGAGAGAATAATAAATAAATCTGATCAGAAGTCTGTGGCAGGTCGGGTAATATTGAAACGCGTGGACAATGCATTTTACATTTAAAAAAACTTTATACTTGGAGGATTTCAACTGCTTTTTTTTTTCTGGTAGTCCTTGCATAAACCTTGTACCCTGTTTCATCCACATTAATTCTTCGTAGTTGTACATTCACTGCGAACAAAGCTTTCCGGTTAATTTTTATCGTTTTATCGCGTTGAGATAGGCCGCTGTCCACTAGAATTTTCTACAACATTATATCAGTATGGAAACGCGGGCACAAACTCAGCCACAGGGAATCGAGTACCGAAGACGATCGCCAACAAAAAGCGCGCGCTCGGCGCGTGCTTGGCAAAGTAATCATGCCACGACGATCTCGGGAAAGTACAATCGAAAAAAAGCGCAGCATGCGAAATCAAAGGAGGAAACGTGAACGATTGTCAAGGACAGCTAGGGAAAGGG